CATGTTGGCTACATAACTGCTCCTTTGACCTATTATAAGTTAAATACTAAGGGAAGTAAAGGAAAAGAAACTATTGACTTGTCAGACATGGTGAGCCTGTTAGATGCCGAGGATGAGTGTCATGTAGGGCAAGGCTTGCCGAGCCGAAGGCTCACGAGGATCCGACTAGAAATGAGGCGTCCTGGGTCGCAAAAAGCAACACACGTGTTAACATACGGTATCTGGACAGCATATGGCAGAGGAAACCTAAGGAGAGCAGGAGTGCGAAGGCTACGGGTAAGACGGGCGAGGCTGACAGGATAGTATAGTACCTATTCCTAACCTAGATGTAATTTACCTCCCATAGCCCAGCCTCAGAAGATGCTTTGAATTTAGGTTGAGCCCCAATTTGCAAATATCTCGCGAAGGTATGACCTGTGTTTTATTCGTGTCCTTGCTGAATGCAATGACTAGCCTAGATAATTTATATTATCGAATGGCGGTATAGTACCAGATAAGCTACCTTGGAATGTGGAAGTTTGCCACGAGGATTCTAAGTCTTGTTCAGGCAGGCTATCGATGGCAGTTTGGTCTTGCAATAAATTCTGCTGGTCTAAACCATCAAAATTGGCAGCTCCAAATTCGGTCGACGGAATACTATTTCTATTTCTATGTCAGCTTCTTAATAGAGAGTACCTAAGTGGCGGAAAACTCACTTCTGCTGCTCGCTAGAAAAGAGAAAATTAGAATAGAAAAAATCATTTTGATTAGGAGGTAAGGGCTGTTGTGCTGTGGTTTGACCCATAGAGCTCCCAGCTTGAGCTGTATCAGTACTATATGACTGTTGAGAAGTCTTTCCGATCGTCCTCGCCCAAAGCACACTATGGTCTAGTCCCAACTTCTGCCAGACCTTTGATCTCAACTTTTCGAGTCTCATCCAGGCCTGCTTAGCTCCGGCTGAAGCATACCTCTGATTGGGCCAAGAACTAACGTTTAGTGTTCCACTACTAATTCGGCCTTCCGGGCCCAAAAGAGAGAAGATATTTTCGAGGAGACTCCGAGACTTTGCGGCTTCTTCAGACACAGGGGCCTTCAGCAGGTCAATTAACAGAACAGCAACACATTGGAGAGGCTGGTAAGCGCCTGGGTAGAGCCATTGGAATGGGAGGTAGCTGTCCGTGGTACACATCTTAATAAAAATTGATAGGAAGGATTGAAATCGAGGGATCGCCCTGTACACTATCAGCTCCCGGGTTACAATTAGAAGAATATCTATGTCCGTTACTTACCTAGTGCGTAGTTCTATCCACAAAGTCGAATGCTGCATTATTGGGTGGTACAAAAGGCAGTAAGCCTTCTCGACCATTAGGCATAGCAAATCTTTTCCCCAAAGCGCCTGGGGGGATAATTCTTCGGTGTTATCACCACGAGGTGTTGATTGGAATGAATGGGACGAAGGACTTCCTAATTCTTCCAGAGGATGCAGCCTGAGCCGTTTGACGCGTGTTTTTGTTCGGATCTGCAACCACTCGATACTCTCTTCCATATTTTTGACACTGTCAAGGGTTACCGGCTTATGTGAGAACTGCCAGAGGAGGATGTTTCGCATGCAAGAAGTGGAGTCATAGCGCCCAGCAGTGACAATATAGTTCGGGTCAATAATCGGACTACCATCCATATCTTCCGTCAATTGCACCTTGCCGATATACTCATCTCGTAACTCTCCGATCATGCGCGTGTCGCTGAACATCTCGCTCGACGCAATCAGAGGCAGTCCAGATAGAATGCTCGTCATGACATCCAAATGCATCAGATGGCACCATACTCTTCTTCTCTCCTCGGTTTGTATCTCATCGAGACCAAAGTCCGTGCCGTCTTTGTGAATGCCCATGGCCTGGCACACTCGAAACGCGACGGCAACGAAAGAGCACGAGCTTAGAGATTCCTCTTCTCGAATCAACATTGAATTTAGGAGAACGAATGCCATCAATGAGTATAGAGATGGTCTATGCGGAAATCCAACCATAGCCAAGGCGACTGGGATCGTCGCAAACAACTTTTTCTGACCGTCAAGAGGCATGTAAATGTTTGGCGACCCTGTATGGGAAAGGGAACCTGTAAACAGTACTGCGAGGAGCATCGGCAGGAAACTCGGGTTTTCTGCCAAAACCCCTTGTGGAAAATCACTGATGGCCCAAGTCTTGTGCCAATCCCAAAACCGGCGATACAGTTTATCGAATGTGGGCAGATGCAGAAGCGGAATAAGAGGGTGCACTGTTTCCACGAAATTTTTATACATCTGGTCGCAAGTGTCCTGAGGTGGTAATTCTGACAGGATGTCCATGATGCCCTTGTTACTTGCTCTCATAACGGCCGGGCGAGAAGACCAGAAGGAAAAATTAGGTTCGGTTGTGCCAGTGTAATGCCGACATGAAGTGTGCGAGCCACAACTGCCCGTGTCTTGGTCGGCACAACAGGCATCTTCAAGTGGGAATAGCGGGAGATCGAAAAGAAGAGAGTCCAGCTCTAGGCCCTGAAACAATGTGAGTTTAGCTAGCAGTATCTGATGACAGCAACACAGGGATTATTCACCTCCATGTCCACTGATGCCCAAAAAGTATTTTCAACATACCGCGAGCGACCACCATTCTGCATTATCAAGTATCCCTGGTTGGATTGAGGATCTTCAACCAGAGACCTATGTCGCATTACCTTTACGGGAGATTCACTCTCCGCTGCATCTCTTGGAGGGTCTTTGCGCTTTAGGTCCGCCCCCTCGTAGATACATTCTAAATCGTTCCGGTTGCAATTGGCGCATTTTGGATGAGTCTAGGCATGATGTTGTGTCAGCAAAAAGTGTGGCAATAGATGATACGGGGAGCAAGGAATGTATATACGTGATCGCATTTGACTCTTCTCTCCCGGCAGCTTTTACAACTGTACGACGGCCTCGAACGACGAATACTCGAAAATTTAGGAGCACGGGATGCCGATGCCATCTCTTTGTGAAGACTAGAGTCGGTCAAAAGTGAACGATGTTGACAGTTGCAGCTCTGACTTGTTTGTACAGTACAAGTGGTACTAAAGTTTGCAATGGCGCGCGCCTATTGGTCTGTAACACGGACCAATAGGAGAAGCCATCTTCCGATCTATGACGACATCGCCTGTGGAAAGAAGCTTTTTGCGGACTTAACAAGCGCAAAATGCCGTGTGCGTTAGGTACTACTGTTAGTTTAACTGTCCAATTTATGGAGCTGTACCTAACTTTACTGTGTTAAGACTACTATTTCGAATCACAGTGCGATCTATCTAGAAACTCTTGTGGCTAACATGGGCAGGATATGCGCACTCCTTGAAAATATTTCCTACATGGTAAGAAATATCCTTACTAATTAGCTACAGGTACTGAGAAATTTCTCATTTGTATTCTGTCATAGTGTGCCATGTACCGTGATTTTACCCCATTTTCTCGTGCGAGAGATGGCGCTGCATCCGTAAAACTTGCGACACAGCAGAGGTATTACTCCGCCTTCCGCTTTTAGTTCTAGGCACAGGTTTATTTCCATACTCGGGAGTGAAACACACTAATATGACAGACCGCAACCTTGGTATGCAAGCCACCGACTGGTGATGTCAACGTCGAATGATTCCGGCCAAACTAAGATTACATCACTATCTGGCGCCTCTGGTGACTTCTACCTGCCGATGGCTTAGGAGCTTAGGAAATGGACGCTATAAGGCTTGGAAGCACCCCCGCACCATATCGTAGGACTCGTTATCCTTTCCTATGCAAAGAACAATATGGAGACAGTCAACCGCCCAGATGAATGGAAAATCGAGCAAGGCCTGGCTGGGGCCAAGCTGCCCTTCTTAGACCAGACAGGGAATGAAATAATTGCCATCCCCCCGCACCAATGGGAGGGAGCTACAAAAGATGAAGCTGCCATCAAAGCCGTTGGCGACCCTAACAAGCTGTTCCGCCGAGAGCTCGAAGGCTGGAAAGGGTACGTTCTCATATGCACCATCATATGCAGTAGTTTCTTGCAGCAGGACTGACATTCGAGCAGCTACGTGGAATGGGAGAAATATCCGGAGAAGAAGGCAAAGGCACACAAGATACTCAAGTCTCAGACCTTTCCCCCAAACGCAGAGTTCCAAATGGGGCCAATTCCAAACACAAACCCCGTGCTGCCCGGCACCCATTGGAAGATGTGGCACCATGCCATTGGAGGCGAACTTACCGACGTTCCTGAGGATTCCTGGAAAACGGTTCTCCGCGAAAAACACCCTGAGATGCTGCATCTGCTTCAATTTCCCTACAACGGCGAGCCTCCTAAACGACTTGTGACCTCGAAAGCTATCACCCCGAATCCGCTTCACTTTGTTCGAAATCACGGCGGAATACCGCTCATCGAGAAAGACAAGTGGAGTCTTACACTCGATGGGCTGGTTGCTAATCCCAAATCCTACACCTTGGATGATCTCATGGACGAATCCAAATTTCCGCGAATGGAGAAGCTTGTCACCATTCAGTGCTCCGGAACGCGCCGCATAGAGCAGATTAGCCTGTACCCGGGCCAGGGAGACGAGGTTCCGCAGGCTCCATGGGCCGAAGGTGCTATCGGTACGGCCAAGTATGTTGGTATCAGCTTGAAGAAGGTGATCAAGGATTGTGGCGGGCTCATCAAGGGCGGGAAACACCTTGAACTCTACGGCGCAGAGACCTATTTCAAGAGTGACGAAGTTATGAACTACCTCGTCAGTGTCCCTTGGTCTAAAGTCAAGGCAAACGAGGTCATCCTCGCTTGGGAGATGAATGGAGAGCCTCTGCCAAAGATCCATGGATACCCCTTAAGAGTTGTCGTCCTGGGTTACATTGGTGCTCGAAGCGTGAAGTGGCTTTATCGCATTAAAGCGATTAAGAACCCAACTATTGCCCCAGTCCAGAGCAAGGAGTATCTGTACTTCAACCAGCAGGTTGGTAAGCACAATCAACGACCGACCGACGGAATCCAGATTCAAGAGATGCCTGTTAGTTCGGCCATCATGTCTCCATGGACGAAGCAGGTTGTTATCCATAACGGCAAGATCCGCTGCAAGGGTTGGGCCTATTCTGGAGGAGGGAGATGGCCTGAGAGGGTGGAACTTTCAGCTGATGGGGGATTTAGCTGGTATGCTGTTCCTAACGAAAATCTCTCCGCGAAGCACAAGTGGACATGGCGCACTTGGGAGTTCGACCTTCCTTGCGATGTCGAAGGTTGGGTAGAGATTGTCTGCAGGTGCTGGGATAATTCTCTTAACACGCAGCCTTTGAATATTCGCGCCGCATGGAATTGGGGTCTTCACGTAACAAGCTCGGCGCACAGGATTAGTGTCTACAGCGTCAACGAGAGTCGGGCTCTAACGAAGCAGCGACTAGCCAAATTCGAGGAGACGGGTTCTCCTCTAGCCCCTCTCACTTGGCCAGAGGAGTTTCCGACCCAGAGTTTAGAGGACTACAAGAAGTATTGGAGGGAAAACGAACCTCGAGATGTAGATGACTGACTCGTATCCGAAAAAGCTAGTGGAGTTCGAAGTGTTCTCGCATGATTGGTTTATATAGTAATTCCATTTCATTCAATAAGATAAGCAAACATATCCATGAACGTAAGATAAGTGTTAAATCCACAGTTGACAAAATATACGGTACCACTGTGCATGCTTCTACCTAAGCTTCATCCCCCAATCAGAATCATAGGCCTGTTATCCATGTGCTCAAGCTGACCAATACCTGCGTGTCTAGCTTTCTTCCTGTGCACGGCCATTCCGATAACGTCCAAGAGACGTTGCTTGTTCTCTCGAAGGTAAGCCTGCCGTCCGCCTGGTCTAGCTCCAGCTGTGAGGCGCCCTTCTCTTCCATCCATTTCAAGCTGCTTGATACCTTCCCACGCCTCTTCATCAATGGGCTCTCCGTTATTCAGGTCATTCCTGAGAATGTCTCGCAAGCTTACTTCCGCATTTCCAAAAAGGCAGACCTTCAAATTTCCATCGGATGTGATACGTAGTCTATTACATGTTCCACAGAAATGGTCTGTCATGCTTGTGATAAATCCAATACGGCCTTCGAAGCCTGGAATTTTGAAGGTCTTACTGGTATCATTTGGATGATCCTGTACTCGCTCAACCTGAGGATATCGCTCTCGTATTGTGGCTAACATCTCCTGGTAGCCCAACATCTTTTGCTCAGACCATTTATTCCCGCTGAAAGGCATGTACTCGATAAATCTAACCTCTAAGTCCTTTTCACGCGTCATCTCCACGAAGGGAAGGAGCTGGAGATCGTTCATACCACGCATAATCACGACGTTGATCTTGAGTTTTAAGTTGTTCGCTCCACCAGAGCGCTTAAGAGCGAGGATGTGATCGATGGATTTCATCACTGCAGAGAACCCTTTTCGTCGGGTCATTTGCTCAAACTGGACCGGGTCGAGGGTATCGAGACTTAGGTTTATGCCGGTAACGCCCGCGTCAACCATACTATCTAGCTTTCGAGAAAGCGTTAACCCGTTGGTGGTCAAGCAAAGCTCTTTGAGCCCGCACGATCGTAAACGGCCGATTTCGTGAAGCATAGGAAGTATCTGGGGGTGCACCGTAGGCTCACCCCCAGTGAGTCGAATCTTTGTGACACCTTGCGACACAAAAACAGACGAAATGTAGGATATCTCAGGCGCTGTGAGAAGGTGAGGTTGGGGCGAGAGTGGGACGCCCTCTTCCGGCATGCAGTAGAGACAGCGAAGATTACATCTCTCTGTTATGGAGATGCGCAGATATGTATGCTGTCGATTGAAGCTGTCCGTGAGAAACGAGGAAAAGGGCTTCGCATCTCTCAGTTTCGCCGCACGCGGACTGGCAATTGACGCAGTGGCATGATGACGAGGTCGTGGTGATCTCAGCAGAGTTCCTTGTAACTGCCGAGTAAAGCCCAGTTCCGATCTCCTAAGAAGCTGTGCAGCTCCATTTGCTACGCGCCCATGGATTGTTTCGGCCATTCCATTAGCAGACAATGAATAAATATACTCTTTTTCAGGCAAAGAGCACACCGAATGTCACCTACGGCTGGCGACGGATAATTAAAGCAGACACTGGCCTGAACAGCAGTCAAGACATATTCCGTACTGCATGTACAACCCACGCCTGTGTAAGTGGTCGTGGATGCATACGAAGACGGAATACATTTTCTCCCACCCTCTACCAGCGGCCTTCACCCCTAATTTAGGTATAGTGCCATAATGCCATACACCTCGACAGCTATTCACTGCAAACTGCGGCAGCCGTCCGTGCCAACCGTCCACAACCATGGTTATTTGTCTCCACATAGTAAGCACGGGCTGAACGTTAGTCTCGCGGGATCTCTCGGGCCAGAAGTCTCACCCAAAACCGAAACCGTAATTTTGGATGGATACTAAATTGACTTATCACCAGCTAGTAGCCGCGCAGAGTATTAACCCTTCGCAATCCCATAGTTATGACGTTGAGCTGTATCTTACGTCAACGCGGGATGAAGAAGTGAGATGATGTAGTCAAGATTTGTTGTCATGTTGAGAAAAGCGATATACAACTGGTCAGCTTGCGCTAACTCAAAAACTTTCCCACGCCTCACTTTCTACTTCCTACAGGATGCATCATACCCTGTAGCCAATGATTAGACAGTTAGGTATCTTTCTACAGTTTCATCTTCAACTTCCCGCCCGAGACACTTAAATAGAGTTACATCTATTAGTTGTGGGGATTACCCCACTCGTGCAAGCTTGGCATGGCTTGTGGCCTGGATCCCTGTCGCCATTTACGACAATATGCACTACACCTGAAAGGGGGGATATTGCCGACTTAGGTCGGTCTGGATAGAGCGACCGGACGGTCTCTATGGTCTTCTCATGCATGCGTAACTGTATGAGCACTTAGTTGATCAGCTGCCAAATAGTGCCCGCGGCAACAGTCCCAGCCGTCGACATGGGTTGCATCGCATGGAACTGGGAAAAATTCCCAAACTATCCCCCTTCCTCCAGTGGGTTCCAAAGTATATCTTTCTCCCCATCCCATCCCCGCCCCTCACCACTGTCTCTCTTGCGATAAGAAAGTCTCACTTCTGCATCCGAGCGTTGAATTCAGCCATTTGCTAATATGGTGACCACCCAGCTCTTGCTCATTTCCCTTCTCTCTCTCGTTGTCCAAGCCCAGGAAACTGTTCTCGGCGCGTATATCGTCCATCGCCATGGCGACCGTACCCCTAAAGAGTTCCCTCCGGCTGGCCTCACTGATCTCGGATACGCGCAGATCTACGGCGCGGGTGCGTTCTACAGAGCCCGTTACCTTGAGGACTCCTCCAGAAACAAAATCTACGGCATCAGTCAGAATGTCGTCAAGCTCTCCCAGCTCACCGTCCAGGCTCCAGTAGACACAGTCCTCCAAAATTCTGCCCAAGGATGGCTCCAGGGTCTCTATCCTCCCGTGGGGACCTCCGTCGCCACGCAGATGCTCGCCAACGGCACCTCTGTCTCTGCCCCGATGAACGGCTACCAGTTGATTCCTGTGAACACCGTCTCCTCTGCGCGTAGCAGTAGCGCCAACCCTGAGGACACTACATGGCTCCAGGGCTCTTCTGGCTGCAATAATGCTATAACCAGTTCCAACAGCTACTTCATCTCAGATGACTACACCAGCACTCTCGCCTCCACAAAGGACTTCTACGCGTCCCTACTCCCAGTTGTGAAAACCACATTTAGCAGTTCTGACGTAACTTATAAAAACGCCTACGCGATCTACGATTATATTCACGTCTCCGAGATCCACAACTCGACCATCCCATCTGGGGATCTCTTGACTGATAACGTCCTCCACCAACTCCAGACTCGCGCAAATCAGCATGAGTTTAACCTCGCCTACAACAGCAGCGAACCCGTTCGTGCTATAGCTGGCTCTACGCTTGCGGCCGAGATTGTCCAACAGCTCAACGCCACCATCACTAGCAAGTCAGCGTCGAGCCTCGCTGTCCAGTTTGGTGCCTACAATTCATTCCTCTCCTTCTTCGGCCTCGCTCAGCTCCCCAGTGTGTCGGATGACTTCACCGGCATTGTTGACTATGCCTCCGCTATGGTATTCGAGCTCGTGACAAGCGCCACCGTTACAGAGTCGTCGTACCCATCCACAGACCAGATCTCGGTTAGATTCTTGTTCACCAACGGCTCGGCGGCGTACAATCCGTTGACTGAGTACCCGCTCTTCGGCCAATCGGCTACTTCTCTCCCGTGGAATACGTTCGTCAGCAGCATGAATAAGTTTGCGATCAGTGACAAAGCCTCTTGGTGCTCAGCTTGCGGTGATACTACGGGTGCATGTGCTGCCACCTCCACTTCGACTGACTCTTCCAACTCGTCCGCGGCTAGATCTAACAGTGGAGGAATTAGCAAGGCTACAGCGGGTGTCATTGGCGCGATGGTAACTCTAGCTGTTCTTCTAGGATTGGCTACGCTGGTTTTATTGTTTGGTGGTTTGCGAGTCGTCAGCAAGAAAAGACTCACCGGTGCACATACAGATCGTGAGGCTGTCTCCCCAGTTTCCAAGGGATAAACCGCGAGACTAGGGTAGGTGATGATATAGGGAGAAATTGTTATGTGTGAATGATGAACTTTGACATTACCTGGCTGGAGGGGGTAGATGCTTCAAAACTGTCAATTACCTAGGCACCTAACAGAATACTACTCGAGCAACTTGAATAACTCAACGCCGGTATGAAATGTACTTGCAGTAATCTGGCTATTACTTGTGGGGAGATTCCAGTATGATTGTAGTAAATAGAAAAAATCCTTGTACAGTTTAAAGGATTGCGTAGATATACAGCACACTATCAGAGTCAGTGTTCGGCGGATACGTATCCGGGTAGTATCCGTGAACCTCACGGGTAGGGTATATACCCGGCGACGATCTGACGGGTAGGGTAGGTAAGTATCCGGATACATGAGGCTGAATATCGTATATAAAAATAGGAATAGCGTATATAAAAAAAAATGAAGCTTTTGATAATAGTAAACCCCTTTCCGCAAGACCCCCCCCTTTTCCGTAAGCCCCTATTCAGGTGCTTCATCGTCAGCATCATCACCATCGCTATCAGCCTCCTGTATTTTACCCCAATTCCGTAAGCACAGTAAATATCTAATAGTAGGCGGTGACAACCTGTTCCGCTTCTTTGTGATAATATCACTTCCATTACTAAATACCCGCTCAGAAGCTGCAGAGGTCGCTGGAATTGCTAGATGATCTCGAGCAATACGGGCAATAACTAGATATTGGTATTGCTTTGCGCACCAATATTTGAGAATATCAGTATGCTCACCAGGCCGTGGTTCAAGCATCTAGCGCCTCCATTCTGGCTCTTGAAAAGCTAAGCCTTCTGACGCAAATAGATCTTCGTCGGAATCGGGTTCTTGATCTATTGTGGCAGTAGCACCTATTGCTTCTGCAAGAGCTGTTTCGTGAGTAATTCGCTCTGTATCAAGGTGATACTCTCGCTTTTAGTACGTTCTACAAACGTCTTCAAACTGCGCTCTTGCTCGTAATCTTCGTGTATCGTCTATAGCATTTAGATATATCTTCTTAAATACTGTATGATTCATTCGTGGGTCGCAAATTGTAGCAACAGCTGAGTGCTTACACTGCTGATTCGTTGTAAGAGTATAATACTCATTAAGCTTTTGAAGCGCAGCTCCACAAGCTACCCCGATTGCAGAGCTTCTACTAAGCTCTTCTTATAGCGATGTGATCTTATTTATCATCTTTAAGTAAAGAGGAATAGTAAAGTTAAGCGTTGGATATGAATCGCTTTGTAGCCGTCTTGACGGCTTTAAGAATACTAAGAATAATCGTTTAAGAGCTTTAATAATAGCCCAATCGTTACTTGTTAACGCAATATCCTTCATACTAATATCAAGCTTCTGCGTAGAGCATACCGCAGTAATTGGTATTCGAAGCTTTATAGCTGTTTCAAGCATATAGTACGTTGAATTCCAGCGTATAGGCATATCAAGTGATAACCGGCGTGGCTTCTAGCCTGCAGCTTTTATCTGCTTCTGTAAAGCATCCTTCCATGCTCTTCGGTTTCGAAAGACATAAATATGCCTTCGGAGCTTCTCAAGCGTAGCTGATACTTTAGTAGAAGCGTTATTAATACGCTGCGGAATCTAGGCAAGCCCTTGCTCACACCAGTACGCTTCTGTTTCTGTATCCGGGCTGGCTTTCAAGCTCTTTAGAGCAGCTTGAACTGCAAGATTGATAATATGAGCAATACACCGAACGTCCCCTTCCTTTACAGTAAACGTCCATGGCTGTTGAATAGTCGTCTGCTGCTTACTAGCTATTTTCTCATATTCCGAAAGCATCACAGTATTCGCCGAGGCATTATCCCGCGTACAAGTAAAGATAGCACCTGTAATTTCAAAGCTATCTGTTACTGTAGCTAACTCTTGAGCAAGATATTCACCGCTATGAATTGGCTCTTAAAGGTGGATTACATCAAGTAATACGCACTGGTGCTGCCACTTCTCATTAATCCAATGACCTGTGACAGCAGCGTACTCAGTATAGTTCCGCGCAGTCCATGCATCTGTTGTAATAGATATCCGGCCGCCACAGGTAATATGAGACTGGAGTTCTAATTGTAGCAATCCTCGGTGATATGAGAATTGCCGCTGTAGCTCTCGGTGTAGCGTTCGTGACGATATCGACAGAGTACTTAGGCTTAAGAAGTGTACTAATTGATGGAACGAATAGCTCTCAATAAGTCGTAAGGAGAGGTTATTCGATACAACAAATGAGAGTAATAACTCTCGGTATTTTGCTCTACGATTTGATGCTTGAGCTTGAGCAGGCTGGACTTGCGGGTTCCGCAGCCGTGGCTCAAAAAACGACGATGCACTACTTGATGGGCTTGACGGCGTAATTGTAGGACCTTTCATTGTATATGCTACTGTTGGATGCTTTAGGGTATAGTGCTTCCAAAGATTACCAGTTGATGTCTGACTTAGTGGCTGCGGAGTAGGTGAATATCCGCAGTCTGGTTGCAAGCAAGTTACTTTAACTGTAGGTGGGTGGCTATCAAGTATCAATCGCGAATACAATAGCTTTGTAAATAGTATTGACGACGTCGGTGGCAGCATTTGTCCTAGAGGCTGAAGTCGGAGCGGTGTAGGATTAAAATCCTGTTAAATATGAATAGGGGGCGGCAGCGTCAGCAGACTTGGCTCATTATGAGTATCATAGCTATCATAGCCCTCAAGCTCTGTCGGTATATCTGATAACGACGAGTCGCTCATTCTGAGGATAATTATCACTTTATACAGCATTACTACAGGTCTCACGACGTTGGAAAAAAGAGGTCTTGGCTATTCTTGGCTATTCTTGGCATGTATCCGGATACTACTCGAGAGTATCCGGATACGCCGGATACTCCTAAAATATCGCCGGGTAGGTAATTACTCGAGGATATACCCGGATACCACGGGTATTTTGGTATCCGTGCCGAACACTGATCAGAGTATAGTTAACTCGAGATTTAAGGTTTACATTATTAAGAATATTTGTGTTATTAATGCTTCTATTGTTTTCACTAACTGGGGGTGTGATGAGAGACGCAACACTTAGAATGGGTAAAAGGTAAGCAGCGTTTTCTTGTCTGAGGTCGTTTTGCAATAAAAAAAGGCTCTAATCTCTCTTTATGATACATATACCGGAGCGTCTAGATCATCATCTTCTAGAGAGTGACCTAGGAACTTTCCAGCTGTAAAATGCACTATCTGCAGTGGAATCCGAAGTTTTATCGGCTTATGAAAGACATTAATGCCAGACCAATGTCCAAACGTTATCTGTACATCAAACGCATATCTTCTCGCTACTAAGCTGGTGAAGAATGAAGGAAGGCGAGAAAAACTCGTAGGGAGGATGGTAGTCACCGAGACTGTTGTTTCCCATTCGAAAATCCCAGCTGTATCAAGTTAGCTAGGTATAAAATTTCGAGCCGCACGTGTGGCCCTTGAAAAAATTGGTAAGAGAAAATGTAGACTTACGTGCTATCTCACGTCCTTTCATCCATCTCTCGAGGCGCAATTTTTTCCTATTTGTTGCGTACTTTGTCTTCTTCAACACAACCGACGGAGATCGCAGTGCCTCTGCCATTGACATAACTGCCTTTTGCTCTTCCGCTGAAAAATATGTCACTGCTTCTAGATTTATCTGAACCTCGCAGTCAGTCAGGTGAGACTCTACGAAGGCTCTTTCACTACTTCCGTCCGATAATCCCTCGGTTTTGAGGTGGAGCAGCACCTCGGTACTCTCGCAGCCTTCTTCGCGGTTGGAAAATGTTAAAGGCCGAGGCTCCATAGACGATACGACGACCATCAAACTTTTTCTTAATCCCCAGGACGGCCTCAAGGAAGTTGCACCAACAAGTCGATATTCCTTCCCGAAATCTTCGGGCTCTAGCGGGGGCGGTTTATCTTCGATTGGCATTAATATAATTTCTCGACTCGCGTCGCTTTTTAGTCGTCCACCTGCGAAGACGCAAGCCGCGATTTTGTATGTAACATCACAGGTACCTGCGATTGAGCCGCTGTTGTGGATTTCTGCAGTGGCAGCAGATATAAAATTAGATTTGACGACACGCATCGAAGGTGGTAACCTCTTTGGTGTGTTGTTTCCATGTGACGATGGCAATGTCGTAAAGTCAGGAATATCGAAGAAAAACTCGGTCTGATATGTCACCGTATGAGGATCTTCAGCATCAATTTGTTCGAATTCATTTGCCACTTTGACGGATGACATGAGAATCAGCTTTTGTTTTTCTAGTCAGTGCTTCTGTCTTAGTCAATCAGAATAAATACTACTCACAGGCTTCTTGATTTTGCAGTAAGAACCGCTTGATAGTCTAATAATACTCTGCACTTCTCCTAAAAATTTATTATTAGCCTTTCAGGGCCAATATACGCAATTTCATGCCCAATACCTTGAAGGGTGAGCTGTACAACATCGAAGACCTCCTCCTGCCTTTTGTCGTGAGAGATAACCAGAGTTCCTCTTAGTGGACGTCCTGTAAAGACAGTCGGAGCAGGCAAAGAGGCACCTGAGGATGTGGTAATCTTAGACCATCGCGGCTGAACGTCAAAGAAAATATCCGAATGGATCCCATTTTCGCTTCTATGAGACATGATTTACTATTTTCCTCACAAATAATCAGAAAAAAAGATTTACAAAAATGATACGCTCGGAATGGATATATACAGATATTAGACAAGCCGAGAAAATTCGGTGCTTGCCTCAGCTTGCCTCATCTCGCCTCATAGCCCCATTTTGAAATGTTTTCGTTGTCAGAGTCTAGTTAATCTAGAATTCACGCTGCCACCGAGATGTGAAATCACGTAGTATTAGTCGCGCGATGTGATAAGCGATACATCTCGTACGAGGTCCACACCTTTCGCCCGAGACGATCCCTATTGGAGTAAGCGGTCTCGCAGCCACGAATATTCCGGTTCTATCCTGCGAGACTTGCACATCGAAAATTAACTGTCATTGATATTAGTATACTGTCCCACAAACTTCGAGTAGATGAGCGCCGTTCGCCTTTCATAAAATCTTTGAGAGGCTACGTCATGAAGTAAACCATATGCTGCGCATTTGACCGATTCGCTAGCAATCATCGCAGATGTGGTCCAACCACTCTCGGACGAGATAATGCGGTACGGAGGCCCGAAGTCCAGGCTATACCACAGCACTAAAAATGGGTATCCACACCCATGTCCGCGCATAACCCTTTATTTGTCCGACACGACAGTGTCTTCTGGTGCCTTCACAACATATTGCCACTCGCCTGGCATGGAAAGCTTTGGCATATAGCACTTGCTGTCCCTGAAATATTATTATTCGTTGTCAATCTACCTCGACGAGCCAAAATGGACAAAACCTTCAACCCCACGAAAGAAACTGTCGCCATGCTCATCCACACTAGTACAGCAACGGGTCGTTAATCTTGGGCCGACTTACTTCCCAAATCATTTCTCGCCGGTGCATTTTTTCCCTTGGGACTCTTTTCGGCATTTTAGTTGACGGCGGGGCGACCTCTCTACGCGTGAATAACCCTTCAATCGCAACTCTGGTATCGAGCTTTACCTTTCCTACGGGCTTCGTCATTATCACAATTTTGAAGAGGAAGCTATCCACCGCCAACTTGTTCGTAGTAGTGTTGACCACGTGCCTACGCAAGGCCAGTTTGCGTGAACTTGCGCGAAATTTAGTCTCGTCTTATATCATGAATATGGCTGACGCTCTATTCGTTGCGGGCTTTCTTTGTTGGTAGTTTGATACTTTATCTACAGATGAACTCGAGAGCTTTGCAGTCGAACAAGCTGAGTCACGGGTCAACGTGCAGTGGCCAGTAAACTTTCTACGAGGGGTAGGCTACAACTAGTTGGTGGGTCTGGCAATATTCCTCTCGATATCTGCACGAGACCAGGCCTCCAAAATTTATACCATCTGGATTCCATATGGAGTAAGTGTGGAAATGGACCAAATGGAAGTAGAGAAACGCGATCGCTGTATATGGTAATTATAGACCTATGCATCCTTGATAACTATAGTCGTCTACGTATTTCCGTTCTTGCAGCAAATCATCATCCATAAATTTGCTATCATATCCTTAATACTCATAGGAAGCCCTTGGTCAAGCAAGGACTACCACCACTTCGCATAGTGTTTTTGCGAGTTCGTATTCTAATGACAAACCTAATCCTCGAGTTGAGTATAAAAATTAAAATCTAAGAACGGGTGCTAGTACTTAGAGTATACCAGTATATAATATGTGACGAAGCATGATAAATTGGAGCTATATAGACTATTCATTGCAATTTGAGCGAGTGCTACCGTTTGTCCCCATAACAGTTTTCTCTTCGCTTATCCTCTACGAGGGGATAAGCCCCTCATTTATACGTATTTTACCTGATAACTTCTGGCGCTTTCTTGGCTCTGTGCAGAAGCGCTAATTTTCCCAGCACTGTTAAGTTCTGCCTGGAGCTTTCTACCAATATCAGGGTGAACCTTAGAGAACATTGCTGTATTCAATGGTCAGCACAGAGCGACATGGCAACGAACTGGAAAGTGGACGGGTGGGAAAAACGTACCAATGGTGCCCTCTTGCAACTTCTTTGGAATATCCTGTATAGCACCCGCCACGTTCTTAACAAAACCCTCCTGCTCTCCAGGCTGCGTGCCAAAGATATTCCATAATTCAGTGGCCTGTGCAAAATCTGCATCTGAGACTGGTATTTCATGGATTCCTACCTTTCCACCAGCCCACTCATCGTGTTCGATGCTCTTTTGGCCTGGATTGGCGACGGTAAAGTCACTACGAACGTAGTTGGGTTCGCCACCATAGTTGCCGTTGAAGGATGCGGCGCCGTCACGCTCGTATGGCGTGTATACACGTGAGAGGGCTCGGTTGCTAGCCAGTTGTTGGTAGTTTACGCCGAGACGGTAACGTTGAGCGTCGGGGTAGGCAAACATGCGTGCTTGAAGCACTACCCGGATTGTTAGAGTTGATATTTGACCTCAAGGGATAATACTCACTAGGATCGGGAGTGACGGCGATTCCAGGAACCATATTAGACGGCGAGAAGGCAGCCTGTTCGACGTCTTCGAAGTAATTGTGTGGCTGAGATATCCAGTCAATCTAATTGGCCGCAAACATACAGACGATAGCCAACTCACATTTTTGTTCAGGGTCATATTTCCGACAGGGAGTAGTGGGAAATCCTTGTGAGGCCAGGTCTTTGTGATATCAAAGATATTCACAGGGTACGTCTCCGCAACCTTAGGCTCCATGACCTGTACATAAAGGGTCCAAACTGGATAGTAGCCATTTTCAATAGCATTGAACAGATCTGCAGTGTGATAATCGGCATTTTCACCCGCATTCTTGGCAGCGTCCTCAGGGCTCATATTCTGAACGCCTCCAATAGGCTTGAAATGGAACTTGCAGTATTTGAAGCTCCCATCTACCGCAACGAGCTTATAGGTGTGAACACCAAAGCCATTGATGTTTCGGAGCGACGCGGGGATTCCCCGTGAGCCGAAGAGATGCATGAGAGCGTGCACGCCCTCTTGATTGTTGACATGGAAACTGCAATGTTAGCTTGTGTGGTCATGTCAAGATGCGAATATCTTACTCCCAAAACTAAAAATGCGTACGGGTCAGCGCGTATTCTAATTATATCGATCTAGTTGGTGAGGAATTTTACCATTGTCTCATCCGCGGTATTGCTTCTTGGATTCTTCTTATGACTCCGGTTGAGGGAGGGGAACTTGACAGGATCTCTGACAAAAAAAACCGGCTGTAGTAGGTGTCACCATTAGCAACTTGAGACCTAATCGCAATTTGTTTTATTTCACGTACGATGTCATTGCCGACGATATCGTGATTCCCTTCCTCAGTAAAGAACTTTACTGAAAACCCCCGAACATCTCTGACTGTCTCGGCCGAACCTGTAGCGCCGCCGACTGTACTGATGCGTTGAAGGACCTTAGTCTTCTTGCCAATGCCATTAAGAAATTTGGCGGTTGTCAAATGAGAGATGTCATGGGTAACTTCAAACTCGCCCCAGGCAGCTGCAGCTCGGGCGTGGACCACACTATCCGATACACGTTATTCTTAGGCTCAAGGACCGGTGGTTTTTTGTTTGCTTACCGTTCTGGAATGCGTTCGCGGTTGAAGTGCGCCAAAGTTTCTATGAGGAGAGTATCCTGGAGCAGCGCTAAGCTGCCACCTCCAAATCGGGCTGGCAGAACAGTGCTGTTTGACGGGTCGGCAATCGGCTGGCCTATGGTTCTTGCTGTAAGTATGCGAGTATTAGAGACCAGATCTATTAAACAAACTCACCTTCGGCCAGCGTAAATACGGGGGGGTTCTGAGAATGAGCCATGGCTAAAAAGTTGTAACAGGGTTTGGGAGGACGAGCGACGAGATAGTTGTTAGAGGAGAGAAGAATAAATTGGGAGAAGTAGGATGAGGGTTGCTGCTATCAGCCAGGTATTTATACAATGTCTCATGTTAGTTCCTACTGTGAGCAGCCAGTCATTGTCCAAAGTCTGGAACGCATCCAAGCAAATGCGTAAATGGAGAATACGTAGGAACATGAGTGATAGTTACTCAGCATAGTTAGTTACTAGTATGAAATATGATGACAGTGGGTGTAAACTTGATGATAGCTAGTTTCAAAAGTGGATGTTCGCCCCTGCCACTACTACTAGCACATCCGATCCAGCGACACTAGCCGCGTTAGTTAAATCTTACCAAAAGTGCTTGACCTTCGTAGCGCCACCATCGAGCAACGCGGATGTAAAAGCTATCTCTCGCGCGAGACCCACTTTCTCGTGCGGGAGGAGCTCGGCTCTGGCGTCTGGGGTCCATAATACCCGTAAACAAGTCGTCATTAGCCCTATTAATCTTGTTATACTGCAACGGCCATATTAAAACGGCATAGTCAGACAAGATAGTCAGCGCCTTGGAATATACCGCTTTTCCGAAGCGCTGACTAGCGCGTCTTATTGTTGTGCCGTTCCCGTGGCGGGCCTAGATCTTGTGGTGATTCGGGGCATACATACAAATCAACCAAGGCTTTGCCACTTTGTATGCCTCCGGAATCTCCTTCCGGACATGCTATGAATTACCAAGTACGAATATGGATGGATTAAGTGTACGCGTGAATATGTGCCCAAGCTCTCTCTCCGTCAGTTGCTTGTAGCGTCAGTTGCTTGTAGAGCGCTGAATATATATATCCCATCACCGACCCCTCTTCAGCAGTTTTATCACCACAATACATCAGGCACCTAGATCTACCGCTGATATATCAAGTTTGTTCTAAGATACTACTGTTCTCATACCAGTTTCGTTAGGTCGACCCATAACATTACCATCATGGGCGAAAGAATTGCAGACAACCAGGGCTTTGATTTCATCGTCGTTGGCGGTAAGCTTACTACCCCAATTGTTCCTCCATCCTGTACTCTCTAACATCAAGAAGGTGGAACGGCAGGAAACGCCGTTGCTGGTCGCCTGGCAGAGAACCCAAAGGTGCAAGTGTTGGTCATAGAAGCTGGTGTTAGGTGAGTAGGCTTCGGAGGAGCAATCCCTCTCTAATTATGCTGACAATGTTCGGCATGTAGCAATCCAGAGGAGATCGATGATATTACCACCCCCGCAAAGGCCTTTGATCTCAGAGGCAGCAAATATGATTGGGCTTACAAGACAACCATGATCAAGCGCGATGATTACGAACGTGTTGAGAAACCAAATACCCGCGGCAAGGTATTAGGAGGAAGCAGCTGTGCTAACTACTTTACCTGGATTCCCGGCAGCAAGGCAACGTTTGATGACTGGGAAGAGTATGGTGGCGCGGACTGGACGTGGGATAACTGCGTCGCATATCTCAGAAAAGTGAGGTCTTTCAACAATATGTCCTAAGATTTCCATCTAATCAGCATTATCTAGTGCGCGACTTACCATGACGATGAGAAGCTCTACCCGAGCGATCTGTCGAAAGTTGGGACTGGCGGACCCCTTCAAATCTCTCATGCCCACCTACTGCCTGAGATGCAACCATTCCGTGACGCCCTTACCAAAGGTTGGACCAGCAAGGGACATGCCCTCACCGAGGACATCTATTCCGGTACCATGGCTGGCCTGACCCACTGCATGGATACCATCTACAACGGCACCCGTCAAGGAAGCTTTCTTTTCCTGAAGGGCAAGCCAAATGTCACTGTCCTCGCGTCGGTCCAATCCAAAAAGCTCATCATCGACCCCACCACTAAGGTCTGCACTGGCGTCGTCGTGATCAACCCCGAGACAGGAGACGAGATCACTCTGAATGCTAAGTACGAAGTCATCGTCTCCCAAGGCGTCTTCGAGAGCCCCAAGCTCCTGATGCTCTCTGGTATCGGCCCTGCTGCTGAGCTCAAGAAGCACAACATCCATGTCATGGTGGACAGCCCTCATGTAGGACAGAATCTGCTCGATCATCCCATCGTGCCCTTCGTTCTGCGTTTGAAGGATGGCTATGGCCTTGACGACCACCTCCTCCGCGCTGGCCAGGCCCGTGATGGGTCCGTGGAGGCCTACCGACGCAACAAGACGGGCCCACTAAGCAGCGCCCTACTTGAGATGGTCGGTTTCCCACGCATTGATGAGCGACTGAACAAGTACCCCGCATATAGGGATGCCAAGAAGGCCAACGGAGGCCTTGATCCATTCGGTCCTGGTGGCCAGCCGCACTTCGAATTGGATTTTGTTCCCATGTTCTCCTCGGCGTTCCAGTGGCATTACCCTACACCTCCTAGTGGCAGCAGCCTAACGGTAATTGTGGACCTGCTCCGCCCCCTATCCACGGGAGAAGTCAAGTTGAACTCGGCGGATGCGCTCGAACAGCCCTTCATCAACCTCAATTTCTTCGGTAACGACCTAGATATCCTAGCCATGCGCGAGGGTGTCCGCTGGACATATGATGTGCTTACAAAGGGTGACGGCATTAAGGATATCGTGGTCGGAGACTATCCCTGGGAGATGCCCATCCAATCCGACGAAGCCATGAACAGGGTCGTATTGGAAAGATCACAGACTGGATTCCGTAAGTCCTAATCCGACCCCTTTTTATAGATGCTAGATCTGACAAAGGATACCATTCAGACCCCTGTGGCACCACCCGGCTGTCCAAGAACATCCAACAGGGTGTGGTAGATCCCCAGCTCCGTGTTCACGGCATCAGGAATCTCCGTGTCGTTGACGCTTCCGTCATCCCAATCATCCCCGACTGCCGTCCTCAGAACTCGGTGTATATGATTGCTGAGAAGGTGAGTTCAACAGACCAAAACGTCAACTATTGTCAGATTGACTAATTCTGCATCTAGGCCGCCGACATGATCAAGGCCCAGTACACAAACCTCTACTGATGACTAGACGAGTTACATGTGGAGTGACAAGACTTGCTATTTTGTATTCTGAATAATTCTCATTTATGTTCCAGTACAGTCGCAAATATTAGATAGATGGGTAGAATTGGGGGCTTTCTACATTCAATTGTACCAACCTACGAGTGACATATTCAATTTTCCACATGCAGGTCTCATTTTAGCTCAGTGTCTCTACTAAATACCAGAATCATTTAGTGCAGGGATGGAGATGGGGAATGCTAAATATTACTCAAGCATGGGAGATCGTTAAAGTAGTGTGGCGATGGGGTGACGAGAGCGAGGAGGTGGATTAGAGAACCATTTGTAGAGAAAAGGGGGTCAATCTCGTCTTTGGATGATTAGTAATAAATAATTTTACCATCGTAGAGTTGATCATCGCCGCATTCGTTTGCATCCGCAAGAGAGGATATCCAGATGACCCTTGTTCCGTCCCCAAACCTCTCAAACCAATCCCACTGAGCTGACCGCATCCCGGTGGCAGGGCACCTCTTCTACCCCTCTAAGGGAAAACAAAAACAACTACAATGCTTCCGAGCTAACCATAGCGGGCTCAGGAGACTATTAGGATACACAAGCTTGTGTATGGCAGAACGGACGGGATGCCTTAATCTCTTGAGTCTATGGTCCCGTGTGAGAGCTACTCGCATACTAGAGTATATGCTATAGTCTCAATGCGGATCTCACATAGCAAGGTTTGATAGGGAGTCTGTCTTTAGTAACGATTCGATTTTTAATCAGCTATCTTTGACTGTTTTTTTCGCTTTATCAATGATATTATAGGGGAGTTGGCGGCAATATCTGATCTCTTGCATTTATAGTGCATTTAACAGTGACACAAGCCGGTAGAAGTAGAAGGTCCGCTCCATTTACGTCGCCTTATAATTATCTAAGAACTGCGCACACTCCGCATCATACGTTGATGCCTTCGAATACACGGGCTGCGGGTTATTGTTCAGGGACAGCTCGATCAATGTATTCTTGTTGGGGTTGTAGGCCGGCCAGCCAACTTGTTTGGTGAGCCCATGGACGGGGTCAGCTGCGAAGGCAGCGTAAGCCTTTTGGATGTGTCCCTTGGCCGTTGTCTGAGCGGCGACTTCGGGGAGGCCGCTGACGTCGGCGGAGGCGCCAAATATCATGTTTAGGTCCACACCATGGTAGGCGCCGCTGGTGGGGTAGAGTCTAGAAGGCGGTTAGTGTCTACTCTTCGTGGATATACTGCAGTATAAGGGACGAACCTAGTGTTGTCCCAGTCACCGTGGTGTCTATAACGCCACGTCGGGACACCGCTCGCAACACGCTGCGCGGCCTCAAGAGCAGTCGCGCAGGTGAAACTCTCGAGGTTGAAGTCGTCCCACACGGATTGGTTCAAAATCTTGCCCTGTCCGTACGCTGGTACCTTGTAGTACCCAGCCTCGTTGTGGTTGTTCCCAACCATGTATGGCTACAATCGTTAGCCCATTATTCAGGTCTCCGAAAGACATAACTTCGGCAAGGGAGTCTCCTCACAATCTTGGCCAAATTCCCAGCCTGTGCGCGCTCGTAGTAATCTGAGAAGACGAGCTTCTCATCAATCGTAGCCTGGAACGGTGACTGTGCGCGCGCCTGGCTCGTTCCTGGCGGTGCCGGGACTTTTGCAGCCGCAGCACGGATATCGTCCCAGTTCGCCTGGCGCATACATGCCATCGTATTTCCCTGCGCTCCACATCCGAGCTGGTCTGACACATTATACCAGTTCTGCGCCGCTAACTCGAGCGTATTAAGCGGGAAGCTGTAAGCGTTACCAGAGAGCGCGATAACGCCCGCGACAATGGGATCGCTCTTATAAGCGTAAGCCCAGAAGTCGACGGCGAGCCCCCCTGAAGACTGTCCGAAGATGGTGATCTTTGAGCAGTCGCCGTTAAAGGCGCCGATGTTGGAGTGGATCCATTCAACGGCTAGGCGCTGATCTTGCATGCCTAGGTTCTGGGACTCGCCAGGGGCGCCAGGGTAACCGAAGATGTTAAGGCGGAAATTCACGGTGACGACGACAACGTCCTCGGCGTCGGCGAGGTACTTGCCAGTAAAAAAAGGGGTGTCTGTGCCGCCAAACGCCCATCCTAGAATGTAGCATTAGCTTTAGAAAGCAGACAAAGACGAAGGAGACTCTCACTGCCTCCATGGAAGAACACCAGGACAGGCTTGTTCTTCTTCGCGGTGGATTTGCTCCACACATTCAGATGCAAACAATCCTCTCCCATCGGGTTCCCAAGAGTGTTTGCAAAGGCATTAATGATCTTCTGGAACTGCGGCGTGTGCTCTGGGTAGTCTACCGCCTTACCTCCTGTCTGCGGACAATCGCTACACGCTCATCAGCACATACCCTCAACCTACCGACATAAACGATTCCTTACCTCGACTAAAATCACTCAAGTCACCAAAAGTTCCCATTTAGTAGAATCTATTGGCCAAAATATCTCCCCCAACTCTCTCCGTAACTCTCTTCCCAGAAAAACTCACAAATTTATCCGCGACAAACACGTCACTCGACGCCACAGGTCCCAACTTCGCTGGTGGCGCAAACCTCAGCTCTCCGACCGGCGGCTTCGCAAACGGCACACCAAGAAACTCATGCACGCCCTCTGCCCCTGGCGCCTTATGTCCTGTAATACGCCCCCCGCTCGTCGTGACTGTGAGATCGAGCGTTGCTGCCGCTGCCACTGCCACCATGAATGAACGTACAAAGGAGGCCTTCATAATTGCCAACCGTAGGTGCAATTTCGGCGCTTATGGCTCACAAATGGCGAATTATGGAAAATAAGAGCAAAGCACCTAACCAAGCTATAATGGACAAACTCCGGAACTACAAAATTGACGCGAGTAACGCGAAATTGACACGAAAGTATTTCTTCGCCTCACCACCCTGTTAAACATGCGACTCATGCAGCTCACCCTCGCTTCGCCTCGCTCCACACTTATTCATTTGAGTCGACAATCTGATAGCTAAAATTCACCTCTCCTACCAGTTCCCTCACAGGGTCAACAATTCTTGAGAGCGAATCCGCCATACAGCTTTGTGCCAACTTGATAGCAGCCAGAGCTCGAAACCCCGGCTCATTCAGGTTATTAAATGTCATAATATCCGCCTTGTCGCCATGTATCTGCTGGGAGAGGTGAGAATCGGACGGCACGTCGAGATATGGCGGCAAAGGCCTTCCATTTTTGATGGAAGCAGAGAGAAGAATTAATAAGGACGTGGTTTTATGTGCTTCAGCGCTGGTTTCTGGCCTCGATTTTGCAAACTCGGAAAGCCAAACCGGGGAGGGCGACTCCCTGCGTGCAGCTATAAATGTTTCGGATGCGAAACTAATTACTGCAAGGTAGTTGATGATACTGCAATTTATTCGAGCATTAGATTCCGTCCCATCTATGTGGGGCGATGATAGTCCTTCATCGTATTACTTACTTTTGAACTTCATCAATAATCAACGTGTACATTTCCTTGGGAAATTCGCCTCCGAAGTTGGGACCCCAATCCATAAATGACAAGTTCCGTCTCATCGAATTCTGCAAAGCAAACTGCTTCTGTAGTAAATCCTGTCGTGACTTTTCAAGTCTCCGCCCTGGGCTGGAGGGAAGACTCATGTCGCCTTCCTTGTCCTGCAATCGATTGTCGACAGTAGACGTTGTTGAGTTGACGTAGTTGGCGAGAAGGAATAATGAAGTCCCCAAGTCTCTGCGAAGGACAGAAGCTTCCGTAATTGGCACAGGGAAGATAGTGAATATGTAGGCAACGATAACGCCACCTCCAACGGCGAGAAGCCGATAGGGGGCTAACAAGTATATCTCATAAAATGCCTGGCCCGTCGAAGTTGCTGCCTTTATACCCTCCACGCGGACCTGTAGTTCATACCCTGTATTTCAATTATCATCAGAGCTAATTCGCAAAGAATACAATGGCGTTAGATTTTCAGAAACGGAAAGCTGTGGTACATACCAACGATTAGTACGTGGGTGATTGCCCCTGAAGCAATAGCGACCAGAAATCTAGGGTACTTGACAAGGAAGTAAAAGTAGACCATAAGAAAAAGAAAGAGAAAAACGATAATTCCGGCCGTCTTCTGTCCAACAATATACCAGTTAATGAATGCCGCGACTGTTGCTAGCACGGTTGTGCCTAGATTTGTTATCAAGGCGAACACGGCGCTGCCAGTCGTTGGGTTCATCCCAAGGCAAATTATCACTATCCCCCATACCACTCGCTGTTCAATAAAAAACATGTGTGTTTGATGTAAGTATGCCATTATTGCGATACTCATCGACGCAATTGTCACTCGCGCGCCAAACTTGGAGGGATCAGATCCAAAGAATTTAGGTATAACTCTGAGTCGATCGCCAAACGCCTGCCAGGAGCCTTTGGGAGGTAGATGCTCGGGGTCTTTGGGAGTCTGGAGTGAGTGTCCAAGAGAGACTGTCTGGACATCGGCTCCCACGCCGCCGGTTTTGTAGATTCCTGGGTTCGAATCTTCGCCATCAATGAGCCCTTTTACCAACTTTGTCACGGTCTTGAGAGAAGGAAAGATGAATTGTCGTCTCTCCAATGTTCCGTCTGTAGCCCTTGACTCGGCACATCGAACGACGGCTAGGATCCTTTTTGAAATGGAGTACATAAGGTATTCCATATAAAATATAAGATGGATCCTCTCGGAAAATCGACTGTCTCTAGAACCTCCATGGCGGCCGTCCATTCCTTGGTCGGGGTTTGGCGGTAAATGGGCTCGCTCCTGGCTGTCCCGAAAAATACAACTAAGGCCCCTATCAGCAGCCCATGTTTTAAGATTTTCTGTCCGTTCTGCACGATAGCTGTCGATTGTTTTGTCCAGGTAGTCCCCAAAGCCAATATCGCCGGGATTTAGACCTTTTTCTATATCTTGGTTAAAACTGGCGCCTTCCCTTCCAGCACCATCCGTTGGTTTTTTAGGTTTCGATTTGGTTTTGTTAGGATTGGGAACAAATTTAAGCAAAATCAAAATGTGCAATATACTATCGTCAAGGACTTGCACAAAAGGCTTCAGTGACGCGTGTAAGGGTCTAATCAATTCCCTCCACTCAACACTCTCGCTTTCCCCCCTTCGCCAGGAACCTTGAGTCTGGGTAGGCGCAGCGGAGTCCAATTCTTCGGTCCACTCCGTATCCGTGCAAAACCTGTAGTTAAGCCGCTCCGATATGTCCGTAATTGTAGAAAACCCCACGATCGGGATAAGTATGTCCATGAAGAGTCTGTGCATTTCGTGAATATGATTGCTTTGGAAATGGCCAAATGCTATCTCTCGCTTTGCAAAGACGACGTCGTCTCGAAGTTTCCCTGCCAATGCAAGTAGAGCTGCCGAGGATGCTTTCAATGAAGAAGCTCTTTGATTGTATAAGCGCGTATTTTCAGATTCCTCGGTTTGGTTATCATCGGCATGATCCGTCTCCGACACACCCCCGGATGCCAATCTCGTATTTGGATGAGGGGCGCATTCCATTTGCGAATACTCCAATGCTTCAACAAATGCTACTTGTGACTTAAGTAATCCACGGCAGCTCTGAAGAAACCCAGCGGCCTCCCCGAAGAATACTTTTCTTGATGAAATCGGGAAGATGAGTAATGATACACCTGAACCAATAGCCTGGCCAGTCAAGAAGGAATAAAACAACTCTTTGGAAAATCTGAGGCTACTAGTTATTGTTGCCATTTGAGGTCCATATGTAAATCCAAGCAGAACAAAGATATTGTATCCCACGGCAGGAATACTAAACGCCGGTCGAGCTGCCCGTAGTGTATTTATCCCGAAGAGGTTGAACATTAAGAATATAGCGTTAACTGCTGCAGCAGACGAGTTATATCCAAGTGCAATATCCGGCAATGCCCCAGCTGGAGTCGTGTTCTGGCGTGCCTTGATGCCAGCATACTGGCCAAGCAAAACCATTGCCATCGCCAAACAAGTTAGTAGCTAAAAACGGATCAGTTCTTATCCATTATTCAAGGAAATTCTCTTTCAGTATTCCTTTATAAAACTAAAGACACACAACTGCGACTGGAACATGGTACTTACCACAGATATAGACATGTTCATCATGAATTTTCCCCGTGGAAGAATCGGAACAGCCAAGATAGAGACCACTATGATCAAATACCCAAAATTCACGTAGATTTCTGCAACAGATTTGCTCTGGTAAATAGCCGTTGCTATTAGGGGTGCCAGCGCTCCTTTGAATACTAAGGCCGCTACGGTTCTATCGATACCCAGTTTACTCCATGCTCTTTTGAATATGGAGGGCGCCGGGGTAGGATGAGAGTTGGTCTCATTGTTGACTAACGGCGTGGGTGAATTCCTCGAATCCAAACAAGCATTATTGTTAGCCCTGAGAGACCCTGGAGAAGATTCCAAGTTGATTCTCGGGTTGTTGTTGCGACCGTTATTATGCAATTCCGGTGTTGGCGAAGCCATTTCCAGGACACTGTTCACAAAATCGACCAAGTTGTCGACTTTGCAAATATTGCAGCAGCATTCACGTAATAACTTGATTCAACCTTGAATTTATTTATTCGTAGATAAAGTAACAGCTTATTCAGTTCGAGAATGAGCGAATATAGTCATAAATCACGAGTCGGAACATCCCGATTGGGTCAACACGTCATATCAGTAATCAAATGGGCGAGTGGAACGATTAATTACCACACCCCAATCATCGTGATTTAGGAGGCGGCAGGCGTCTTAGTAGTTACCTGAAGAACAAATTCATTCCTAGATGAATGAAAATAGTGTATAGTTAAAATAACCGCCTTTCCTTGCTTGTGAAGTATGAGAATCCTATCAGACCGTAGAGTGTACAAAACATGGTCAAAGGAGCATGGATAGCCTATTAGACTATTGAAAGACAATCAGCATGCAATTAGATTAAAAGTAGGTCAAATAATTCCTTTCCACGAGAGATAGCTATTTATGAGGGTAAGATATATGTAAATATAGGTAATCCGAACTATGAAGTCATTGGCCCATCTACATTTTCATACAAACAAATCCCCCAACCCAAACAGGCTCTATGGATACCATTCCAAGATGTTCTTCATATTATCGGCAACGGTTTCTTCCAAAGACTTCCATCCATCCTGGTGGCCCCATTTCTTCAGCAAAGCCAGAGGTTGGCTGAAATCAGTCGTCACAGCAAGTGGTGGATGGACAGGGAGATCATCCATAAATTTTCGTTGAGGATAGAGCCGCCGCACAATGGCAAGCACATCGTTCCAATTGCAGTTATCTCCCCATGCTTGGAGGCGTGCGCCATTAACCTCGGGATCCAGTGCCGCTGCAACGTGAAGCAGAGCAACGTCTTTGACATCAATATGTATTACTACAGTAACTGTTAGCTATAGAACTGCGGTTTCAACCTGTGGTTGCTGATTAGAAATAAGGGGGCCTACTTGATGGTATGTCGGCTAGGAAGCCGACATTTCCGTCGTATAATACCTTGAGATACGAATATGGGGTTTCAAGGTGCTTCTTATTAAGAGCTTCTCCCATAATAGTTGAGGGATCGACGGAATTGATGCTGAAGTTCGGGTTTTTCTCAGCAAGGAACTTCAAGACGGCCTTTTCAGCTTCAGTTTTACTTGCTTGATAGACATGCATACTGCGCGAAGAGTCGTAGGGTGGCGGAGCCCAGGCAAACTGTACGGCGGCCTCATTCCAGGTATCCCGCTCCACATGGACACTCTTCTCTGGGTCATAGAGCACAGCAGCTGCGATTGAGCCGGTATAGACGAATGCCTTGACCGACGGCTCCTTCAGAGCAGCGTCCAAGATGGAAGTAGCACCGGAAACTGTCTGAGGTATGACTTCGTTTGGATCCGGAGAGAAATTGACGATTGAAGCCGCATGGACAATGATAGACACCCCCTTTATCACAGCATCGAAGGCACCTGCGACAGCAAGATCGGGAACAACAACCAGCTCGAAGTCGCCAGTGTCTGCATAGGATTTGAAGACGTCTTGGATAAGCCAGGAGGACTTTTCAAGGTCTCGGATTGTTCCTCGAACTTTGTAACCCCGGTGAAGGAACTGCTGGGCGACATGTGATGCCACGAACCCATTTGCGCCTGTGACGAGGACCCAAGAGCCTCTAGGAATGTTTGTTGCGGGTTCAGTCATAGTAAATAATGATTGATTGCTTGGAATATGTATTTGAAGAAGCTGTCTTTGTTGTCCTTGTGCTTGGGACGATTTTATTTGGGGTCACTTTGAGGAGGGGCTTCATTCTTATAGAAGTCATGACTGGCCCAAGTACGCTTCCTCTTATGGCTCGCATTGTAGGTTCCGGAGCACAAATGGCCGTCTCTGACAAATTCAGGTTCTTTTCCGCTCCTTGATTTCCAATCCCCTCAAGTTGAATACCAGCGCTGGTTCTCGTTGTGTTCGATAGCTGGTGCGGTTCGTAGAAAAGGAGCCAACCCACCTTCATCCCAAAACGGAAGGAGGACGTCTTGGCATTTTCAACGCTGCCATTCTAGTGCCACGGAACTCGATCTGATCTGAGGTACTGACGAAATTAGAGCTTAGTTTGTGGAGTTGTGGAGATGCGTATTTTAGATATCTGGGTACATATGGATTAAAACTATGGTGCTATTTACTAACACATAAATTATATTTTTGAAGCCCCCCTAAACGATTACACTTCCTTGCTTTTACACACGGATATTGAAACAACTAGGACGTTGTATTTGACATTTTTACTTTAAATTACGTCGATTTATTTCCCAGAGAAACTTGCGGATGAGGCGCTCTAGAAAGCCATTTAAACCGAGCGTATGCATCCCGCCATTATGTTCTGTCATCTTACGTACGCCTTCCAAATGACATCTAGTCATAGAGATGTCGCCGATCCACAACTGGAGTTTCATAATCTCGTCAGCAGGTTCACCTTGGAAGAGCAAATGCTACATTCTCCTCACCTCGTCATATGCCATTAATAAGCCAATACCAACGGTCCCATCGCTAATCATCGATGATACCTCGGAAGATATTGCGTTCTGTAGAGCCTGTATGCAGTACAACTTATATTGGGTTGCTAGCTGCGAGTACTTGTGCTGTTGCTGCTGTTCTACAAGATGTCGGCAGGCGGCGAGAAAGACGCCACTCTGAGTACCAACATTAGTGAGTGCAAGCCGCACCCACTCCCCTGTCATCAAATTCACATACTTCCCTGAATCAACAAGCTTGTTGCACTTTAGGTCCATGTGTGGTATTACAACCCTTACGTCTATACTGGGTTAGATAGATCCAAAGCAGGCTGATTCTCTCATAACAGATCCAAAGCAGGCTGATTCTCTCACAACAATACCAATAAAGGCGGTGGCATGACTTACAATGATCTAGTAGGAAGTGTTCAACTGGTTTGAAGGCCCTCCCAAAACTATCAAAGGGGTCTTTCCGATCCGATGCCAACAGGCTCGTGGGACTAGGCAATATCGATTGCTCTATGACGATCATATCGCCGGGGATTGGCTGAACGCCGCTCGTAGTTATTATACTTCGGTCTTCGCAACTCTGGGTACCTTTCAGTGCTTCTTTAGCTTTGCTAACTTGGTATTCAATTGTACGGAGTCGTCTTGTTTTGGCATGAGCTATGCGAGCGGCGTGCGAGTTTGCTCGCCGCTGATCCTCCGCCGACGTAGCTTCTCCTTGACGAGATGTATTGATGAATTGGATTATCCCCAGCCCGCTCGACGCCATCATTAGATACTTTTTGTAGATGACAAAATTGAAGGAAGCTCTCGGAGTTGCCAGCAAATGGTGTCTGCGATTTCGGAGTTCAAAGGATAGAAGGGTCAGCTACGAACGACACATGGTTTCCTATGATATTAATTCGGTCTGATCATTATTTGAACAGAAAAGTGTAGCTTCTTATTGGACGCCATATCATTTAGCTATTTCCAACTTATAAAGCTTAATCGCCATATGTAAGCTTGAAGAATTTGTCAGCACTGGCACACCAGCTATTATTCATTTATGCCAAGACTTGCTCCTTCTGAATTAGGGATAGGTTCCTCCGAAACGGCGGAGTTGTAAGCATGGCCAGCACGTACTTATCAACACCGAACCCGAAACCGCTTGAGCATTGCAATTGCGAGGAGTAAGAGGATTTCGATAGAAATATTAAAAATATATTAAAAATATAGCTATGATCACTCCCACATGAAATATAACCTACAACTTCTCCATCTCCTTTAGGGCAAGCTTCTCCTTTTCATTTCTTGCATGGTTCTCCACGCCGACCTCTGACAAATCGACCTTCGCACGCCAGCCCATCCACCAGGGGCCGTCAAACAGCTCCTCCATTCTTTCCATTGGAATTCCCTTTGTTTCAGGGGCCCAAATACCAAGCAGGACGAATCCAACAGCGCAGACTATCGCCCAGAAAATATACGCGCCCCACACATCAAGACTCCCGAACATATTTGGCGTTACGCGCACCACGGCAAATTGGAAGAACCAGTGCAGCGCCATGTTTGTTGCGTAGCACACGCTGCGAATGCGCGTGGGGTATATTTCCGTGCCATAGAGGTACTGCACCGTGCAGAGACCGATTGACCACCCAACAGCGTAGATGAATACTGAGGCGATGGCTGCATCGGATGCTGACTTGTTGCCGGAGTCAGCGAAGATGGACATGTATATTGACATGTAGATGTGGGTGATGCATTGAAGTCCGAGGCCAGTAAGCATGCATCGGCGACGTCCAAATACATCAACAAGACCCCAGGTAAAGACAAGTGTAAACACAAGCTTCACAATGCCGTATGCGCCCGAAGTAATCAGAGAGGTATTGGTTCCAACTACGCCTGCGTAGGTGAAAATCTAAATTAATTGTTAGTACATATCAGACATGGAGACGTTAAATCGTACCTCGGGAATATAATAAGTGATCCCGTTTCCTCCGCTCCACTGTGCAACAGTCTGCATAGCAGCGCCCAGTAAGAATCGTTTGCGATAAGTCGATATCGTAGCAATCTCTTTTAAAATTGTCCATATTGGGACTCCATCAAGGTTTTGCTCTCTCAACTGTATTTGCTGCTGGATTTCTTCATACTCCAACGACAGAGCAGGGTCGCTCTTGTCAGAGTGGCGGAGACGTTCAAGAACCGCAAGAGCCTCCTGGCCACGGTCTTTTGATGCTAGCCATCGAGGCGTATCGGACAAGAAGAACGAACATATGAAGGCAATTCCAACGGGAATAAGCGGTATAGCCTGGACAAGGCGATATTGAGCAGCACCGACGGGCATAGTGGCGTTCACAGCATAATTAATGAAGAAGCCTGGTTATAGTTAGTGCTGTTGTCTTAGCATCACGCTTCGGGTACACCTACCAATCGACAGGAATGTGAGAAGCAGCACCATATACATGCTGACAATCATTCCTCTGGTCTTTGCAGGAGCAATCTCAGAGAGATAAAGGGGTGCAACGACAGTAAGTCCTCCGGACCCCAACCCGCCCCAAATTCTTGCAAATAGCATGAAGCCAACAATACCAGATGAAAAGACCTGCATGAAGATACCGCTAGCCCATAGCACAACAAACAGTTGCCAGCATCGTAATCGACCCAGTCTATCGGTGAGAGCAAGGGCGATTAACGAGCCGAACGCCGCACCAAGGACGCCAAACGATGATATGTTGGCTTTGCGGTCTGCGAGGCCTGATGGGTCGTTTTTCCAGAGCGAGGCTGCTAGCCCATAATCATTCTTGAATGAATTCAATCCAACAGAGGCACTGAACCCTCCTTCGTCGTATCCTATATAATACAGTTAGTGGTTGTAGTGGCAAAGATTCGGGATGCGGTTACCTTTCGGAATACTTCCTGACGCAATCACCAGAATGGTGAATACATAGTACGGATTGATGTCAAACATGGCGCCTCGGTAAATAAGCAGCAATGTGAAACGAATGTGCCAAAAATGTAATAGCAAAAGTTGGGGAAGCAACCCCAGCTTTATTCAACTGTTAGATGTGGGGTAGTTGTGACCCAACGTTCATTGCGGATTTTGCGGGGGGCGTAAAACGTGAACTTCGCGTGGTATCCGTTATATATTCCCGATTTCGGCACCAGAGTGAAGTTGCCCAGAAATGCTAACCTGACGCCAGCAGTGTATGCTCTACCATGAGGCTGACAGGAGAGAAGTTGGGAGATGAAGTCTCGCCTCGGAAGTTGACCGAGACCGTGCACGCGTTGTACAAACCCCACAAGTCCACGCTCTCGGTCAACTTCCGATGGCAAACGAGGCGGCAAACGACTGCCGACTTCAACACTTACAGACCTAGCAAAATCGTATTTTTGCCCACAACGTGGCTAGTGGTATCTTAACATGCCGAGGACACGCAATTACGCATTACGGAGTCATCTATCCGGTGGACTAATTGGAAGTATATATTTGTAATTCTCTTTTTCTTCATTTTCGCACTTCTTACAAGACTTGGTGATGCCGTAGCCACGCGAATTCTCGTCGAGCCTCCTTTACAAACTCTTTTATCTCATCTATATTCTATATAATATCCCTTGAAAGCTTGTGCGGAGAATGATCATATCTGTGATTGGCCTAGCCAGATCCATCATGAGGCGCTTTATGCGTCCTATTTTCTTTCTAGCCAGAGCATCATCTTGGAGACAATTCTGGACCGGCTCACGCCCAACACAGAAAGCCTCTATTCGAGAATTACTCCTTCAAAAGATCCCCCACAAATCATGGGATAGCCATATGCACGTAGTCGATCCAACGCAATATCCTCTCGCCGAAGGGGCACAATATACCCCCGAACCTCATCTTCTATCAGACGCCTTAACATTCGAGTCGACACTAGGCATCCAAAAGATCGTTCTCGTCCAGCCATCAATTTATGGCAACGATAACTCGTGCATGCTCGATGCGTTACGCAGGATTGGCCCCCAAAATGGGCGCGCTGTTGTAACATTCGATCCGAAATCAATCAATTCTTTAACTCTCGATGTGTGGCACAGGATAGGGGTCCGAGGAGTCAGAATCAACCTGCAATCTGTGGGCCAGCAGATGGATCCAGTTGAGCTCACGGCCACCTTGCAACGATATGCGGACATAATACGCTCATATGGCTGGGTGTTGCAGCTTTATGTCCCGCTCAATACGGCAACTATATTGGAGACCGTTGTTCCGAAATTGGGAGTGAAGGTTTGCTTGGATCATTTTGGATGCCCAACGCTATCCGGTACTTTGGGGTATCCAGTCGCTGGTGACCCATACTCCCTCCCGGGATTTACGTCGCTCGTCAACCTTCTATCGCAAGGAAGTACATATTTGAAAATGTCTGCACCATATCGGCTGAGCCCAGATGCTGGACATTTGGATTTGGAGCCTATGGCAAAAGAGCTGCTGAGAGTTGCGCCGAACCAGGTAGTGTTTGCATCCGATTGGCCGCATACACGATTCGAAGGATTAGACATCAAGCCATTTGTGGAAAGTGTGGTGGAGTGGTGCGGGGAAGATAATACCCTTATAGAGAGGATTTTTAAATATAATGCTGAAGATCTGTGGTCAGTTAGCAATGAAAAATAGAATTTACACAAGACAGACAGCAGACTGATTTGTGATAATAACCACGAAAGAGCTGACCACAGTGGAGCGATTGATGATAAAATTTAGAAAAGCGAGACATACCCAAAGCCAAGATAGCAGGTTACTGCATCGTGTATCAGCGTGTCCGAAGTGACATAGTGATGATGTGTGAACTCTATGCATGGGCTGCCAGAGCCTTTGACAAGCATCCCAGTACGAATTACTGGCATTCATCATTATTTTAATGGCCCTATTACCACAATCGCGACACTGTCGCATCGACGGGCTCCAGAGATGAAAAGGCTTCGAGCATCTCCTTTGTCACCTCGAAGTTGTCAGGATTGAAATTGTAAATGTATGCATCCTGTAGGTTGCCATCTGCTCCTACCTGCGGTACAATTGGCACCGGATCGGGTAGAAGTGGGAGGAATTCACCCTGGACAGGCGGGGTATAATCTGTAGGGGTAAGACTATGGATGGCAAGTCCTGATAGGTCGATGTCTAATTTGGAGAGTGCCTTGGTAATTAGGTCCAATGCACTGGTAATTACTATACGAGTCTGTAAGCCGAGCCAAAATAAAGCATGGGGAATGCCTACCTGGGTTGGTTGATTTTACCCGTTCGAGGGAGTATATAGAGAACTTCAGCCGTGCTAAGGTCTGTTCATCCCGCGACATCCCAGCTTGAACTTGGAGCAAGAATATCGATGCTGCAGTATAAACACTGTAAGACAGTGAGAGAATACAATAGTTGTCTCCAAATGTTTTGCAAAATAGGTCGAAGATCGCAATAATTGAAGTGGCAGACGAAATACACTCCACTAGATGATTCGGATCTGGTTTCTGGTCGGTGACCTCTGAGCGTTGAAATAGCATTGGCCGATAAAGAAGAATCGTAAAGGTATGATATAAGCAGCTAGAATTCGTTAGCATACGCTACCACATTTAATTACAGTACATACTTCAGAGTGACAATATGGCTAGGTGGGCACTGAAGTGGCATCTCTCTGGGATCGATCCTGAGAAAATTCGGAAGGTCTTGCCACCACGATTTCAGAGCTTCCCCTTCAACCATGATACAATTCTGAATTTCGTCTTCGGAGTTTTCTTGCAGCGGATCGTAGATGTGAATGAGGATCTGATTGAATATTTCGGAGAGTTGGCACATTCTCACGAAGCAGGATATAGAATGAGCCTGTGTTGGTGCGTATTCCATGCCTTCGGGATATACAATACCATGCGGGCTCCAAAGCTCGGTTTCTGCCGAATCATCCACTGCAAGTACGTATAAGCAATAGTAGCACAACTTCGAAGGGGTACTCACACATGATCTGAGGCGGGCTAACGTTAGAATGCTGTAACGTTGGTGATCTGCCAAGATAGAGACTTATCATCTTATCCCAGAAGTAGCAGCTCCAGAAAACACGTCGTCTAATCTCAATATCTTCATCTGATAGCCGCACTGACCCGGCATATTTCTGGCCGTCAATGCAGATACCGAGATCCTCGATCAGCCTAAATGCCATGCCGCTGTAAAGCCACGCCTGGGTACGATTGCCATAGCTACATTCTTGTGCGCTTAACAAGAGAAGAGTTTGGACTGTAGGAATTCTGCTTTGACCAGTTCTCAGCTCATCAAACAGCAAGGTGCGTGCCTGCCGAGAGAATACTTCGCCGTCCTCATATGGCACAAGCAGGTGGCTGATTTGGCTCTTTTTACACCAACGAATAGAATGCGATAGCATAGTATTTAGCAATGCATGCGAATAATACGGGCCCGAGACCTCCATATCACCTTTTTCTGTATTAGCCACCATTGGTAAAATTTTGAGAAGATACCTACGTGTGAAAGCCGGCCTATACACAAAGTTGAACAGCGGCTGAATCCAACACCAGTGGGTTTTGAGCAAAAACTGAAACGGTTCCTGCAGCTGTTTAGTTATCATTCCCAGATGTAACTTGTTTGATAGGTTCTTACTGGCGTTTCTGCAAAGGTCTCCAAAGCTCGTTGGTGCCATGCATTGCTGACGAGCTTCTGCCTTATGCGTTCGCCATCAAGGCTTGCTGACGGGTCATCTGACACAATACCAGTCGACGGCTTGTCCGACGCAGCATTCGGTAAATGGAAAAAGCTTGTTGCCCCATGATAGGTAATGGATCCCTGGTTATCAAATTTCAAGCCTTCAAAGGAGACCGGTGGAAGCCCACTTCTCGGCTTAGGGGATCCAGGTTGCGGGGACCCACTGGACTCCTTCGCTGGCGGTATTTGTAGCTGTGACACAAGGCGCTCCAATTCTTCGACTCTGCTTTCCAACTTTTGGGTATATGATAGTGTTGGCGGCAATTTATATTCACATGTTTCTTCTCGTGCGACACAACGCTTGCAGAAAGGTTGTTCCCCGCCACATCGGACCTTTCTCTTCCTGCACTGGTCACAAGAGAAGGCGCTTTTCTTAGAAAGGGACATAGGGATGAATGTTTGACGAGTAAGATAGTGTATACTGGATTCTGGCTTCTTTCCCTAACATTGCAGGCGATTATGGTGACATGAACTTGCCAAGAATGTGTTGTTGAGGTTTCCATCTCGAGAGGGGCAAGTCAACTGCAGATCACATGACAACTCATTCATAGGCAAAGCTTTTACAATATTGAATTAAACGTACAATTCCACGGATTTTTTTATAAATAAAGTCATTGCAAAGTTAGTAAATTGAAGCTTAAACTCCTATCTAAACTAAATTTAAATGGGGAATAATCGTGATCTACAAGCTTGATGTGAATCTGGACCTGTCCATTTGCGGAGAAAGGTAGCTCCGAGGCGAGAACCCCGGTCAATCGAATGGCCTCAATATGGGGTTCCTTGCTGCCAACCACCACATCGATGAATCTCAGAAACCACCATCATGGGCGCCTCTGACTCGAAGCTTGTCTTCAAGAAGGGCATATTCAAGCTCTCTGAAGAGCGAAATATTGCTGCCGATGACCCCTACTGGACTTCTGTGAGCTATCATCATACACACCAAGGTTACTCTCCGCTAATAGTTGGCAGTTTTGGGAACTTCCTGAAAGCGCTGAAGATGTCTTCAATCTTTTTTCTCCAGCCGACGTCCGCCGGACTAGAGATGACGCCAAAGAAAACCTAGAAACTCTAATGGTGGTCACTGTCACACAGCTTTCCATGCTACGGAACCATCCAAGCTTTCCAGATCCAGAAATCGCTCCCGAACAAGACGCTCTCAACTGCGTGAGGGTCCTCACTCGAATTCTACCATATTTATACGAGTCCGACAGTTTGCACGAATGGGAAGACAGGATATTTTGGGGCCCGCGAAGGAAGCTGACGAGGAAGGCTTCCATATCGCCAGATGTGCTGTTCGACGATACCGAGGCGTCTCTGCCGCCGAACAAGGCATTATCCGAGGATGAGAAATACGAGGATGCCAAACCGCTTGCTGAAGAGTTGATCGACACGCTCATCGACCTTCTGTTCTTCGGAGGATTCACGATTCCGGCAACGGGAAAGAACAAGGTTTCATATGCGATATGGCAGAGCGGGGTCGGTTGCAACACACCCGTTGGGACGAGCAAGGAGTTTGAAAGCAATCGCTGCGAAATCTTACGGCTGCTCCTTACCTTGACATCCAAGTCGATGTATATGAGCGCCAACATGCTGCCAGTGGTCGGGATCAAAGCAATCACCTATATTACAACATGCCCCGAAAAGCAGGTTGTCCTGTCAGTGCTTTGTTCTTTGCTCAACACTGTAAGTTTGGCTTCATGTCCTACAGTGTACACATTTTAACCTTTATAGACCTTGAAATATAACCCAGCAAGCTGGACAGTTCCATACAACCACATGGTCTTCAAAGACCCCAAGCAAATACTCGTCACCTACGCTATCCAGTTTCTTCTTGTTGCATTGGTTTATCCTGTGCCTGAGGCTGGGCCGTCGAACCTCCAAAAGAATTATTATCGCCATTTGTGAGTGCCTTTTTCCTGTGTCAAATTATAACGCGCTGACCTCCTGTAGCCTCGGGCGCCTCCATAGACCTCAGGATTTCCAGTTTATGGTGGATGGCATGACAAGGATATTAAACCAGCCTATCGTTGCAAACACCTCGTACCTGCCTGGGAGCCATGCATCGACAAAGTGTGCACCAGAAATAATCATGGTACGTTACATATATCAAGTGAGGTCTAATATTTACTGACTATCCTAGTTGTTCTGGGAAATAACCCAATGCAACAAGCGATTCCGGTCCTTTATCATAGATACGGATCGCTCGCACGACTTTGTGATATTATTAATATTCTACATTGTCCAATACAAGTTAGATCCAGCGAAGCAGGGCGTAGTAAAGATGTGCGCCTTCTTACTGCAAACCTTGAGCGTGGAGCCAAATTTTGGTACCAGCCTGAACAAGAAATTCCTAGCTCAGGATACGTTGCCGGCGAGTATCAGGATCCAATCCTTTAATGGATCATACTCGGATTTTTTGATACAGTCTATTTTCTCGATCATTACCACGAGTCAGGGCAAGCTATCGGCCGTTTATCCTGCTCTTTTAGCAGTCATCGCGAACATTTCAGGTTATCTTGTCAACATTAACGCCATCACGAGTTCGAAACTCCAGCATCTATTCGCATCCATGTCCGCGCCTTCATTCCTCCTCGCAAACGAAAGTAATCATGAACTCTTACAATCACTGCTGGAGTCGATGAACGCAATTATTGAGCACCAATACCACAGTATGTGATACATCCATATCTTGGCTTTAAACACCAACTGACCATACAGAAAATGCAAACTTCATCTATACCGTTATCCGGAACAGGAAACGCTTTCAAGCATTACGATCCTTCACGCTCGAAAGTGGGCAGGCCGAAATTGAACGGCAAAACCAGCGCCGCAAGGAGGCAAATGAAAGCGGAGATACAACAAACGACAGCGAATTACCCAGGTTTTCGATGGACAGTATTCAGAGCCCAACTACAGCTCAGCACCGTCGCCCGTCTCAGCAAAATATCCCCGAGGAAGAGAACACATTTGCCATCGGAGACGACGACGACGATGACCACGAGACCGACGACGGCCATGCTATGACACCATCATACTCTACGCCCACTGACCAACCCTCGCGTGCGTCATCAATAACATCCGATTTCGAAGACGCGGTCCCAACTCAGGTCCGCGGCATGTCCGAAAAAGCCCGCGGCAAAAGACCAGCAGGCACTCCCACATTCTCACGCCAAAACAGCACAACCAGCCTCGGCGGTCCAACCCAAAACACCAACGGCCAATTCGAACCGTCCGCGCAATGGATCGAATCCTGGCTCCCAATTCTACCACTCCACACCATCCTCAACATCATCGACCAAGTTACACCGCTGCTCCCACGCACTGGCTCTGGTACTGAAGGAAGCACATCCATCCTGCGCATCATCCAGGACTCACAACCGCATGGCATCGACCAAACCGACATCCGCGTCCAGTCCTTCGAGTGGTCGCCACTAAGCCTAGGCTGGTACGAGTCCCTCCTATGGAGCTTCGTGTACGTCAGCGAGATGCAGGTCAGCAAAGGGACAGTAGGCGTATGGAACGGGACGTCGATCCGACTCTTCCGCGTTCAGGAGACTGCAGCGGCAGGACCGAGTTTGGCCAGCCCGAGAGGCGCGGTTGATGCCGTGGGGAGCAACATCGTGTCCCGCATTGGTAGCATGAATCTTGGGAGGGTAGGGCAGTTGGCGGTGGGAGGCAGTACGGGGAATGCACAGCAGGCGGGTAATAATAGGGGAACATTGCAGGGTGGCGATGGGAATGGAGCGAGGGCGGCGTCGCCTAGAAGTGCGGTGGTCTGAAGGGGTGATATGAGAGGTTTATGTCTATTGTGCAGAGCTGGGGTTTCCTTCAGTACCTACCGTTTCAGCGCTGGCGTTCATGGGGTGGGAAACCGAGCTGGACTGGGTGAGGAAGCGCGATGAGCGGAACATAGTCGCAGTTATGAGATAAATAAGTCATGATAGGAGGGTTTTGTTGGTTCAATGATGGGTGTTTTGAGTCGTGAATTTGGTTGTGTGGACCATACTTCCCGAGCTCTATTTTCTGGGAAGACTGCAGCTTCAAACTCAACATGCAGGCAACAACTGGAACCACCACATCCTCAGTAGATACTCCATGAAGTCTGATTATTGTCCTCTTATATTATTGGCTCGAGTCGTGAATCTGGTCGTGTGGACTTCGTTTCCGAGCTCTATCTTTGGGGGGGAGAGTTCAGCTTCAACCACAACGTGCTGGCAACGACTAAAGCAATCACATCCTCCCGTAGATACTCCGTGAAGTCGATTACTGCCCTATTATATTGTTGAGCGCTTACTATAACTCCGCACTTAATTGCGCCTCCCTGCACTCTAATCCCTCAAATCTTTCCTCTGCTGTACGAAGCGTATGCGGCTCCCCGGCCTATCCATGGAGGTACATGCTCCAACACAGAGTCGTCAGTACATTTATAAGTACCTCAGTGGAGAACCTCACGGCTATAACTACGTAACCCCCTGCTCCCTGTGACGTCGTTGAGGGGTCGCGAGTCAATTACCCCTAACCATATCTAGTTTAGCCCCTTCGGAGCTGATTTAGTTTATGCCGAAAGGTGGGGGGAACGCCATCGCTAATGGCACGTAGAGATAAGATTGGCTTAGATTCTCACAGATAGGCCCAGATATGCTCCTCCCTAACCTCTCTAAGGTACCATATCGGCCCCATCCTCGCCACCATTTTAGTAGCTTCTAGGTTAGAAAATAAAACGGCCGCTTGTCGAAATAACTTGGAAACAGATAATTTCCATGTGAGCTCCAGCGACGTTTGTTCTGTTTGACCACGTTTTTGTATACACTTCCTTCTTTACCATACGCTTTTGTCGATTTTTTATATGGAATACGCAATTACCCAACATGGATGACAGTTTTGTAAAAGTTGGAGGATCTCCAGAGGAGGTTAGAACTTATAGGGCCCATGTAAGTAACTTTACTGTTCTCCTGTACCTGAGTTGCGGGGCAGGGGCAGACTGGCCAAGAAGGTTGTTGGTGTATGCTAACACCGGATGTTAGGTATCATCAAAATATCTCGAGCTCACGAGGAAGAAGCTCGAGGTTACGCGGTTGCCGCATGATCTGACGCTTGACAAGGGGAGGGAGTGGGAGATGGGCACGCCCAAGTCCATCATTGAGCCATTGGTAGACTACTGGTACGCCATGACAACCACCGCTCTTCATATACACCCGATTATAGAGGTGCTAACTCACTGGCAGGCTCGAAACATACGATTGGCGCGGACAAGAACAGTTATTCAATGATACCCTCCCGCAATTCCGCGTCTCTATCACCCCCCCTGGGGCTGAGAACAGGAAACCGCTCCGCATTCATTTCATCCACATAAAGTCGCAGTCAGCGAACGCTATCCCGCTGCTACTTCTCCCCTCCTTTCCATTCACAAACCTCTCATTCTCGCCGCTCTTTGCTGCCCTCCACTCTCCGGCAGATGGAGGCCAAGCATACGACCTCGTCGTTCCCTCGATTCCCGGCCTCGGTTTCAGCGACCCGTTCAATACCTCGCCGAACGACCCACTCCTCGCTTCGACAGCTTATATCTTCAACCGCCTCATGTCAATACTGGGTTATAACCAATACCTAGCCACTGGCACCGGCTCTGCGGCAGCCAGCCCAGCGAACATCGACTATCACCTCCCCCGTCTCATCGCCGAGAGGCACAGCTCAAATTGCCTCGGAATGCACATCATCGATCCCGCAGTCCTAAGTCCGAGTCCAACAGCCGCACCACTAAGCTACCTAAAATACTCCTTCGCCAAACTCTTCCACGCCTCCATCTTCGGCTACACCTCCGCAGACTGGGCAGCCTCAACCCGCCGCCCCTCCGACCAACCCGGCATCTCCCCCCCCAGCCCCGCCGAACTCGACGCAACCACCGTCTCCGAGCCCCTCGACAACGCCCCCCGTCGCCCAATCCTCGACCGCCAAGGCACAGGCCCCTCCCTCTTCAAACGCCCCGTCTTCTCCACCACCGACGAAGCAACGCGCCTCTCCAAAAGCCACCTCTCAGGCGACCTGACCCTAACCCTCGCCTACGCCCTCTGCGACTCCCCCACCGGCATGCTCTCCCTCGCTCTCCTAGGCCTCGAGCGCATCTGCCCAAACCACACCCTCACCAAAGCGGAAATAACAACCATCCTCCAGCTCGCGTGGCTACCTGGTCCCGAAGCCGCGCTGCGGCTCTGGAGCGGCGCAGACTCAGAGGTGAGGAAGGAGGCTGCTGAGAGGACGGCCCCGAGCGGCGGTGGCTGCCCGATAGCCATCACTGCGTTTGAGGGCGCGCTGGGCGATTCGGGCAGCTTTAGGAGTCCGGTGTGGGCGGAGACGAGACACCGCGTTGTGCATATTTCGCGCTGCAAGGGATTGCCTGGTCTGCCGTGGGAGAATGCCGAGACGATCGTTGCGGGTGTGAGGGAGCTGAGTAAGGCGGTGTGGAAGCAGGATGGTCAGGGCGCGGGGTTGGAGGAGGCGGTGTCGTATATGGAGGGCCGTGAGAAGCAGGGCGGGTTCTTCGATGAGGGTGAGGAGCTCGATGCTGCTGATCTTGCGCTGCGGAGGCCGCAGATGTCTGAGAATATGGGGAGCTCGGATACGGTTGTGCCGACTATGTGGACGCCTGAGGGGCTGTCGGCTGGGGGGTCGCTGGATGAGATGAATGGGAGGTTGGAGACGGAAGAGGGGTATTATACGGACCAGGAGCTTGCTGGGACGTGGAAGGGTGATTCGAAGGGGAAGCAGAGTGAGGAACCGGTTGAGCCGTCGGAGAAGTCGAAGGGGAAGAAGAAGGAGGAGAAACCGGTGAGGAGGAAGAAGGGGAGGAGGCTGCAGCGCAGGATGGGTGTCGAGGGGTGGGGTTATATCTGGGAGGAGTAGGGAAGGCGTTTTTCATCATCAATTGCCCCGTCGCCAAACTGGATCTGGCGATGGAAGAGCGAATTTGGATTTTGCGGCATTATTGCATTATAGATGGGGTTGGGGAAATACTTATAAACGGATATAGTATAGAAATAGATGGGAAAGATATATCCTTGGATTTCCTATATTTAGTGTCTACAGGTCATTACATAGAGTGTAAACTAGAAGCACACAGAATTGTACAAATCAGTCAAACATCGCTTCAAAGTCCCATAAGATCCAAGCACACGGATATGCATGTAGGTTTTTTACGTGTATCATCGATCGTGTTTCTACACAGAAAACTCCGAGCTGCCGTAGCGGCTCAAGCCATGCATGCACCAAAACTCTAAAATGGCAAAATCATATACGCCAGTGCACCCTCCGTCCCCAAGCTTCCATTAAACCACCACAACCACCCACTAATCCAACTTATTGAACAACCGCCCACCAGACCCTCCCTGGCTCGTCCTCCGTCCTTTCTCATACAACCACTTGCTATTCAACCCCACGCTCGCCTTCCCCGCACCACTCGGACTCGGCGTCCCTGGCTCGCCCCCTCCAACCCTCCCAAGCGGGCTGGGACTCCCATAGCTATCCCTCCTCTGATTATTGAAAGTCTTATGCAGCAACGGACTCGCATTCGGGTTGAACGGGCTCCCTCTCCCTCCCTCGACGCCGTTTATCGGACTATTGCGACCGCTCAACGGGCTGCCGGAGATCGGGGAGCTGGTGTTCGAGCCGGAGTTGCGGGGCGCGGGAGAGCGCGCGTAGCGGGGGGGAGTGATGTAGGTTGATCCGGGGGTTGGGGGGGTGGAGGAGGCGGGGAGGCCGAGGAGGGAGCGTTGGGCGGGGGTGAGGGGGATGTCGGCGAGGGTGTCTTTGGGGCGGAGGAGGGGGAGGATGGCGATAAGGATGTTGGCTAGGAAGAGGAGGCGGAGGAGGTTGTAGATGTATTGGGGGTAGGGTTGGAGGCTGGAGGTGAGGTCGATTAGGGATGGGAGTCTGGAGGTGAGGAGGTTAGTGGTTTTGTTCATAGAGGCGGCAGGGGACAATGGGGTCGACTTACTTTGATTGGATGAAGTTTTCCCCAATCCAGCAGACGAAAAGACTCCCGACGTTGTAGACGACGGAGCGGACATTGCGGTCGGAGAAGGTCGTGGCGTTTTGGCGGCGCGCGATTTCAGCGAAGCGTGGATGTTGCCATGTTCCTGTTTGGGGCGTGGATGGTGTTGTTTGCGCAGTTGGTGTTGACGGGGCTTTCGAGGGAGTTGAAAGCCTCATGACAGGGGCCGACATGATGACGCCTCAAGAGTTTCTATTACACGGGTGTTTCGTCTCGAGTTTCCTTTCTACTGCATTGGGGGGAGGTCGTTGATTTATGTTGCTATGGCTTGTCAGTTACGGAGGTCTTTGACATTGGGTGGTGAGAGACAAGTACCTTGCGATTCGGTTAGTCAGGCGTCTCCTCGGGGCGTTCAAATCGAATTCCTGCGTGGTTAGTACTTCGTCGAGATTATCATTATTGTCGTTGATCAGTTGTCACCCATCTAGAATGCTTGTAGCTTTGTTTTGTTATGGCTCGTGAGATTCAAAGCTGGCCCCCTGCAACGCTAATCAATTCTGCCACCCACATCCGCCTTCGGGGGAGTCGGGCCCTGCCACATAGAGAGTGCTACATCAGTGCCCATCGACCAAGCTCTACAAGATTCCCTTGCAGCTATCTCATGTGTCGTAAACTTGTTCTTTCTCAACGTTTGTTGCCCAGCTCAAACTCATAGCCGGCAAGATGGTAACCTTCGATAATATGCTGCTCGCCACGGACGAGCTCGTCACCCGCATCTTCAGCGATTGGGATGTTTACTCCACCGGCCTCGTCGGCGGCCTTATCATATTTGTTACGGTCCTCACGGTCTGGGGACGAGACCCCGATACCCACCCTATGCTACTGTCGCGCCAGGCGCAACCTTCACCAGTTCGAAATCCGGGAGAGTCGTCTGTCTACAGGTCTCATTCTTCGCCCCATGGCATGGAATTAAACACTGGGTTGAATGTCAAAGATCCAGGACAGAACAAGTGGTCGAGGGGCCGCAATGGAGATCTGAGAGACGTATGGAGGAAGGCTGTTAAAGGGAGGACTGATCCCGAGGGCAATCCTACCGGCGAGAAGGGACGCATTGTTACAATCGTAGGCACGGAGCAGACCGTTGACCATGATCTTGGTAAGCTTACATTCTGGCCTCCGTTCTGTAGTTACACTGGTCTAATGTAAAACAGATAAGGTCTCGAAACAAATCAACATTATCGGCCAATATATCAAGCACCATGGAGGAAGCCGTGTGGCAATATACCTACCGAACTCAATCGAACTACTGGCAGCGCTGTTTGCGTGCACATTCTACGATTTAACGCCCATCCTTTTACCCTACGACCAACCCGGGCATGTTGTTGTTGATATGCTAAGGACTTCTGAGGCGGATACATTGGTTACAGCTGTGGGAAATCTACCATTCGATGCAGTCACCAAGGACTATGCAGGATTGAAGAACCTGATCTGGGTGGTCGACGAGGGCAGCAAGCACTTGGACTGGGACGAGATCCCAACGGGATCTGGGGGCGCAATCAACGTTTCTACATGGCAGGAGGTTGTTGAAGAACAATCTAACGTTTCCGCTGAGCTTCCGCCACTTGACAAAACCACACCAAAGAATGTCCTTTCGTTCTGGTTTCCTGAGATTCACGAGCCAGGGGAATTAGTCGAATACACTCATGGCAATCTTGTGTCCGCCATCTCCGCCCAGATCTCTGCTATCCCCACCACCCAGAAAATTGGTCCCTCCGACCTCTTCTTCCCAGCCGACTCGCTTTCTTCGAATTACACCCTCGTCCTTACCCTAGCCGCCTTGTACTACAATGCTTCTCTGGCCCTCAACTCAGTCGCTGGCCGTGAAACTGACCTCCGCAATGCCACCCGTGCCGTCGCTCCTACTATCATCGTAGCATCAGCACATACGCTTGCTCAGGTCCATGCCAACACCGCAGCCAAACTGTCGAATGTTGTGTATAACCTGATCCACTGGTTCCAAACCCGCACGCTCACCGAAAACGGTGTGATGCCGGTTGCCTCCATTTTCTCACGATTTAACGATGGTCTAAGGCCATCCATCGGAACGACTCCAGGAAAGCTGCGCTTGGTTTTCGTCTCTGAGCAGGCTGGTGGCAACTCGCCGCCTTTGAGCGCATTGGCGTTGAATGACTTGAGGATCTTCACAGGTGCGCGTGTCGTCTATGCTTTAACTGCAGCAAAGGTTGCGGGTGCAGTGACACAGACCTCGTTTTACGATTACCGAGTCGATCCTAAGGAGCCCGGACAATACTCACACTTCGGAGCACCTGTCAGCAGCGTGGAGGTGTTGTTGAAGGATACCAAACATAGGAAGGTGACAGACGAAGAAATACAGGGAGAGGTAAGCTCACTTGACCCCACTGATGTGACACTGTGCTGACGATGCCAAGGTTGTTGCCAGAGGACCTGCCGTTGTTGGCGGCGAGGCTAGCTTGGGGATAGTTGGAAGAATCAACGAAGATAATACGCTTGCGTATCTGTAAACGTGAGGCTATGACTGGCCTTAGATGAGTATGTTGAAATATACGCAATGCAAGGCTGGAAGATGGCATTGTTTCATCACATTTTGAAGTCAAAAAGAGAGAAAAATACTTATGATGTCTGTTACTATTTTTGCACGAAGTAATACCCAATTGCAGTTTACCATCGTGCTCTATCTATATTGGCTCTTTGCGGCTTTATCATGCTTAAAAGATGATTTATGAAACACGGCAAAATATATGGAGAAATGCAAAGTTGATTCGTATATATCCGATCACATCGATATATTGCATACAAGTCCTCGACCCATCAAATCGTCGGCCTTCTCCGACTTTTTATATTCTCCCTATCAATGGCCGCTTGTTCCCTCACGCATAGAACTCATGACGTTGCCGCACCAATCCCCGCTGTCTGACCCCGCATCCCTGCCACCCTGACAGCTGCACCGTGCGAGAACAGCACATCTTGCATTACTTAGGTGCTCCCATCCGCCCATCTCTCAACAATTCTTTGTCTCCCTGTCCGGATGAGAATTATATTGGAGCACCGCCGAGGCGCTGCACAATGGCAGTCACAAACTCGAGCTCTGACTCGGCGCAAATGGCGCACGCGGCAGTAAGCAGCCAGAACGGCGCGGCTATGAAAGCGACACGATCCTCGGTGGCTTCCCACCATCGGAGGCGGTCGCTACCACTGAATTTCCAGGCGAATCTCTGGAGCGGCGATTCGCACCTGATTTCCAGCTCATCCAAGGCTGAGATATCTCTCGTCGAAGGCGCCGCTGGGGTTGCGCAAGGCGAACACACCCCGAGCCTTGAGCGTCCGTTCGCAGTGCTCCACCAGCTGCACGCTTCCACGCCACCGCGATCTCCGTCGAGGTTTCCCAATCCCGCGAATGCGGAGTTCTCGTCTCATCGATACACGAAGTCTGCCAGCGCCCGTAATTCCACGTTCTCGCAGCCCGTGATCGTGAGGACATACTCCTCTCCCTCCTCGCGCCCATCATCGCGACAGCCGTCCTCGCCTCGGATCAAGAAGTCAATCTACAAGATGACGAAGGCCGAGCTACCCCCAGTCGAGGCTTTTACATTTAAGGGGATTATGGATAGCATCCAAGGTTCTGTGGCAGATGACTTGGATCGCATAGCCGAGATCTGTGCGAGGAGCAGGTACAGCCTGAGCAACCAGTACGAGGTGCACATGCCGCCTCACGGTGAAGGCGAAGCATTCCTACGACCCGTAGGAGACGAAGAGGTTGGCAGGACAACTCTTGCAGGAAGGGCAAGAGGGGCGAGGAAACCAAAATCAAAGGCATTTGATACTCTCGAAACTATTTATTCAAGCAGCAGGAGTAGCGAGGAAGAGAAGGCAAAGAAGAAGAGCGCAGGAGCGCTCGCAGAAGAAGTAAGAGGGAGACAGGCCCGGAAACTGATTGGCGAAAGTAGTAGGGGTGAAGAAGCTACGGACGCGGATGCAGATGCTGAGCAGTCCGAAGTTAACGGCAGCGGATACGGTCGAAGGAAATCGACACAGAAGCACAAGCAAGCACGCTCACAGTCTACAACATTTGCTTCGATGGTCATGGATAGCGCGCAAGCTTCACGCAGCGAAGCCGGTTCCCACCGAGCCAATCCATCGTCTCTAGTCAGCGAACCTCTACTTCCACGGACAAGCAACACACTCGAGCGGAAGATCCAAGGGGAATCCATACCACCCGCCCCTCCAGCAACTATAGCACCCCCGCCATACGTGCCTAAATCATCAACAACTACCCCTCACGCGAAATTTTCAATGCCGATCGATCAGCCCGAGACCAGGGCATCTGTGCTTGCGAATTTCTCGAGTTGGCTCCCGTGGAATAAAACGTCTGAGAATGGCGATGGACCTGTCTCTCCGCAGGAATTCATGCGTCAGAAGGCATTGTCTAGTGCGGAGGGCAGTTTGAGGCAACTGTTGGGGCCACAGGATAATGATCGGAGCGATCGGAAAGGCAAGGGTGTGAACCGCGAAGATGGGTGAGCAGCTAGGGGGGCTGTTAAGAGATTATTAGAGACAGACGCTCGTTCGGAATTAAGGGGCCGGAGATCGGAGCCAGTGCAGAGGTCAAGGTTGATATGTGATTCGAACTATCCAGGGTTTTCAGCGCCAAAGAATGACAAGTTCTTCGCTCGGGGGTCTGAGGCTCGGCCTCGATGGGCCGTCATATCAGAGCGCATTCGACGCGCTGGCCCAGAATTGCGACTCAAAAGCCCCCAGTGACAGTTAGACTTAAGGTTCAAGACTGGTAGAGCTAGTATTCAGCCCTATATATGGAAAGAACGATTACCAAGCAAGCTCAGTCGTAGCTTCCTTGGAACCTTCAAGCAAGATATATGGAAAGAACGATTACCAAGCAACGTCGGCTGCAGCTTCCTCGAAACTTTCAGACTGTATACTAGGGAAAGAACGATTACGAAGCGAGCTCGGTCGTAGCTTCCTCGGGATAAAACTGGGTTGTAGGAAAGGGATGGGAACAGGGGGGCCGGTTGCGGAATTGATAGTTTATATCGATGAGAAGATTATTAAATTCATATCATAGTTTTATACGTTAATAAACCTGCGTATTGCCCAACTTATTGTTCATATCGTTCGTATTTTCAGTATCATATATAGATAAACCTATTCAAATTTGTTGCACAACGCTTTCAAACGCCCCGGAGAGTCCTCCATAATGATCACAAGTTACAGCAACCCCTAGATTCATACTAATATTTCAGTTCCAGAACCATCCCCCCTTCTTCCCACCTTCGCCTCTGCCATTATCCTTACCGGGTTCGCTATCAACCCGCCCTACATCTCCCGTTCTCCGTACTTGTTTCTCCCCCGACGGTGCCTGGATATGCGACGTTTCCGAAACCGATTTTCGTCCGTCTTCGAAGCGTTTCTCGACGACTATCGTTGTCCGAACTGTTCCATCTTGGTCGGTGTGCTGCGTTGTGGACGTCGACGAGGAAACCACTCGTTCGCTACTAGGCACACTCGTTGATGTTGCTCCTGCAGGTGATCCGAGACCACTGGCTCTCGAGCTTTCAACGTGCGTGGTGCTTGAGGAGGGTTGCTCGGATACCTCACTTCGTTTTGTGGTATCGGTGCCAGCGAAAACATCCCTAATACCCTGTCCTTCTGATTCTAGCCTGGCTAAAAGCTGGTGAACGATGCCACCGACACGCTCGCCATCTCCAGCAGGCTCTGAGCCAGCCGCGAAGAACCGGTCATACATATCTTGTTCCGTCTCTTCTAAATGTGATTGGGAAAGTCCGTACTGTTGCATATGTGACTGGAAAGTTCGAAGCAACACCGCTATCGGGGAAGGCGTCATAGTACGTATTTCCCCAAACCATGGGTTGAAGTGGACTTGCTCAGGCATGGGATCCTCTTGCAAAATGTTCTCATCCACCAGAGATCCCATCCACATCATGCCAATATCGGCGAGAGACATTCTTGTAACGGCGCCGGGAAATAATCCATATCGTGGGCCTGGCCAGTCGGGTTTGATTTTGTGGATTGAGTCGATCATTCTTTCTAACGGAGAACCCGATATATCTCGCATTGGCTTGCCAGCGCTCTCTCGTAAGAGGTCCTCGAAGGCGTCACAATAAGTAAACTGGTCCTTATCCCAACCCCAAGGGTCATCATTTGGTCGCAGTGGCGGCATATCCGTCATATTTAGCGGCGAGTAAGACGAGAACAGCAAATAAGGCACCACTGACTTGTGCGGAAATTCCGATGGTTCTACGCCCCCACGGGTTGTCCGCGCCTGTATAAGGCAAGCATGCAATCTTTGTTGCATGCCCTCTTGTACTCCATGATCGGATGATTCGTAGCGCCAACGGAATTTGTCGCCGGGCTGAAGCTCTAGCCAGGGGTGTCCTCTTGTAGAACGCTTAATGCGTTCAATGATATAGTCGTCAAATGCAGAGAAGATGTCGTAGTCGTCCTCATCGTGGTGTGATGGCCCAAATGCATCATCGCCTCCTGGTGATCGCCCTTGAAACTTCTTAACGGGAATTTCAACCTCCCCATCTGATGTATTTTCAGCAGCACTGCTCTGGGGGTTCTGCCATCTCGAATCGTCTTGGGTTCGCTGTGAGTCGCCTTCTAACCCAGCCCAGCGACCGTTGTCGCTGTTGGGAGCTCGCGAGAGGATCGTGGGTAAGCCGATGATGCCCTGGAGCACTGACCCGACATGATTATCGACGTTGTTTCTGAATCTGACGAACGGGTTTTCGGTAGAGTTTGCGGAATCGGGCACGCCGTCATCACGGGGTGAGTTGGAAGAAGGCATGTCGTAGCATTGAATCGTAGAGAGTTGGGGTGTTTGCGGTTCTTGTTGAGATGCGGTGAATCTGGGGAAGCCAGGGTTGGGTGGATCCCTAAGACGATGTGGCGGGTGGCTAAAGGGAGATCAAGGGTCCGTGTGCGGATAGCCCCCACCAAGCTTCGCTCCGGGCGCTTAGCAGTCAATCCACCCACCTTCATGATTCACCAAAGGAAGCGCATATATTATTTCACCTGAATAGATAAAGTCTACAGGCATATGTACTTGGGTTATTTATTTTAGCCTTCGTTGTATGCCAGTTGCCTAGAGTGGCAAATTTGTCTAATTATACTGGTCCTTGTGAGTGACGTAGTAGTATTCGAAGGAGGAGAATTACCCCCACTCATCTCGCGATCTCAGCAGAGCTTCAGGCTAGACTTCAGGTCGGTACTCATGTAATCACCTCACGTTCACACAGTTTCCTGATGGTGCGGCAGCCTCCTGAACGCCTTGCATTGTCTTGGAACAAAACGTGGCTGGCGGGCCGTTTCCCAGGTCACCCAACATCATCTTAGTAAAACCCGTATACCAGGACAGGATAAACAGCCGTTGAGTGGCCTCGCTCAGCCAATCTGAAACCTTATATGCACCTCGCCCTGGTTATTCAGACACGTAGCCAGCCTGCAAGGCACGTCTGGTTCGCATAGTACCACAGCGTCACAGGCGTCGGAGTCGTCCTGAACCCATCTCGATTCATCGCTTTCCCCTCTTCTTGCCCGACGTTGGTTCCTGTTCATGCACGAAGCCGCCTTTCACAAATGCATCTCGAGCAACAGTGTTAATTATGCCAAATCTAGCCGGGCCGAGTTTTTGTCCCCCGTACCAACGTGTCACGACAACGGTGACATTCCATAGGTCCATGAGTTGCATCAGATGGAGCAGCCGGCCTCCTGCAGCACTTTCTCCATCGTCGTCGCAGTCTTGGTACGTGGCGCCATTATCTCCTTTGATTCGGTGTGCAGTAATGTTGTGGGTCGCCTTTGCAACCTTTTTGTCTGAATCAAGTAGATGCTGGAGGTATTGCTTTGCTTGGTCAGGTGATCTGACTGGTGCGCATCGTGCAACAAAGACAGATTTGAGCTCCACCACGACATCTGATACCGTCCAAGGGGGCGCTTCATCTCCGGTGGCGTCAACTGGCGGTTCAGGGGTATCACCGAGACTAAGGTCGTCAACCGCTTCATGAAGCTCCTCCTCATTGGCGGACTCAAGACATGATATTACGTCCTCAATAACATCGTAAAGGCAAACCTCGCCGGGCTGGAACAATCTCCCCACTGCATCTCGGAATACATCGAGAACGTAGGCAGCTTGTCCCTTTCTAGCATTCTCCCCCGACTTCTGGGTCCCCAAAATGGTTAGTGGCGCATCTGGGTAATCTTCAGGGAATTGGACCCTAAACGAGGTGTCTTGCTTAGGCAGATTCAAGACATAGACGCCTTGGTCCACCGCCACTAGCGTATCATCACCATATATGGAGTTGATCGCCTCAATTTCATTTTCGAGGTCTTCGTTCATGTTGCCGGGGTGTCGGTTACTGAACGCAAGAGGCTTGGTGGTTATGGCGGGCGCAAAACGGCGTGCCGCCACTGGTCTCGCTTACGGCGAATATGGCGTCCCGTGGCGTCCCGGGCGCTTATCTCTATTTTTGAAGCGGAAAGCCCTATGTGAGACAACGACCACTCTCCAGCCCGGTTCATCCTGCAACCTGGAGGGGCCATATGCTAGGCAATATGGAGACTGGCAGATATGGCCAATGAATATGGCCGGTGCCCCGTTATTTGGGATGAGTATGAAGCAATACGCCGAACAGGGGCGGTCCAGCCCCATCTCCACCTCATGAGTGCTCGAGATATGGCTGTCTGTCTGCTATATATTATCCACCTCGGCCTTCAAGTGCTTGCTTTTTCTTTTTGTCACCGTTTCTTATTTTGCATTTTTCCTATTCTGTTGTCTCGTCCTTCTGTTGCGTTGCATCGCTGGTCGATGGTTTCTTTTGGCATCTACTTGGAGTAACGGCCGTAGATTGGGTTGCTTCATTTTTACCATGAGCCCTCCAAATGTCGTTGACTCGTCACAACCTCGCTACGACTCTAATGGAAATAAGGTTCCCATATGGGAAGCTATTGAGGTGGAACTTCGCAAGGATGACAAGAATCCGTTGAAAAAGCAGTCCTCGTGGAATTCTTGGATATCAAAAACAACATCATGGGCCAGCACGACGGATGGGGCCACTGGTAAGTCACAGCCTGTATGGGAATCCCAATTGCAAGTCGCTAACGGCAACTCCAGGGCGGAAACCCCTTTGGAAACCGGCAACACTGCGGTTCCCAGTTCTAGGAAGCATCTTCACTGTGACAGTTTTGATGATAATTGGACTCGAAATTTTGGCGTATCTCAGTGTCGGTAAAAATAATTCGAATGGTGGCGGACTTGCTTTCGCAGCCACAGTCGACGACATATCCACCATTGCAACGGTGTCATATCTTTATCTCCCCACTGTGATAGCGGTTATTTACAGTATAATCTGGAGTTGGATTGACTTGGACAGCAAACGCCTTGAGCCATGGTTCCAGCTTTCCAAGCCAGATGGTGCGGCCGCAGAAGATTCCTTACTATTGCAATATCCGTTTGATTTCTTGCCATTTGTACCGATACGAGCTGCACGCCGCAGGTAAGTCGTCCTGTTCATACAACGCAGCGGCTACTAATATAACGATTTGCAGACACTGGGCTGTTTTTATTACTGGAAGCACCATGATGCTCGTTTCGTGGGCAATTGTTCCTTTCCAGTCTGCCATATTTTCCACGGGTACAGTTACCCGGACCAGAGAGGCACTAATGGCTGCCACCGGATCTTTCATGCCTTTGGAGAATCAGAAAGTTGCTCTCAATTCTCAGTTCCTCAACACTGCGTATGGTGTATCTTGGTTAGACCAGAAGGTACCTGCGTATACGACAAAGGAGTACGCATTGCAGCCATTTTCTCCTACCACTAGCGACGTCATATCTTCAGGAAACGATACATGGTCGTCTTCCACGCTCGCCTACTATACCAACCTTACCTGCACCCCAGCAATTGTGAAACCCGGGAGGTCAAATGGGTGGATTTTTGACGACGGAAATGGATGTGTCACCTATGAAATCTCCCCGCAAGGCGCCTCATCTGCGAAGTTTGCGGTCATGTATATCCCATATTTTGATGACCCTAACAACGACTGGGCATTACAGAACCCAAATTGCACCATCGAGCACTCTCACAACTTTCTCGCGGTGTGGGGACAATCACAATACATTGAAAATACCACATTCAGGAAATTTGGCAATATTAGTGCTCAATTTTGTCGTCCAACATATCATGTTCAGCCTGTCACTGCGACAGTAAACGCAACTAGCCGTGCGGTTATGAATATCGATGATAAAAGTGTCCCAAATACGGCTTTGCCTCTACCCGAAGCTGATTTCAACATCACAAATTTCGAGTACATAATGGGGACAGGTATTTCGCAGTACCAGGTCGGCAGGCCCTTGGGAGACGATTTACCGAATATACTAATTGTTCAGCAATTACCAAGGTTGCTCAAGTTTAATATATCATGGCCATTCCACAATATGGTCGGCTTCGGACTGGCAGCCAGCTCTGGTCAAGTAACGGACCTTGCGGATCCTTCTCAGATGCACAAGGCGTTTGAATCCGCGCACAAGTTATTATTCTCAATGGCAGTAGCGGCGATGATAACTCCTAAGGAACCAACAACAAACGAACGGATTGGATTGATAACAGATCAGCCCGGCAGCATAATTTTTGTGAGGTCTTTTTCAATTGTCGTTGAAGTTTTCTTGGCTATTGTTGGTATTTTAACTTGTGTTTTGTGGTTGGTTTATCAACAGCGTCAGACGAACATGACACAAGACCCAGCCTCGATCTCCGACATAATGAGACTTGTCTGCAACACTAAGGAACCGCTGCGGGGTTTCAATGACAGTGGTACCTTAACTTCCCAACTGCTGGGAGAAAGGCTTCGCGGCCATAGGTATCGCCTAAACGCATACAATAAAGGAGGTGCTATTGAGATGCGCTTAGAATCTATGCAACGAGCGGCTGGACAAGATATTGACAAATTTGCCGAATTTCAATCAAATATCGACTGCCCGGAACAGTCTCAGGCAGTTCGGCCTTTTGAACTTACGTTTACCACAGGAGCCATAGCGGGAGCTGTTATAATATTAGCCATTGCCTCCCTGTCATATCTATATCACCAAATTACAAAGTTCAATGGTAACTGATTCGAGCATTCTCTATAAGAGGTTTTGTACTGACATTATGCTAGGGTTGGCCAGGCCGTCAAGCAACCCACTTGTTCTCTCTATTCTAGAGAATCTAGTGCCAACAGCATTTGCGACGATCAACGAGCCCTTTTGGATTCTCCTCAATCGACTATTATGCGTTCTGCAACCATTTACCGATTTACGGAATGGAAAGGCGAAACCGGATTCGACAGTGGACGCTAGATATACATCAATTCCACCACAGCTTGCTGTCTGGCGAGCTCTTAGGTCCGGCCACTTCCTCTTGGCAACGGTCTGCGTCATGGCCATTTCCATGAACGTGCTTGCAGTAGCACTTAGCGGGATCTTCAACGAGTCCTTGAAAGATACAAATCTCCCCACCAATTCAACAACAATTTACAATCCCGCTCTAAATGGAACCCCTAACATAAAGGAAAGTGCCTCGTCGTTTTATATAGTCGCTTACTACGACCACTTTTATGCTACCTTAGCAAATCTTAAAGGGAATGCAACCCTGCCGCCTTGGGTTGATGACAGTTTTTTCTACCTTCCTTTCAACTTGCCGGATTCAGAGCAGCCTTCTGAGGAGCAACTATCTATTGATGGATATTCGGCTCTAACTCGGGGGTTTGGCGTCGACCTTACCTGTGAGCAAATTTTCCAAGAAGGAGACAATGACACGCTAGTATTTCGCCAAAGAGATAATGGTTCATTTACAGAATTAAGTGTGGTCCACAAACTTGCCGATGGGGGCAATGTAACATGTTCCAGTATTCTCGAAACTGATGGGGAAATTTTCACCGAATCTTGGACGAATGATACTTGTGCATTCGAGATTTTGTCTCCTTTCGAGCTATCAAACACTACAGGTAGCAGTTTACCTGACAACGGATATTGCAGTTCCGTCATTGTTGCTGGCTGGGCCAGAATTGGTCCCGCCAACTCCGCGACGAGGCAAGGCATTTCCTCTACCAACACAACTAACGGGAGGTCTTTTGAAACAGCATTTATGCGGTGTCTACCAACACTCAGAACAGCTTCCTTTAACGTCACCGTCGACTCTACAAAACGGATTATTTCCTCGACAAGAGTAGGCGAGTTCGATACTGATCTTCGGCCGTATGGAAAGGAATCTGCAATTATGTCTTTAATGGCGCAAACATCGACAATGCTTCTACCACGCACCGGTCACCCCTATCGATGGCACAATGACACCTTCGCCATAGACTGGATGAACTCACTTTTGAAAATCCAACTCAACTCCTCAGACTTGATCAACCCAGCAACGCCCGTGCCGGATATTCCAGCAACTATCCCGCACTTCGCTGGATTATTTCAACTACTAGCTGCCGTGATGTTTTCCTTCGATACGACGCTGTTTAACAAAGCGCCAGCAAATACTACTATATCAGTCCAGATCCACACCAAGCAAACTCGAATATTTATGACACCTACAATGTTCTACATATCTATCACCATCTTAGTTCTCCAACTAGTAACTCTTGCGGCCTATTACGCAATGAGGCCACGTCGATTCCTTCCGAGAATGCCGCTGTCCATCGCCTCAATTATCGCGTACGTTTCAGCCAGCCAGGCGGCCCAAGATTATGGCAACCGGTCAAATGAGAAATCGCAAGAAACAAGATATGGATACGGACGATTCAAGGGAGCTGATGGCCGTACCCATGTAGGGATAGAGAAAGAACCTCTTGTTGTGCCTTTAAAGAGCAAGAATCCAGATGTGAAAAGGCGAAAATGGCGACTTGGACGCTCGTTGCCTCCTGAAGAACCGCGAGTTTGGATCTAGCAAGGTTTCTTTTTGAATATGCCAGCTGGTACTGCTGAAACCATATACATCGAAATCTACTCATAATTTATCATATTTAATCAAACCACTTTAATACAATGAAATTACTATGGTTATATTGTGCGGATGTAGATGCCAGGGGTACCTAGCCCGCTCAAAAGGGTTTAGTTGGGAGTGGGTTCCATTTTGGAGGCTCAAGTTTTGACCTGGCTCACGTAAAGTAGCTCATCACACACCTCACACACAGTACAAGTCACAATTTTTTCATAAAGAGTTGTAAGTTAAATCAATGATTTGACTCAGTGAATTCATATCTTTTAATTCCTAGACATGTTTCTTGTTCTGCCCCCTATATTCTGACACACAACACAAAACTATGTACAAGAATTTGTGAATCCATGAACGCCTGACCCAATATCCCCAATCCGTAAAAATACACAATTAAATCGACCTGCGATCTAATGTGCTCTTCACGAGGAGTAAGCTAGGTGACGGCGGACGTGCTCGTTGGAGAAACGGATTGCGCGTCTTGGCTTGGCGGCGCTGACGAACTTCATGTTTTGAGAAATGCCAGTCTCGCAAGTGGTTCCAGCGGCGACGGCCTGAACGACAGACCACTGCCCAGAAGCGCAGCGTTGGAAAGAGGTTCCACTGATGCAGTTCCATGAGCCCTCCTGGCCTGGGCAAGGAGTGCCAGCGGCGGTCTCGGAGCTGCCAGTGGTGGTGTCAGAACCGTTGTTTGCTGAAGAGCCTGCATCAGGCACAACAGCGGCGGGTGCGGATGGGCTGGAGGTGACGCTCGTGGGAACAGCGGGCGCGGCGGATGCGACGGGAGCAACAGACTCAACTGGGGCAGAAGTCGCGACAGGGGCGACAGTTTCACTTGCGTTAGGTGCGACTGTGACGAAAACGCCGCCTTGGATACCGGTGGGGGCGGTAACAACGGACTGTGTCGGCTTTGGGGCCTCGGATGAACCACCACCACCACCAGATCCACCAGCAGCCTGGCAGCTTCCCGTTGGAGGCGTAAGCGAACCTGATCCAAGTTTCTCGACGGACCCGCCGGCATTGGGGAATTCAACATCCTTGCTATCAACGGTCGTGCAACCGTTGCCAATGTTTGCCGTGAACATATCTGGAAGGGCGTCGTAGGCAGCAGTGTCGCGCTTTGACTTCGAGTTGCCTCCGGTGATATCGATCGGGGCACAGTTCATGTACATCTCGCGGTTGCCGACCTTGTTGAACCAAGTCCAGGCAAGAACGGCATTGCCAGTTGGAAGGCCCTCGGGGATGGTGAAGCTGTAATCATCCGGGACAGGAGTGTCTGGGCCGCCGCCGAGATTGCCATCGACGCCACGTGCTGGGCAGCCTCCCTCGATCGAGTGGATGACCTTCCAGACGCTGTCCTTTGTTGGCTTCTCATCGTAGGTGATAGAGATTTGGCATGATCCACCGCCGTGGACGGCGCTGCCGACGAAGTTCAAAGGCTGCGTGGAGCCGAGGGCCATGGGGTTGCTGGCACCCTCTGGGTCGTAGACGCCACCGCGCTGCTTGCAGGGGAAGTCGCTTCCATCGGCGAGAAGAGGGCTGTTGTTGAGAGTAGACTTTCCGAAAGGCTTCGGGGTGGTCATCATAATGTGGGCGCTCGCGTACGAGGCCATGCCAAGAGTGGCGACGATAGAAGATGTGAAATGCATGTTGATAGTTTTGTTGGTGATTCGTGCCGGACGAGATAGAGACAAGATTTCTAGGCTTTTATATTGCCAAGTGAATGATGCTAACGAATAATGTTAGCCAGCCATTATGGTGTATTCACCGTCGCTCAGGTATCGGATGGAATATTCGAGTTCTATTGTTCGAGGTCGACAATGGGAACAATAAGGCTATTGAAGGAAAAGGCCAGAACACCACACACAATTCTATTGTCTCGCTAGAGACAATACTGGAGTGAATTTTGATACCCCCCCAAAACAGCAATAGAATAATCTTATCATTTTCTCTGATACCAGAGATCGACAGTGGAGGAAAGGTATTACATACTGTATACGTTGCTTAAGCAAGATCGAGTCTTTTAGACTTGGCGATTGAGGGAATGTGAGGTGGATATCAAGGATTGTAACGGTTTGCAAATGCCACAGGCACGAAGTAAGGAATGATAGATCTCCGAATATCGAATTCGTTGAAGAGATGTAGGTCTAGCCTGTAAAATGAAGTGCAAACAAGAATGTTTAATCGCCAAGGACTTGTGAGACGGAAGAAGAGGAAGAGGGGGCTTTCTGGGTTCTTTATAGCATGGAGATGGGACGGGGAGGGGAGAGGGGGAGGCAAACTCACAGAGCATGGGGACTGGGGACCTGACTACTCGAGTAAGTCTCGGGAGCCATAGTGGTTCCTGACTTGCGTGGATCCACAGGATCCGAGTACATATGTTGTACCTGCAGCAGTGGGCCAGAGCGCGCTACTCTAAACTCCTTGAAATGGCGAAGGAGGCCAGTGGGAGTGCACGGTGGGCGGAGCTCAGCCGGGAGGTGAAGCATGAACATTTGCGGAGTATGCGTGGAGCAAATGTGGTTTGTCCGATGGAGGTCCCCTACGCATGAAAGTCTGACAAGCTAGTGCGCAAGGTTCCGGCAGGGGGTGCAAGCGGGAGTCCCGGGAAACGACTTGACTGGATACGAAGCGATCCTGGGCGGATTCGAGTATGTCAACGACTCCACGACACGGGAGGGAACCAAAGACATGATGGATAAAGATGCGATAGGAGTGGCTGACCGAAGGACGACGCGGACGCGCCATGTAAAAAGTTTGAAACGATTTGTTTCTTTGTCACTTGTAGCCCGACCATGTCTTCACCTTTGATGACTCGTAGCGTAGCCTTTGTCTGGATGGTGTGCACATGTTGACGACATGGGTACGACATCGAGGAGTATCAGTCAATCAGTGGCTATCCCCCAAGCCGGACGGGCAATATGTCACCTATCTCAACTGAACCGTTCCTGACCAAGATGAATCCGTGCCGCCTAGCTATACGTAGCTGCCTTGTTCTTCTTCGTATCTACAGTATGAAAATTCGCCCGTTGAGAGGTCCGCGTCGATACTGTACCTGAATTCTTGCTTCTTCCCCTCAGCCACATGTCTTGAGGCTGACGCGGTATTTTTCAATGGTGGGGCGAATGGAATCCCAGAAGCCGAAGTCACAGGGGTGTGGCGTGGGGCAGGATTTATCCTGGTATGCCAGCCAGCTGGCAGGCCTCGAGAACGGCCATGAACAGGCCTCGCACATGGCCGTTCTGAAGATACCAAATACCAGGAATAGCGTATCGGGCACCAAACCACCACTGGCGTGGCCCATCTGTAGCCTGGGAATGCGGCCGTCTGGAAATGACCACAACTGTAACCAGACCACCACTCATAATAGCGACGGTGAACACTGTGCGCCTACACACAAACTCCCATAGGGCTGGTATCAGAAGGAATCCGTGTCGCGAAAGCCTCATGCGGGCGTGATTCTTCACCGCGATTTCAAAAGTCCAACAAGAAGCGCGCGTTCTCCAACGTCGCAAAACTCCTAGACGCTGGAAAGATAAATTTAGGAGGCCGCAGCATAAGTCTCCCTTGAGCTGTCATCAGGCTTCAGCATGACAATCCGGTGACGCCGCTGCACGAGACTCCCCCAGAGCAGCTGTGATCAGGCATCTAGGGAGGAGTTTAGCGGTACACAGCCACTGCCAGCCCACAGCAATGCGCAAGGCACTGGGAATGCACAGGGGACGCACAGGCAAGGCACAGGCTCCCACAGGATAACGGTCCTTCAGGCAGGCAGTTTTCCCTGTCGCCTCTCAGCTCGCCCTTGACTCGCACTAGAAAAACGGGATTACGAAATGACAAAGAACGGCCATCTGTGTGGCCCATGTCGATTCCCCTCAGTGGTACGTCCCGCAAAACCGGTTGGCTGACGTCTGGTGGACCTCAACGGCCCACTTGCCAGCCACCACTGGGAATGCAACCTTCCATCTCGAGTACCCCCTGCCAATCCCCGGACCCTCACCAAGGATGGCCAAGGATAGCCAAGGATGACGCGAACAAGCGAGACCGCTTCGTGGCCACCTTATTCGTCCGTCCTGTATCTGAAACCGCGCCTCGTCTCAGCATAAGAAATTTTATACGACTTACACGTCGAATAAGACAAAGCCAAGTCGAGGATAGGACAAAGGATGAAATGGGGGATTAGCACAATTTGGCATCTTGAGCCGTTGAGTGGTGCTCGCCGTCAAGTTGATCACTTTGGCTTCACGTTTCCTTGGCTTGTACCCTCACTCCACAATACGACTCGGACTTGCGATTTGACAGACCGCGGTGTATCATTACCATGGTAGTGCGGGCTCGGCGCGTTGTCCGCGGACGCGATTCGGTTCTCCATGTCCCTCTGAGATATTCCTTTGAGATGGCGTACAAAGTACTTCTGCCGAACATGATCGGCGACATTCGAGATCCACGAAGGCGAGACTCCGCCGCCAAGCAAGTCCGTCTCCCAGCCTCTTCTCGGTTTTTGCTTCTGTACCCTTCGAGGCCCACTTCTGTCGAGAAACCCTTCTCAAGACTTCCACCGGTTTGCGGGTCTATCTGGGGCGAAGAGGTCGGTGAAACTCTCGCCTCATGCACCTACGCGTAGATCACGTTGCTCGAGTCTTCAACTTCCTCGGTGGGACATATGGCCCGTTACCTCTTGGTACTGCCGAAAGACCGAAAGTGTGATTTTGAAATTCATAGGCGAGGGCTGTGCTTCGGCGATACTCCCTCCCCGAAGGCCGCCGTCGGGGATCGACTCAGGGAAGAGTAGCAATATTTTGGGCAACGCATGAATCTGGGAAATTTAACGTGACCTTGCTTTGCCATTGTGGATATCGTGATCAGGGCTTTGGCACGGCTTTGCGGAGGCATTGCGGCGGATGCTGTGCTATTCTTGTCATCAAGTGTCAAGGCTTTCTGCTGTGTAATTTGCCTTTATGGGTCTGACATTAAAGATCTGAGCTTCTCCAGCGTCCCTTCCTGCACCTAGACGTGTAATTTAGCTATTCGTCATGTACCTGGTTCCATAAACAGATATTCTTCCTTGTCAAACTCCAGAATCTTGAGCTGTCCATGCATCGATCCACCTTGTCATAGAGTAACTCCATCGCCGAGCTCAAATCATCGTGATACTACAGCGGATGCTCCCGGCGTGAAACGGAATGTAACCATCAATTACCTTGCCGACCCATCATCTCCGGTCCTGTCACCAAGAGAAGCTTCTCAGCCAGGCCCCAGAAGAACCTGGCTCATCCAGCAGTCAACGTTGCGTCTCTTGGATCTGAAACTCTGGCGTGTGCGATGGATCACACGTGAAGAGTAATTGATATTCAGCCACGTGATTTGCTGGCTTTTGCGACTTGTGATATGTGATTCGTGATTCGTGATTCGTGAATTCGTGTGATGCGTTTCACGTTTCGAGTTGCGCCAGAATCGGGAAAGATAGGTGACGTGGCGATGTGTTTGCTGCTGTGTTTGGTGAGATGGGATGATTGGTATGTGCATAATAATACATGAGATGATGTGAAACAGAAATGAGGATAATGGGATGGGACGGGACGGGATAGGAGTGAAATGAGAGAAGGATTCCTTTTGGTGGTTGGCTGTGACGTTACGCGCCATATGGGTCGGAAGCAGATGAGAGGATGGTCTGAGGGAATAGGAAGACGAACAACGATCGAACAACAATACACCAACAATACACGTAGGCGAAGAGAATGGAGCTTTTTCCCATCTCAACCCAAGCTCTCTTGTGGTTCTTTGTCTCTTGGGAATAGGAGAAAGAAATTGCCAATCTTTTTTTACTTGCTATTGACTCCACGCGTATGTCAACGTTTTCCAATTCTCTACGTATCACACATTGCTGAGCATCTATTGCATCTATGGGTAATTTCAGATCTACAACTGTGTCTTTGCGGGACGAGCATTTAGATCCATACAAGGTCGATGCTCGTCGGAGCCAACCGCTCACACTGCGCTCTTCAATGCATCCGATTCACAGTCCTCAGCTTCCTTTGCAGCGATGCCGGCGACCACCGAGGCGATCCGGCGCTTTTCTTGTTCCTCGTCTTCAACGTGGGCCTCTTCAATTTCCAATCCCTTCTCTACTTCGGTTACCCCTTCTTTTCCATCGCCGTCTTCGCTCCCCTTTCCTGTTCCGGAATCGTAGTAGTGGTCGACGGTCCCATCATTCTCAGGTCCATCAACCCAATTCTTCATCTTCTCGCGGCGGAAATCGGCAAATAACCACTCTTCACACTCAAGTCGGTCCTTACTCAGATCCCAAACATAAGTCTCCGCCCTCACCATGTTTCTTTCCCCTTCCTTGGATGCGTTGACCTTCTCCATCTCCTCCGCTTTGATGTTCCCATGTGCGTCGAACACCTCGGCCTTGAGCGCCTCTACCTTCACAAACACACGTTTGTACATATCACCTTCAAACTGATCCAGCCACTTCACATCTGCCTTGCTAAGGCCAGTTATCAGAGTCCCGAGCACCGTATGGTTTTTCTGTGCAATGATAGCAGGAAAGTCCGCATTGCGAACCTTTCGGCGCGAATAGTTTCGCAGAAGTGCTGTAGAAAGACGCAGGTGAGAGACGAGTTCCGGGAGAGGATTTTCGGTACCGTAACAGACGCGGTATAAAATCTGAGGGACCATCTATGAGGTCGTCAATGGAGGGGTTCTGAGAGCGGGGTAACGAGTTGCTCACCAAGGTGCCATAGACAAAAGCTGTCTGGCCATTCTCAGGCACAGAAGAGAGAGAAATGGACGTGCCATCTCCACCCAAGCCTGGCATTTTGCCTGTTACAAGTTCTGTTCCTTTCTCAAAGTATATGTTGGGTTGTGAAGTCTCACTTTCGCCTCGCCCCTCTTGGTAGGATTTGGATTGTAGCTTCCACCAAATGCGAGTGAGTCAGGGAGTGCAAGAGAGCGATTGTAAATTTCCAAAACACAAATTATTCAAGATGGCCTTCCTATGTACGGGGTATTTAAAACATATCGACAAAGAAATCAAAGAAATCAAAACGGCTTCAGGCGGTTGGAAGCGCCCCAACACAACCAACAAAGATGATAAGATAAGGAAGGTGGTGCCTGGCCTGGGGAAAATGCGCTAAGACAGCTTGGGTTAGTAAGGGGGAAAGTATATTCCGATGCACTCCGACGCACTCCGAAGCACACATATACCAAAAACATTTTGACGACGCGTCCAAAAATTAACTTCATCACTCTTGCAGCCACTGAACCATTATGATTCTCTGAGCCTCTTTATTGATTCCCTGCCAATATATGACAACCATACCAGTTTTGGGCTTTATTAACTCTTTGAGATTCCTCATACCGATGCTAGACGTGAATCCTCTCGAACCCCCAGACAGATTCTATCACAATCTACGAATGAAATTCGAGCTTGGAATCGTGGATTCTAGATCCCAATCCCTTGGCTCATAGTTATCAAGTTCTCATGCTGAGGCAGGTATCCTCCCCAAAAGCCCAGACATTTCTACACGTCGTACTGTCGTCTGAACTTTAGATCAAACCTCCTGTCCCTTCCTTCACCGACTTTTGACTCCCACCAAATGCGCCAAACTATTCCACATTCCATGCTATCAGCATACAAACTTCCAGGATTGTGAACTATACGGGCCCTCCTCTCATATTTGGCGGCATTGCCCTGCCGCTCTTTTGGTTTACATGGTCTTCGTGGTCTTGGTTCTGAACTGGCGTGGTTGTGTTGTTCATGGTGCTACTTACTATGAGCGTGAATAAATACAAATCTTTAGCAGGTATTACACCATTCACCCCTCATCTGTCTTTGCTCTCTGTCTTCAAAAAGTTCTCAAATGGGAAACGATGCCTAGGAATTAAGGGATTTTAGGTTAAAGCCGCCGTGTCTCTTGACCACCTCTGTGGAACGGATGGCCGGCTTGTCTTCATGGCCGCACTTCCATTCTGATCCCATGTCTTTCATATATATTTATTATACTCGTTATTGTCTTCGACTTTCTTACTGACAATTTCCAAGCATATAGGTTTAGTCAACAATAATCTGCCCCAAATTTACCAACAGCCACAATCGTAAGCCCTGTCTCTCATTTTCGACTTTTCCACGCCCTACTTCCTCCCCAAGTTATGTCCCTGCAGTATATGCAACCAGGACGGCGGAGTCACAAAACCTCAACTCAATACCGAGCATAATATGATGATTATTGTTCCCTATTACATGAAAGCCGTTATTAGGAAGCGGCGACGGGATTATCGTACATAGTATATTCTGATTATGCATCCATCTCTTGACCTCAAGCATATCGTTGTCCAAATATGGACGTCAGACTGACCTGCCTCACATCAGGATATGCTGACATTTTCTGGATTAGGTACTCCTGAATATTTCGTGGTAGATAGTTTTATAAAATGTATATTCTTCAGAAAAATGAACCCCAATGCTTCGGTTCCATAGTCATGGAACCCATACTCCTCCATGGGGTCTGTATTAGAAACTTATAATACGAAAGTTTATAACTACCCGCGTTATGACCTGGCGAGTATGTGCGTTTGCAAGGGAAAGGGTGTATTATAATGACTGACATGGGTATATTTACACAGGATTGGAATATAATATTCAAACTTATCCCCCATCGAGGTGTGCAGCTTACATCCAACCTTGGTAACTATGCCACAACACCACTACTATAGTCACCGACTTACTCCAGAGAGGTTCGTTTCAACTAACGCGAGAGCGCCTTCCGTCGCAGTGCTGTTAACGTGATATTCCCACCTTGGCAAACTATGTCACCACGCCTTCCGTGACAGCACTGATAGGTCGCTCTTTCCGCGATCATAATCCACGTGACTTCCCTTCTCCCTTCCTTCATCCCTTCCTTCATCCCTTCCTTTTATGGTTGTGGTTTTATTTTGTGTAGTGTGTGGTGTAGTGTGGTGTGGTTTATTTTGTTGTGTTAGGATTATTTAGCATTCTATAAATCGCCTAGTTATATTATAAATAATTTAGAATCACTACTTTATAGTTAACCTTAGAGAGGACATAGGTCGTATTAATATAAGTAGTAATATTAAAATAGACCTATAGTAGGAAGGATTTAATTTAGCCTTTAAACCTTACTATATATGTTAGCTTATCCCCATCTCTACCTTAGCTTAACTTCATCTCTAAACTAACCTCTAATGAATTATTCTACTTAATTCGACTATAGATTGTATTAAGCGTTAAACGGGGTATAGTACGTGTAGGTCTGCTCCTTCCGTAACTATAATCCACGTGACTTTCCTTCGTCCCTTCCATCGTCCCTTCCTTCTGAGGTGGTGATATTATTTTGTAGTGTGGCGTGTTGTGATTTATTTTGTTATGTTGATAATGTCCCTAACAATTCAGGATCACCGTTTTGCAAGTCGGTATCAATATGAGCAACAACGCTGTCATAGACCCGCAGTGGGAAGAAAGTATCATTACTGAGGACGCCCCAGAAGTCGAGAACGGAGGACTGCCCGAAATGATATACATACTGGAGTTCGAAATGCCATCCACGCTGGAAGTTGCGAGACGCGAAGGCATGATTTTCCCTGACGGTTCACCGAATTTCGTCAATCTCGCACAAATGTCGTCGTCCTTGCTTGAATCATCCCTGTTAGAAGGACCAGATGAATGGCGAGGACTCAGCCCTACCGCGCCGCCTATATCAATGGATGGCGCAAATTCGGTGAAATCAATGAGACTTGGATCTTCTGCCTCTGAGGCTGTCAGCGATGAGAGCATGGCCAATAAATTTCCTGATGAGGAGCACTTGATCGGAATCAACAAACGAGACTCTCGACTCCCCCCACCTTCAGAACTGAGTTATAGCACGCCCTCGGGGTCTTCTGTGCTGATGCATACTGACGACGAGAGAATATCTCGACCTTGGAGAAAAATAAGGGACAAGGACCTCGTCAACCAGGACCAGGATGATGATGAAATTACTCCAGCACCGCCTCTGTGGAACGAGGACCCTAATTATATTCCTCCACCTCCGCGCCAGGCTAGACCTGCACAAGGCGCGTTCAATTCCGACCCGCACGCACGAAATACAAGGACAATACGCCAGCGAATTGCTTCTGCGAGACAGACCTTGAGGGATGTTGTACAGGAGGATAGAGAATGGATAAGAGGAGCCATGGTCCGCATTGGTATCAGGTCTGAACCTGACCCTGGCGAAAACGAACGTCCACCAGCTACACTTCCACAACCTGCGGCGGAGGAGCCGGCTCCCGAGAAGCTTTCTAGGGGAGCAAGAATCAAGGCGCGCGTCACAACTTATTTGAGCTTAAGGGGTGGCAGTGGGCGGCCCAGCAGTGGTTTTTATCTAGGAGGGCAATCAGATGATGATGTTCCTTCAATAGACTTGTCGCAAGATGATAATCCTCCAGGAGATCAATCGCAGGACGACGCTGGTTCAAAAGACCAATCGCAAGACAACACTCGTCGAAGAGAACAAGCGCAAGGCAACACTCGTCCAAGGGAACAATCGCAAGACGGCTCCCGTCGAAGAAGCCAATGGCATGAAAACAATCGCCCAAGGGAACCATCTCAAGAAAGCTACCGTCGAGGAAGCCAATTGCAAGACAACTCTCGTCCAAGTGAACAATCGCAAGACAACTCCCGTCCAAGAGGCCAATCCCAAAACAATACTCCTCAAAGAGAAGAACGCCACAACTCTGGGTCCACAGCGATTTCTAGCCCGAGGCCGTTACTGTCACCGTCACGACAGTTGCGTGCTTCTTTTCACGATCAATCTCCAAGAGCAGAAGACCGCTATCGTAGGTCCGAGATTTCTGAGCGACCACCGCCGTCAGAACTTCGTCATTCTTTTCAAGGGCCCATGAACCAGCCTCCGAGAGGTCGGCCATCAGAATACACGCATCCACTAGCTCGGGTCGCTGAGTTCCGAAGATGGGAGCAAAATAACCAGCTAGGCCAGCCTGCTGATGCTGCGGGTCGTGGAGTGTATACCGGGGACCCGTACCCGAGGCCTCCCTCTCGTCGCCGCGGGTACCGGCACAATGATGATACTCGCCCATTTGACATGAGACATTACCGAGGTGTCAGTTCCGGGTCACTAGGATCCAATTCCATGTACAGCGGTAGGAGCCAGAGCGTGGGTTACGACGGGAACCAGGACGAGAGACAGTCCGAGCTCCTGAATGCGAGCCAGAACGTGGGCCAGGCAGTGAGTAGGGGTCTGAACGATGATCAGAACGATGATCAGAACGATGATCAGAATGCGGATCAGATCGCAAGCCCGAACGAGAGTCAGAACGCAGGCCAGAACGCAACCCCGAGCGAGGGTCAGCATGAGGGTCGGAACATTCACCGACGAGTCCCGCCGCACTTGGTTGTGGACTATCTCAACGCGCGTGCTGCCGAGCGTGCTGCCCAGCAGCCGCGGAGGAGAAGGGACAGGCTATCAACACTTAGCAAGGCAACAAGCAAGAAGGTTAAAGAGAAGATGACGAAATTCGCTACGCTAGGTATGAGGCCTAAGGAACCAGAGCCCGAACCTATTGGGGGTGTTCTAGAGGAGCATTTCACTCCATCTCCCCAGGCGACCCCTTCGGCGCCCCCGACTAATCCTCCGCCCCCGCCGCCTAATCCTCTGCCCGTGCCTGTGGTTGCTTCTGCGCACTCGGGTGCACCTGTGCCACTTATTACTGAGGTGCCGAATGCTGCGTCGGAGTCGGGGATTACGGTCCACGAGCAGGCGTATTCCACGAACAGTTTGACCCGCGGCTTCAATATGTGGCCGTTCAACAGGAAGAAGACTAAAGTGAGTATAAACTTTTAATAACGGGGACTGTGGTGACTGTGGCGTTTGGGACATTGCATTGCTGACAAGGAAACGTCTGTGTAGAAAAAGTAACTTGGTATTGGGCGTTTTTGAGAATCATCCTGTTTGAAGATGGACTTGGTATTGAGCGTTTTTTAATATCATTGGGCCTGTTTGAGGACGGACTTGGTATTGAGCGTTTTTGAGTATTGGGCGTTTTTGAGGACGGACTTGGTATTGAGCGTTTTTGAGTTTTATTGGGCGCTTGTTTGAAGATGGTAGTTTTTGGGTATAGACTAGAAGAGAGCGATAGTGGTTATGGAGTATAGGTCTAGACTAGAATTGGCGGTTGTAGTGAGTTATCCCGCACAGCAATAGAGCTTTTGAGAATCCGTCTATGTGGATTTTTTCTATGTGCTCCATGTGTAGCCAACGAAGTAGCGAGCGGATGATGGAACTTACAAGCGTCATATAATTTTTGCTTCCTATCTCCATTTAATCTTCTTTTTAAGTATTAAATAACCCAAAATCAAAACATAAAAAAAAATCATGTATGGGTATCCCATCACGCAGCAGAACCCGTCTGTCTGCTTCCCCCCTCCCCCCTCCCCCCAAAAAACCCAAACACCCCCAACCTCCCCCCTTCCACCCCCATTTTACCTACCTCCAAATATCATAATGACTCTCCCTCTTATTCCCCCTCCCCATAACCGGCCACTCCCCCCCCGCATCACTCACACTCCCCCCACTCGTCACACTCCCCCCCACGCTCCCCCTCCTCGTCGCCCCCCCCGCCTCATCCACCGGCACCGCCAAAAACCCACCAAACCCATTCCCAACCACCACGCTCCTCCTCACCCCTCCCGCTCCCCAGCTCCCGCTCATCCTCCCCCCCGCCGCTTCAAGCCCATACGCACTCACCGGCCGCAGCGCGGTCATGGACCCCCGTCGCCCCGGCTGCCGCGCTGGCTCCACGCGCGCGAAATTCCACTCCAGCTCATCGAGGGACTTGGTGTACACCTCCAGCTCGCGGGATAGTCCGACTGGACTCCGTGGCTGCGGCCGCGGTCGCGCCTGCGGGTTCGAAGGCGGCGAACCGGGCGGACCGGCGCCCATGGGGGAGAGCGTGCGGTTGAAACTCCCTACCGGCGCGGTGGGGGGGGATCCGTATACAGACGATGCCGTGGAGAGGGGACGATTATTATTCAGGAACGGGTTTGGGGGACTCTCGGCTGCGAACTGCGGGCGCGGAGGCGCGAATTCGATTAGGGATTCTGGGAAGGCGGAGTCTCGCACGTAGAGCTTGTGGAGGTTTGGCAGGCCCGTAGCAAGGAGGGAGGTGGTGAGGTAGGAGTAATACGCCGCGGTGCCGGCGGTGTAGGACGCCCCTGGCGCGGCGGTGATTTCGTAGTGCATGGTGCGTAGGGAGCGGGATTGGAGCGGGGGAACGTGCGTGTGTGGGAAGGGGGTGGAGACGAGCTCAGTGATGGCGAAGTGGTGGAGGGAGGGGGCGCCGGAGAGGATAAGGTGGATGTCTGAGGGGTGGACGGCGGTGGTGGAGAGGGAGAGGTTGGTGAGGACGCGGGCGGTGGCGGGGTCGGCGAGGAGGGCTTGCATGGCGCGGATTGTGACTGCGGGGGTGTTTTCGAGGTGGAGGGTTGAGAGGTGCGGGAATGGGGGGAATTGGTGGTTTGGCTCGAAGATCTCGTCGCTGAAGGAGGGCATGTCTTTTACGTGGAGGGTGTGCAGTTTTCGTAGTGCTCCCAGCGCGAAGCGGACTGTTGTTGGGTCGGTGGCTAGACCTGATAGCTCCAGAACTTCGAGGTTATGCCATAAGTACCCCCCAGCCACGTCTTCGAGCGCTTTCTCCGCCCCGTGCGAGTACGACATCTTCCGTAGATCGAGACAGCGCTGCTCAACCTCCTGCCTCAGCGTCGCGCAGGTCGCATCTCCTGTGAAGAATCCATCCGGAAAATCTGCATATCGTAGGTTCGGCGTCACGGCCACAATGCGCGCGAGGTCACCCTTGCATGTCTCCCGCGTCATATATGGCGTCTTGACCAGCAGCACCAGACTTCCTAGACCCAGCGTGTCATCGCGCAATGTTCGGCATAGGAGGCGCACGCGTGCGCGCGCAGTGTCTTCGGGCTCGGCATTGCGGTTTAGAAAGGATCGGCGCTTTCGTCGTTCCGCGAGTATCTCCTCGCGCTCGCAGTAGTGCACCGCGTCGATGCGAATACTCTGGTATCTATTTCCGTCAGCACCTCCCTTCAATCTCTCCCTTCTTCCTCCTAGCGGCGGGGTAAACTCACAGCACCGGCACAGCCGTCTTCCTCCACCGTCTACACACCCTCACGCAATAACTCAAATCGCGCAAATCGCACAACATGCACGCATCCTCCTCCGCACTGCGCTCACAGCTCTCATAACTCATATCCTGCGCATGCGGACACACGAAGCTGAAGATGCGCGTCAGCACCGGCACAGGCAGCTTCACCGTCCAGTCCACCTGCCGCCCCGCATACCCGCTCAGCGTGTACCGTGGGTTGGACGGCGAGGGCGCGTAACGCTCCGCATTGGCTGCGGCTGCGGAGGCGGCAGCGGCGGCGGATTTGTCTTTGCGCTTCACGCCGAGCGACTTGAGGAAGCCCATTGTTGCGAGTGTGTGTAGCTTGGCTGTAGCTTGGCTGCTGCGTGGGAGGCGGGTGGGTGCGCCGGGTCTGGGACGGGCGCGGTGGCCGCAGGGTGGTGAGGATGATGCACGCGCTGGGGGGTGTTGCCACGATGTCTGTGTGATGACGATTGTGTGAATTGGACTTGTTTTTTTCGTAGATTGAGGCGCGCGCGGGTGAGGAATTGACAGTGCAGTTGGTGAAGGATCAGATGTCGATGTCAGAGTGAGATTGAGAGGTGAGATGGTGAGAAAGTGAGGGGGGCTTTGAGGGCTCAGGAGGGTTGGGCTGGTTAAGTTGTGGAGATGATCGGAGGTTGGAGCTGAACCCCACGTTCACGTTCCCACCATTTCAGGTATCTCAGGCTCAGCCTTGCCGTAATGAGAAATTGATGAGACAAAAAGACAAGAACAACCGAACAAGCCGTCTAGGAGCGGGAGAGCTAGGGCGATGAACACACGTAATGGAAGTTTGAGGAGTGGATAATGATGGGGATTTAAGGGATTAATTAATTGGAGAGGAGGATATTTGTAGATTTACAGAGAGTGTGTGATTTATGGAGGTGTAAAAAGATAGTAGACCGCCACAGTCACAGTACAGTCAGAGGCAGCAATTAATAGGAATACAATCACTGAAAACAAAAACAAAGTAAAACAAAATAAAAATAAAACACTACAATTAAGCAAGGCGGCTATTCATTTAACGCATCGCAGTTCCTTGGAAGCAATACCCGCGGTAGAACAGTCCTACTATGGAGTATCTCACTACCAATTGTCATTTCTCCGTCCAGTCCAGCCTAGCAGGAGCATAATAAGCAAGCAGGATCAGGATTCACTTTACTTTCCTTGTTGCTCCTTCTCACAAACTTTATAAACATGGGTCATTAAACATTTATCCTCCCTGTCTAGCCGCGTTTCACATCCATCGCCTGTATCGCCCTAAAACAATATACTAACGGAAACAGGGGCCCCAAGCTGCAGCTCCCTATCCATCTATCTCAGCTATCTCATCATCGATGGAAAAATCTCGTCGGCCGTACCGTTTGCTGCCGTTTGACGGGAAGTTTGAGGGAGGTTAGGAGGGAAGGAGAGGCAAAGATCGGATGGATTAGTGGGTTTGGGATGGTAATTGCACGTGGCGACGGTGATGTCATCTTCCTCGGTGACAAAAGGCGGGATATATGCAATGTGAAGGTTGGCGTTTGTTGGATTGTGTGAAGTTTGGCGTTTGCTGGTTATATATGGTGGTGCACTTTTAGCCATTGTGCGTTGGCATATAATACAGAACAGTTCAACCTTCGATTGAGAGTCTGTGGTTCCAACAAACTCGGCCATACCTAAACACATCCAGCAACGTCGATAAGGGGGTTAAGAAGAAGCTGGCTGTGAGAAAGGTGAGAGAGGTGCGGTGGCGAGAAGAAGACGATGGCGGTGAGAATGGGGCGGTGATGAGAAAGAGAAGTGACGACAGACCGTCGGCGACGACAACGACAACCACCTCCTCACCTGGCCCTTACTTCCCCGCGGTCTGCAGGGTCCCGGTATACAGATGTCGGGCAGATACGGCATTTCCCCATATCTTCTGTAGATAAAATGCGCGCTTTATAATGTCGGCGTTGGGACCTGTCACGCATTTCTAGATTATACCCCTCCGACCGCAAATATGCCAGGCACCCAAATGCTGCTGTCAACTGTATTTTGGCTTCACGTGGTGGTAAACGCAAGCATGACTGTTCACTCAATCAAACCATAGATGGGACACACAAACTGTCTGGGGATTAGCAATAGCAACGCTTCACTACTACCCTAACATCCTCCCATATCTCCATCCCATATCGCATCGCTCACCCGCACTCCCCCCCCAAAAAACGCTTTCCTCCGGCGGAAAAAATGCTATGCCAATAGACGCACAACCAAGCAACTGCGCCCAGCCAATGTCCCGTATCTCCCATGTAGACAAAAAAAAATGAAACGCCATGGCTATGTTCGTCGATATCAAAATCCCCTCCCTCCCCCCGCTGGCCTATTCCTCGTCAACCAGGTTCACCACCGAGTCCTTCTTCGTCCCCTTCACTCTCGGGCTGCCACTACCGAACACCGCTCCCGCGCCTGATTTCTTCTTCTGCCCCTCTGCTGTATCTTTCTGCCTCTTCAGAGCTGCATCGCCTGCTCTCGTCCTTGGCGTCTCCGTGAGGTCTTCTACCACTTTGCCTTTATCCACACCCTTCCTGCCAGCTCGCTCAACATCATCACCCTGCGAATCCGGGATCTCGTCTTTCTTTTTGGGTGCGTCCTTTCGTCCTCGTCCTCGTCCTAGAACACTCGGCGACATATCACGACGAAGAGAGTCCTCACTCGATTCCGACGGGATATCAATCTGAGTCCTCGGCGAAGAGCGCATCTGCTGCCGCGGCTGCCTCGGTGGCGGCGTCGACGGCGGCGCCACAACAGACACCTCACTCGCATCTTTCCGTTGACGATTCCGATCTTGGGAGGGGAACTTGGGCTGCATCCCTTTGGTTTTCACGTTGAAAAACTTGCTCTGTGTGGAGGAGATTGTCTTAGGACTTGATGTCTTGTCTCTAGTCGCGCTGCGTGGGGTTTCAGGCAGCGCCTCGATGGGAGGGGCAGTGATGGGAGGTGAGGGCTTGGTAGCTTTCTCGTCTTTTGCCTTGTCTCCTTTGAAGCCAGCAAAGTCATCGAGGAGAGAATAGAATGTTGCAGACTCGTCAGGCGTTGCTGGGGACTCCTTGGTAGACTGTTCCTCTTTGATGACATTGACGGCCTCCTCAGACGGCTTTGGCATCTCTTTCGTCTTGCTCGCAGGAGCAGATTCATCGGCCTTCTTCGTCACACTGGCAGAGGCAAGTTCTTCAACCGCTTTGGCTTCCAGTTTCGGTGGCGCAGGCGGTTTCGGCGACGCCGAAGCCGAAGACACGCTTTTTGACTCGCCAGCCGGCTGCTCCTCCTTTACCTTCCCAGCTTTCTTGGCAGCTATCCTCGCAACCTTAGCCGCGTGCTCCTTCTTTGTCTGCTCCCTCCGCAGCTCAAAGATGAGCTCTCTCATTGCATTCCGCATGTCCGGTGCGTTCATCTTCCCGAAGCTGCTCGCCATATCCGCCCTCCCCTGCATGAGGCCGTGGATAGTCTCATCCGGGTGGTCGAGGAAGCCTTCAACATACCCTAAGAGGAACAGCCCACAGTCACACAAGTTGGTCTGCTGCGGAATGTGCTTAGCTGTCATGCCGATGCTAGGCTGCGCAAGGGTGATCTCGACACCGAGCTTCTCCTTTGCCTCGGCGATGAGGAAGTCGCGGAGATTTGAGCAGGTAGGGGAGTGTGGCATTCCGAACGAATCCAGCGTTATGATGCGCGGCTCTTCGGTGTTGTATTTGCGAACGGGCGGGATGGATTTCCTCTTCCCCTTCCTGCCTTTACCTGCGCTTGATGTCGCTTTTTGGGAACGGTCCGTGTCATCGTCCGCTGTCGATGTGTGGGTTGGCGTGCCCGGGTTTATGCGTTCTACATCGATGTGCTTGGCCATGTTGGGCTGCGGCTCTGGGCTGCCCCTGTCTTCGATTGAAAGTCTGCTGACCTTGCGCGCCACCTCAGGAGTTACGGATCCGTCCTTGTATTCGGAGGTAGGCTGAGTGGGGCTTGTAGTGTTACCCGCATCACCCAAATCCACAACCTCTTTCTCATGACCTTTCTCTTCCTCCTTTGGTATTTTCTCTTCTGGAGGTAGCAGTAGTTTTGGCACATTGCAAATGATTGCAACGTACCAATGGTTATTCTCATTGACTGGCACAACAACATAATCGTAGTCAAATATGTTAACCTTTGACGTCCACCTCTTGACGGCGTCATAATCGATGTTCTTGCGGCCTTTACCCTGTATAAGTCGCGGGTAGAAAAACGTATTCATAAAAAAGACCCGCTTGAAGACATCCGGCCGCTCTTTCTCTGCCTTCTCCTGGAGATACCGCAGGTAAAAGGTAATGAGGTTATCGTTCAAGTACTCGCCCTCGTCGAGCCGCTCTATGTCGCGCTTATCGACTTGAGCCTTCTTCGTGCCTTCAAATGGGAATAAGAGAGGCTCGTCGCCGCCAGCCCAGTACCTTTGCCAATCCCGATGTACATTGGTATAGCGCTGTGGGGAAGGTGATCTTATATGGATTTCCCTATTCTGGCCTCTGGTTGAACGAGTCGTTGGGCGGTTGTCGTTATCGTCTCCGTTTCGCCCAAAATGACGCGATTGAGTCTCATCTCCTAATTCTTTACTTCGTTCTATGCTTCGTCGGGTTTCGATAGAATTACCTTCAGGGTGAGAAGTTTCATTGTCGCCATATCCGTTTTGCAACCTCTCGTGCAGCTTTTTACTTCTCGGCGGTTCCTCAGAGCTGTCAAAATTTCCCGGCCTCTTCCCATCGCCAGTGAGGCCCGCATCACTTGCCTGGTGCCGTTGATTCCTCCTCTGCTTCAGCAGATTCAAATCATCTGCCTCATTACGATTCCGGCATTCATCAAATTTTTCTGTGAATAGAGAAAACATTTTGTTTAGTTTGTCGCTATTTGAATGAAAGTTAGCATGGGTGAAGTCCTCCAAAAAATAACACCCGAATAAGGCAAACTAACCCGCTCTGATTTTTAACGTCGGCATCGCTCCTACTCTGAAGGAACATCAGGAAATTGTAAAGTGCTTCGCCATCGACCTTCAGGAGGAGTTTTGGAAGAGTGCCTGTCTTGGTATTGCTTTCCATGACCCACACAATCATTTTATTGTTTTCATCGCTGTAAATGATTCTTGTGACAGACCCAGGGTTGAAGGCGAAGTCTGGGTGTTTATTTTCTGCAAGATGATTTGGGTCGTCCGTTGTAAACTCCATTTGCGACGACCTAGGGTTGTATTGCAAATAATAAGGCTCCTCTCCATCGACGCGAGTGAATAAGTCTAGTACAGTTCTCGAGTATGTGATGCCAAATCTTAGGCGCTCTTCCGAACTCGACTTTCCAGCTCTGCCCGTTGTTTTCCGCTGGTTCTGCCGCGGGAGACTTGACCGAATATCTCCGTCTCTACTCATACTACCAGAAGTTGGGCTTCTCACGAATTGGCTCATGACAGTCCCGGTACTTGCCTTCTTCAAGTCTGCCCCTGGTTTGCCCATGGATAGCTCATCATCGGAGATGCTCTCGGTACTATTTCGACGCCCCCCATCATTAACCCTTACGTTTTGGACACGAGTTTGCCTAGAATCTTTTTCCCTATCCAGGATGCTTTGGGCGTCCCTCTTCAAAACCGAAATGTTCGACTTCGCGGAGGTTCCAATGGAACGTCCAGACCTTGATTCGGCCATCCGCCTCCGCACGTCGTTCTTCAGATTTCTTTCCTCCTGTGTCATTCCACGGGCCAGGTTCGCAGTCCCCCTGTATGGCTCCGGTGCCTTAGAAATCTCAAGATCTGAATCTTCAATCTTATCGTCCTCAATAATCGTCGTTTCACGTGAAGACTGACCAGAAGAATGTTGACCGTCTGGGCGTCGCCGCCGTCTGGTGCCACCCACGGTATCCTCGACCCCCCTGAATTCGTTGACAACAAACCCCCCTCCCGGATGTTTCCTTTCCAGCGGAGGAATACCACTCCCGACTGTCTTTGTTGGCCGAGAGCTCGCCGTTATGTTCCTGGTTTGTTCGCATAGTATGTCGTCTGCGCTTTCGTCGGGGCTCCCAGACACATCCATGATCTTCCGCCTCTTCGCTACCTGTTCGGTGACGTGGTCGACTGATCGTTGGCGGGCGTTGGCGGCGTATGATGCAGTTATATCAAATGCCTTTGGGGAGCTTGGCTGTTGTGGTCTGTCTGGCCCGCTTCTGACTGTCTTGTCGCGGTTCCTGTATGTAGAGGACGGTCTGACCGGTCCGCGTGGGATAACCTAGGTCTGTTAGAAACCAGTTGTCATGGTCTGAAAAAAACTTACCATATCTCGCGCTGGCCGGGGCACTGTAACGGGAACTGAGTATTCATCCGGAACTCTGTCAAGGGACTGATTAGAGGGGTTCTGTTGGAGGAAAGGAATAAAACATACCCAAAATCGGGTTCAGCTGCACTGGGCGTATTAATGGCATTAAATCTGAGAGTTATTAGAAGCTGTAGAGTCCAACAGGAAGGGTAGTTGCTCATACAAACTGAAGATTGTCCGGGTTTTGGGGAATGTTGCTGGATTCCCATTCGTGTAACCTCCAGATTGATTGATCTTTTCTGACGGCTCCCCCACGTCGCCGTCTGCGCTCGGCGGTAAAACTCGCCTTTCGGACAATACCAAGTCGACCTCACTGCAGCCGTCGCTCTCCTTCATTGACGGCCCCGAGCCAATCTTTACGCGCTTCTCAGTCACAGTTGCATCGTCGCTGTTCTGCCGCCACAAAGTATTAGCGGTCATTCGTTATCAGTGCGGGAGTTACCGAGATCTCCAAAAAGTGTCAGCCTTGTCTTAGGCGTGCATCTACTGACCAGTTCAAGCCTCACCACGTCGCAGTGCCTCTTGTCCGGAGGCGAGGATAGGATCTCGATGGCGCTCATGGTAGAATCCATGGATGCCATGGTTGGAGAGCCGCATAGTAGATTTCGGTGGCTTCGTTTTGGACCAGGACTTCTGCTCGACATCACCTCCATTGCTCATTGCTGAGGACCGCTGTTGCATGTGAAGCGTTCTGATGAAGACTGGCTAGAAATGGTTGTAGGTGGGAAAACCACATTCAATTTCACGCCTGGTGCTTATTAAAGAATGTGAATTCTTATAAAGAAATGTTGGTGAGGTTCATGAAAGACTCTAAAGAGTAGAATGGGGGAAAATAGGATGTTTATTTGACCTTTGGGTGGTCGTCGGTGGTAAGTGGTTGGGGACGAAAATCACCACGCCAAACAACATGCGAGACTTGCTCCTTGATAGATATAAGGCTACAATAGAACCATTTCCCCGACGATTGAAGGCCAACATATCAGTTTCATGAATTGCATTGCAAGCTAGCTAACTGACGACGACCGCAAGAGCAGCCTCTGTCTGAGTGGTTGACTATTACAAGCTGATACCTACTCAGTGTCATATCTGTAATCCAAAAGCTGTCAAGACCAGCAGCGGCGGCACCTTCATGCCGTCATCGAGGTCTTTAATACATAATACAGTCCCATTACTAAAAAAAATCCAAAGCTTGGGTTGAAATGCAAGAACTGAAGCTCCAACCCCGCCTTGCTCTGATCCAAAACCCCCGCCTATCCTCGCTTTCCATAGATGCAGTGTAGTATTGTACAAACAAGATTACTCAAGCCCTTATCCTCTTGCATTAATCATGAGGCCTGCTTTCGTTCCGCCCTCTCATCGTCCTTCGCGCCGCTTCGCCTATCGGACGAGTGCTGGTTGTTGCTCTTATCCTTTCGGGCGTCATCGATTGCAGTCCGTTGGGCGATGCTGGAGTCGTGCGACTTCCACTCCACCTTCGTCTCTGGAGGGAAAGCAAGGACACGCTTCATAGTCTCCCTGGAAGTTGTTAGAGTGGGGCCACAACAAATGAGTTCGAGAGTGTGGCAACATACCTGATTTTGAGGACGCGGCCGCCGTCATTACGAGTCCAGATACTAAGAATATCTTCGCCATTTCTGACGCTCAGGACGGCTCCGCACACTTCCTCACTGGCTTCACCAAACTGGTCGCCAATGATGGCAAATAGTAAATCCTCCCAGTATCGATCCGCCACACCCTTCTTCAGTCGCACAATCCACTTCCCACCCTTCTTGTTCTCTTCATCCTCCCACACCGGCCTGATGCCGTTCTTGAATATGTGGTAGTCGGAGACCAGTGGCAAAGTAGAGGGGCGCTTGAGGTGTTTGTAAATGGCGAAAAAGTCTTCGACAGTGTCGAATGCTGCCATGGCATGCAGAGTTTTCTCATACTCCAGGTAGCCATTCGATTTTTGGATCGGTGGACGGAACCAGAACACCCAGCCATGCTTCAGAGTATGCGCCGAAGCTTGAGGGTGTTTGGCCTCGCTCAGCGATGCGCTAGAGGCGTTCTGACCTGATCGCGTGAGGCCAGGTTCTGCCGGCCCCTTCTCACCAGAAGGTGTCGGTGCCCCGCTCACGACATTTCCGAAATCTAAAGCGCTGCCTGGTGTTTTTGGCGTCTTTGCAGATGCGCCAAAGGAGGCAAATGCGCCAGAGCCTAAACCGAAGGCGCTGGATGCGCCCGCAGTTGGCGACGAAACGGCCGGAGATGCCAGTGGGATGGCGTTGAAGGGATTCGACTTCCCATGTGACGAGGTATCACCGCCAAACCTCTTCCCGGGTGTGTAGTTGCGGGTTGGGTGATCGTTGTGGCCTGCTGTGGTGGCGGGAGGGGCTGCCGGTGTTGAAAGAGAAAGCTTGCTACTGTTTGACGCACATTAGCGGCTGTAACCACGACTCACCAACGACAGAAAGGCTTACTTGGTCCGGCGAGTCCATAAATTATCCATTAGTACCGATGGGGGACGGCTGGGGGGCAAGTTGTTGGTATATCGAGCTTTGGATTCTGGGATCCAAAGGCGTCACAGAGAGTCGAAAGGCTAGATAGGCAGATGGGGCGATGTTCCAATGTTGCACCTTTGTTGAAAGTCGATTTGAGAGTGTCGTAGGGGGATTGCAGTGAAGCGATAGCTGTAGTCGGTATGTGGTATTTGAAGATTCGAAGTTCGGTATCAATATTCGTATAATCGTGTGAGTTGTGTTTGTGAAAGCATTTATTTGATATGCCTCTTTCGTCTCTTAACTTAGCATGGCGTAGTGCCAGTTTGGTTCGAGAAATGGCAAGCGCCGTATCGCTTGCAGGACTCCGGGACTCCACTAAACGTGTTCCGCCAAGACTTTGCTAGAAAACGGAACTTTTGTGCTCGTCGCTTCTCTTTTTCTTTTCTTCTTTTCTTCTTAACAAAACAAGACCACCAACGTATAAAAAACCATTCAAAGCTCGACATGTTTACTCTACTCAGCTGTGAATTTCGTTCCGTGTGTCGAGAAGACCCTTAGAACCCATTTCTAAAACCATTGTCACGAGGGCCCCTTCGGGAGGCTCCATGATGCGATGATGACCTGAAACATGGGACACTCTTTCTTTATATATACAGGCTTTGTTGAGCTGATGAGCTGCTGAGCTGCTTCAAAGTTGGAGGCAGACAGGACGGAGGCAGCTTGTCTTCTGGGGATGGAGAGTCCTGGGGATAGAGTCCCGTTCTTGGTGGTACGTCTGTGTCTTCGCCAACCGTGTTTCTCCCAGTAGCCATATTGCTATAGCTTCATATGACGAAAGATATACCTCTGGTAAACCTATACAGCTCAGCCGCTCTTGATTGCTCACCATGTGATGTGCTTGTCGATTCTGGTTGAGCATGAGGTCAACGGCATTGTCTGATTGATCCCCTTGGCCACGAAGCTGCGTTCTATGTACATATCTGACCAGCCAGAGGCTGACAATGTGAGCTGTCATGTAGGGCAATAGCATATACACCACGACAACGTTCTGACGTCCTATGCACGGAGTATGCTCCCATCTCGTTGCTACGGACATGACCATGACCCGTTTACGAGGTAACACAACGTGCTTACAACGCGATCTCTACCTGGACTCGCCATACATGCAAGGCTGTCTAGTTGAAATAGCTCCAACAAGCTCACCGTTCCCATGACATGACACCCACAATTGGGGGTCGGTCAGCTTTGGAGATATTCGGGGCTGAGCATTAAGCCGGTTCCTTGGCCCTCGGCGAAAGGGTTGTCGCGAGCGACTTTTATCGTTTCTTACTCCCAATACCAAAGACTGGTGCCAAATACTGCAAGATTTCTGATGCTCTGCCTTGCCTGTGTCTGGTCGTGAACATAATCTCCCTGACAAAGAAATGCCGGGACGGAGAACTTCATTCCGGTACGCCGACGCGATAGCCGTGCGCACCTGGCCAAGACCACGTTCGCTTCTAGTGACCAGACAAAGCTCACCCTTGCCAAATGACAACACTAAAGAGGGGAAAGCCAGTATCAAGGATCAAGGTCGCGCATGGAGAACGCCTTGAGGCACACACAAAATAGCCGCCATCTGAGGCTCTAGCTCGCTCACAATGTAAGACCGGAGGTATGATGTGCCGATTTTCTCGCATTTATCAATCTGATAGTTCCATCAACCTGCATGGTGGCGTTTAGCGTCCACAACTTTGCTATGTTATCAAAAGTCACACCGGATCCACCAAGGTAATTATCCCAGGCGCGCCAATGATACCTTTGGCCAAGAACTATGAGGTTCACTAAGCTGGTGAGGAGAAATGAGCTCGCATCCATATCAAGACCGAGGTTTCCGCGAGGAACCGAAGTCGGTTCAAGTTGAAATACATGCATCTGAGGCCATATATGGGCTCGGTTTCAACCGTCTTTGCACCGTCTTTTTAAGGACTGATCTTCCATTTTCCTCTCACTTCTACCACACTTGAAGCTCAAGATGCGTGGTTTGCGCCAGATAGGTGCCGCAACCTTGCTGATCTTGCAAGTCGCAAGATGCAACAGCGATACAAGTCCTGCTAATGTCGTTGCTCAAGACCACGACCGTAGTATTGCCAGCTCGGCAGATATCGCGGCCCGCGACAATGCCCTTGGGCCAGGAAAGGCAGTTATGACAGAGAGCAATAGGTTTAACCAGTCAACCATCAGCGCAGTCGCTCTCGGCGGACGTGCTCTGATCGCCGAGTGGCTAAACCCAGTTGCCCTCCAAAAGCGGGCGTGTACGGGTACCTACAAGGCTTCATGCGGGGGTAAGTCAGGTCGCCTCTCATGAGGCTACAAATCTAACAACTTCACAGATGGGTACTGTTGTCCTACAACCGACCGCTGTTGCTCAAACAATGCTTACTGCAAGAAATCCTCAGGCGACGACTGTTGCTCTGATGGGACTTGCCCGTATCCATATGTTTGTGGCGACACCTGTGAGTGCAAGACAGCCGGTGGTGTCTGCTGTCCCGACGGCACATACTGCAAGGCGGGCAATAAGTGCTGCGGCGACAGCTGCACAGCCGAAGCCAATATATGCTGCTCTGATGGGACAGCGTGTGGTCCGGGGAACATATGCGTCGCGAATCAGAAGTACGGCTGGGACGACTGCTGCACGGATTCCGCCTGCACGGCGTATGTGAAATCCGGCGTGACAATTACTAGGACGTCGACTACGCCAACGAGCGCGACAGCTGCCCCGAGGACGACGGACGTTGTCTACCAATACTATTACACGACTCTCTACTTGTGAGCCTTCTCATCAACTTCTTGTCCCAGCTCTCTAACCGTTCTTAGCTCGTACTACTACTACTTCTACACGTACAGGTACGATATCGAGGTAACAACCCTCACCTCCACCTACACAACCACAACAACCACCCTCTCCATCTACGCAGCCAACTCCCGCACCGCCGCCAGCCGACTCAGCAGCATGAGCAGCTCCGTCGAGGAGAACGACTTCACCACCCCAGCACGGGCGACCACAGCGCTGAACTCCAGCCCCGCTCGGACCACCAGCGGTGCGTCAGCGACTGATTTCCAGGACGACGGCACCAGTCAGAATGACGGACCTGTTGTGCCGGGGATTGGGGTGGGAAGTCCGGGGTTGGGCTCGGGCGACATCCCGGGTGCTGGGACGCAGATGGGTGTTGTGCCGGCGTGGGCGCTGGCGTGGGCGCTGGGGGCGGGGGTGGTTGCGTGGGGGATGGTGTGGTTGTGAGGGTTGGTTTGTGGTGGGGATGGGGAGGGGTTTAATGATATTGGTTGGGCTTGGGGGAGGGTTGAGGATATGAATGCATGCGGTGTTTTTCCATGGAGATAGGATTCCATAGATGAAATGATATATTTGGGGCTCTTAAATGCGGGTTATTGCGGTTTAGTCTTAGGGGATCCGGCTGCCGGGTTCTAGAAGGTGGTTAGAACTTGTAATAATCTGTCTGTAAATATGTCACTATATCTGCGGCAAAAATGATACTATTATACATCTTTCGTAGCAGTGCAGGATGTTGCAAAATTATTAGTGATGTCTTTACTACGAATCTGTACCTCTAGTAGATGGCTAAACCTCCACCCTTCTTTGCTGCCTAAATAATTCTCTTATAAAAAGGTTTCCTCATGTCGCCGTTCATGCAGATTTACTGGGCGGAATACCACAACTTCCCAGGTAATTTAGGGATATCCTTACGTTCAAAGGTATATAACCACTTCCCACATGCATTAGTCCTTTCAAACCATGCATCATAGATATCTTCAGTACACAATTTCATCCACCCATCATAGTTGTCGCTATCCTCAACGCCCTGGAATCGTTTTACGGCCTGCGAGTCAACTAGCCAGACGTACGAATAGCAATAGAGAATATCCCGAGCCTGTACAAGTAGAGCTTAGCATTATCCCATAATGAACAAGAAGGCTAGCTTACTCGTCTTTCCTCGCGACTTACTAATCCCAACGGCGGTGTCTCCTTAGGGAGCGCGGTGAGCGAGCGAAGTGAAACCTCATCAATAACTAGGAAGTCGCAGAACCTAGCGCTATGTTGAATGTTAAATTCCTCATTGCCTTCGACATTACCAACAGCACTCCGAAGCCAAGAATCAAAAACATTAGTAAGCGCCTTAATGTCGTCTTGGCTAGCCTTGTTAAGGTCAGGGATGTTTAGCTTCTCTGAGTCTATATCGAATTCCTCAAGGATGAAGCGGCGTCCAAGCTCTTCATTGACTGATCCGTCGCTTTTGTTCGTAGCCAGACGGTTTATGTGGACAAAATACTGCGTCACCCAGCGCTTCAGATTTTCTAGCCCAACTGACCATAGCGTGTTAGACTCATCTGAGTATGTCGTGCGTAGTACTAGCTTTTGTTAGGTTATGCTAGATCATATCGATTTACTCGAACTTATATAATAGATAACGAATAAGAAAAGTGATAGTCAATGTACCTGTGTAGCCCCATGATCCTTCGGCGTATCTACCAGAGTCTTTATAATTAATTATAGAGTCAGCCATCCTACTGAAGCGGTACATGTCCTGTGTATCCTTATCTCGATTAAACATTGGTAAATGGAATTTAGATAACTCGCAGGATGGGTGGGGAAATGTTTCCTTAATAGACATCTTAGACGGATGTGCTTTTGGTAAATATCGATAGGTGTGTAAGGAGTCTGATGTGGATCTAAATGATCAGGGGACATAGAAGTAAGGAGAATTAAAAATGTTAAAAAAGGAAAGGTAAAGTTATTGTGTTTTCCGTGTCGCCTAACTTCCTGTATTGCTAGGCGAGGGTGGGATTTTAAGCGGGAAACCGCCGGTTAAGCTGGAGGTTGATATCATGCGTACTTTATATCGATACAAGCGATAAAATACAGCTCATTATATATCTGTTCATCGGCTGCCCCCTTGGTGGCTTTGATACAAAATACAGTACGATGACCGCAGGCAGGATATCACCTTCCTTGAAAGCATTGGTCGCGCGACGGACCATGGCTCGTCTCTCATTCTCATCACGACCGTCGCTCGCCATCATCGACGACTACCTCAACACGTCGGCACCCCATTTCAAACATATCCCGTCCGAGAAGCTACAAATCACCACTTTCAATGATACCCTCGTTCCGGCCGACGATGCCCAGGTTGCCCGGCTAGTAGAGCGACTGAAGCCCTTCGACCTCATCTCCACCGTGCGCGAACGCACTGCATTCCCGGGCTCTCTACTGCGGCAGCTGCCCAACCTGAAGCTTTTACTAGCTACAGGTACCCAGTTCGAGATGTTTGACCTCGCAGCCGCAAGGGAACTGGGAATCACCGTCGTCGCCGCTCCTGGCCTGGGCCGAACTGACCAGCTCATTTCCAACCCACCGCGCCCAAACATTAAGAAAGGCGGTGCGCATCCCACGACACAGCACACGTGGGCTCTGATTCTGGCTCTCGCCCGTAATATTGCTATCGACGATGTCGCAATCAAGACCGGAGGCTGGCAGAGCGGGCTTGCGATGGGCCTGACTGGCCTCACTCTGGGTATCGTGGGACTGGGTCGGTTGGGTGCTGCTGTCGCGCGTATCGGACACCTTGCTTGGGCTATGCGCGTGGTATGCTGGAGTGAGAACCTCACGCAGCAGAAAGCCGATCAGATGGCGGAGGCGGTCGGTCTGGCCCCGAATGAGGGCATCCAAGGCGACAAGACCTTCCGCGTGGTGAGCAAGGAGGAGCTATTCAGCCAGGCCGACGTCGTGAGTATCCACTACGTGCTCAGCAGCCGCTCACAGGGTATCGTGGGCGCAAAGGAACTGGGGCTCATGAAGCGTGACGCCCTGCTTGTGAATGCGTCTCGGGGTCCGCTAATTGACCAAGTTGAGCTTATTGATGCGCTGGAGCATCGTCGGATCCGCGGTGCTGCGTTGGACGTTTTCGACATTGAACCTTTGCCACAAGGCAGCTTATGGAGACGAGATCACTACTGGGGTCAAGACGGGCGCGCTTGTCTTCTTACTACGCCGCACATGGGATACGTTGACGAGGGCTTGATGAATACATGGTATGCGGAAACGGCCGAAAACGTGGAACGCGTGCTTGAGGGCAAAGAGGTCCTGCATCGCTTGGCTTGAGCCGTGATCAACGATCTATTTGTATTCGTCTACTCTGCTTGTTTTATCTTCCATGGCATATCATATATACTAGCGTTGTTCTTCCAGCGGCTGTCTACCTGTTCTATCATTCCATGGTCGTCTACTCGTTCTATATTTGCATGGCATTTCTCATACTCATCTTGTTTTTCCCAGCGGTCGTACATCGTCGCAGCTCAACAATTAGCCACTGCTTCCACCTCCTTCTTGGCTTTCTCCTTTGCAAGCCTGACTCTTCGCTCTTCTCTCCACCGAGGCCCATATCTGGTAACGACATATAGCATCGGGCTCAGAGAGATGCTCACCTATCCAACGAGTGTATACGCCCACCCTGCCCCCATGGCACGGATCATGGGCTCAATGACTGCTGAGCCTCCGGCAGCCATCAGGCATCGAGTCAGGTTGTTCGCCGCGGAAGCGGTTGACGGCGAGTTGGGGTAGAGGTCAACCAGCAGAAGATTCATGCTGTTGTAGCAAGCGGTGAGGAAGAGCGCCATGATGAAGGTGAGAATCAACAGCACGGCAAGATGTGTTTTCGTCTCGGCTGCCCACCCGAAGCCGATGGTCGCGAAAGCACCCACGTAGATGAGTGGCCACACAATATCGATCCGAGCCCTCTCGATTGGAAACTTGGCCAGGTCGTCTCCGTGCTTCTTGTCAGCCATAAAGCCGTTCGCGCGTGCAACCCGCGCACAGTTCCAATCTTGGGCGTATCCATTCCCCAAGATCGAGAGTGCTGCCCCGATTCCGAAAGGCCTAGGGCAGTAAGCGCCATGTCATCGAAGGAGTCGGCTCAACGACTTACACGTAGCACAGTCCGATCTGCACGGTCTTGAGGTGGTAGATCTTCCCCAGTAGGTTGGCCAAATCGGCCGTGACGGTGTACCAAGACGCATAGATGATGCTGTTATATAACAGAATCACCGCACAGTCCTTCTCTTTAATAATCAGCAGCACCTTCAGCGGATTAGAAACCCCGGAGAAAACCCGGAGTGGAGAAACAAGGCACGGGGCGGCGGTGTTGGAATTAACTTTAAAAGTCGTGTTGGTGACTGGATGGGGATGCCGGAGCGGCGCAGCGTTAGGGGGTGGAAGTAGAGCGTTGTTGGCGATGATACTTTGAGTGTGCGGAGGGTCGAGGTTTAGCTTCGTGGATCAGCAGGAAATCCAGGTTTCCTGCATAACTTCAAAACTCAGCTTGTAGTGGAGTACTCGGAGACGTGGACGAGATGGGAAGGTGGGACAGAGTTCTAGAGTACACCCCCCAAAGTCCCCCCAGCGCGCCCGACACCTGCCCCGCCCTGCTCCGCCCCCACCTCCCATCTCCCCATCTCCCTATCTCCCCAATCACTAGACGATGATACCGCCGCGCCCCATTGTTCCGCACCGCGCCGTCCCGACAGTCTAGCGCGGCTAAAGCGGACCCCTAGTGTGATCCCTGTCGATGCGATGCAGCTTCCACATGGACAACGACGCCGAAACAGCCGCTGTCAATCTCCGTCGCGTGCTAGGCGACGAGGAAGCCGACCGCTGGGTGAGTAGGCATTGGGGGATAGTCAATGTATGGCGACCTGTTGGAGATGTGGTGCGACAGTGGCCGCTTGCCCTCGTCGACTCGCGCACTATCCAGTACGGCCGCGATACCGTGCCGATCTACACCCTCAACAATTACAAGACGCACTTCACTGCCTTGCGGCCCCGCCCGCACTTCGGCTTCTACTACGTCAGTAACCTGGCCCCTGACGAGGCCTTGTTGTTTGTCGACTATGACTCGGCGCCTAGAGACAGTGATGGAGTTGTGGGTATTGCGCACGGAGCGTTTGAGGACCATAATGCACCTGCGAAGGTACCCCGGCGCCGCTCAATCGAGACGCGTTGCTTGGTGCTATATGATTAGTAATTGCTAGGATTAGTCACGAATATAATAGCGCTAGAAGGGCCTACCGCGTTACTTATTGTTGGTTTTAGGACTGATAAAATATATGTGCTTGATTCTCTGATCTCTACTGTCCCTAATACCTAGGGAATCACTTGGTGATACCGTATAAAATTAAGCGAGGCACGGACCATATTCTCCTTTAACGAATGGATTCAACGATGAATCCGGACGCTGATTGGGGGGTGACCACCAGCGAATACCCTCTGTTGTATGTTTTTGTCTTTTTCTTTATTTATAGATTTATTTTGTCCTTGGTATGTAAAGCTACCTTGATCTTATGGTTAGGCCGGCTAAACGAGAAGTCGAAAATTCTCACCGTTAGGCCGGCTAGCTCACAAGCGGGCAGATCTCACGGTTCGGCCGGAACATATAATTACGTTTTATCCTGTATGTGGCTAACCGAGCCGTAGCTTATCAGATTGGAACCGCATTCACACGACAACACTAACTACAGCGTTTGCCCGCTTTTGCTCGCCATGTAAAGCCGATGATAGCTGCCTTTTATAGCCATCAACTGTGTATGCGTGCCGGATTCGACGACACTGCCCTCGCCAATCACGAAGATCGTGTCAGCCTTGACAATGGTGCTCAGTCTGTGGGCTATGGTGATTGTCGTGCGGCCCTTCTTTACTTTGTCAAGAGCCTGCTGGATAAGCGACTCGGACTGCGAGTCCAACGCCGAGGTAGCCTCGTCCAAAAGGAGAATTGTTGGCTTGCGGAGAAGCGCGCGGGCTAAGACGATGCGTTGTTTTTGCCCCACGCTGAGCTGGTTGCCGCCGCTTCCCACCTCGGTGTTAAAGCCGTCCCTAAGCTGTATGTTAGAGAGCCTTTGCACTACATTGTTGCCCGCATACGATGAAAGAGGTGGGGAAAGAGAAACACTTACGGCAGACTGCTAATGAAATCGTAAATATTGGCTTCTTTGCAAGCCTCCTCGATGGATTCGTCTGAGGGCATCGCAATATCGTCCTCGTCTAGCCCGATTGTCAGGTTAACCTTGATGGTTCCGCGGTAGAGAGTCGGCTCTTGGCTCACAAGGCCGATGCGCTTCCGATACCTGGACGTGCGATAAGACTTAATTGGCCTCGAGTCGACACGAACTGATCCACTAGTGGGATCGTAAAACCGCTCGATCAGCGATATGATGGTGCTCTTTCCCGAACCTGTCGCGCCGACAAAGGCCACATTTGCGCCAGCAGGAATGGTGAAGCTCAGGTTCTTTAATGCGGGATGATTAGGGCGCGAAGGGTAGGAAAAGCTGACCGAGTTGAATTCAATACGGCCCTGCATGACGTCCCCGTCGATCCCGTCAGGCGACGATGGATCAATGGCAGATATTCGTGCCAGAAGACGCTGAAGAGACGTTGCAGCATGCTTGGCCTTGCCGATGTTGGGAGTCCAAGAGAAAACCATACCAGCGGAGAAAGCGCTCAGTAGCATGGCAGACTGGACAGCAACGGCCTGGAAGAGGGTATATTCGCCACGGAGGATGAGTCTACCTCCATACCAGAAGCTCAGGGCCATGCAAGCATAGTAAGCAGTTTGCGTTAGGGCATACATCAAAGATGCTTGCAGATTTGCTGTAAACGCTTTACCCTCGCTGGCACGAAGCGTATCGTGAAACTGGCTCAGAGCCGTCTGCTCTCTTGTTAGGGCGGCGATGGTCTGGATGCCATGGAGCGTCTCGCCTGCAAACTCGGCCGCCTCGTTCGCGAATATCTCGTTCTTTTCGGCGAACTCTCCCACAAGCAAGACGCCATAGTATCCACCACCAATCATGAGTGGCACAACAGAAAGGCAAACAAGTGCTAGCTTCCATCCCAGTGCAAGTGAGACGACGATACCAGAGATCAATGTCGAGAGACATATGAGGACAATGCCAAGTGCGCTACCACTGAGACCAGTAAGGTCGCTGGTTGAGCCTGACAGAAAGCCCGAGAGGGCAGCAGCTGAATTTTCCTTCTTGTCGAAGAAGGAAATGTCCATCCTGAGATATTGCTGTAGGGCTAGGCTGCGTACTCGCTTGATAAGATGTTCAGAGCTAAAGGCAAAGGCAATACCCTGGGCGGCACAGCTGATGAGCATGACGAGGGCAAGCGTAAAGAACATCCATGAGTAAAAGGCTGCATCGGAGCGAATGCTGTCAGCCTGACTCTCTACTGGTCGGGCGATGGCCGTAATTGCTTTACCGAAGAGTACAGCTGAGGCTGGCTCTTCACCTCCTGCGATAATACAGCAAATTAGCCCAATTAATAGCCAGTGCCATTCGCCTTTGTTAAGTTTGAAAATAAACTTGATCATAGAGGATAAAGACGATGACATGGTGTCACTCTGCGACTCAATGTCGGCAGATACACTTGTTTGGCCAGGTTGTTCCCCTTGGTCCTTCTCCAGGTCAAGACTGGCGAATGCTGCCGGCTCTCTTTTCTCGTCAGAGACTTCATCCGCAGGCGCATGCTCGTCGTAATCTGTATCCTGAGCTTTGACGAGGTCGTAGTAGGATGATTGCGCAGCCATGAGGTCATCGTGCGTGCCGCTCTCGACTACACGTCCAGCATTAAGAACAACAATATTATCGCAATCGCGGGTCGTGGAGAGACGATGGGCAATAATGATGGTAGTGGGCTGATGGAGTTTACCAGCCATGGCAGACAGTAACCTAGCTTCTGTTTCACTATCCAATGCCGATGTTGCTTCGTCCAAGATAAGGATACGGGGGTCATTAACAAGAGCCCTGGCGATGGCGATTCGCTGCAGTTGTCCGCCAGAGAGCCTCGAGCCTCGTGTTCCTACAATAGTGTCGAAACCTTGAGGGAGTTTGGCAATGAAGTCGGCTGCTTGTGCCGTCTGTGCAGCCTCTTCCACGGCCTTGCGTTTCTCAGCTGGAGAAATAGTAGTCCATCGGGGGCCGGTAAAGCCAAGTTCAATATTCTCATATACAGACTTGTTGAACATGAAAGATTCCTGCTTCACCACGGCGATTTGTTGTCGGAGCCAGCGAAGTTGGTAGGAAGATAGGTCCTGACCATCCAGAAGAATGTTCCCGCTCAGAGGGTCATAGAATCTTAATATCATGTTTGCTATGGAGCTTTTGCCTGACCCGGAATGCCCCACGATGGCTGTCCTCTTTCCTGTGGGAAATGAGATGCTTACATTGTCTAGGACGATGATATTCGGACGGCATGGGTAGATGTGTCTCACATTCCGTAGCTCTATTGTACTGTCGAACTGTTCAGGAGTATGTCCCTGCTCCGAGGACGAGTCGATGGGTGGCACGCGGCGGGTCGTACGCGAGAGACGGCGAGCCCCCGCCACAGCCATAGCAAAAGCTTCCATGTTTGAACCGACGCCCAAGACACAGAATGCCGCTGCTTTGGTAACCATAGCAATGGCGACAACGGCTGTGAAGGGGGTCCTGCCTTCAGTCAAGCGTCTGGATCCTTGCCAAAACACCAAAGCGACGTTGAAATAGCCACTGGCAACACAAACAGCGAGCATGCATGCGTTCATAGAGCCTAGGATGAACCCGTTCCTAGCTGCCTTAGCCGAGAAGCTCATGTATGTACTATGCACGTGCTTCTGCATTCCCAGTGCCGTGGTGGTCTTAATTGAGGTCAAGGCCTCATCAACTATAGCGGAGCCCGAAGAGGACGCCTCGATGCTGCGGCTGCTGTATCGGACTGTCAACTTCCCTCCTAGGTAGAGCACTGCATAGCCCAAAATAAGAGACCAAATCAGCTCGAATGTCAACAGCCAGTCCAGAGCAAAGCACACTGCGATGGTTCCAACTAGAGTACCGATGGCGCTAATTGTTTGAGCCAGCTTAGAAGAGATTGCATTCTGAATAGCCACGGCGTCATCTGTAAGCTGGGAGAGCATCTCTCCAGTGCCTTTGTCGTCAAAGACGGCCATGTTCTGTCTGAGGACGGCGGCAAAGTAACGCATTTTGATTGTCTGTGCTATTCTTGCTCCTGTATAGTTCAAACCGGCCGTCGAGACAAACCAAGTCACCAGCGCGGTCACCATGATGTAGACGTAGTAAAGCGTGAACTGGTCGATGAGTGACTTCATATCCCCGCCCTGCTCTTCAACTCTGGCGAAGGCGAGAATAATGCGGGAGCTGACAACCTAGATGACGACCGGAGTTAGCTTAGCTATGCAATAAATTTCAAGGACACAAAGGTAAGTTACAACGCACTGGAGTTACGGGGATGAGCGCGCCTGCGATGACGGCGCATACGGCGCTTATGAGAACTAGAAGTAGGTCCTTCCATGTTGCAAAGCTGTAGATACCGATGAAAGACAGCTTGACATTGTCAAAGTGTAGTTGTTCGTCCAAGAAGGCCTGCTCGGCCGTGGTTATTGTTTGCGGCGAGTAGCCGTCGGTTGCAGTCTTCTCGTCTGTTCCTGCGATATTTCCGGGATGAGGGTTGACAGCGTCGGATATGCCAGGGTCTGTCTTTTCGGGTTCGACTGTCCTCGGTGGCAAAGTAGCCATTATGGGATTCAGACGCGTCTCGCTGTATCAGTAGGGATTGAAAGACTAGGAGAATAGAACAAAAGAGCGAAAGATTGAATAGCAAAATCGACAGAAACACAGAGTCAAAAGCTGGTTTGTCGTAATTCCATAGAATAGTTAGTAAAAATAAAAGTGATTACCTTAATGTCTTAGAAGTACGTACTCCTAGCAAGCTTCCTAATTAGGCTCGCCGTTGGCCCCTGTTGTCTGTTCTCATTAGCCCACGTCAGGTGAGTGTGCATGCTGTGCATAAGGTACCTTACTGTGCATACTGTGCATACCACATCACGAAATTTAAAGGAGGGAGGACTATAACGCTAAGGTCCTAAGGCTAGGATATCACAGAGGTTTCGTTGCGTAGTTTACTTAACAGAGGAGGCAGGGGATCAGACACAAAGGCTTTCGTAAAACACGTTACTAGGATATAACAAATACTATATTAAGTTGAGCACGAAGCTCCTATCTAAGAACTAACTACTTACTTATATAGTAGCGTCGTGTAAAATAGATCCTGTCTGCTACCTAGACGATCCCTAGGTGATACTTATACGATCCTAGATCCCCTTAGGATTAGGTCACGTAGTTCTATTCCTCCTAACTAATAGTTGTAGACCTTCTACCTATAGCTTCCTAGCTAATCCCTTGTCTAGCGCTAATAGTAGGGTGAGCCGTAACAAGGACATGACAAATAACAACATAAATACAGTTGCATTTTATTATTATTTACATGCTGACTGTCTGATGGACCCTGTTTCTGTATATACATAATTGGTCTATATTAGGTTTTTAAAATAGGAACTTAACTTTAGGAAACCTGTGTTGTGTTGTGCTGTGCTGCAAAACACGACCTTGACCACCACGGGCTGCAATAATGGTATCCAGCTTTGAGATCGATCCCACATGGCAGAGCTGGAACAGCTGTCTTGTGTGCAGTAGCTGCAGTAGCAGTAGCGAAGAACACAAACGCGACCTTCTGGTGGAACGATCTCTCAATGTCAACAAAGTTGTTGTCCTCAATGACGCCTTTGACCATAAACTCGTCAGGGCTTTCTGCGGCTCAAATAATGTCCCCCCGGACTCGCTATTCAAGGCCGCATGGAGCATTGTTGTTGGTGCCTACGTTGGTACCGCGGATGTGTGCTTCATGGTCGAAAGTGCTGCTCCCACAAGGAATGTCTTACGATGTCGCTTAGATCCCGCAGAAACAGCAAGTCGCCTTTTGCATTCCTTTCACGAGGTTCCGTTTACTACCCGTATTGATGTGGACGCTGCGGCCGGTCTGTCAAATGCTGTTTTTGACACATGTTTGCGTATATTGGGGAAGGAATCATTAGAGCCGCCGCAAACCGACAGAGTCGAAGGAGACACGGCATTATCAAATGTAAGCTCAGAGCCCAAAGCAAAAACCCACCCCCTCTCAAACTGTGCCTACCCATCAATTAATGAGTGCATACTTTCTGTACGGCGCAGGGGGGGCAGACAAAATGGGAATGAGGAGAGAGGGAGGAAGAGAGAGAGAGCGAGGGAGGGGGGAGAGTTGGGTGCGGGAGACGGGAGGGGAGGGGGAGATATATCATGTATTGTCCACAAGCCTTGCGTATAACACGCATGCACGCACGGAATTCTGGGGGAGCAGCCGAGGATAGTGGGAGCCGTTTAGAGACACGGTTGGAGGTGGAAAGGGGATATAGGTATTAAGTAGATATGGAGAAGAATGGAAATTCCATACACCCCACCGCACCTCATCTAGACTTGACTCATGGGGGTTTCAATCTCTCTCGCGCAGTGTATGAGGTTTATGTTATATGTTTGAATAGTGCCAATTTGATCGCGAGGACCCCTTTTAGCAAAGAAGGGTTCACGGCAGCGTACTAGATTTAAGGGTTTACTCTCTCTCGCTTCACCCCTTAAAACGGGCTCGCAAACTTAACAGCCGCACCCCCCCCCCAACTTCTGCTCCTTCGCCGGCTCAATCGAAACCGGATTATAAAACACCTCCCCCGGATCAACCTCCGCCTTAATCTCCTGCAGCCTCGGCAAATTCACCCCCCAATACAACTCCTCCGCCTCCCCGCGCTCTAGCCTCGCATCCGCATAATTAACATACATCCCCCACGTCCCCCACTCTAGCGGCGCCGTCGTTGCATTCACCCACCCGTCGAGAAACTCGAACCCGTCTGTTGGGTACTTCCCGCTGATTACGCGGTCGTAGAACTGGATGATATATAGTTTGTCACGGTGCGCGTAGGACGTCACGCCGTCATTCCGCGCCCAAATCCCGGAGCTCGAGCCGCCTTGGAGGTCGAGTTGGAACCACCACATCCGGTTTATGGTGGGGGCGACGTCGAACCCGTAGTCCACGAAATTCTGGGCCGATGTGCCGTTCAGACCTTGTAGTTCGAGGCTCTTTGAGTAGAATTCATCGTGCTGCCTAGTATCAGCCCCGTACTACTCCTACTGCACTGCACTGCACAGCTCCATATCAAGAGAAGAGAAGATAGGAGAAACTTACAGCATCATAAGGATACAAAACATTCAACCCCATCCCCGTCTCCGAATAATGCTCCAACCCCCCAATCCACCCCGTCGTCCCCGCCGTCACCACCTCCCCCCCCGTCTTCTCTAGCAACGGCGCGAGCGCATCATCTAACCCCGCTCGATCACCGTAGTACACCCCCTCTAGTGACATCGAATACGCCGACCCCGTGAGTCGCATGTTTAGCTCCTTCGGCATCACACCTCTCGTGTACGTCTCTAATGCCTCAAGCCCCGCCATAGCGGTCGTCCTATTCCACGGCAGCGTGGCAGAGAACCATGTCACAGTCTCTGGCGCCGCGAAGGTCCGGAAGCGGAGTTCGGAGGCGATACCGAACCCAGAGCCGGCGCCGAGCATCGCAAAGAATAGGTCAGGGTGCTCGCTCGCCGAGCAGTCCACCGCGGTCCCGTTAGCGAGGACCACGGTGAGACCGTCTACCCAGTCTAGTGCCAGGCCGTGCTCGCGCGAGGACATACCGTAGCCACCGTGGAGGGCGTGGCCTGCTATGCCGACACTTTTAGTTAGGTAGGTCAGCCCTGTACGTTCGTATGCGGAAGTAAAGCTTATTCACACAGCTCCGTCATCCAGAGTGGGGGATTGGGAAACTCACCCCAAACACGTCCCATGCGAAAACGCCCTCGCCCCCTTCCTAAAAATCTCAATCGCTATATCCCCTAATCTCGCCCCTGGCTGCACGGTCGCAATCCCCGTCTCCGGGTCCAGACTCACAGCAGTCATATGCTCCATCTCCACCACCATGTGGCCATCCTCCCCCCCCAGACCAAGCGCGGCGTACGAGTGCCCTCCGGCTTTGGGGGTTACCTTCACGCCGGCCGCGACGCCGCAGCGGACCGCGCCGATGATGTGCGAGGTACTCCGCGGGATGACGATGGTTAGGGGCGTGTAGGGGAGGCGGGTGTTGAAGGAGGTGGAGAGGAGGGGCCAGTCGTCTGAGGAGGGGGTGATGAAGGGGACGATGGCGTCGGAGAGGCAGGATGCTAGGGAGGTGGAATTGGCGAGGCTTGTAGCTGTTTTGGTGGCGGCAGCGAGGAGGCCGAGGAGTAGGAGGGCGGTGGGCTTCATGGTGTGTGGGTGGTGGTGGGGTGGTGGTGTCTTGGGGGTTTAGGATGCGTGGAGTTGCATTGGGGATATATATAGGCTTGTAGGTTTCTAGGTGTGCCACACATGTTGACAAGGGCCATTAGGTCGTGTTATAGAATTTCTAATTGTATTAGCTTTCTTCGTTGTATAGCGGTGATCCTTCCGCCGCTTTAGATGTGATAACTAACCCATGATGGCTTCTTCCAGAGTAACGGGGACCGCGCGTTCCTTGCCCAGCGAGTTGAGGCTAAAGTATCCCATATTAACGAAATTATCCTATTATTAGAAATATGCGCTGTTCACCAAAATAGTATTAGTATTTGTGCTTTTCGGATAGTATCCCCCGATGAGCAGTATTCGGGCCATAATTGAGGTATTCAGCGAGTATTTGTTAAGGACTCGAATAGTATTCGAGTCCTTGGCAAGCTACGCCAAGGATGCTAAGTTACGAGGAGTTTAGCCGCCCGCCCTCATAGACAGATCCGAGAAATAGATCCACAGCTAATAAATGATCCGGCCCAACCACGAATATGATCCTCCGCGCGAGCGGGCCGGCCCAACCACAAATAGTAGTAATACTGTAGTAAAGTTGTAATTAAGAATCTATATACTATTACCAACAGTGTCTGCTCTTGCTCGCTTCCTTAGTGGCCTCTAAACTTGTGGCCTCTCAACTAAAGCTATCTCCGTACGAGTAGCTAGACCTGATAAATTACCACAGTTGTGGTAATCATTATGGCAGTGTACGCTACACCCCTTTACTTCCTTGTAACACCAGGGCCAGTTACGTAGAGTTGACAAAAATAAGCGAAAATAGCAAAAAATAGCAAAAAATAGCAACAAAAAAAATAGCAAAAAGAATAGCAAAAAGAATTGGACACTGTGGGAATTGAACCCACGACCTTCCCCAGTTGATATTATGTGTTGAATCACATGCTATGCGAAGGGGAAATCATACCCCTAGACCAAGCGCCCGTTTTGAATTGGAAGGTACGAGTTATCCGGGACTATGTAAGTGCAACTGGTGCAGGACCTAATAGGGCAAGTGCGATGGCCATGTAACGGGAATAGACAAGGAAGGTATGACGATGTAAATAAAGAATGGGATATAATTGTACGATAAGTCGGCATTCGTTATAAAAGAGATCTTTACGATTAAATTGAAGTAGCTGGTGACTGACTATGGCGAGATTTTTCGTGATGTTCAGTTCCATACTACCATGTCATATTCTGCCAGAACTGCCCACACCGCCTAGCGTCAATACATCTCCATCACGGTCCTACGGTCCTGGCGGGTATCAGCTCTTTTCTCCATACAAGACAACTACTCGCCACAGCGCCATCTTACGAATTAATTACGCCCTCGGAACTACTCGAAAAGCTATGCCACAGCTTCCGTAAAGCAGCGATGGTACAAAAGACACCAAGGAACCTCGTACTGACAGATACCTTGAGGCGCCATGGACGGCCACGCCGACGCGACTGAGCAGGTCGCAATCGCCAAGCTCGACCCCACCCTTCAAAACCTCCAGTCCTGCTACTTCAAAGCAGTAGTAACGCTCATATGGCCCTACAGCTCCTCGAATAAGACGCTTTCCGTGCTTCTGGCCGAACCGGACTTTCGTTTGCGCCAAAGTAGAGGCCAAGTCAAGGTCAGGTTCGCGGGATCGTGCGCGAAGCATGTTTTTGATGCGGGGATAGGGAGCGGAGATGAGTTGGTCGTCAGCTTGAATGGGGCTGAGTGGATACCTGAGAGTGCGAGTGCTGCGCAAATGGCTGGTAGGGGCATCGAGTGGGAGCTGAAGTTTGCGGAGCGGCTGGTGCTTCAGGTAAGATGGATGCTACCACCAAACATAACCCCATACTAATCGCGGTGACTTCTCAGATTCGAAAGTGCGAAAGCGGAAATATTGCCCTGCTTAACCTCGACAATCCCCCAGAAGAGCCCGAACCAGACCGAGTCGCTGAAATCGAGACGCCACTTGAAAACCCGTCGCCCCCAGGAAGCCCAATTCCAACAGCACGTCATGATCAGCTACTTGCGGAGGAGACTGGCGAGTGGTCATCACCGGCATTCATAAAGCGCGCTCGGCTATCCTATGGGTCGTTCATTGGGAAGGATTTTGAGGCATTCATAGAAGATGATGGCTCTATCCCAGGAAAGGGCAGAAAACGGTCGAGGTTTGGCCGAAAGTCAGGGGATTGGAGATATATCAGCCGTTCTCCAAGTCCAGAAGAGGAGGTCGAGGTCGGAGAGCCAGCTGTGCAGGAACCGGTCCCAGAAAAGGTGAAGCCTACAATGACGGACGAAGGCTGTCAGACAGACGGCCTAGAATACAGCGAAGAGATGCAGGAGTTTTTTAGACAATCTCAAGCTGCGGGCAGAGAGGCAAGACCGCCGGTACCTACAGCTCTACAAGACACACGGATGGAATTTGCAGAGGACCAAGGCAGACCACCGATCCCACCGTTTGACGCCTTCCCGGCTGGGCAGGCACAGCCAGCTTCACAATCAATGGAGCCAAATGGAGTCACCGCACAATGGCCGGAGTCAATATTCCGGGATATGGGATTCTCGAATGGATCTGTGCCCGACATGAATCTGAGGCCTAGTCCACCCTTTGAACAACCTAGGTCTCACAGCCCACAGGCTCCACCTACAGCACCCATGTTTGGAAACTATCAAGAAGATGAAAGGAATGGACTCTTTCAAGCGCCATATCCGCCGGATCAGCCAATACTACTACACCATGGCCTTCCCCTCGAGACGGATGATCTTTATAACGAACACCCGAACGAGGCCCTTGAAGAAGCTAGAGATTCTACCGCCTCGCAATTTGCCCAAGCCGCCCAGTCTTTCTATCCAGAACTGCCAGATGTTTCCATGGAAACACCTGCCCAACCGGCATGGGAGTCTTTGACTCACGTCCCTGGGGAAAATGCTCCCAGCACCTTCGAGGTACCCAATGCCGCGAGCAGAGAGGCATCTGCACCACGATATAGCCAACCCAGCACACCGAAATACCGTTTAGATGAACTCGGTCATGTAGTCGTGACCAACGAAGGCGAAGAAGATGAAGAAGAAAGCGAAGAAGAAAGTGACGAAGGTGACGAAGAATTGGACCACCGTCAAATCGGCTCTGATGAAGAAATAGAACGAGATGAGTCTGGTGAGGAAATCGAAATAAGGCCTAGGCAAGACCCCGAGCAGTATTATCGCCAGCAACAATTTCCCGGCGAGCAAGGAGGTGTGGCCGCGGAGCAGAGATACAGTAATGAGGAAGGCGAAAGCGAGCTCGACGAGGAAGCTCATCCATCCGAAGAACAAGAGTTCTCAGACGATGACGAGGGTAGCGAGATGGATAGTGCAGAAGAAGCTCTATATGCGGAGGAAGGCGAAGAATTCGAAGAAGGTGATCACTTTGATGAAGATGGCGAAGGGCGCTACGAAGACGAAGAGATGAGCGAAGAGGATTTAGGACCTGTTCATCAGCAACATCAGCAACCCGCAGCGAAGTCTGAGCCAGTATTTATAGATCTTCTATCATCGGATGATGAGGAGGAACAGCCGAAGCCTTCGCCCAAGCCGCCGCTTGTTCATAAAGATTCATCTTTTGCGGATGTAGAGGACAATGTACAAGATAATGTAATGGAAGACGAGGAATCCGGCGAAGATGCAGAAGCAGACTTCGAGGAAGAGTCGGAGGAAGAAGAAATGGCCATCGGACATCCAGGCGATGAAGAAAGCGAGGAATCTGAGGAGTCTGAAGGCTCTGAGGGCCCAGAGTTAGAAGGAGAAGAACCAAGCGCTACAGAAGTATGGCAGCCTGGTACTCCACAGGCCACAGAAATGCAGAACGAGATAGAGATGCAAGATGTGCCCGCTGTTACTCTCCCTCCTAACCCTGACAACGCAAACTTGTCAATGGTGGAGGAGGTGGGCGGCTATGAAGACGAAGATGACACCATGGAAGGAGGTCTTGTCGAACAGCGCTTCATGGATGGTGCAAACGATGTACCTACAGAGTCGAGGGCTACGAAAGAGAAAACGCCTACTTCTCCCCCGGCTGAAGAAATCCGAGTCGAGGCAGCCGAAGAAGAAGTCACCGAAGACATGACTGCACAGCAACAGCCAGTCGAGATGGAACTTGACCAGGAAGCTCAAGAACCTGAAGTCGCTAACGTTCGAGCAAGTCTGGATGAACAGCTTCAGGCTAAGCAACTTGAGGATGAGCAACTTGAGGATGAGAACCTCCAGGAGGAACAACTCGAGGAGGAACAGCTTGAGGAGGGACTTGGACAAAAAAACGCGTCTCCAGCGGATGTCAGAGAGGGTGCTTCACTTGCCGAAGTAACTTACCCCTCTTTGCCTCGGGACGAAAGCAGTGCTATCGAAACGCAAAAGACGTTGCCTGATGAGCCCCAACAAGAAGAAGATGCCGATGACGATATTGAACTAATAAACGCGCAATTGATGACACCGGATGCCACTCAAGTATCTTCCACGATTCCACAAGATGCATCATTCACGACCTCGACCGAAAAGCAACCACAAAACGACGCCACAACTGACAACGTCGTGACGGATGAAGTCGTACAGAACAGCGTCGAAGCCACAGAACCGATAAAGGAGAAGCTCGTCGAAGTCACGAAACGAGTCACCAGATCAGCGAAGGCGACAACGGAAACTCTCCAGCCTCCAGCCACGCCAACGACGGATAAGAAGATGAGCCTCCGGTCAGCCACTTCTCCCGTAAGTACGCGAACAGATCGATCCCCGTCGTTGGTGACGGGCGCACCGAGCACACGGAAGGACCGCGATACTCATCCTGCATCGAAGGCTCTCAGCCCCTCAGAAAAGTCGCAGCCATCACCACAGACTCCAAAACACAACCTTCGATCAAAACCATCAACATCACCCACCGGCACGCGCATCACCCGATCTCAAGATCGCGCCGAGGCCCCAGCAACGCCTAAAGTCGCCGCCGCCAGCCTACCAACCGCCACCAAAGACGTCATACCTCCCTCCAGACAGCTGCCCACCACCCCTCAAAAACCCCCCACGCAGCCTCTTTCTGAAACCGCCCTCCGCGCCAGCCTCACAAAAGCCCTCCGAACCAACCTCAGCGACTTCACACCCCTCAAAGTACTTCGCCACAACCTAGGCAAACGCCTCGACGTCCTCGCCATCGCCACCACCGCCCCTCCTGAAGCCCAGCGCGCGAAACACGGCCCGCGACACTACCACCTCCGCTTCAACATCACGGACCCCTCCATCGCACCCACCGGCGTCGTAGAGATCCAAGTCTTCCGGCCCTACAAGGAGGCTCTCCCCGACGTCGAGGTCGGGGACGGCGTCCTGCTACGCAATTTCTCCGTCAAGGCGGAGAAGGATAAAGGGTTTGCGCTTCGCAGTGAGGATAGTAGCAGCTGGGCTGTGTTTAAGCGGGAGCGCGTGACGGAGTGTCGGGGGCCGCCGGTGGAGATTGGAGAGGGCGAGGAGGAGTATGTGGCGAGGTTGAAGGAGTGGTGGGGGAGTAGGGGGGAGGAGTTTTTGGCGAGGTTGGGGAGGGTGGGGGAGAGTCCTTCGAGCGCGAAGGGGAAGAGTAAGGGGAGGGCGTGAATGGTTGGATAGATGGTTGCATGATTGACATAGAAAGCTCTGGATTAGAGTTGTGGGGGTGATATCTGGATACGGAGAATTTAGCAGTCGACTTGCTGTAGATCCAGACATAATATTATACAGCCCTTGGGCTATGATGAAGTTTTGACTATTCCTAAAAGAAGCAAAATTTACTTTAACAAGCCTGGCATAAACACCAGGCAGCCTCTGAGTAGCCTACTATGGTCCTAAGCCACAGGCCAAGAAGGGCATCGACACATACGTTAGGCGATATTCTAACAGGATAAGTCCCAATACTTCAATGGTCAAGAGAGAAACGCGACGGCGGTAATCATAACATCTCCCGAGACATGGGAATTGCACAACCATTGAGTTGCATAGCTAGGCTGGAGATTATAGAGGTCTCCATCACGGACTATTCTCGATTCTGTGCTGTTATTGTCACCGCTGAGCTGCTGCCGCACAGAGCTGCTGTCACCGCAAAGCTATTGTCCCAAAAGACTCCTGTCGCCGGAGAGCTATTGTTATCGAGTAATTCTCGTTACTGCCCTCCTATATATGCCTCACATCAGTATATATCGCTATTCGCTTTCTCAGCAGTCCATTTCGGTCCGATGAATGGTACTAACATGGCCCATGACAGGTTCTAGGTTTCTGGTGACGTGATGATCGTTGATGCCCTATCCTACTGCCCGATAAACGAAGAGTCCTGTTCGTAAGTCTTTATATGATGCAACCACACGCGTTGGATCACCAAACGTACGACATCACTCCTTGCACGCAAAAAGGGAGAAAGGTCACTGGCAAGGAGAGCCGAGACAAGAGACGAGAAGCGTATATATGGACACCCGTTTAATGAGTTCATAGTACAACCACCGACTATACAGTTAAGAAAATCGCTCTAGTTCCACATCTCCACCTCACCTACACCCCCCCATCCTACAAACCATCTTCTTTCCTCCCCATAGTAATTCCAAGAAGCTCTATGCGACTGATCATTACCCCTGCCCACTCCTTCGATTACACAGATTTTGTCATCTATTTGGACTCCTCTGGGAAGAGGTCCTCCTTCAGCTCAACGCCGAGCTCCTCGCGAATCGGGCGCAGCTCCTCGAGGTACTGCTCGTATTGGTTCTTGTTCTCGACCTTTGCCTTGATGCCTGCTTTTCATTAGCGTATGTCCACACACTTTGGCTTTCCTGCCAACTTTTTGGGCTTTCGGATGCGAGTGCTTACCTTCAAAGACACGGACAGCGGTGGGGTAGTCGTTGACGCGTCTTGCAGCCTTCAGGGCAGCAACGAGCACGGATGGCGATGGAACGAGATCGTATGCGAAGGCGTTGTTGAGGTTACGCTGCGTGGTACGATTAGCATACACCCCGCAACCCCTCTTCTGGCCCAACATAGCCAATTGAACATACCTGCAGCTCAAAGACATCCTGGACGGTATCGAACTCCTTCTCGTATCTAGATGCACCGCGTATCAGCTCACAGCTCTCCTGATGACGTCCAAAAGCCCTCGGTCCGATTTCTCCTCGGCATCAACACCCAGCACCGCAAGAGGTCCTCCAACAACGCCAACCACCAATTGGGTCTCCTTACCTGGCAGTGAACTCCTCGAAGCTCTCCTCGTGTCCGTGTCCGTCAGCGTTGTCGGCCTTGAGGACTCGTGCGGTCGAGAAAGCCGGGGCGTAGCTGACTCGGAGGACGGTCGAAGGGCGAGCGGCGCGGAAGCCAGCGGTGCGGCCAATGGCGCGCGGCAGGGCGCGCAGGACAGAGCTGGTGGACATCGTGTTGTATGATAGAGACAGGTTGTACTGGGGATTTCAAGGAACTGGTTCGGTATGATGGAAGCGTAGATTTTTGGTGGATGGCTCCTCGGAACAGGGCGGGTCAGGATTTCATGATTGGCTCTAATTCGTACATTAGTCAGCAAATAAGAAGGATGAGCTGCACGTGATAAGGAGACCTTGTAATGTTGGCTGCACGTGACTCCGATCGGCCGTTTACTGATAGCCTCGCTCGTCGCGGGCGATAAGACATTCTTAAGGAAACAAACTCACCTTGCGTTGGAGGACATTGGCAACCAACGCGGACGTCTTGTGCGGAGGGTAAGATACTGATGCGATCTATCCTTACTCACGTATTCTGACTTTCTCTTAGAATTATTGGCCGCCAAATACTGGCCTCACGAACTCACATGGCACCCCAGCCACATCCCGCATTTTGATTCCATGTCGTCGAAGCCCACGTCGGACTCAGAAGCTGTAATACTACAACCGCGTCGTCGCGGACGTCCACCGAGGAATCCAAGTACTGCCCCGCCAAAATCGCCTATAACTTCACAGCAAAATCATCTGCCTAAAGGCAAGAACCGACCAAGAGGAAGGCCGCGCAATAACTCCGTTCTGTCTCCTACCCCAGACTATACACCGTCCCCACAACGTCCTCGTCGCAAAGTAAAGAGGAAGCGAGAGACGCCCCAGAAGAAGTACGACGAGAACCAATTATTCGACCTTCGCGATATCCTAGACGAGAGCGAGACTCACTACCTAATCGATTGGGCGGACGACAAAGTCACCGGGGAGACATACGATCCTACCTGGGAGCCAAAAAGCTTCGTTGAACAAGACGCCATTGTTGCCTGGGAAGAAAAGAAAGCGCAGGTGAAGGCAGGGAATAATCCCATCCAGCAACCGCAGAGCCAAGACGCAGCGGAAGTGCTCAATCTCGTGTCACGGGAGGACCCAGGAGGAGAAACACCACTTGTTCCGGACTCTACCCAGGAGAGTGAACCAGTCAGGGAAGCAAAACGCAAGAGAACTCAAATCATTGTTGTCAACAGCCCTGCTTCGACTCAAGAGTCCCCAGATAGCCAGCCTATTAAGCCAGCTAAACGCAGCAGACTTACCACCGTCGCCCAGGAACTCCACAACGCCAACAATCGCAGACAGGCCTCTTCGGATTCTTTACCACCAGAAGGCAACGTTGTTATTCCAATAGAAGGATCTACGCCAACAAGACAAGTTCGTGAAGAAGGGCCACAGACCGTTCCAGAGTCACAATCTCAAGGCCATATCCGCGAAGTAGGAGACACCACCCGTATCTCGCAATTAGTCTGGGATCAATCGGCGACGCCTAATGAGCAAGTTCTATTTGCAGAAGATATTCAGGCAATAGACTTTGCAATATCTAGGAGTTCTCAAACTTCTAACAACGTACCGTATTCTGCAGAAAAATCATCTCTTACAACCAAGCCTTCAAATCATCCCACCTCGCAGCCAATATCGGACCATCTTCCAGAGATAGACGACAGTTTTGATACTATTGCAGAGACCCCACAACCTCATAACCGCAGTTTTGAAGTTCCACTTGCGCCTTTAGAAGAGTTTAATCGAGACAAATACATTGGTATCTCGCAAATTTCGTCGTTTACCTCCCAAGCACCTCCTACTGAACGATCATTACATCGCTCGCAATCTGCTGGAGATAAATTGCAGACAGTACAGGAAGACAACGGAGACCGCGTCATCCCAGATTCTCAAGAGGCAGCCGGAGCCAACAGTGCAGACTTTCGAAGGTCCATCCGGAGTAGAACCTGGCCAGGTTCTCTAGAAAGGGGAAATTCTACGGTACATTCACCACCTCGCCACGATCAGGCCAAGACCAGTCCGAACGGAAATAATCTGATTCAGAACGATATATCAGGCATTGAACAAGGTTCCACCATTGTTCACGGCATAAATTCCGAAGCGCAAGAAAATACTACTACATACGGAGAGACGATATCCGACGTGAACGCGCCCACAGCCAACAACATTCCCACCGAAGACAGCTGGCTCACTACAAAAATCGTCCCGTCTCAAGTGCCCAACCCGCAGTCCCAGAATTCTAGTTTTCACGAGGCTACGCCTGTTTCTAACGGAGGATTCCTTCCTGACGCCGAAATCACTGCTGCCGAGCCATCGCCGAGCCAAAATTCGCCACCATCCACTCCCAAACCTAACCTTTCACGTCTATTTCTACCCCAAGTATCGTCGAGCGCCAGAACATCGGAGGACCGTTTCCAAACACAGCTACCGTTCAGCACCGATACTAGTAACATTGATAGCCAGGATCTCAGTTTTTACAACAGAAGCTCTGGTGTCCACCGAGGCCATTCTCTTTTGCCGATATCCACTGATTGTTCCGATAACGAACTTGACAGGCCAGTGACTGCAAGTCCACTTGAGAGAGACGTCGCGTCTTCTAATCAAAGTTGGCAAGCCGCCCAGATTGTCCAAGACACGGAGATTCTATCACAAACCAGCTTAGAATCTACCAAGGTATTCAAATCAACAGAAGTCGAATCCAGTCATAGATCTAGAGACTGCCCTGAAGAAATTTCTCTGACTCCAAATAATCTACATTATCGGTTCTCGCCGCGTTCCCGTAATAAGGAAGACAGTAATAGAAAACGGATAGCATCATCAGAAGAACTACCAGAAAGCATCATCATGAGTGTTGAAAGGCAAGACGAGTCGGAGCTCGTTCAGCGGCCTTCATTGCCGTCCACCTCTGCATCGCCCGCGCCTGTTTCGAGAGGCGGAAGTTCCGTACAGGATCGACCTCCTGCCGTATTCAATTCCAGTACAAACGTAACCGAATTTCTCCAACAAGCACGCCGGGATGCAATTGCCGCTGTACGAGCTAGAACGGCTTCCGCAAATTTACTTAGGAGTAGCGAGCCTATACAAGCAAACGAGCCATCACAACCGCCAAGTATAGTGAGACAAGAACTGCCAGTACGAGAAACGATATCAGGCTTGGACGAAGGATCCATGGCAGCTCCGGATCTGGCTAGAATTGAATCACCAGATGAAGAGGAGGTTTCAAGCCCGCAACTCCCATTGCGACCCTTCGGATCAAGCGACCATATAGTCCTAATTCCCATGGTGTCCACAGTGCGAGACATGTATAGTTCTCAGGTGCCTAAATATAGACGAGAGATAGAATTATTACGCAAAGGCGAGCAGTTGGATCTTCTGGCTACGGCAAAGATCGACCTGATGATTGAGAACCTCAAGCTGCTCGGAGATCACAAAGAGTTGTTCTCCGAAGAAGGCTTTTCACAGAGTGGAACATCTAAAGAAGCCATATCAAAATGGGCTTTGACTTGCAGCCCCAAATGCTACTTTCTCGAGAGACTTTTCGAATCAGTGAGAGATTCAAGCAGCCATGTTGCGGTCCTTGCTCGCCCAGGAAAGATGATGGATATTTTGGAGGCCATACTCCAGACGCATAACTTCAACTATTACCGACCCGATAAACAAAGTCGTTCTGATATGTCCGCTCGAGGAACCCTTACGGTTACTCTTCTTCCTACAGGCTTCAGAGGTGGGCAGTTCGTGGTTAATCCAGCTGATGCTGTAATAGCATTTGATTCGACCTTCTTCCGTGGGGAGCGGTACTCAAAGGCACTTCGTGCTCATACATACGACCCTACAAAGCAGTTTCCACTGATCATGTTGGTTGTTGAAGACTCTGCAGAACATTTTGAGCTTTGTCTGCCGGAATCCCTGGACCCTATGGAAAGGAGGGGCTACCTCGTGCATTTCATCTGTCAGCAGCGAAAGGAGGTCGGATTAAACACTAAGATCCGACCAGAAGATGCTGCCGTATCAGTTGGTAATTATCTGAAAGCGAGCTCGAGTAATCACAATGGTGTTGACGGGCCATTGGAGTGGCCTTTACCGCCTAATCGTTACATCTCGAATCTTGACGTGCCAGATTCGCTACTACCTCAACAGTCTGGCTCGACCACACAATCTCGCGATGTACAAACTTCAGGACCTGCATCACTCCAAAACATGACCAAGAGGCCCCGCGACGATCTACTGGACGACGACTTATCAAAACGGATGCGAATGACTCCAGTTCCTCTCGAGGTCGCTTTAAGCGGACAGGTCTCACATATCACCGATTCTCTAGGATTCCAGACACAGTTTAATGCCTCCTCACTGCCATCACTCACCAACTCAGCCGAACAGGCCATCGCAGCTACCGCCACATTAGACCAAGAGCGGTCAGACCAAGAGCAGTCAGACCAAACGACACAACTTCTAGCAAGGGTAAGCCGTCTAATGTGCACCCTCACCCCCAAAGTACCCATACTAACAACCCCCAGATCGCGGACCTAGAAAATCAGCTCGAAGCCAAGACAGCCACGGAATCTCGCATCCATGAGCTTGAGGCACAACTCCATGAGAATGATAAGGACAACGCACGTCTTCGCCAGTCCAACGCAACCCTCGAGCTCAAGCTAAACGAGCACATCGCCCTCGTCAACAAATTCGTCTCCCAATCCCGCGACTCCGGCAACCAGCGCCGCATCGCCGAAGCCGCCACCACCGCCGCCGAATCCCGCGCCTCAACCCTCCACACCAAGCTCGAAGCCCGCTCCACGCAGAACATCGCCATGCTAGCCAAGATCGGCGACCTCGAGGCCGAGCTGACCACCGCGCGCGCTGCCCTCGCATCCTCCGCCGTCCCGGAGCAGCGCGAGTTCGAGGCCCTCCGCGAGAAGGCCGCGGAGGCGCAGGCGGAGCGCGAGAAGCTCGAGAAGCGCGCTGTGAGCGCCGCGAAGGACTTCGAGTTCACGCGCGAGCAGTATCAGAGGGCGTCGAATCAGGCGGCGGAGCTGGCGAGCGAGGTGGCGGGGTTGCAGGCTGAGAAGGTGGTGTTGGAGAGGAGGGCGAGCGAGAATATAGTGAGGGTTAGGGAGATCCAGGCGAAGAGCGAGGTGGCGCAGTTGAAGGATAGGATTGATGAGTTGGAGGCTGAGGCGGAGTTGTTGAAGGCGGATTTGGGGAGGAAGAATGAGGAGCTTAAGGCGAGGGGGGTGAGAGGGCTGAGGGGAGCGAGTGTCCCGAGGAGTCCGAAGGTGGCGGGGATGGGGATTGCGGGGAGTCGGGGGAGTAGTGTGGCGCCGGGGGAGGGGAATGGGTTTCCGCCGAGATGGGTGGGGATGATGGGGTGAGCGTGGTGGAGGGGCGTTTGGGACAGCTGTGATACCATTGCGGACAGATAAATTTGTTGCTGGTGATTGTAGAGCTGATTTGCTTTAATATCTCAAGATGTGATGAGGGAAGAGAGGGGGACACGGAGGAGCTAATGGGGCTGGTTCGCAGGTTTTTACCCTGCTTCTCGAATATATATTTGCTTTTCGTTAGATTTTGGTGATTGAATCCAAAGAGTAAATATTGGCGACGTTCAACCTTCGTATATGATTACTCTCGGTGTCGTAGGTTTTTGAAAATGTGATGTTTGTCGTGTGGGGTAAATAATAATTGTAATATTTTTCAAAATTTATATATTTTCAATTTAATATTCAAATCCCAACTCAAGACATAATTATTCCTTTTCCCTCAAGCACAAAAAACCCACGGCCAGTGGGAGAGACCGCCAATGAACCACGCTACTGAGTATATCAGGACTCGGGCTCTGTCGAGATAGGACTCGCCAGCACCAGAAACTTTCCGTATGAGACACGGTCCAGGAGCACTCCAGTACTGCCGAGGATCGCAATTCCGCTGGAACCCTGAAGCAGCAGCTGCTGCTACAAACATAGTGGACAGTATATAGGTCAGCGACCCGACTAGCCTCCATTGACAACATGATTCTACGACAACAAGACTCTGCCGACAGGAAGATATTGACAGCAAAACTTTACCGACAACATGACTCCTGTCGACAACAGGACTCTGGATAACACACGAAGGTTGCTGACATCAAGAATAATATGCTGAGGTAAATAATAAGAGATAGAAGACTTCCGCTGTACGAAATGGACAGCTGTTGCTGTATGTAACTGGTTGAATTGTTGAGCGAGCAGTGTCTAACTTCAGGGGATTTATACCTGTGTTCAACCCGAAGCCTGGCTTGAAATAATATACTCCCTGGTCCAGAGACAGTTCTTGGCCCTGGGGCTACGAAAATATGGACGGTTAGTTATTTTTAATATCCCAAAAAAAATGGAAACAGAAGTCACCCAAGTTAAGTCTACATCAACATCACAGTCACGAACCACATGGACACACAATTTTTTTTTGAAATCTTTTAATGTCATTCAGTATACTACCGAGACATCATCCTCAATGCGCCATTAGCAGCCACATCCATGATTTATAAGCAAACGATGCATAATCAACGACACCCCTCAACCCAGCAAACCGACACTTAATCCTCCTTGAGGATCTGTGCGAACGGCTTTCCAGCAGCACGCACCGGCTTTCCGGCCTCGAGAGCCTTGGTGCCGATCTTGTCCTTGGAGTAGCCAGCAGCGTATGGGTTCAGGCGGAGCAGGACCTGCTTGTTGCGGAGCGGGTTCTTCTTCTGCACGGCGGTGCGCTTGGTGCGGGCCTCGCCCTTGGCGGCGCGGACGACGGTCTGGATTTCGGAGGAGTTGATGAGACGGCCAATGTCAGCCTGGGTGACGATGGCGGATGGGAGGAGGAAGTCCTTCTTCAGCGCCGAGGGGGCGGTGGTGGAGCCGTAGACGGTGTCGAGGGCCTTGAAGGCGGAGGAGGTCCAGATGACGAAGCGTCCGAGGTGGCCGCCAGGTGCGAGCTGGAGGAGGTTCAGCGCGAAGACGGAGGAGGTCTCGACACCGGCGATGTTGCGGAAAGCGAGCGAGAGCTCAGTTCCGTCCTCGAGCGGGTTGTAGACGACGAGGGGTCCGCGGCGTTGGCGGTGACGGCGGCCACGGAGCTTACCCTTTCCGGCGCGGAGCTTGCGCGAGGCCTTGACCTTGGAGACGTCAGCACCGGCTCCGACGGAGCTGAGGAGAGCGACGGCAGCGGCGGTGCGGGAGATCGAGGCGTTGGCGAAGACCTCGGAGTTGATCACGAGAGGAACCTCTGGGACGGTGGAGATCTGGTGACCGCGGGCGAGGAGGAGGGATGGGACGGAGGATGCAGCCAGGGCGGAAGCAGTTGCGAAACGCCTGGGGGTTTGTTAGTTTCTGGAGATATCATATGAGGCTGCGTAATCGCGCTTTTTTTACTTACTTCTGTCCCAGGTTGATCTTCTGGTGCCACTTGCGCCAGACCTTGGTAGGGGCGAACATGCGACCGGATCTGCACATGTTACCGAAGGCAGCCTGACCAGCACGGTGAGTTCCGCCTCCAGAGACACGAGGAATACGGGCAACAGCGCGACCTGTGAGGTTTTTCAGTCAGCATTTCTGTTCTCTGGCAGCAAGCAATTCCACCGCATCTTCTGTTTCTGTAGCGTTCATGCCGGGAGTGTCTCTCCCTCCTGTCCCCTCTCTTTCCCCCCTCCTTCCTTCCTCTCAGACATGTATAAAATAGTTGTACTAACCAGTTCCCCAAGACTCAGCAGAGGTCTGGTGACCAGCCTTCTCAGCGACGGAGTATGGCTGACGCTTGTTCTTGGCCATTCCGGTGTGGACAGTCCTGTAGAGCACATCAATCAGCAATTGCCCTCACAATCTATCTCCCTGTGGCGTCGCGCCGGGATTTTGGTATAAATTGTTGAGTTTGTGGTTGAACATACTGGACGATATCCGGGCGGATTGGCGAAGTGAAGACGCGCGGGAGAGGGTGAGTCGCGCCGCTGGCAGTGCCATCGGCGGACAGGATCGTGACTGTTGGTCGGGAAGCCATTTCGTCGTCGGTTGTCGAGATGTTGGTTGTCGGCTTCAAAAATTGGCAACTCGAAATTTCGTCGGTTTCTCGCGAATCTCGAAAGTGGGTTGCTACTATTGGAAGCCCTAGCACTAAGCGATGGTGGTGGCTGAAAGGGGGAAAGGGTTGTTGGTAGTGTGGGTGCCTGGATTACTAGGTGTGAAGGGGAGTGAAGAGGGTGTGGCTGGATTGACGACACGGAAGGGAGAAACGAAGAACCTTAAAAAGTTAGAAACCACGTGACAAAATGAAATCCAAAATCATGTGATTACCCCACGTGACAAAAATGAAATATATGTCATGTGATATTATTGTTGATCACCCCACGTGACCAACCGTATTCTAATTTCTCAATTCCCATTTTCTCCCATGGCTCCTCTCTCTCCCCTGTCTGTCTCTATTATCATGTGACATTACAGCCCAATTACTCCACGTGACTACCCATAAATCCGAGGCTGCGTGCGTGTACATCATCTAATTTCCCGAATTTCCCCCCAAAACCCCCCCTAAAATCCCCTAAAATTCCCCATTTTCCCCATTTTCCCAGCGCTTCTTCACCCTTATTATCATGTGAAAGACGCGCATTCCCAATTCCATCCCATCAAATCATATCTGGCATCACATCTGCCACTAACCCAACCAAACATTCTGCACCCAATTACCATCCCCTTATTCCCAATTAACCAATTATTCAAAATATTCAAAATAAAATTCTTCCACTGACCCTACAATTATCTAATTAAATTCATAATATTCTTCTCATTCCTGCCGATTTTTGTCATATTTTTATTGCCTCGTACAATAATTCCTGTTCATTCTAGAGCAAATACAAACCCATACAACCCTTGTAAATAACTAAATTCCAACTGTTCCACCCCCCCTAACACGGCCTGATGTCAGTTTGGAATTCCCCCTTTCGCTAATCTCGGTGCCATTTCCGCCAACTTTACTTTTCTCTCCACATAAACACGATCCCCCTTCTCTTTCCCCCCCCCTCAACCCATCACCACATTCAATTGTGTTTTGTATTTTGTCAGGAGGTCATCTTTGTTGGTGATCATAATCCCTTTCTTCACTTCTCGTCATTCCTTGATTGAAATTGTCACGCTTTTTTTACCTCCTTCTCTCCCCATCTTTCCGCATTCGGCAACAGCTCACGTAAGGAGTCGCGCGACCTACTTCGACCAACTTTTTCTCCGAACTTCCGATACTCTCGACAGACAACCCTTTTCTTTGGCTTCACGCCCTATAACGAACCTTCGCGGCTTCCTCTCGCATTTGCGCATACATCTCCCTTTTTTCTAAAGATGTCGGCTTCACCAATCGACCAGATCCTCGGGGCCGTCCAGCGCCCGACGATCGACCGCCCCTTCGGCGTCCACCTCTGGCCCATCTTCGACAAGGTCTTCACGGCCATCAAGGGATACCACCCGCAGGACTTCGACTTCCAGCCCCATGTCACTCCCATGTCGACCATGAAGGAGACCGCTGCGCTGATCTTCACATACTACGTTGTAATTTTCGGCGGCCGCGAGCTGATGCGCAACCGCCCGGCGTTCAAGCTCAATGTACCCTTTATGGTCCACAACTTCTACCTCACTGCGATCAGTGGCATACTGCTGGCCCTCTTCACCGAGGAGCTGATCCCAACTCTGTACAACAAGGGCCTTTTCTTTGCCATCTGCGACGTCAAGGGTGGATGGACTAACCACCTGGTTATCCTGTATTATGTATGTCGTCTGAAAGGAGTACAATCGGAGCAATTGCTAACATATTGCAGCTTAACTACCTCACCAAGTACCTCGAATTGATCGATACCGTCTTCCTGGTCCTGAAGAAGAAGCCATTGAGTACGTGACTTCATTCTTCTTTCCAGGCCAAAACTAACCACATACAGCCTTCCTCCACTGCTACCACCACGGCGCCACCGCTCTCCTCTGCTACACCCAGCTCATCGGCCTCACCTCCGTCTCCTGGGTCCCTATCACGCTCAACCTGATGGTCCACGTCGTTATGTACTGGTACTACTTCCAGAGCGCCCGTGGCATCCGCATCTGGTGGAAGGAGTGGATCACCCGTCTCCAGATCATCCAATTCGTTATTGATCTCGGTAAGCTCTCTCAAACACCCCCCAGTTCCCCTCTTCAAACCCCCACTAACCCACCCCCACAGTCTTCGTCTACTTCGCATCCTACACCTACTTCACCTCCACCTACTTCAAGTGGATGCCAAACGCCGGCCAATGCGCAGGTGAGGAATTCGCCGCCTTCGCCGGAATGGGCATCATCTCCTCCTACCTCCTCCTCTTCATCTCCTTCTACATCGCCACATACAAGAAGGACGGCAAGCGCCCCACCGGCCGCAAGGCCGCCCGTTCCCTCAAGGACGCCGAGCTCCCCGACATCGCAGCCATCACCCAGGGCAAGATCCAGCCCGCCAAGAAGGCCAACGGGAACGCTGCTGCGGCCACCCCTGGTCGCGTCACCCGCTCGAGGAAGGCTTAGAGGGCGCGTAATTGGTTTTTTTTGAATCAATTGCGTTTGCCGTTGGGGAGGACTAAGCTGGAGTTGAAGTGAAAATGAGAACGGGAGAACCTGGCGAGGCTTGTGGGAACGCCCTCTTTTGGCCTTTTGTGCTTTTATTTTGGAGGGGGGCGTTTACCTGGGGGTTTCCTGCCGTTGTGGGTTCTCTGTGGTTGGTGTATGAGTATGGGTATGAATAGAGGGGAGAGGAGATGGCTGTCCGTATATGTGGCGTCGGTGGGGATGTTAAAAGGGGGGCGCATGTATGGGAATATGGAGCGGACGGACGTGGGCGGGGGCGTGTTGGACGTCGGGGTGGTGGACGTCTGAATGCGTGTGTATCAGTGATGGTGGTGGTATCGGTGTCGGTGTAATGCCGGGGTTAAAGGGGCCTAGATAGATTATGATGAATTATTATTAATTGATTCTTGTGTTCTTTTGAGGGTTTGGCTTGTTGTTGATACCTTTGGCTCGACTCGGATACTATAACGCAAGATGAAAAAATATTGCGGGGAACATCAGACGGAGAGTTCTTTGCGGATTTTACATTCCGTATACTAAAAACCAACCTCGAGGATCCAGAACGAGCTCATGAGAGTGATCGCCCTCCACGCCCTCTGCAGTGCCGGGGTTTATCCCCGAAGATGCATGACAGCATCATATTCTCAGTACCGCATGTCACTGCGCTTTCGTACCGTCATTTAATACGTTCCTACCGCCGCTTCTCACCACCACACTTCTCACCACCGAACTTCTCTCGCCCGCACTTCTCACCACTGAACCTCTCACCACCGATGCATTTCTGAGAAGGTGAAGAACGCGCAAAAGCAGCCTGACACTTGTGGATAACGATAGTGCCACGAGGATGCGCAGGGACTATCAGTAAATTAGAACCCCTTGACCGTATGTGACAAAAGTAGAGCTGTATGGCCAGCCCTGCGCAGGTAATATAATGTTTGTTGCCTATCGATGACTCCTCCACAGTTTGCTCGTGGGTTTCTTGTGCAAATAGTCCATCCGATAGGGGTAATTGGAGATTGAGGTCTGGTTCTGGTAGACCCTCTGTAAATGTTTGCCCAGACCCTCCCCTGGGAGCATTCTGGACACGAGTATATCATTTAACTGTGAACTGATGAAGCAGGCTTCTTTCATGGAGTCTGATATAAAGCTCAATCCCGACACTTCGCACATGGCGCATGATTAATTCCGGGACTACCCATCATCCCAGCCATCCCAAGGCCAGAACATAAAGCTAAACTAAGTAGAAATATAAACGAAAAATATGTAACAGTGGGGTATCCGCTGTCACTCACCCACCCAATTACCAACCCACTGATCCCAAGCAACCACTTCCTTGAGATCTTCAGCCGGTAACATCCGGTGAGAGTTGCTGCCTCGAGTCTTTGATACCCTCCCGATGATCCGGCTGCTTCCCCTTAGTTACGTGATGACTACTACTTCGACGACGTAGGATATGTCTCTCGTATTGAGAGGCATGGACGCGACGCACTGCGCCTTGAGATATCCATGGATGATTTGGATGATCTCAGTGACCAATAGTGACTAAGTCTAAGCAAGGAGATCAGGGAGAGCAAGGCAGGGTGTCCGACGGTGAGCCGCTCAGACTCGCTCACTAATCATCATAATTGCTTCGACCAAGAATAAACAATGCACCCTTGGCAACGCTACTTAAAACAAGCATGTAGAGGCGGGAAATATACTCGAGGAGTACGTAAGTCTTGACACTATATATGGGGCTGCTAAGGGGGATATTAGGTTTCGTGCCGTTGAGGGTGCGGAGGAGGCGTTAGTGTGGCTTGATGGAAACGTTAAACGTCAACGGCAGCATCGACACCTGCCTAAAATACTGCTTCAACACAGTCCCCTCCAAACACTTTCTCTCTGAATTTTGTCAAATAACACCTAATTCCGTAGATTCCACGACTCCGCGGGTTATAGTAAGCGTATTCTCTTGCCTCCCCGGCAGTTACCTTACCATATCCACCAGGGTTCGCATCAAGAAGCTTTAGGCTGTTATGAAGGTGCTTATCCTACCCTAATTAGCACTAGAGATTGGTCAATAGGGATATGTCAAGCGGGAGCGGCTGTAAGCACAGGAACGAAGCTAGCCTAATCAGGACATCCGTGGACGACTATGACACATGAGGCGGCAGGCGGTTGGCTTTGATGTGAGAACGGTGCGGTGTATGGGGGATGAGAGGGGTTGATGATGTGGTGGCGGGATGTAAGGAACCCGTTTGACTCAAGGGGTCTTACTTAATTTCTTACCATGTATATTCTATCGATTTTCTATTCTTGGTATCTGATGCCGGCAATGCAGCCGGCGAACATGCAATCGCCGGCGGATATCCAAACACCGCGCCCGTTTGACTCGGGGATAGCATTCACCAGCCTGTTTCTGCCAGCAAGGTCGTCTCTTGTATTTCTAAGCTCTGATGGAGATCTTTGCTGTTTTTGCTCTGTAAGAATTGCAGGGAATAGTAGAGCTCTAAACTACGTTTATCACTAGCCCGCTTTCATGAAACTAGTCAGTTCAGCTTTTACGTACGGATTATCAGATCACCGTTCAGCACGGCAGTTATTTGAGTTCATGAGATAGATGTTCTTTGAGAGTAATCAGAATCTAGACAGTCTTGCCTCCGACAAACAAAAACATGATACTGAATCCCATTCTGTTACCGCATTTCATCCGCCGGCTCGGAGAGAGACAGCAGCAACTTTAATCGGCAGAAGCCGCCATGGTGCAGCGCTGGTGGCAACAGGGGTAGCACAGTGCTAGTTTTAGCTGATCTTAAATACGCATAATTATAGGGGCGGCCAAAATCTTATCACTGAAGGCCAACTATGCTCCACAATCCATAGCTTGAATTTCCTTGTTTTTGCTAGCCCTTGGCAAAGAACCTCCAATTCCCTGCTATACGCCTACATGGAGGGACCTATACGAACCCTCCCCACGTTTGACATAAGTTCACGCAGCTGAGCTGCAGGGCAGGTTACCAAAGAGCTCAATTAAGCAAGTGCCAAGGATTTCCAAAGCTCAATGGTCACCATTTCGTGCCGAAAGATCCGTCTTACTGTATTCTCAGTTAAGGCACAGTTGTGAGAACGTGCTTGGTGATCTCAACAAAATACTGTCGAGGCTCTCAAGAAGAAATATAAATACCCCGTTGAGTCTCGATATTCTGCTCCTTTGAAGTATCACCCTCAACATCTTCGCCTCTTCCCCTACCTCGCTCTCATTCCAACACAAAGCTCGCCCCGAGTAAATCAGTCTCGTCAAGAACACCAGTAGCAAATATGCAAATCAAGAACTTCCTTCTCCCTGTGGCCATGCTGGCTAGCACCATTGCCGCCGAGGGCATCAACTGCCAGTAAGTATCATGCTCACCCACCACAATATTTCTAACCCCTATACTAACCCTTCACCACCAGCGGCTCCTCCAACTGCGACACCGCCCCAGACAACGGACTCAGCCTGAGCACTCTCGTTGACATCGTCAATGGCATCGACGACAACCGCTGGTACAAAGACGGCGAACAAATTGCCTGCGAATGGGCGGACTTCTTCTCCGGCGCCCTTTGCGTTTTCTGGCAGGGAAGCAACGGTAACACTGGACGTGAAACCAAGTCTTACATCCACGCCCTTGCCGACCATGGCTGCAAACGATGCGGCAGCGTGCCTTACGGATTCCCAGGGAGCAATGATATTCGTAACGGAATGCTCACTGTCAACTGGGCTACTCATGACTGCTTGGGCAATGGTGGAACTGGCGCTTGCCCATAGATGAGGAAATCAGCAGGCGTGACGGTGAACTTGGCCCACGCAATATGGCAAGACGTTGAAGCAGGTGGAGGAGTGCTTGGAGCAAGACGTGGGATATATTGGGCCACTTACAATTCTTAACCCATAGAAATTTGAATATCACTATTCTGCAAAATCTGATGGTATAATTGTGAACATGGCCGGCTGTATCCTTCTATATTGTCTTGGCTGAATTTGAACGGCACGTTTAAAGATACTGGAGGATTGGTGATGATATGGGGGACGTATAGACTGTTCTGAGACGCTGAGTGAAAAGCTGTTTTGGTTCAATCCCTTTATCTAGGCATCAGTGACGTCTACTCCGTTTATCCTTACTAGTCCCTGCACTAGATATGTCCTATTCTATGCGTGAAGCTAGTCGTCATTGCCCATTTGTTATGCTTATCATCGCAACTGCCAACTTCCCATAAGCCGGCCGTTCCTGCCAATTTACAATAAATCCCAGTTGTTCCTGCCTTATATAACCGTTTGGTCGCGCCTGCCTATTTATATTGACTTTATATCTAGTGTGGTTGCCATTTTATAGTAAGTTGTTGTATCGCTCCTGCCACCCACAAGGAGTTGGCGCTCTTTCCCACAGCGCATTTAGATTGCTCCTTCCAGCATGTAGAATAAATCTATCATGCATCATTACAAACCTCTTATCTCCAAGTGTCTCATTAAAATGGGAATCCCTACTAAACCCACAGCTGCTGCCTAAACCTCATTCCTTCGCGCTGACCAACCTCGCATTCCTTGGTGGTCGTCGTGCCGCGGCACAAAGTCGCGTAAATACCGTACGCGCGTAAGGCCATGCATGGTCGCAATTCACGATCCATACGCGTGGGCACGGGGTTTGGCGACCAATTAATTATCCACGCCATTGCGATTGTGATTGTAGGAATGCATGTATGTATGCAGGAAGGTTTCAAGGGAGGAGGAATGCTGACATGACTCCCTCGGCGAGGAGATGGTGTGGGGAGGGAGAGTCAGGGTGTGAGGAAAACGGTATAAGATGAGAGGAAATGGCGATATGTGTGGATACAATTCTGATAACAATGGCTTCCCAAACGTCCATGTCTGCTTTCGAGGAGTGGTTTGAGAAAGCCGCATCGCCAGGTCCTGAGCGTGAGATCCCGAGTTCTGTTGTCATTGTTGTTGATCAAGATGGTATGTCCTCTCGCCCCTTCTCCTCGTCAACCCCTAAAATGCCCCCGTTGTTATACCAATCGAAACCATAAAGATTCAATAGCTAATCAACACAAGGAATCATCTACACTAAATCCGTGGGCACTCAATCCGAAAGTCCCACCTCCCCTCTCGTCTCCAGACCCATCTCCTCAGACACCGTCATGTGGGTAGCGTCCTGCACTAAGCTCCTCACCTCCATCTCCCTCCTGCAGCTCATAGAGTGCGGACTCCTCTCCCTTGACGCTCCCGTTGCCTCTCTCCTCCCCGAGTTATCCGACCCCTCCGTCTTCACCGGCTTCAACGCCGCCAGTGCCCTGGAGTTCACTAAGCCAGAAAAGGAGATCACCGTGAGGATGATGATGTCCCACCAGAGCGGCGTGGGGTATGACATCGTGCACCCTTACATCACAAAGCTACGCAATCTCAAATCCGCAGCTGGCGAGGTCGTCCCTGATAACCTCTCTTGGGTAACTCTCCTCCCCGAGCCCTGGGGCACAAGACCGCGAGAGAAAATCTAACACTAGCAGGAATCTCAAATCCAACCCCTAATGGCGCAGCCAGGCACCTCCTGGATCTACGGCGCGAACTTCGAGTTACTCTCACGCCTTGTCGAGCGCATCAGCGGCGCTCCCTCGCTCGGCGCGTACATGAAGGAACACATCTTTGGTCCCCTCGGCATCACCCAGGCGACCTTCCACCTCGCCTCCAGCCCAGACATGCAGGATCAGATTATGGACATGTCAACGCGCGACGTAGACGGAAAGGTAGTACCGTCGGCTCTTGAAAATTGGTGGAAAGACCGCACCTTCGACTCCGGGGGCGCAGGGTTGTACATCACGCCCGGCGAGTACGCCAAGGTGCTCTGCGCGATCCTGCGGAACGACGGCGCGCTCCTCAAGCCGGCGACGATGGAATTACTCTTCGAGCCGCAACTGGGTCCGGAAGTGCAACAGACCTTTGAAAGCACGCTCTATGATAACGGCGGGGCACCTGTTTTTTCGTCCGGTTTGCCGCGTGGCGCGAGGACCACGCAAGCGTTAGGGGGGACAGTGTGTAGGGAAGATGTGTATGGTGGTGTGAATGGCGGAGAGGGGAAGCGCAGGAATAAGGGGAGCTTGAACTGGGGCGGCTTGCCGAATATGCTTTGGATGGTGGATAGGGAGAAAGGGGTGGGGATGGTGTGGGGTACGCAACTTATGCCGACTGGAGATGTGCGAGTGCTAGATGGGTGGAGAAGGGTGGAGGAGGCGCTGTATGCGTCTAACCTAAGAGAGGCACGAGAGGGATAGGGGTAAATTATGTAGTAGTTTAGATAGTATTTCTTATTTGAAAGTCACAGCTTGTTATCCCTATCCTAGACAAGCCCAACCCACCTTAAAATCATGGATATGCCTGCATCTCCCACATACGACCATATATCCAAGAGATTGGGCATCCCGTCCGATCTGCCATACAAAAGCTTGTAATCCAGTAGATTAATGCTCTTATTTTCCATGATCTGCCATATATGAGACAAAAGGGCAAGTCACGTAATACAGGCCTAGTATCGAATGGTTGGGCAAATAGGGCCTCTTTAAGAGCGGAACGGAGATACGAGGGGTGACGAGCCTCGACCGCGAGAATGGAGCCAGAGTCCGTGAGATAATCTTTACTTATGATGCCGGCAGCTACACCGAAGTAGGCGGAGAGTCCAACGCCTTCTAATATTGAAGCGGTAGCCACGAACATGTTGACGTTAGTGACGCCGAAGGCATACGTACACTCTGCAACGAGAGCGGCGCCAGCAGGCTATGGAACAGTCAGTCGAAAACTCTATGAAGAATTTCAGGGACAAACTAACCCCCCAAGGTCGAAGTTGAGAACTTGACGTGGGTTGCCTCATCATTAGAGAGCCTCTAGACGTTAGCATAGAAGGTTGCATCGTAGCCAGCATTAGCGAACTGCTGCTGTGAATTCGCCAGGCCTTCCCTGTAGAAGTTGTCCTCAAGGTGTTCGAGGAGCCTTTCCGAAAAGTAGGGCCGATCTGACTGTTCCTCAGTCCTGACATCCTAGCTTAGTGGCTCACTTTCATTTGGTAGTTCGTTACCGTTTATTAACACGAACAGCGGTTAAATTCTGCAGCCAGTTAAGTTCAGGAGATCATCGTAGGAATGCCATCCACCCCTGCAAAGAGCAACGCGGGGAAATCATTACAGGTTGGGGAATCTATAATTCCGTAATCTATAATTCCGTATTTTTCTCCGAGAGCTCCTTCTCTCCGCAGTCTAACAGCGCCATCAACCATTTGCTATTCCGACGTATAAAGATGTCCGCGACCCACACAGTATGGAACCTCTCAAACGGCCAAGCGTACTACTATTTCACTAGAGAACGCTACGTCCCTCCGCAGAAACTAGCTCTTGCTAACCTATCGCCGCAATGGGTATCATTTCTGTTAGCGATGGGACATCCGACCCCATCGTCACCCACCTAGCAGCAGAGGACAAGGTGCCCTGGTATAAGAAGCCAAACCTGAGAACGATGTACTTCTTTCTCTTCTGCTGCTGCATGGGAATAGAGATAACTAGCGGTTTTGACTCTCAATTGATTAATACGCTGGTTGGTAACTTATGCCTTTGCCCATCAAACTCAACGCTCACTCTCTCTTATAGCAAATTTCGCCAGCATTCCTCAAGTGTTTGTGACAACCTATTATCCCTCACCTACCCAGACAGCGTGCGTAAACTGTGAATAGGGGCTAATAAATTTAAGACTTTGGCGATGGCTATACAAACAAGGATGGGGAACTAGCGATTAAGCCATCAATGTTAGGCTTCATCTCATCTTGCTACCAGCTTGGCTCAGTTTTCGGTGTCCCAGTTGCACCGTACTTTAACCAGCGATTTGGTCGACGATGGTCAATTATGGCAGGATCTCTTATTATGTGCGCTGGAGCGCTTCTACAATGCTTCGCTCAACACGGTACGTGGGCTGTCACAGTAATTCTTTCCAGAGTTTTAATATCTCTATAGTGGCTATGTACATCGTTGCTCGTATGATTCTCGGATTTGGCATTGTTTTGTGTATCATTGCTGGATCGGCCTTAATTGGCGAGCTTGGTCACCCTAAAGAGCGATCCATTTTAACTTCTCTGTTTAATTCGTCCTACTTTATCGGCTCCATCGTCGCATCCGCCATCACGCTTAGAACTGTCGATATCCCAAATGACTGGAGTTGGCGGGTGCCTTCTATCCTCCAGATATGCCCGTCCGTAATACAGATTTCGCTCATCTAGTACGTTTTGCGAATGCTTTCCGTCAAGATATCGAGTATAGACTGACTAGTAGATAGCTTCCTACCAGAAAGCCCTCGTTGGCTGATCAGTAAGGACCGCGACGACGAAGCCTTTGCTATCTTGGTCAAATACCACGCTGAGGGAGACGCGGACTCTATACTCGCCCGTGCGGAAATGGCTCAAATCAAGTCGACTATCGCAATCGAGCTGGACCACTCAAAGCAATCCTGGAGGGACATGATTAGAACACCCGGCATGCGTCGTCGAGTCCTCATCGCGTCGATGATGGGTCTGTTCACACAGATGTCCGGCAACACACTGCTCTCATACTATTCTAGCCTCCTCTTCGGCATGATGGGGTATACGTCCACTTTTGCGAAGACTAGAATCAACCTCGCCAACAACTGCTGGAGTCTCCTCACAGCTACCATCACTGCCTTGATCATCACGAGATTCAAGCGTCGCTATATGTTCATGCTTTCTGCGGGGCTTATGTGTACCGTATTTATAGCAATAACTGTTTGTTTCGAAAAGTTAGGCGAAGCAAAGGCTGCGGGTGTTAAGAATGGAGCAGCTGGGATTGCCGCCCTAGTTTTCTACTTTTCATACCAGCCCTGTTACAACATTGGCAATAACGCACTTACATACAGTAAGCCTTTACCTTATTATTAAGCCTCAAACAAAACACCCTGCTAACACCCAGCAGCTTACCTTGTCGAGCTCTTTCCCTACGCTGAACGCAGCCGTGGCATCGGAGTCGAGCAGCTCTTTGGAAAACTCGGCGGCTTCTTCTCTAGCAATGTTAACCCAATAGCCCTAGATGCAATTTCTTGGAAGTTCCTTGCAATCTACTGCGGCTGGATCTGCTTTGAGCTTATATTCGTCTACCTCTTCTATCCTGAGACCCAGGGACGTACACTCGAAGAGCTTGCCTTCTGTAAGCCTACTTACCTCCTTGCCCTGATACTCAAGACTGGCGAGGGTTTAAAGTGGATTGATTACTGACTTGTGTGCACAGTGTTTGAAGACAAAGCGCTTGCTGACCAGGCCGTTGAGGCTGTGGAGAAGCAAATCCATTTTGGAGGGAAGGAGGAGGACGACACCAGAAGAGAGAGCGTGGCGCATGTTGAAGCCTAAGAGGCCAATTGTTACGGTTCACCCCACCACTAACGTCAGGCGAGGGATTGGCTGAGGAGCCACATATGAGAAACTACACTCGTTAGCTGAGAGGAGGATGCAGGAACTAGGAACATGTGATCCTGATCCTAGGGAGATCTAAGATCATTAGGCACGACGCCACTATATAAGTAGATGGTTAGTTCATAGATAGGAGCTTCGTGTTTAATTCAATATAGTATGCCTTTTTGGACTTTTAATATCCTGGCCTTAGCCGAGTGCCACCCTCTGCGTTCATGGAACAAGGGACCCTTCATGCTAAAAGCCCAACATTCTCTGATTTTGCCCAACTATCGAGGGGTTCGAAGAATGGCTATAGCCGAACCCGCTTTAAGTCTACACCTCACGTAATTGAGAACGTTATGCTCGTGAGGCATCCTTGATAATCTCAGAAGTCATTGGGTTTCGCAGGAGGAAACCCCCGTACAAGCGCGACCCACAAGGCTCGGCCCGACGCGGCACTGATACCCGCTGCCAAGGATATAAAGTCGCTTCGCCACAAAAGAAAGAAGAGTCACCATGTTGGTCTCGCAATCTCTGGCGTACTGAGCAATCACCAGTTGACAAGAAACTCGGTCGCATAATTCTAGCCAGTCAGTCGATCGGGCTTACTGCAATCTTGGTCATGTTCCCAACTAAAGCTCGACCCCCTGCGGTTAAGATCAACAAGGCTCGCAGGCAGCGCGCCGCGCATTGATTTGGTCCCAAGATACTGCGTATATGTTGGTATATATTCCCTATAATTTGCAGCGGAATGACGATAGAGCGAGTGCGCCTGCATATACGAAGGTGCTAAGTCTACACGCCGGGGGAGGTCCCAGACCAGTGGTGAGAGTGATGGCCTTACCATGGGCCGGGCGGTCGGGTCAGGGCCGAGGAGGAGGACAAGGCTAACGAGTCACACAAAGCGTTTGCCGCCGTGTAAGACAGGGGAGTTTAACACATGGCAGTATACTGGTACAGCCTGATACATTGTGTATAAGTATTGACTGTATGAATTTTTACCTGTGTTTGCTCCTGCCCCTCGCCATGTAAATATTTAAACGGTAGCATATGCATACACCAACAATACCTCCAGGTAGGCAAATACTAAGTACACTCACTGTATCATTTACTTGGTGACATCATGTCAAAGCTTGGAGATGCGGAAGGGTGCAGTGGTCTCTACCTTATGCTTCTTCAGAGGGGCCAGGTGCAAAATATCAGAATGGGGCCCTCGTGCATTAAAGTGGAGTATATATACTCACCAGCATACCCTTCATTTCTCACTTACATCTCGACATGCCATAAGCTAATCATCAAGAAGTCAATGATTGCAAATATCCACCCATCGGGAATGAAAACGGCAAGACGACTCGACGCATAATAACATGCATTCTATGGGTTGGGATTATGGCTTTAGCTTCTTTGATTGGAATCACAGTTGCTATTATAGTCATGTTCGCCGTTACAACAGACAACAGCGGCTTCCACCAAGACAGCCCCGAATACGCGCTGTACAAGAACTCTAGGTTCAAAGACTGTTAGGACAATCATCCACCTGTCGCCAACAACTGCACTGCCATTAAGTCTATGATGAGATATCCTTTGGATGATTACTATCACGCGCAAAATATTACCTACTTGACGTCTACCGAAATACTTAGCAGCAGCTTGCCAGAAAATCGTTACAATTGGTGCGATGTAGTGAGTTGTTTCAACGAATTCAAGGTCGTCCCATCGTCACTACGTCCCACGGCGTTTTTTATGAGAGGCATTACAACATCTACTGGGTGTGCGATGATCTTCCTTATGGCAATGTGGGCAATTCAAGAAACTGCAGAATCGTGACAGAAGAGAACGGTGCAGGAAAATCGAATGGGATCTTTGGATTATTCTGGCCTGGGATCTGGCCGCGATTATATGGTGGTGGATCAATTTTGTGCGATACCTCCATGAGCCGACACAATTTCGCATGCCTGGGATTTTCATATGGGTATCTCTTTGGAAGTATGGTTACTTAATCGACTTTCAACCTTACAGTTGCGTCCTCCACAACATTCCGACAGTAGCGCAGGTTATTAAATGGGCATTAAACACGTTTTCGTTCGTTCAGTGGGTGGTATCAGCATACGTATTGCAAAGGACCCAGTATGCAACCTCCGACTATCCCACGTACGATTGCCTCGCATCTCAGATTCCGACTGCGCCTGGGACCTCGACATGCTCAGCAAGCCAGATTTGTTCCCGGGACTTGCTCTTCCATTCTCACTCTATGGGACTCTCCAGCGACCAAAATAAAAACCCTGAGCCTGGTATCTACATTATTTTCATCTGTCTCAGTGCAGTATTTCTCCTCAGAATCATGGTTTATCTCTTCATATGGTTGGGGCTGCCTGTTTGTGGCCCGGGGAGCCTCAAAGAATACAGAGAGCTAGCACGCAAGAAAGATGTTGGCTACCAGCTCTCTATTTGTGGCCTTTCCTTTCTCGGTATCGCACTCATGGTTTTCACAGCTTATTTCGCTATAAACGCAGTCCAGCGTGGTCGCGAAACAAGTGTTGCTATCGACTGGGACTGCAAGGCGGTGCATGTTACTCTGAGCCCCTGGAGATTCTACTTCGATGTGTGGTATCAGTTACCAGTACGCGTGGTCCAAATGTGGTTTAATGTATGAAGTAGTAATATGGGTAGAGGGGGAAAGGGGGAAAGGGGGAAAAGAGGAATACGGGAAGTGTTTGTTATTATTACTTTCGTCTGTTCCATTATTTCGACTCTGATGTGATACCTCTGGAGTTGCCAACTTTAACAGCACCCTAAAAGAGAGGCAATTTTATGAGATACTCGTCGATGAGTTCACTGACATTGACTGGTATGCGTAATGTCTTGTACGGATGATCTTCGGATGAAGATCTCTTTCACTTGCTCTGGCGACATTACTTCCCCCGTCGCCTTTTCCAGGAAGCGCTGCCCAGAATTAGAGATGGTGAGAAAGTGACTCGACAGTGAGAAGGGAAGCGGTGGTGAGAAAAAGGGGCTAGGCGGTGACAGCGGAGCGGCAGTGAGAAGGGGAGCGGTGGTGAGAAAAAGGGGCTAGGCGGCAACAGCGGAGCGGCAGTGAGAAGGGAAGCGGTGGTGAGAAAAGGGGCTCGGCGGTGACAGCGGGCAGCAGTGAGAAAGGTCGTAGCCATGACAGCTAAACGCTGTTGGGCTCTATCCCAAGATTCTTTGTCTGCGTATTTGGACTTGATCAGGTAGTCCAGTGCATTGTCATGGTTGACCTCCTTAACAAGCGCTCGTAGGAAAAGCGTATCGTCTCTGCGTGCCGGTGAGTCTGATAGCGAGGGCGGCTCGGTGGGTGACTGAACCACCGACGCTGCTCAACAGCGACGGAACCACCCTTTTGATGGCCATTCACGCGGTGTGCTGCAAGTAGCTTGACACTTTATCTTCGATATGAATTCATATTCATTCCAGGCTTGCTGGGGGGATTTGGGTTGCTGACGTCTGTATTTATACTGTGACATGGATATCAAGTGGCAGGCTGAGGCGTCTCGCGGGCGGGGAAGGAGAAAAAAGTGGAAATAGGATGTTGACTGGGTAGGATTCATGAGTGCAACTCCCCTATTTCGAACGAGTCCGCGGTGTGATATACAGTACCACTATCCACGCCGTCATCATCCATCTCTCCATCTTTCTATCTCCAAAACCCCCTCCGGACTATATACCACGCACATATTACCCACAACTGCCGTTTTCTACATGTAACACAACACACGGACACGTGGGCACTTATATAATTATTCCAGAAGAATGTTTATATAAAGTGCCTCTCACCACTCTACGAGGCCTACCTACTTTATATCCCCGTGTTTCGGGTAGATGTAGGCGCCAAGCGGTGCGTGGGGGGGATCGGGATGGGCATGGGGGTATGGATATACATACTCCAGATATTAGACTGGCGGTTCTGGCATAGAGTGCCTGGGAACAGAGGAGATGAAGCTCCAGCCCCTCTCCAGTCCTCCCATCGCGCGCGCGAGAACAAACAGAACCAGAACCCCCTCATCGTCTTAACCCCCCCCCATCATCATCCTCCTCCTCGCCCTCACCGTCCACGCACGCGCGCGATCTGAATCTTCCCTGCCTCGCCACCGCCGCCACCGCGTTTTATGCGGTAGCAATGCATCTTATGCATCTCCCAGCGTTTTATCCACGTTTTGCGGTACGGTTTTGTGTGTCCGCGGGATGTTTCGTGCGTGCGTGCGTAGATGTCTGTGTGTTAGGACGGGTGCTAGGGTGAGGGAGGATGACCGGTTGGGTCGGATGGAGATGGGATGGGATGGGATGGGATGGGGGGGACGGACGGGGATGAGGGTGGATTGTGAGGATGAGGATGAGGCTTCAGATTGGGGATTTGTACTGGCCTGGGTGGCGGCAGCGGCGGGTGGGGGGATGTTTGGTTGGGACCGGGGGAGGAGAGGAGATGAGCATGGGCAGGGGCATGGGTAGAGGTAAAATGGGTATATGTGATGTTATATTGGAGGATATTCTTTGGCTTCAAAAAGCTGACAGGTAGGAGATTGAGGAGAGGGATGAGAAAGGAGGGGAGGAAGGATCTGTTCATACCGGATACGACGACGGCGGCGACGACGAGGATGAGGATACGACAGCGACACCAACATGCACCAACATCACACCAACAACGGGTACCTGACCATCCGGCGAACATCGGGCAATCCGACAACATGGCAGGTACCTGGCTAACCACGCGCTACTGCACAGACGGCGTTGTACCTCCTATGCTGAAGTATGGTCATCGTCGCCATCGTCGTCGTAGTCGCCGTTGTTGCTTGTGCTCATGCTCGTGCTTGTAACTAACTAACTAAACTTCTTCCCTCCTTCTCCCGTGCCTTCTTCCTAGCTTCCTCGGCCAAAATATTGAATCCACGAAAAAGGTACGGGGTGCAGGTGGGGATGCATGGGAGAGGTACATGGGAAGTACGCGGTGGAACGTAGTGTGTGGGCCTAGCGTGTGTGTATTTCGTGTGTATTGGCATGGGCATTCCCAGGAACATTCCAAGAACGCGATGTACCTCTCGACGCGACCTGCCACTTTGACAATTTTATCCCCGTCGTCCCTTCTTCATCCTCCCCTTCACCGTCTCTTTTTTCCTCATTTAGTCTGTAAACCCTCGTCGTCGACCCCCTCTACCCTCCACCTTCACCCTCACAGTCCCCATACCATCCATCCTCCTCTCCCGTCCTCCTAGTCACCCATCCACCTCATCCCCCTCCTCCTCAGCCGCCGCCCTCCCCCTATCTCCATATCCTCCTACACACTCCAAACACTCCTCCATCTCCAATCCTCAAACCATTCGCCCTCGCTCCACCACTCCCAGTCTCACGACCATCACGACGATCAATCCTGACATCACCGCGTCGCTCACTGCAACCCTCCCTCTCCCCCCATCAACCAATCACCCCCCTTTCTCCCTGACCCCGTGCGCGTTCCTGAGCCGCAAAATACTCTAACTCTGTCTGAGAGTAATCTAATGTCGCGCAGACGCGCCAGTGCACTCGATAGCGGGTGGAGTACAGTGGAGCGATGACCGCCACGGCGCCATCGAGAAGCACTACGCTAGGCTTTCCGCGGGCCTGTCCTTGCCTGTTCAGGGTCGAGTCGCCGACGCTGGGGGAGCCTCTTGGGTTATGGGGTGGTAGAGGTGGGTAGGGGGAAGTGAGGATATACGAGACCGTGGAGAACTTGTTCGACTATGGAACTATGGATATTCGATATCTCGGGGAGGAATGGAGCACGATGGAGACGATGGGGGAGATCGAGTGACAGTTACATTTTCTGCAATCTGCGATAGAGTGCGGTGAGTATCATTCATAACGGGCGGTGGCGATCACTGACGATTATCCAGATGTACTGTATCCATTTTATCTCATTTCATTTCATCTCATCTTTCATCTCCTTGATCCAACACAGTGGAGGGAGGAGGGGGGAGGGAGTACGGGGTAGTTATGGGGTGTACGGTACGTTACAGTACAATACAGAGCACATGGAAAACAGACTGACGGGATGATACAACACGAGGGAGAGTATATACTACGTATAATTTAGAACAGCACATACAGACGACATGCAGACGACATACAGAACACGCGAGGCACACAGAGACACACACATGCCACGCCAAGTACAACTACAACCATCCTTCCAACAGTCAAGGGATGCTTCTGTGTGTTTGACCTGTGAGATCCTGTACTCAGTCAGTACAGTACTGTACTTCTTTTGTCTCTGAACCTTCTGATCGACACCCCGCGCCAGGGGTCCTTCTACCTGAAACGCGCCTTGCTAGCGCCCGTCTGCCAATCCCCTGCCGTCGCTTCCTTCCCATCACTTCCCCCTTGGCACACACGCTCACTTTTGGCTATGACCAGCGCCAACTACGGCTGCTTTGGGTCTTGTTGCAGGGCACTCGGGTGGGTGGGCGTATGTGCATACTTTGGGTGCGGAGTACGGAGAAAACTAAGTGTGGTTCCTGTGGTGCCTGTGTGGTGCATATTTTGTGGATGTGGGTGTGGGTGGGTGGTGTGGGTGTTGAACCCGGCGCCAGGAGGGATGGTGACTAGAGGGGTTGGGAATTTATATACCTGGCGCTCCCGGCACCGTGTGCGCGAGTCGATGATCTGTAGATACGACGGAACGGCGCATAGAAAGAAAGTTTCTGGCGAAGAGAATTGGGGCGCCGAAAGACGACTGATATCTCCTGCTGTGACGACGACAGGGTTTGGCGCTGATCGACGGGACGAAATCATATTGTGTGCGCCACCAGGAAGAAGAAAGACGAACTGCTGGGTGGCTCACCGCCATATTGAGAATATCCTGTATTCGAGCAAAAAATATCATATACGCACCACAACCTATACCATATACCATATAACACCAACCTCACCCATACCACTCACTCAACCTCGATAATGCCCCTCCTTGCAACACCCCTCCCTTCTCCCGAGCGCACGACCCGCGCCGACTCCCTATCAAAACGGACCACCATGTCCACCCTCACCACCACAACCTCACAAACTCCTATGCTCCCGGCTCTTCCCCCGCGCTCCTCGCTCCGCGCATCCCGCCTGTTCGAGTTCACAGACCTCACCTCACTGACGGCTCTCTCACCCCCTCCCCGCCCTGCGCCTACGACGACACAGCTTAGTCCAGCGAGCACACCAGAGTTATCACCTTCAAATCCATACGAGACATATCTCTCCTCCGCCTCGTCCGAAGAAGACGAGGACGAGAGCGACGGGTCAACCTCTGACTCCGATGCCGAATCCGAACCCGCCTTCATAGCTGAGGCCGTAGCGCGCGCCCCCATCAAGACAGCACACCCCGAACCCTCATCAGAAGGACCACAAACCCACTCCCGCCACTCCAGCCAACCCGACGTCGCCCGCGCCATCGAGCTCGTCGCCGTCGGTCCAGCAACTCTAATTCTCATCCCGCAACCGCGCCCGCTCTCCGCCCCCCGCCGCGCCTCAACAACAAGCGCCCTCACCTCGCGCTCCTCCTTCCTCCCCCCCATCTCCACCACCTCACCACCATCAGCCCGCCGCCCAACGCCGCTCCGCCTCTCCACGGCCCCCGCTCCCCGCTTTCCCTCCCTCTTCCCCTCCGTCTCCTCCCCCTCCCTTCCTTTCCTCGAAACAGACCCCTTCTCTGCCTCCTCCCCCGGCATGACCGCTTCCCCCGCCCCGCTATCGCCAGCACTAAGCACAACCTCCACCTCCCGCGATGGCCTGAAACAGCGCCTCGGCGACGTGCGTCGCGGCCTCGTCAAGGGCGCTGAAGCTGCTGCTGCTGCGGCTGCGAAGGGGAGACGTAGGCCCAGTATGGGACGGTTGGGGTTTAGTGGGTGGAAAGCCGATGAGGAACGTGAGCGCGAGCGCGAGCGTGGGGGTAGCGTGACGCCGGTTTCGGCGCTACAGCAGGAGGAGATGGCAGCGTCGATTAGGGGGAGGAGAGGGAGCGATACAGCTTCTATCCGGAGCACACGCAGTGTCCGACGGGCTGACACACCGCCTCAACTTACACCATTATCGCAGCGCGCGAGTACCCTACCACAACCACAGGCGTACACGCGCCCTATCTCGCAACGTCCGCCGTCTCAGCTAGGAGCTAGTCACCGCTCGTCCTCACAGCTCAGTCTGCGCCCGGCGTCGCAGCTGGGGCTGGGACTGCAGCAGCAGGCGGGGGTGAGGTATGAGGATATCATGCGGGCGGCGAAGGAGAAGGCGAGGACGACGGCGCCGGATTATGCGCCGCCGCCGCCGCCGCCGCCACAGGAGGAAGAGAAGCAGGTGCCGAAGTTGGGGAGGAGGAAGAGTGGGGTTTTTGGGGCGATGGGGATGGGGATTGGGGGGAGGAGGAAGAGTATTAGGCTTTGAGCGTGCGGTATGTGTTGAGCTTGTGGGGTTGTTACCCCTTTTTTGCTTTTTGCTTTTGGGTTTTGGGTTTTTTTCCCCGGGTGTTTGAGCGTCTTCTTTTGACTTGTTTTTTGAAAAGGGGGGTTTCTTTGGGCGGGCGTTTGGGGGGGTGGTTGCATTTGTCTTTTGGGTCGATTTGGGACGAGGGGATAATGTATATTTGATGGATGATGGATGGGAGGATGAGTGTGTATTATGAATCAGCGAAGGGATGCCTGGATGAGGATGAGAGGGGTAATGTAATATAGTATAGTACATGCATAGCATAGCATCGCATCGCATATGATGGAATTCAATCTAGTCCTACCTCTACCCCTAGTTTCCTCTGCAGTCTCACGATCAATCGACACCGAAGCATATCCAAACCATCTCCCACGGAAAACGCGAAAACAACCTTACGGCAACAAACCTCCGCCACCAGCCCCTCTGTCCTAATAACGCCCTAAACCATAACCTCCGCCAACCTCGCCTTCGCCTCCTCCTCTCCCCACTCAACAACCACCCTCTCCTCACTGTCCCGCACCTTCGCCAGCACAAACTCCTCCATCGCCTCCCTCTCTCGCTCCGTCAACAGGTCCAACCGCGCGTGGTAATCTTGCTCCTCGTTCTCTTTCTCGTCCCCGAAAAACTGCTCGTCTAGGTACCGCCAGAACAGGAAATCAAAGGTCCAGCTATCGCGTGTTGCGAGGTTGGTAAGCCAGGTGTTGGAGGTGTAGCTTTGGCACATTTGTTGGGATAGGGGAGTTGTGGAGAGGGACAGTGATGCTATCCCGTTTACCACATCTTCATCATCCGTCTTCGTCTCACCTCCCTCTCGCTTCTTCGCCTCATCCGCCTCCCTCATCTTCCCCTCCTCCACCTCCAACACCCGCAAAAACGTCTCCAGCCGCACCCCATACGCCTCCACGAACGCCTCATGCCCACCAGGCCAGTAATCCCCCATCTTCAGCAACAGCCACCACGGCGGATCGCGACTATACTGCGCAGGCGCCACGTACGCAAACTCCCAGTCTATAACGCTGACTATGCGATCATCGGCGTCGACGAGGACGTTTGACGGGCGCAGGTCTTCGGAGAAGAGGCGGAATTCCGAGGATGGGTCGGTGGCGTCGGTGGAGGGGGGAGGGGGGCTGAGACGGCCTTCATGCGCGAGACGCCGGAAGAGTTGCCGAGCGATGTATTTGTCGCGCGCGTCGTCGTCGTCCGCGATAGCGTCGTTGTGCTGGAATGTTAGCTGTGTGAGGTGCATGTCTGCGAGGGCGGAGTACCAGGCGGTTGTGGAGGCGTAGTTGTGTGGGTGGATCGGGAGGATGGACGGGGGGATGTTGGTGTGCTCGATGAGGTTGTTCATGTTCATTGTTATAGGGTGACCGGAAACCGAGATGTTGCCGTTGGAGTCTTGGTCGAGGGAGCTGATTTGGGGGAAGGTGAGGGTAGAGAGCTGGAGGAGGATGTTGGCCATTTGGCCGTAGAGGAATGAGAGCTTTTGCTCGTCGATGTTGGGATCTAAGACGGGTTCCTCTTTTGGCCCAAGGGTAGGGTCCTTTAGAGCGTCGGATAGCGTCCGCGAATGCTCGATATACTCTATTATCATGAACGGGCCGAGACCAGTGGGGTTCTCCTCGGCGGTGCCCCAGCCGTAGATCTTAGGCACCGGGATAGTAGTGTTCGCAGCTACATACTTCATCGTGGCTACCTCGTAGCGGATTTCTCTTCGGGGAACTTGACAATGCCTGCTCTGGATTTAGCTACGTCTCATACGCCGCCCACAGGGCGTTGTTATTTCGCTATACCTTTGCAAGGGATTCTCATCCCAGCCGATGAGCCATCTTTATACTCGAGGCGGTAAAAGGCGTTATATCCCCCTTTAATCGGCATGTGAAGCTCCACGGCTTCGCCAGGTCGGTATTTCAGGATGAGCGCGGCAACTCCGCGATATATCACGGCCTTGTTTACCGATAGTTCCCACTTCTCGAGGTCGTCTTCGAGCTTCTCCCACACTAGGTCGTCCTTGTCCATAACAGTATATCCCCATTTTGGAGTCATTACAATGAGCCAATAGAACTACGGGGGATTCCAAAGCCGCACGTGCATATAACAAAACTTTGGCTTCAGATGACCAGCAAAAACGTGTGCGATAAGGGGGGGAGTATTCATAGATTAAAACTAGCAATATTTTGTACTTTCTGATAATTATAGGGACGGGGAGCCGCAGGGTGAGATGCTCCGAGGCAAAATGTTGGATGAAACAGTCGGTGAAGCCACAGGGGCATCACAGCGGCCTAGTCCTTAATTCTTGCGCTTAGACGCCAATGTTGGCTCCAATGGAGACCTGGCGGGATACAAGGGCATTTGAGTTGCACCTCATGTTGCGATGGCAAATCTCAACCCAACTTTTAGTCTCTTCGGTTTCCCTTACGCGTGGGGGTTAGCTTAATCTGGGCGGGGATGAGGCGGCGGTTCGACTGTGAAAGTGGCTACAAAAATAACACGTTCTATAACCGTGATGTGCGAGGTATTATATTATATCATCTATGTTGACATCCTCATAAATAAACTTTTTGAAATGTCGCTTAGTTAAAATGTTGGACAATGAATGGAGAAAAAGACAGTCATGACACGTCAAGGCTACCCAGACGTCGTATCCCCATTTTGAGAGTTCCTCTGCAGTAAGTTCCGCACACTTCCATCGTGCGAATTGTACAAATAAGCAGAACAAACTCATTTATTAGATCATATACTTGATGTGACGCGACGAGTCATGTAGCAACTCGTGTGGCCAGAAAAACCGAGACGGGCCCGTGCATAACAGACACCAAGAGGCCAGAAATAGCCCGCAGATCCCATCACTTCTGGAAGTGCTCACAACAACTGTGAATCAAATAAAAATGTTTTAATCGTCTTGGGCTATAATTATCGCATCTTTGTCTTCGAGGTTGTCGCAGCTTCCGCGCGCTTGTCCGTCAAACAAGGGGACCTCGCAGCTACCCCAGCGTTAATTGCGGGTACTACCGAACCGCGGAGTCGCTTACGGCGGTAGGCGGCCACTCATTCGACAATAACCGTCTGACATTTGGCATTTCGACCTTTCGACGAACGCGTGCAGGCACCCGGGGAAACATCTTCCAACAACCCCCACGAACACCGAATACCGACATTTATCGAAGCTAGCTTCCCCCACAATGGGATTGCAGGACCCATGCATCTCGGCTCTTTCCGACGACGTGCGCGCCTGCGCCGGACCTGGCTGCGGCTGGCCATCCTCATAGCTGTTGTGGCACTGTACGTGGACTACGTGAGATTGGTTGTTGTCAACTACCCGCTTTCGCGGGTATCACCCTCGGCAGCGTCTAAGGATGGCTCTGGGTCGAAGAAGGAACGATTTTTCATTGCGAGCATGCATTGGAATAACGAGCAAATCATACGATCACACTGGAGCTCAGCGGTGTTGGATCTGGTGAAGCACTTTGGCGCGGAAAATGTTTATATATCCGTCGCGGAGAGTGGAAGTTGGGATAATACGAAGGGCGCCCTGAGAGATCTTGACGCTGAGCTGGGGAAGCTGGGTGTGGAGAGGAACATCGAGCTGAAGGACATCACGCATAAAGATGAGATTGAGCGTACACCGGGCCCCGACGAAGCAGGGTGGATACAGACGAGCAGAGGGAAGAAGGAGTTGCGGCGGATACCATACTTGGCTGAGATACGGAATAATGTGATGGCGAAGCTGCAGGATCTTGCTGAGGGGAAAGATGGGCGAGAGCCCAGAGAGTTTGACAAGGTTATATGGCTGAACGATGTAGTCTTCACGGTATTTATTCCCCCCCTGTACTTTGCTGTCAACTTCCTTCGTATAAAATGCTAAGGCCTGGGATGAATAGACCGAAGACGTTACGACTTTGATTGCGACCCGAGACGGCGACTACGCAGCAGCTTGCTCGATGGACTTCTCCAAACCACCCCAATTCTACGACACCTTTGCCCTCCGCGATGTCTCAGGAGAAGAAGCGGCCACCCAGACGTGGCCCTTCTTCCTCGCTAGAGCGTCACGAAATGCTATGATCACGAATACCCCAGTACCTGTGAAATCGTGCTGGAATGGCATTGTGATCTTCCAGGCAGAACCATTCTACGGAAACAAAGCACTAAGCTTCCGAGGAATACCAGATAGTCTCGCCCTTCGCCATCTGGAAGGGTCCGAATGCTGCCTCATCCACGCGGATAACCGGCTCACTCGGCTCCATGGCGTCTGGCTCAATCCGAACGTGAGGGTCTCATACAATCCCGAATCCGACAAGATCGTACGCGCAGAAACTGGGCTTTGGCCGACAAAGAAGGAGAAGTTTGTGGGAATATGGATGAATAGATTTGCTCGGTTGGTGGGGATTATACCGCGGTACATACAAGAATATAGGGTGGGCAAGAGGATGAAGTTATGGGGATACGAGACACGGGACGAGGCGCACGGGGAAATCCCGGGAGCGTGGTCGCACTGCTTGATAAACGAGATGCAGGTCTTGGTGCAGAATGGATGGAAGCACTTGTAATGTATGGAATGCTGGGCTATGAACTAGGTGGTATTGTCTCGGATTCTGGTGCACAATGGGTTGAAGCACTTGTAGATATATTTGCGGATATGAGCTGCCAAGCTATCAAGCAAACGATAATTGCCTCGGATTTCTTGTGCACAACGGATTAAAGCAGTTGTACGTATATTATGTAGCATGAAATGAATATTGAATCTTCGGCCATTATTGCAATTAAACAAATAAGATTAAAATTGTCCAAGACTCTTGCCTGAGATTTTTTTTATCTGGTGGATATTTAATATTTGTATAAGGGGAATAAATAATAAATGGGCAAAATAATATAATTAAAGTCACCATTACAAAAATGCCTCAAATAGGACGATAAATTCCTTGATGACTGATCATATGCCTCTTGATTGAAATATTACTCTTTTTCCTGTATATATAATATAATATTTTGTAAAAGGGGATGGTAAATGGGCAAAATCTATAATTGAAGTCTCCGTTCACGAAAATGACTCAAACAGGAGAACAACCCCCTTTGATCACAGATAAGATGCCTCAGATTAAAATATTGTTATATTTCCGTACATATACTGCATTATGCTGGCATATCAAGCTGTATAAAGTGCCATTGGCCTCGAAAATATCATTTTCCATAGCGGCCAAAGCCACGGCAACTTCGTCGGTCGTACGATATCAGACCGGACCGACGGTAGACAAAAGTCCGGGAGTTCAGGGTACTATGGCAACCCCCGAAGAGCGCAGTTGGAAGCATCACCACCAGAACCCCCTTTTCCAGACCACATATAGAGTATATGTACCACAATATCACAGTATATTTTGCAATTGGTGACGTTATTCTCTAGTACTACTAAAATCCCAAGCTCCAATCTCAAAATCACTCATAAACAAAACAAACACTCTCCCAAAAATCTCTTGGCGTGTTTGCACGTGCAGCAATTTTAAGTGGAGCCATAAATAAGTGGAGCTGTTTTAACGAGAGCAATTTTATCCGAACGAACCCGTTTTCCACCTCCTTCCTCTCCTTTCAACAACAACAAACCTTACCATCTCCTCCATCCTCAACATCCAACACTCCACTCTCCATCATCAAATCTCATCAGCAGTCATCATGAACTCCATTGCCCAGCTCGCCACCCGCTCCGCACGCCTCAATGGCGGGCAAGCCAGCTCAATCGCTCGCCGAGCTTTCACAAATGGTACGTCAAAAAAGACAACTGAGCACATCTAAAAGACCTCAATTCAATCCCTCGGCATCAACCATAGCTAACTCTCGACTTCAAACAGGCCCAGCCACCTCCGTCTCCCGCTTCCAGACTGCTACCCGCAACAACGGTCTCCTCATGAGCCGCGCCATGCTCCGCAACACCGCCTCCAACGTCACCCGCGGCCAATCGCGCGGTATCGTCACCGAGACCATCACCATCGGAGCTGCCGTCCTTAGCGCCGGAAAGTTCATCGGAGCTGGAGCTGCTGCTGCCGGTCTCATCGGTGCCGGAACTGGTATCGGAACGGTGTTCGGTGCCCTGATCTCCGGTGTCGCAAGGAACCCAGCTCTCCGTGGACAGCTTTTCTCCTACGCCATTCTCGGTTTCGCCTTCGCTGAGGCCACCGGACTGTTCGCCCTGATGGTTTCCTTCTTGATCCTCTTCGCAATGTAAAAAGCTTTACTACAATTACATGGTGGATTGGGGTGTGTTTTGTGGAGATAGACGGCGGAGGGTGATGGAATGGAGAGGAGAGGAGAAATGCCATCGGATCGGATCCTAATAGGATAGGTTGTGTAGTAAAATTCTCTTCTCCATGTATAGTACGTAGAATTAAGGAAGCATTACGCTCACTTCTATAATATTATACGTGATCTTCCTTCTACAATTTGAATTTCTTGACAGCTAGTCCGTTCTGCCGGCTAGATACCGAAAAACCGATCCGTCATCATCATACCTACAATTTCCCTCAACCATTGTAAATACGGATCAATCGGACATTGCAATATAAAAATAATCTTTATTAACCTCAATTGGGCGATGGGCGCACGAAAGGATCGCTGTTACTGCCGAGATCGTGGTCCTTCACTTCCGCATAGCTAAATTGGGGTACTTAGGGCATCCAACGTGGAGGAAGCGGCTTCGGGAGAACTAGGAGGGATACGTATATCTGGCTACAATTGGGCCGACAAAGTGCCAACATACAGGTACAGGTCAATTGAGATATCAGAGCATCGCTGGATTAGCTATTATGGACTCGGGATCGTGAGTCTGCATGAGGTCCCGGTTTTCCGGACGCAAGTCCGATGCAAGTCCGACTGGAGTGGATTCGAGGACGGATTGAGGGAGATCACGTGATGCAGATAAAACGAATAATAGTCATGTGATTTGAGTATATACTTGGCATTTATTGGCTTGACTAATCTAATCTCGTTGTGGAAGATAATAGGAGTCCGAATCCGGCAATTTTTTCACTTATGAGAATATGTCCGGGTTTGGATTTCTGAGTATACCTGAGTTTGAACAGTGAGCAAGCGTACCGCCATCGGTAATACTGTATGTAAGTAGGAGACCAGAACATCGATACTCTTGGATGAGCTTCACAGAAAAAACCATACCAAAGCCAAGAAAGGCAAGGACCCGCATATTAAATGCATAACTCTGTTTATTATGCTTAATAAAACGCTACAGATAAACCCAATCTGAATCAGGAAACTTCGGATAAGTTTCGCCTTTGTCCAGGATTTTAATATGCAGTGGCAGATATGTCAACAGCATCACCGCCAACAGAGCCTTCATAATGTCAGAATGAGAAGCGAGAAATAGAGGAACACACCGGGAACTCACCTGGAAAATAGTATCCACCCTGACGATACATCCGCCTTCAATTGAAAGTATCCATCTCTCCCAGTCAATCCCATTGCACGTTTGTGGACATGGCCTGAGCTGGGTTGGAGAGACCGCTTTGTAAGAAAGTGTGTCGTGACTCCCAAAGCTTACCCTCCTCAGCATATCATCCGCCATCCTCGCAATAGCCGGTTTTGGTCTAAACCTGGCTAAAATCACAGCATTAACATATTTTGTCGCCTCCAACTCCATAAAGTCCCACTCGATCCCATGGAACTTGGTTGGCGTGTCAATAAACTGGTCAAACACATCCCGAAACGCATCCGCCCCACGGATTGCATCGGTCTGGAGAAACTTCCGTGGCATCTTCACCCAAGGAGACATTTCCCTCTGTTCTGCTGCTGTTGGGGCGCGCTTGTAAGAATTGCTCCCTGCGAATTTGAGGATCGACGCCGCCTCCATCTCGTACACCCAGTCAGCGATCACCACCCACAGCGCCTTCCACTCCTCGGAATTCCGGCCGCGACCACCTTGCTTGCTTGCCGCAATACCCCTCCCTGGTGGCCGAGCGACATGAGTGCCAGGCCTGTTGCCGCCGTATATGAGATCCATGTACGAAGCCGCGCCGATGCCAACACTGACAGCTGGGCCGATGGAGCAATTGAACGGATCTGGACCCATCATGTGCCCAACTGATTTGAGAGTCGCCTGTTTGAGCTGCTCAATGAAGTCCTCTGGGAGACCGACTGTTGATATGTCGGTGTTGAAGTTCACGGGTGGCGTCTTTGAAGTTGTAACCACATGATATACTCTCTTTCGATGGCTTCAGCACTCGCGCGGAGCGGTTCGAGAACATTTCCCGCTTGGAGTAGCGTTTGCTGCAGAAAGCATGGATTTGTGACCAGTCGGGATGTTCATACAGCAGGCGTAGGATTCGGCCAAACTGTAGAGTGGCGCCGAAGCGCTCGGATTGGGAGTCGATGAAGTTGAAGTCGGTTGGAGTGCGGTTTTTGGTGTATTTCTTTTATTAAACATTCAATTTATGCCTCATAATGACATCAAGATGCAGGAAATGAAGCCTCACCTCCCCCGGATTCCATCTGGTATTTGAAACGATGTCATATAAAACTTGACACTTAAGAGGAAGCACAAGGGGGATGGAGACTTGCATCGGGATAGACATGATGGGCGTTGAGGAGCCTGAATTTTCTTGTGATTATTCCCTTCAACAAACCAAGAATGAAGTTATTCCTCTCCTACTATTTCTTTCCACCATCTTTTCATTTGTCTGATAATGCAAGTGAGAGATGTTGACGTTCTGAAATCTAACATTCGCGATAGCGTTGGACTGGACAGGGGTTCACATTCGCTGGAGGCTGTGGGCGCTCCGCCACCAACTCCACCACAGCTCTTCTTACCTTTCAACCCCTCTTTCCCATCTGGAACAATTGATATGTGGGCATACTATTCGCACGGCAACAACATACTGCTTATGCTTTGCCAATATAAGAACACATCTTTGTAACTACCATGTTCCGCGACGATGTTGGATTCTTGTAATGATGTACGGTTACGCTTGCGCTACATCCCAGTGAGCCAAAAAGACTACAGTATTCCGACTGGCCTGGAATAGGCGTAACACTCTATATATACTATAATGGTCGGGTCGGCGCCACCCCGTTACAATTCTCTTGGCTCATGGGCGATATGCGGGTGCTGTCTGTTGGTCGATGGCGCAGAAGAAATGTCTTCAAGCTCTCCTGTTGTCGACATTGAGAGATCCTTGAATAGAGCCAGTGAGACTCTACATTTGGGGCTAGGCAGTTGGTTTGTGGTTTGGCTAACGATGATCAAGGTGCATTAGACACTACCTTCATAACAGAGGTGGACGACCGACTCAAGGACCGAAGGATATCCGCCGCAATCGCATTCTATTCGCGCATTAATAATGTATCTGAACGATCAAGTTAGACAGGTTAGGTTACAGTAAACCCTGGGTCGTAGTCTACACAGTGTCGGCAATTGTACTGGGGATGGCGTCCTTAGTGGGAACAATACTGGTATGGAGTGGGTGAGTGGGGGTCTTTTGTACCACAACTAACTAAATACGGGGCCATCCCTCGCACTGGCAATATATTTTCCCCAACACTCCATACGATTCCTCATCATCTCCACAAAGACTCCCAGCAGTCGATACGTACAAATGGCTCGAAACTTCGTCTTCCTTTGATATTAGGCTAGCCTTACGCCCAGTACTATGTCAGAGATTGAGGATCCCTGCGAGATTTGTAGAGGCAAGAGATGCACCATTTCCCCGTTGTATCGCATCCACTGATTGTTTTTAGACCGTCATCAAAAATGCACGAGTAAGCTCCTCCTTTCATTTAATCTTCGATGGTCATTTATCTTTCGAGGAGTAGTAAATATCACGCAACCTCGCACTCACTTTCAGGCTCCATTAAGATCAATTTTCTTCCAGAGCAGCTACCTCTGCTCCTCTTTAACGATCGATCTAACAACCAGATTCGGCGCAATCCTAAGATTTCCGTGCACAATGTACTGACTTGGAGCAGCTGATGATAATGATTCCACCTGCAAGCTGTGCCGTCGCTTGAATGCGCCTTGTGTACGCAACAAGGATAAGTTGAAATTCCGTCATGGATCGACTGCGAGATATGATGCTGCATTTAAGACTGATCAGCCATGGTTTACGCAATCTAGCAATAGTAAGTTTATTTTCTTCATTAGATTATGGGAGCTATAATTGTGAATGATCAAGCAACAAGACGGAGAATGATATCTTCATTGCTTGGCGGTGTTGGCATGGAGGAATATTGAAGGATGGATCATCTTCTAGAGACGTGTTTCTACGTCCGCCATCCATTGTACTATCTTAAGGCAGGCAAAGAGGAAGAGCAAACCATTTTTCAGTCTAGAAGACAAGATTTTCATCATCAGCATCTATGCATTTCTCAGCTCATTTATCTTACCCATCTCGAGTTTCTATATCAGGTGTTCAACTTACTATTTTAGCTAATGTGGCAATTTCGTCTTAGCTAAATTACAATTTGTGGATGAACGGCCAGAGCTTGAAAATTATTATGCTCAGGAGGACATTCCAACAGAAGCCAGTGTTACAATAAAGGAATATGACAGAACCACTCGGACAACCTCGACCTCAAACTCAATACCGAGGGAAATCCACAACACCATCCGTAATACTTCATCAGTTGATCAAGCTTTTTCTAGACCTTTTGCTTTCAGTCCGCTTGAAACAACCATGTCCATTCAAGCGTCTAGGAGTGACACAACCAACGACGATATCGACGCTTTAGACCCTTATCAGTCGCAAGACTTTACCAAATTCCAATCGTTACAAGCCCCAACCTTCGTTTATGAGTCTCCTAGAAACGAAACTACCCTCTTGCAGAGGACGACTTCACTCCCACCAATTTCTCTTCCATCGTTGCCGCCACTCCGTCCAAATTCGACCTTGAACATAGCAAAGAGCCAACGTCTTGCAGACTCGGCTGCAGCTGCTGTACCAAGTGCCTCATCAGGTCTCCTGAAACCAGAGATCTGGAAGAAGACCTTTTTCTGGCCTAACGATGTGTGTCTTTTCTTAAACATTGGATAATAAACTATGCTAACTCGTTTTAGTGGACCACAACCCAATGTGCATGTTTAATGAGGCATTTTGTGGACTTCATTGCACCTTGGGCAAGTTACTCATCAATCAATCCTATGCCGCGTCAGTGTGTCTAAAACATGCACTAACTTATACCTAGTTTGACGTTTGTGATCCTTCTAGACATTTTGCTCTTGATGTACCTCAACGAGCCAGACGGTGTCCGCCTTTATTAAACGCAATATTCACAGCGTCCGCAAGGCATCTAGCTCAAGCCCCAAGATTCAAGAACCAAGCTGGTGTAGTAGAGTATCAGGGTATACCTCTATACAATCTCACCTCCGAGACTGCAATACAATATCACAACGCAGTTTTGGCATATCTCATTGAGCTCTCCAAAGACGCCGAGCATGTTCGAGACAAGGATTTGCTTGCAGCAGCAGTGATCCTTCAGTATTACGAAGAACACCAGACTTCAGTTACAAGCGAAGAGTCAGAGACCTTTTTACGTACATTTCAGATCTTCATGAACGGCCAAGTCGATGCTGTATCTTCACCAAGTCGGAAGACTTTCTCACAAGAGACACAAACATCAACGCCATTTCACATTGAAAGTGCGATTAATGGCTATACCGTAGACGTTACGCCACTCCAACATGCTTCATTCAGGGTTGCACTTCGGCAAGAGATAACGTCAGCCTTCATGAAACAACGACCAATTCGTCTTCATACAGACGCGTGGTCTTGGCCCAGATCCTTCGCTGAGGCCGATGATACTGTATGGGCAAACCGCCTTATTGTTTTCTGTGCCGATGTGTTGCAATTCTGTTTTGGGGGAGATATATCATCTAGCAACGGAAAGGTTCAACGGTGGAATGAACTGAAAGACTTCGAAGACTCATGGGAGTCCCACAAACCCTTGTCATTCTCGTCTATCCACTACAAAGAACCTAACCACCACAATGGAGAGATCTTTCCACAAATCTGGTACCTAGCAGACACTCATGTCTCCGGCCTGCTGTATCTAGATCTTGCTCGTATCCTACTTATCGCCTATGACCCAACCGTCCCTCGGTTGGGACCAGGTGTGGCCGCAGCACTTCGTGGCATTTCGGCAAAAATTCGAGAGATCGTCCTACGAATATGTGGAGTTGCGCTCTCAAACAACCCATCAGAATCCTCACTTCTTATTGCACAGATGGCTATTGCTGTTTGCGGTGAGCACGTCACCGACCGCGACCAACAAATAGGTATGCTGGACCTGCTCCATAAGCTAGAGGTCGAGTATGCTCGCCCAACGGGGGCGATTGTGAGGGACTTGGAGCGTGCGTGGTCGTGTGATTCATGAGGTATCATACAGTTGACATTAAGTTGTTCGGGTCACGGTTTGAGTACACATGTAGTAATGGAATATAGCTTCAGCTGCTATCTAGTCTAACGGAACTGTTGCTTGCAAGGGCGATCAAACTAAACAAGATCTAAATTTGCAAATATTCACGTTAAATAGTATTCGGAATTTCAGCATAGCCTTGGGCGTTGGGATGCACACAAGCAGGAAGGATTCAAGGAAAGGCGAGCACGAAAAAGAATCAATACATATTCCCATAAGTCAGGTTGCCTTTCAACGTGATAAAATCTACATAAGTTCAAATCGCTGTACGCTGTGCCGGCCGATTAAGCCCAGCTACTAAAAACTCTAGACTTCACCAATTAATTATCCTCGCCGGGAAGAACTCGTCGATGAGCTCCATATAGTATGGCTATAAGGTAATTAGTAATGTTTTGCAAACAAGAGCAGTGGGCTTTACCTTCAACTCCTCTATGCTTGGAACATCATCACTCTTGCTGTATAGATCGTACGGATTAAAAGCCCTCACAGCCTCTAGCATCTTCTCATCCTTCTCGTTCATGAGCTCCATGTATGCACCTCCTGAATGCCACGGGTAGAAACTGTGATATCGAATCATCGCTAATGCTTCATCTGGTAGCGTCGACTGATCTTTGGCGATTAGGTAAAAATACTCATCATGGCCCCACGATAGCATGACGTTGTCAAGTCCGCATCTTGGCTCGTAGATTCCATACTTCGTGCTGTACACCTCATGGCCGTAGTCGGGATTGTCGACAAAGGTATCTGGATAAATGATCTTCTCCGAGTATGCACATCCCACGGGGAAGGTATCTCCAACCACATCCCATTGGCCCTGAGCTCCGAAGAAAAACAGGAGTTTACCCAGGTCATGAACCAAGCCCGTAAGCTGCATCCAGCGAGGCTTTCCATCCTTTCTCATCGCCTCGGCCGTCTGCATAAGATGTTCAATCTGCGAGAGGGATGTATCCGGGTCTGAGTTATCGATGAGTGTGTTCAACGTCTCCATCGCTTCCCAGATGGTCATCTTTGCGCGGGTCTTGGACTTCATTTCTTCGCGTGCGCGCCGGTTATATTCAACGGTCTGCTTAAGGTGTTGCTCGCGGTAGAAGTTCTTCACACGGTCGCAGGCGTCTTCAAATTTTCTGAACTGCGTCTTGTCTTTCTCGGCATCGAATTTCGATGCAGCTTTCATGGCGTTGACGGCGTCAATGTTGTCAGAGGTGTCCTCGAGTGCTTGGAATTTGCTATTCCATGACTCTGAAGAGGTAGAATCTGGTGCACGCATTATGGCTGCCATTTTGGCTGCGAGTTTGGTTGAGGAAGTGAAGCAGGAATGGATAAATGCTATGGTATGATATTAAGATTCTGTGGGACAATGTTTGCTGTCGAAACCTTGACCCTTTATAAACCTGCAAGATACATAAACATTCCAGTATTTAAATCTAGGTCTCTGATATATTGCTTCATGGCTCTGTAGGCAAAGGATGGCCGCCCGCCACAGCATCTCGACTTGCCTCCATTTCCCTCTTCATGGGATTCCGCTGTGCGGGAAATATTGCCTTTTCTGACTGTTGTGGAAAGCGTTAAGAACCAACTATTGTGCAACCAAAAATAATCAGGTGGTGGCTGAGAATTTCCTAATTCAACTAGATTGATTAAATGTGGGAACATTCTCGCCGGGGAAAATTTCCCCGCCAAAGCTCAAGTGGATAAATTCCAACCCCACAGTGTCAGATGGTCTCTGCTTGTTGCACATGGAGAGAATTTCCCTCCCCTACGAAACTTTAAGTTTTAAAGGAAGCATCAGCACCACGTATCTCGCAGCCTTAGCTTTGCCGATCGAACTCAAGGATTCCAATATGAAAGGTTTCCGGAGGATAAGGGATATCGTGATGTTCCACCTCGGTAAGCACATGAAGTCTGCACTCGGCGCTCTGCATCGTAACGCTCAATGCTTCAGGTGACACTCCCTTCACACCCTAAAAGGAAACGCTTTGTGGCCAAAATTCAAGCCGTAATGGAGAACACCCATGGAATGTAGGCAACTTTAAATAAGTGATCTAAAAGAAGCGACTGCAAAACCACAACTACATGATGCCCTACTTTGCTCAGAATTGCCGCAATCATTTGTATTCTAGAGTGCAAGTGTTTCAGAAGATGGATTCTATATTTTTTTCATCGTGTTTATAAAGATCCAGTACAATTAAGATTTATCCGGGAATCCAAAGTCAACCCCGAAGTCGGGATACACATATCTCTTTAGCTTTCCATTAGCCTGTAATTCGTTCGAATATTTGTCGAGAATCGCCATATCAGTAGCGTCAAGCTGGATGACGTTCTTGTTCTCTTCAATGCGCGAAGGCGTAACGGACTTGGCAAGCACGGAGCTTCCTCGAGCGACTTCAAGCTGATCAGCAGTGAACGATCAAAATGGATAATAAATACATACTATGATAACTCAATAGGACCGAGCCTACGGAGACGTCACGTCTCTTGGCGACTTCAAGTACTGACTCTGCACTGAACATTGGGCCTCCGGTACTTCCAAATGGACTGTATGCCGTGACGTGAATGCCCTTCTCTTTGCAGAAATCAACAATCTCTTGTTGCGGTAGTGATGGGTGATTTTCTATTTGGTTGACAGCTGGAACAACGGAGACCTGTGGCAGCAGCTCCTCGAGATATTTAACACTGTAATTCGCAACGCCGATCGCCTTCACCTTGCCGGTTTTGAGAAGCTTTTCCATCGTCTTGTATGTTTCAACATGCGACCATGATTTATCGAGATCGCGAGACCCATCAGCAAGCCTGGGGAATTTCTCGTGGTTTCCTGGTCTCATTTTTAGCCACAAATCGCCAAGGAGCTCCAGGAGTCAAAGTACCATTTGGGTTCATTGGGCAAGGCCAATGCATCAAGTAAAGGTCAACATAATCCAACCCCAAACTTTTCAAGCTCTTATCGAGGTTCTCCTCCACGCGTGTGTGATATGTGCACCACAGCTTGGTTGTCACAAAAATATCCTCTCGCTTGACCTGGCCCGACTTGAACGCTTCAGCTAAGCCTTCACCGACCTCGTCCTCGTTCCCGTAACAATAAGCGCAATCTATGTGCTTGTAGCCAACGCCGAGAGCGTGAGCGACGGATTTCTTGACATCGCCAGGAGCAGATTGCCACGTCCCTAGAAAGTTTAGCTATCTGAACCAGACGGGGATTCAGTAGGAAGTAGTACCTAAACCTAAAGCCGGTATCGAGGCCCCGGTGTTGAGCTTGAAAAGGGTATCAGTCATCGTGATTGATGTGTGTTAAAAGACTTGTTCTGGTGCCGGATTGGAAGTAAACGTTTCGTAGAAAGATGTAACTGGGTATGTTTTATTACAGAAACGAAACAGTATCGTCTATGGGTAAATAGTATGGGTTAGTCCACAGACCGAAGATGACAAATATTTCTCTCCACTATCTACCCCGCTATACCCCTCCAACTGTTATCCCGTTGTGCCCTCCAACTGTTAGATTATCCCGTTGTGACCCCCACATTCAACATGGAACCACGGCGGAGACGTGGGGTTGGGAAGTTATGGAAAGTGCCATGGAATGGATGCTCGGGTATCGGGGTATGTATTGCCCGCGGTTACTATTAGAAAAGTCATGTTTATGTCCAAATGGGGTGCTGTCTTCCGGGGTTCCTGGGGTGGAGAGTGTACAGCCATCATTTAGATGTTATATGGGGACGGAATATCTCACAGAGTGGGGAACGATAAGTTTGGCAAGATGTGTGTGGCGACGCTAGTGATTCTTCTCCTGAGTTATGCCAGAAATACGTGAGTCGCTCGGTCATACCTTTTAGAACTACCGAGCTCACGACTCTAGATATACATGTCTATCCTTACCCAAATATTAAACCGTAGTTGTACGAAATTTCTGGACTTGTTGGTTGGTGACAATTCGCGAGTGTAGATTGGGTAGAACGAGAAAATTAAGTAAAGTTGGCGAGTTTCAACAAGTTCACGGGCCATCTCATAGTACTGGCTCCTTGGGATTGATCAATGACGTTGAGTCGCCGACATGATATTCGTTGTCTAGCTGACTATTCTAACTCTGACAGCCCATTCTAATATACAGCGTTTATTCTGAACACTATGCTACATGGCGGACGAAATATTTTGAACGGCAAAATGCCCCCGATATTGAAGAAATTTACTTTACGTAATTAATTGTGAAAGCTGCCACATGATGCTTGATTTCTATAGTGGTCTTGTCCCCGGAATCCCCTCATAATTTTGACGTGAAGTCCGAATTTGCCCCGCCAGCATATATGAGCGCCTCCAGCGCCCGCGTGTTGACCTAGACATATCATAAGCCTCAGGACACTTTAAATACTAGGAGAAGGGTAACAATACATGTTTAGGACTCAGCTCTGCAATGCTGTTGACTCCAAGTAGTCTCAACGCTGTTTCAATTTCCTCTCGGAGTACTGTAAAACAAAATCGCATTAGCCTCTCCATTATTTTTAGGAAGGGCTAGGACTTACTCGTGATCATTCTGGAAACTCCAGCAGCGCCGCCTACACTCAAACCATACAATGGAGCTCTCCCTAATCCTACCCCACGCGCGCCAAGGGCGAGTGCCTTCACGACGTCGGTCCCTCTCTGCACCCCTCCGTCTATCCAAACTTCAATCTTCTCCAAAACTTCGGGACAATACTTCCGGATCTCTAACAGAGTGTGCAGAGCTGGCGGAGCAGTATCACATGCCCGACCACCATGATTCGACAATATTATTCCTTGCACTTGAGGCGCGTAGCGAACGGCCATACATGCGTCTTCGTGAGTCTGGATGCCTTTGATAACGATAGGCAGATCGGTGTGAGCTCTTAGCCAGCCGAGAGTCTTTCCCCAAACTAAGCTTCCACTGGTTCCTGCGAATAGAGCCTTCCCTATTCCTCCGGCGGGTGCCTCTGGCGCTTTAGTTGGCTTTGCGCCGTGCCCGGACGGATAATCTTTGTTCTTGATGCGTTCATCTTGCTCTCGTTTTCCAGGGGTTGGTGCATCGACCGTCAAAACGATGAATTTAATCTTGTGCCTCAGTTTGTTGACACGTCGAATCATATCCTCGCTCTTCCGGCTGTCGCTTTGCACGTACAGTTGAAAGCCATAGACTTGTCCTGGGGCCGAGTTCTCCACAATATTCTCTAGTGAATAGGATGCGTTGTTGCTGATGATTTGCAACACGCCATGAGCACCACAGGCGTCTGAGATGCCGCATTCACCCGACTCGTGTGCCAGGCGGCCCATGGCGGCCGGGGCTATGAAAATTGGGAGCTTGAAAGGAGTATTCAGCAACTTTACTTCGGTGCTAACAGTTTCAACGTCGCAAAAGACTCTAGGGCGCATCAGAATGGCCTTGTAGCTCTCGGAGTTTAATCTCTTCGAAATCTCATCATCGGACGCTGAGTAGTAATATGACCATGCCTTATCTTTCAGTTGTTTAGAGGCTTGTTTCTCGAGATCTGCGATGCTTAATAATTGATCCAGGGGAACCATTTCACTGGCGCTGTCCGAGGAATTGCTTTCCGCTACAGTTGTTGCTTCTTGGGTATCCAAGAACACACTTCCTAGATACGCTTCGGCGGGCAGATTCTGTTCAAGTGTTCCTTTAGGATGAACGAGATCAAAGTCTTCTGTTGCATCTCGACCTGCCAATCTCATAATGGATTGACGGCCTCCTGGATGTTCATCTACGAAGTTTGTGACCTATTTAGATAAGCGCTATGCATATACAGAGAACAGGGTCACTCACATCGTACACTTTGCCATATAATGTCACCCAACAGCTCTCCGACGTATTGTGCTTGAGCACTAGTATGCGTTTTAGTACTCAATCCTGCTGAAGAACCCATGGGAGGGACGCTTTGCAAGCTATAATTCTTACCCTCAGAAGCATTTATACTTCTATCCGTCATATTGTAAGGTGGTATTAGAAGTTGAACTAGGCTGGGCTGATTTAGAGGTAATATTGGCCTTTGTCAAAGAGTGAAATAACTACAGATTGAGAAATATTAAGGCTTTTAATGTCTATTTACTCGTACCTCTTCGAATATCTCTCATCGCCCAGAGAAACCTCACGATACTATACCGAATTTTTCCTCCAATGGCAACATACCGGTCCTTGTGTGATTATGTTGGGAATACCAGATCCACAGTGTTTCCCACTTCGGCTGCCTAAGTATCAAGTGTCGTGAGGATATTGCCTAGTCAGAGAAGGAATATAGTTGATCCAGACCAGAGGCGCGTAGATGGAGGGGACGGACAAGTAGGAATTGACAGACAGAATAAAATAACGGAGACTTGTTAACTCATTCTTTGGTGTGCTGTACGTCTTGGGGTGTACTGTACGCCATGGGTACTAAATGTTCGGCAACTGCCCTTGGTGTCGGCTACTTAGTTTACCTCCGTGCGGGTCCTCTAGTCAGTCCGATAGGGGCAGCTTTTCCCGCTGTTCGGTTAATAACTTGTTGCCATTGCTATCACAACCTGCAACCTCCGAGTCTCTGCTTTTGGGCTTTGAAAATGCGAAGTCTCAATAGCGCAACACGATGGAATAATTAGAATTAAATCTGTGATATATTTAAAACTATATAGTCTTAAAAATGCGATGCTATTTATACCTAACAACTTAATAAAGGGTATGTGTCTATCCCGCGCGGCGACATGGCCTGACCTCGATTGTTTAGAAATATTGTTTTGCTTATAATTGTGGCCTCTCTATCCTTACACCAGTCTCATCGAACCAAATCTTGTTTCCTGTGACCATAGCCTCCTGCAAGGCACAGCCAATCTTCACGGCCTGGACGGCGCCAGTCAGCTTCATTGGTAATTTCAGATCATCTAAGCAAGCGGCTGTGAACTCGTTCGCCTCATTCACAAACGCCTGTTCGAAACGTCCGTAGTAGTTTTGTGGAATCTCGCGACGGATTCCGCCTGGCTCGTAGATGTTTACGAGGTTTGACATTGGTTGGGTGTTGACTGTGACCTTCCCCTCTGTACCAATAATCTCGGTCGAATCCTCCTGGCCAGCAGCCATCATGCGAGAGCAGTAGATGTATGCAATCTTGCCACCATAAAACTCGACAATTCCGACTGCGTTATCGCAATCCTTGTGCTTCTGAAGTGCTGGCTGAACAGCTGTGATTCCGCTAGACACAACTGACTTAACCATGCTGTCTTGCCCGAAGAACCACAGGGCGAGATCGATGTCGTGAATCGAACAATCCACAAAAATACCTCCTGAAAACTCGGCATAGGCCACGAAGAATCCACTCGGGTCAAGCATATCACAAGTCTGGCTGCGGAAGATCGATGGGCGTCCAATCAGGCCAGCATCCATCTTGTTGAAGGCATCGCGGTAGGAGTCGTCGAATCTGCGAGAGAATGCACACATGACTTTGAGGTGTGGCCTTTTGCGAGCAGCATCAACAACTGTTTGGGACTACATGAATATCATGATTAGCAAAAGCACAGTATTACTCCTCGCTAGATGAGAACTCACAACTTCAACGCTCGTTGAGAGAGGCTTCTCGCACAGGACGTGTTTGTTAGCATTAATGGCCTTGATGGCCTGCTCGGCATGCACCGTTGTTACTGACGCAACTACCACCGCCTCTAGATCTTCATGCTTGAGCATCTGATCATAGTCTTTGTAGATTGTCACACCATAGGGTTCGAGATGCTGACGCGCCCACTGGAACTCGGTCTCATCAGGAGTGCTCACAGCGACCAGTTCGGCACGAGCTGTGCGCTCGAGGAAGTGACGAGCATGGCGCTTGCCCATACGGCCAAGGCCTGCACAGCCAACTCTGAGCCTAGGGGGTGCCATCTTCTTTCAATTTTATTTTGATCGTGATGGTGTTGTTGTAGAAAGAGAGGAAGGGTAAATGACAACTAAAGAATGGGAAGTCTGAGGAGTAATTGCTCAAGAAAGCATACGGATGCTGTTGATGATATAATGAATTATGAGAAAACATTGGGATTGGATTTCCAGTGGGCCGGTATAGGCCGACCATTTACGGAAGTTCTCTAACATGGAATATTTTCCCGTTCAGAATATCCACATGGAGGTGTAAAAAAAATCGGCATTGTATCCCTCGCTTCTACATGAGAAAGGTAAGATGACATTGCGAGGCCGATGAAGCAGGGCCTTCCCGTTACGATTTGTCGTATGTAGAGAGGAGGGGGTTCAGAGGAAGAATATCACCAGCATCTCTAGTGTCGGGAAACATTCCTTGAACGATTCATGTCTTGCGCGAATCTCTAATGGAAATTATTTCCGCGGTTAGTTCTACACCGTGCTATCGGGGAGATTTTCCCCTTAGTACCACTTCCCCAATTTCCATAAGAGTAATATTCTGCCACATCTTTCTTACCTAATCTACGATTCTCGCTTTCGAAAGATGTCCGGACCAATTAGCATTCTTCCATTTATGCATTGTACGATTTTGTGATTCTCAACCCCATACCCCACACCCGCTCTAGCCATTTCTGATGAGGTTTGCGGGGAGTAGCCTTTGACCATCCTAGTTCCCCGCACCGTTACCCCATCCTCGCCCCACATTTGAAGGGAATGAGCTGGGGATATCGTCTCCTGCCGCGATAAAGCAATTGAAAATCTCACCTCCTGACGTTTTAACCCGCTGTCATTAGCTTCAGCTTATCCCAGACATGCCTCCGCAAATTTGTACAAAAGGGCCAAGTGCCTCCCATCTCCTCGACATTAAGATAGCAACATCTGCCATCATCAAACAGCTGCTAATATCTATCTCTTGAACATGAGTACAATAAATACCACTAAGGGTGAAAAACATGAAGCCGACGCGCCTCTTCAAATCGAGGACACTTCCCTAAGTGGGACGGAAGAAGAAGGCTACGGGCTCTCAGGTATGTTGTTGTGTGGCCAGCTCTACACCTGTGCCTATGCTCACTGTATATTAGGCTTTCGAGGAATTTTTGCATCCCGTTATGTCGCCCTCTGTGCTGCCTTCGCCGCGATAGGAGGCATGCTCTTTGGATACGAGTAAGGCATCCTGGGACAGATCAACGATTATATATTTGTTAACCATTATTTAGCCAGGGCGTCGTCTCGATCATTCTAGTAATGCCCCAGTTTCTAGAGCGGTTCCCAGAAGTGTCAGAGGCTGCAGCCGGCGCAGGGTTTTACAAAGGCCTCATGACAGGCATGATCGAGCTCGGAGCACTGATTGGTACCATTCTTACTGGCTTATGCCGATCTCTGTAGTGACCATGACTGACTTGTTCAGGTGCCTTAAATCAAGGTTGGATTGCTGATAAGATTTCTCGCAAATATTCAATCGCTGTGGCGAGCGTTATATTCATTATTGGATCTGTAATCCAAACTGCGTCTATGAATTACGAAATGCTGGTCGTTGCACGGTTTATTGGCGGAGTTGGTATTGGAATGTCAGTTTTCCCGCCGAGGAAATATTCCGCAGAGCTAACAACCTATCAGGATGAGTATGGTTGTTCCGCTCTACATTTCAGAAATATCACCTCCTGAAATCCGTGGAACCCTCCTCGTTTTCGAAGAACTCAGCATCGTTGCTGGCATCGTAATTTCGTTCTGGATCACATATGGGACAAGAGAGATTCTATCGGAATGGTCGTGGAGATTGCCTTTTCTCATTCAAATTATTCCTAGCATTATTCTTGGGGCTGGAATATTCCTACTTCCATTCTCTCCTCGATGGCTTGCATCCAAAGGGCGAGATGACGAGGCTCTGGTCAGCCTCGCAAAGTTACGACAACTGCCCATATCTGATAACAGAGTTCGGCGGGAGTGGATGGACATAATTGCCGAGTCAAGATTCCACAAGGAGGTTATGGCAGAGCGCCACCCAAATCTTATGGAGAATACCAAGATGAACAAGCTGAAGCTGGAGATCGTCTCTTGGACGGATTGCTTGAAACCAGGATGTTGGAGAAGGACCCACGTCGGTGCTGGTCTTATGTTTTTCCAACAGGTATGCCGTGTCCTTTCAATATCGAACACAAGCCTAACAGACCATAGTTCGTTGGAATTAACGCTTTAATTTATTATTCGCCAACGCTATTTGGGTAAGCCACCTTATTTGTGGTGTCTTGGGCCAATACTAATCAAATCCTGAAATAGTACAATGGGTCTCGATTATGAAATGCAGCTGATCATGTCGGGAGTACTGAACATTACACAGCTTTTTGGTGTTGTATCCAGTCTCTGGACTATGGACCGATTTGGCCGCCGTACTCTTTTGCTTTATGGAAGCATGTGCATGTTCGTCTCTCATCTGATCATAGCAATTCTTGTTGGCAAATTTTCAGATGACTGGCCCTCCCATAAGCCTGAAGGTTGGACTAGCGTTGCTTTTTTGCTCTTCTATATGATATCATTTGGAGCCAGTTGGGGGCCGGTCCCTTGGGCTATGCCAGCTGAAATTTTCCCGTCGTCCCTTCGAGCAAAGGGTGTTGCAATCTCAACCTGCTCAAGTCAGTATAACCCATGAGGCAGGCTTTTGGAGAATCTATACTAACAGTGCCAGATTGGTTGAACAACTTCATCATTGTACGTTTTTAAAGTGCACACCTGAAACTCCCTTTAGCTAACACCATTGTAGGGACTAGTTACTCCTCCGTTAGTTCAGAACACTGGCTATGGAGCCTACGTCTTCTTCGCTGTTTTCTGTCTGTTGTCATTTTTCTGGACGTTTTTCTTCGTCCCAGAGACTAGCAGAAAGACTCTTGAGCAGATGGACGAGGTTTTTCACGACAGAGTTAACGCTGACGATGTGGCAAGGAAAAACAGAGTCTATGCTGAGGTTGTGGATAACAAATGCGAGGCTGAGACCTAGATATATGAGGGTTTGTTATGTGGTATATGGGCACATCTTATATTTACATCGAGTTATCTGGTCTAGGGGAAACTTCTCTTCAGCGAGGATAGCGAAGGAAATGCTGGCATTGTATATCGTGTTAATTCAAATGTAAAATCTTAGCAAACTCAAGCTGTTAAAGCTAAAGTTGCAATGGCTGCCGTTAGTTGTATAAAGGCAATGTGCGTGGGTAAGTCTAAAGTCTAAAGGTTGTATAAGTAAGGAATATAACGCCATATTGTGAGCGTCTTTGGTAGTTTGTCTTGATGGATTCATTACCAATGAACATAAAGCTTTGTATTTGACACAGCACACTATTCGGACCAGCCATTTTTAATCGACCGACGTTTATTTACGCTTGTAGATATGGGGATACTATACAGCAACAAATATGATACGACTGTAGCTTTGGAGATAGAGTGAATATTTAGTGATGCGCTTGGGATGTTGATTGAAGGAACATCAAACTTATGTTAATCTTGAATGAGCACAGGCTATAGCGAGCTCAATTGGTATATCATTTTAAGAGATATCGGTTCATTTCGACGGGTCAATCCTCTATCAAGTATAATAAAACATATCTAGCTATGTTTGTCATGGATGACACAACATTTATATATTGCATTTTGGGTCGACTTGCTCAGATACCTGGGTCACAAGCTTATCCTCGTTGATTGCCTTCTTTAGGTTCGTAAGCACAAGACGCTCCATATTTGCCTGAGTCTCAAACGTAGATGTACCCATATGGGGCAGAATGACAACTTTATCATTATTCAACAGTCCAGCATGGACCTTTGGTTCCTCTTCGAAGACATCAAGACCAGCTGAAAAGACCTTCCCAGACTCAAGTGCAGCTACCAAAGCAGCCTCATCAATCAGTGGGCCTCTTGCAGTATTGACGATGACAACTCCATCCTTCATTTTCTCGAATTCGTTTGAACTAATGATGTGCCGAGTTGATGCGTTCAAGGAGAGATTGAGGCTGATGACGTCTGATTGGGAGAGAAGCTCATCAAATGAGACGTAGGTTGCATCTCCAGCCAGTGTAGGGGAAAGCGGCTTTCGATTATGGTAGATGATTTTCATGTCGAATGCACGGGCTCTGCGTGCCAGGGCCTTTTCAAATTATCAGTACATATCATAGAAACTGGAATCTATCTTGCTCACTCTTCCAATGCCGCCCATTCCGAGGATGCCAAGGACCTTCTGTTGTGGATCATAACCTAGGCCTGCCGCACCTCTCCATTGATCTAGATAACAGTAAAAAAATGATATCTGGGGTCATATGCAGCCAAAACTTACTGTTTTGAATTGCGAAATATGGAATTGATATTCTTCTTAAAGCTCCGATCATTAACCAGGTTGCGACATCTGCAGTAGCATTGTCGACGGCTTGCGGCGTACTCGAAACAGAGATACCTAGTGCTTCGTTAGCAGCTCGAACGTAGACTTAAAGGCCCGAAGTTAGGCTTGGGGGCTTTTGAACCGCACCTTTCTTTGTGCAGGCAGGGATATCGATGTTATCGTATCCAGCTCCGTTGTGGCAGATATACTTTATGGAAGGAGGAAGGGCGGCTACTAATTCCTCGTCAAAAGGCCCAGTGATCTATAACTTAATCAGACAAGCTTCAACTTGACCAACCCGTGGGAGCACTCACTGATGTTGAAACATTGCTCCTGTAGATGGCCTTGACCGAGTCGTATCTGCCGGTCTTGCAGTTCTCAAGGAATTCTTCTCGGCTGCCCTCTGGGTACTCCTACGAGTGAAGTGTCAATGCCAAAGATCGAGCTTAAAACAGGAATTCCAAGTCTTCATACCTTGAGGTCGATGGCAGGCGCCAAAGATTCCCACTCGTTCTTAACATGGGTAATCTCTCCGATGAGCAATGCGCTGGGTGTCGCCATGATGGAAGCTGGAGATTCGGTGGGTATCTAGGAATACTTTGAGAGGATGAGGAAGAAGAATACAGAGCGACGTGTAAATGTAACTGAGAGAGAGAAAGGTCCTCATAGACCTTGTACGGAAATATGCCTCCGTTTTCCGGTCCCCTCTATTTTTACAACCCCCACGGTTACAGGTCGTGAGATTTGCCGACCCCACCTTCCGTGCGGGGTCGATACTGTCGGCTATTGAAAGATTGCAGGGGTCCGTGCTGTCGGCTATTCAACGTTTAGACATTTCGCATCTGGTGATCAGAAACGCTGTTCTTCATGCGAAATACCTATCTATTATGGAGAAATGAACAGAATACACTGCTTATGTTTATCTTCGGCGTGTAACGGCTTTATATCACCCTTGAAAAGATCCGATGCCTACTCCACCCAACGATGACGCTCGGCCCAGTCGTATTCGCACACAACCGCAAAAACGCATTTCGAAGGCCTGCTTGAGATGCCGTCAACGAAAGTCCAAATGTAACCTGTAAGTGCCTTATCTCGTTATAATTTGGCCTGTGGGCTGTGGCTATTTACCCAGTGACGGCTTCAGACCTTGAAACTATGCTGCAGTATTAAATGGGGAATACATCACGCGCACGATTTGCACATGTTTGAATTTGACAAAATGACACCTGTGGGCCTCAGAATCGCCTAGACTAAGATATTGCTATTACAGAGACGGACATGGACCTGCCGGAGCACTTCCTTGCCAGCGATGCGTACGGGATGGAGTCGAATGCATACTCGGAAGCTCGAATCGAGGCGGACGCCGAATACGAAGATCAAAAGCCATCCCAGAAGCCACTTCCCCAGCCCAAAGTAACGCACACGAAACCTCTCCTCATGCCCCGAACTCGGAAATATACGAACAGAGCTACTTGGGGCAGACTCCGTCGACTTCGGGTTATAATAACCCGCAGCAGCAGCAGCAACGACAACAACAACATGGGATAAATGAAAGCCTACATTCGCCGAGCTCCAATATGGCAGCCGCGATAGAAGATACATTTGCATCTACAAACCTTCATAACACCTCCGAGGCCCTCAACTTCTTGAGCCAAGCTGCAGAGAATGCGGCAGCAGCACAAATGTCCGAGGATTCTGCTGCTCAGAACCACCAACGAGTACCATATCAAGACTACACTTTTCAATCTGACGGTGGCGGCAATATTGGACATGAATTGCCCAGAACTCAGCACACAGCAAGCATGAACCTCATTCCTTATCACTTAGTTACCATGCAGTTACTTAGCCAAGATCAAATTATTGACTTGGTTGGCAGGTAATCCTTCCGATGTATTGATTAAATACCGCCAACATTTGAGGCTAATAGATATTCAGATTTGCGACTTTGTATCATCCATATCTCCCGATTACTCCCAAAAGATCGCTCAACACTGCTTTTCTAGCAGATACGGCGCAACATGAACCGCATCTGTTGACGGCAATGATCACTATCGCTGCAAAGGATCTACCAGGTGACACGAAGATCTTTGAGATTTGCTCGAAGTATATGAACCAGCTTGTAGCCGAACTTTCCGTGGGGAAAAAATGCGACGTCGAAGCAGTCGAAGCATTATTGTTGCTAGCTGAGTGGGAGCCTCAAAGCGCCCTGTCTGATGTCAAGGAAGTTGGCTGTGGAGAAGAGGACTTGGCGGCTTGGATGCATGTTGGCTTAGCCCTTCGAATAGGTTACTATTTGAGGTTGGATAGGACATCTTTTAAGAATGACGACGAAGAGCGAATGGTTCATTATAATCGTCGTAGGTTGGCTTGGGCTGGTGAGTGCTGATCAACTTTTATGGTGACATTTCTTCGAGTTCTCCATGGCATAAATGATTTACGAGGCTTCATAAGGGTTTGTTAGGTACATTAGGTTCGTAACTGACTGCGTTCATAGCATGCTACATTTCAGACCGACAAATTTCAGTACGAATTGGACGAGCATTTTGGTCTCGAGGGCCTGGCCCTGTTTCTGGCCCAGGTAGACATCCAACTCTGCAGCCTGAATCGGCAACAGATGAAGATCATGCTAGTATTTTCCAAGCTATGCTTGAGCTAATCCAACTTTTCGGAAACGTCCACGACGTATTGTATTCAGGTATGGGCAGCAGCGTGAAGATGATGCTAGTGGGTAATTACGTGAAGTACATTGATGACTTCAGAGCTGCAATCAACAGCTGGAAAAGTGTTTGGGGAACATTAACTTGTAAGTCGACGCTTAGTATAAAAACCATAAATGATTTTTGGATGTCATCTTTGCTTTGCTAATGCTTATCCTTCCCATCTAAATAAACTTCAACTGCCTGCTTTCAGAGTAGACTAACCGTTCTTTGCACTAAGGCTCTCCGAACCTAAAGATAACACTGCAAATGACCTACGAGTATCTCCGCTTATACAACAGTGCCTACGCATTTCAAGCAACAGCATTTCGCACGATATCTTCCAAAAAAAAGGACAGTTTAGGCCTTGAAGAGAGCGCTCTAGGTCTTGTCGGCGCTCTACCAGACGCAAGGTTTATATACGAATCTGTCGACGCCGCCAAATGCTTGCTTACAGTCGTAAACAACTTCAGCCATCCTGATACTAGCCTTCGCCATTTTCCCATGAGATTTTCATTGTATGGACTCCTTTCCACCCTAAACATTTTTCCACAACTCCACATCTCGTCTTTGTTGGCTCTCCCTAATATGCGATAGGTATTGTGTAAACGCGGCAGTTTTCCTGTACAAAGCTTGGTCTCTTGGTGTTTTAGGATCCCAGGAGAAGGTAGGCGTTCGACGGATGATTAAAGATTCCATTTCACGACTACGGGCTGGAAGTGCACGGCCAGGCGAATTTGGGTTACGATACGCTCAACTGCTGGAACTATTATGGCTTCAAACAGATGAAGAAGTGGCCCAACGGGATGGAACAACCATTTCTGTCACAGATCCTCATCCAGCATTAATGGTGCAACGACCGCCCATTAACGCACCAGACGAATTCTCATGGCTTGATCTACAAGCAGTAGGCGAGTTTTTGACCAGAGAGCCAGATCCAATAGATTTGAACTTTAGCAACAATAACGCACAGCAGTTTACCCAACCATCAAGGCGCGGAAGCTTATCTTGGAACGATCTTGGTTGGCTAGATGATGATTTGAATCGATTCTTTTAAACACGGAGAATCTATCCTCGAGCTTTCGCTCAAGTGGAAAGAAAGAAAGGACTATATTGTCCTATCGCTAGGCCCTCAATCATGATGCATGAAACCTAAAGGGCGTTGTCCTCGTCGACGGGATCGAATGCTGTGGCAACATGCTGCAATTGTTGCCATTTGCAATCTGGAAATATCTCATAGTAACTTGTAATTATTAAAGATGGGAGTCTTCGAGGAATAAAGTGCGGGCTCCGGAGGTGGGGATGGCAGTTATGGAGGCGAAGGTTGCCTGGAAGAGAATCGATGATCAATTATGTTTTCTTCTTAGGTTTCTTTTGAGATTGATTCCACCATGTTTTTATTTATTTTGATTTACCTTCCCATCCACCCCCCGTCAACAGTCAACACCTCTCCACTTACATACATACTCGCTCTACTTGCCAGAAAGAGCACAGCTCCCTCAAAATCCTCCGGTTTCCCCCACCTCCCTGCTGGAATTCTTGCCAAAATACTTGCTGCTCGGTTCTCATCATCAATCAACGCAGTGTTCATTTCAGTAGCAATGTATCCCGGAGCAATTGCATTCACAGCGATGCCCTTTGATGCCCATTCGTTAGAAAGAGCTTTTGTGAGTTGTGTAATTCCACCTTTGGAAGCTGCGTAGGCTGGCACTGTAAGCCCACCCTGAAAGGAGAGGAGCGATGCAATGTTGATGATAGATCCGCGACGGTTGGCGGAATCAGGTTCATTCGAGAGCATATGCGCGCCCACATCACGGCACAAGGTGAAGACGGTTGTTAAGTTGACTTGCAGAACCTCATCCCAGTCATTCGATGGGAATTTCTCAGATGGGTGTCTACGCTGTATGCCGGCGCAGTTGAGGAGAATAGTGATTTTGTGGTCGTCAGCAAGGATTTTTGGAAGAATACCTGCTACCGACTCCTGCGATGCAAGATCTGCAGTGTATATCGTGCATTTACGTCCCAGTGCTATGATTTGATCGTGTGTCGCTTTGTTGGTGGTGTCTCGCTGCGAAGAAGTCAGAAGCTGGTTTGGGTAAGGAGGATCTATATCAATACGAACTTGAACCAGGAGGATGTCTGCGCCTGCTCGTGCGAGGGCGAGGGCCATGGTCTGCCCGATTCCTCTTGTACCGCCCGTAACAAGAGCCTTTTGGCCCTCTAGACCAAACAAGCCTTCTAAATATGACATTTTAATATTTTAAGGGTTAAGTCAGACTTGATTTGGGTTTGCTCTTGGAGTTTGAGATCCTAATGCCTGGGTCTAGAGAAAGGCGGGCAAGAAGGCACAAAAGATAGTAATACAACGGAGGGAGAAGTATGGCGCTGCGATTAATTTATTCTCATTGGGTAACGTAAAATGTAAGGGACGGACTTTCATTTCCTTAACAATCGGATATAGTGAGATCGTGACGATGGTGGGGGTTGTACAGTACCCGAGTTGGTAATATTTCAATAGCCGATGGTGGAATGAACCCCACACCACCCTCGTCATCGCCCACATTTAGCAATGATCGCCTTCTTGTCAGAGATTCTGTTGGTGGGAAACCTGTCACAGGCACCGATCCAAGAGATCGAAAACGAAACAGAGAGCAATATTAGCCATATTTGGCAATTACCGGCGGTAATTGTCAAATGTGCTAATAAATAATGACGATTCAAAGGCCGAATATTGAACATACGCTGATTTCAGAGAACTCCCAACAATTGGTGATTTATAAAACAAACATTCATAAAGGTCATCTAAATTTTGAATATCCGTGGGATCACGTCCAGCGCTTTCTCAATAATTGATCTCTCACTTCTTATTCTTAACTCCCTGTTGTTCTGTGAAAAGGCTGCAAAATGGTCACTACGGTCCCCAACAAGATCCTCATGCTCCATGGATCCAAGGATCTCCGGCTGGTATTTACCGCGCATCAACAGTCAACTCGCCATTTTTAACTAATAACCCTCTAGGAAACACGCTCTATTCAAAGTCCTCTGCCCAACGAAGTCCAAGTCGCCGTCCACAGCACTGGGATCTGTGGATCAGATCTCCACTACTACAGCGACTTTCGCAATGGAGCTTTTGCTGTTCTCGCACCCCTCTGTTTGGGCCACGAGTCGGCCGGCACTGTAACAGTTATCGGTTCCTCGGTTACATCATTGAGTGTGGGCGACAGAGTAGCCTTGGAAGTCGGAATGGCTTGTGGAACCTGCGAGCTGTGTCGAGGAGGAAGGTATAATATTTGCGAGGAGATGCTCTTCAAAAGTAGTGCAAAGACTTATCCGCATGCCGATGGGACTTTGGCAGAATTAATCAATCACCCCGCGGATTTGTGCCACAGGTATGTTGCAGCTGCAACGTTAACAAGATGGGGCAGAACCTAACAGAAATAGAATCCCAGAAAATGTCACCTTTGACCAAGCCGCTCTCATCGAACCTCTCTCAGTCTCCATACACGGCGTAAACCGCTCACAGGCACCCGCCGGTGGCAAAACACTCATCTTTGGTGCTGGTGCAATCGGGCTGCTCACTGCTGCAGTTCTACGAGCACACGATATGAGCGAAGTAGTAGTTGCCGACATCGATTCGGCGCGTCTTACAATCGCAAAAGACCTCGACCTGGCCACAAAGACGTTCCTAATTCCGCAGGCACCAATGAAGACCGAAATCGATGAAGTCCTTAAAGATGCCCAGGACCTTGCGGCGAAGATTGCTGAGGTAGCTGGCGTGCGTGGATTCGACAGAGTCTACGAGTGTACTGGTGTGCCGAGCTGTGTGCAGACTGGAATATTTGCGTCAAAGCCTGGTGGGAAAATCGTCCTCATCGGTATGGGAAGAGCAGTACAGACTTTACCCCTAGGTGCTGCTGCGCTTCGCGAAGTCGACATTATCGGCGTTTTCAGATACGCAAATACGTATCCAACAGCGATTACGCTGATCTCGAGTGGGAAGTTACCAAGGATACACAAGCTGGTCACACACAAAAGAAGTTTAGACAAGGCGGAGGAGGCTTTTATTTTGGCAAAAAATGGAAAGGATGAGGAGGGAAATGTAGTGGTAAAGGTCGTAATTGAGGCTTAGCACGAAAAGTGGAAGGCGGGGTGAGGCGCAGGATCAGGAGTACAGAGCCAGCATTGATTTCAACGTGGAAGAGAAGCCGGTTACATACACGCTTTTCAACAAGCCCTCGTTTATCGCATCGCATCCTTGTATAAATGGGCCCCATTTTCAGCATTCGAATGATATGGGCAGCATGTTTGCACCATTCGGGACTTGAAGAACGTCCATTGGATCCCTGGCGAGGTGCTTATTGTCAATGCGACCTGCGATGGTGGCGAACTTGTTGCGAGGGCGTGGTGTTCGGAGAATGCTCAACATGCGGTTGTGAGAAAGGGGAGTGATGCTTGCTTTGCCAGCTCAGTGAAGATGGCGAGGGGGCAGGGGCTGGGGGTCAGTTGCTTGGTCCGGGCATGAGGTACTTCGTGCGCAGTTGATAGAATTTATGTTAATATTTAGGTATGAGGCTTATGATATCTTGTGTCAAACTTCAGTCACAACATGGCCAACGTGTGGGGTATTCTGAGCCAGCTTAACCTTTCAGCAATGGCACATGGCAATGAGGAACCCGCAAGACATTCCTCAGCCTGGCCCACTAGATCGCGACCTCAATTCTAGCTTCGCTGTCCTTCGCAGGCACGCTTGACATACATCTAAACATAGAAAAAATCGACTTAGGATAAGGTTACCAAGAGGCGTAAATATTAAAAAGGTTGAGACGTGTATCTCCATGGTTGTGTTCACACAGAAATGGCTCGCCTCCTATAACGGAATCTCTAACAAGCGAGTCAGAAGACACGACTTCCGCGAATCGTGGCTTAGAGCTCTGTCCAGCCACACACACCAACGCCACTCCTGCCCCGCAAAACCACCTAACGCAAATACTTGGCATACGTGATAGGCGCCCGACATTCCAAGTCTTGATTTGAGACAAATAAATAGACAAAAAATCCCCCTTCGACAACACCTCTCTGTTAAATTCAGATTTACGATTCCTCAGAGATAAACCAAACTGTGAGCTGCTCGCGCCTCTATCGCGCGTAAGAATGGAACTAACATTGGCCTGCAGATATAATCTTCCACCAACCAATCATCCTAACATAAACAACAATATCTCGACATGGGTTTCCACTACAACCACACGCGCAGGATGCACCAGTACACGGTCATCCCACACGTTCTCTATGTGCGCCGCTGGGGCATGAAGAAATGGAGCTTGGCCTTCGGTAGCAAGGGCCGCGTTACGTACGACTGAGCCATCACTCGACGGAGACTGAAGTTTGGCGGTGGGAGAGAATAATGTGCTGGGTGCGCTCGGTGATGATTCATGGCGTTAGGGTATACCTTTTTGGGAATGCATAATTTGATGCTTGCTTGCTTGCGGTGGTATGCGACACTGTTGGGGACCTTGGATTTGATATCGCAAATAATGTACGGGGTCGCGGATTTCCTGGTCCTTGGAACGGGGAGCTCTAGCTTGACTTGGAGGTCTTTTAGAGTTGCAGGCCACTATCTTAGGAATCTAAGTTCATCTACCCCCATTACTGTCAATGAGTTCCTCCCTGGTTCTCAACCTGGTATTCGTGGGCGAGGGTCGATCATCTCTCATCTATTGCCCCGTCTTGGCAGGGGCTGTGCCTAGCTGCCACTCGGTCAAAACAACATGCTTACTTACAAGAACTCACAATGAAAACACCTTACAGAACACAAGTCTAAATATACTTCTATCTAGTTGCCTTGTAAATTTACGTATCACCATGCGTTTACGAAACCCAAACCCCCTAACTATCGTCAACTGACACGCACAATGGAAGTCCCCAATGCAGCCGACCACGCCGGCGGCGTCTCGCTTCTGTTTACCACTGCGCCTGAGATTTTTAGCGACATCCAGTCTGCTGCGCAATTCAGCGAGATAGACGAGGTACAGCGAGTCAAGACCGAGGTTGAAAAGGTGCGACTTATCATCTGGGGACAGTCGGTTGGTTTGGATGGGTCGCCAGAAAAGCGGGATGATGCGCTTAACGTGGCGCTGGGTGGGGAGTATCTGAGAACGGCGGTGTCGGGGCTGCTGTTGAATTGCTTTATCAAAATATTTGAGGACTCCGAGAAGTTGAAGGACCGATATGGACTTGTTCAGCGTGTGAATCAGGGGCCAGGGAGTTCCCATTATCTGCTGGTTGGATTTACTTTCTGGAGAACCTACAAAAAATATGGTGGGCACACTGGTCGACATACGCACCTGGGACTGGGTCGCGGGCATGGCACTCCCTGGATCAATGTTCCCCTTGACACTGATGTTCGGCCTCCACCAAGCATGCCCATCGCTGAAAAAGACAGCCCCAGCTGGAAAAGTTCAGCTTCGCCACGCAAACTTCGGCATGGTTTTCAACCAAGTCTCATAACGGCGCAGTCGGTCCATTATTAGAAAGGTCCTCGCCGTTCTCTCGGATCTTCACGAAATAGGCGGTTGGGTGGGGCCATGCATAGCGGCCGGTGGCCTTGAAACTTACCCAACGCCTGCGCGCTCGTGAAAGTGCACACAGGCGCCCCAGACATGAATTTGAAAGGTTATGCGGGTGGGGACCCTCCATACACCCCATCAGATGGGAGTTTGATGTGGGACGATGCTGTGTTTCCACCTGACTCGGAAGAGATTTGCGTGCTTAGGAAATTGCGCATGCTCACTGTCAACGCTGAGGAACTTAACCCAGACGAGGTCAATTCACTGACGCCGTATCGCGCGAAGCTAGACTTCTTCCTGTCAAAGGCCAACAAGGCCATTTCCTTGACCCTCTACACCAATAGCGTCTTCGTTGCCGCGCCGCCGTGGAACGGAACGCACAAGATAGATGCACAATATACTGGGTTATACAACCGGACTATCTACGATGTGTCACAGCTTGACGAGGTGGAGATCAAGGCGGGAGAGATCACGGTGATCAATGCGATGGGGACAGGCAGTTGCAAGAGCGTGGCGTTCGGAGAATGGGACGAATGCCGTGGTTTTGGGCAGGGATAAGCGGTGTTGCTTCAAATGTGGACTGATGCTGGCTGGGAAAGAGGGAGTCGATGTTGTTGTTTTAATTTTGAGCTGATTTGATCACTCCTGGCAGTCGAAGTTCAATCATCCATCTATTACCTAAATTGTGAGCTTCACTTTCTAAACCAGCGCACTTTAGCGCAAGAATAGTCACGTCGAGCTTGTAGATATATCACCTCCCAAATCTTAACTAATCTTAACTATCTTGAGCTTCACTTTTGAGTCGTCAAGAGAGAGAGAAAGGAGATAAAATCGATTATAACCTCAGATAGTCAGGTGACCTTTAATTATAGCTGCTCATGCTTATATAAGAAATTCATTCCGCAGCCGTTGCATCCTACCCCGCACTACCCCACTGGAACGCCAATTCGCCCCTGGCGCTTTTTGGCTTCGGCAGCTCTACGCTGGCTGGTCGGACCTTGATAGTCCGTCGATTAAGCACCAACCAGCGAACCACAACGGTTTAAATTAATCCGTTATATGGATCATCTTATAAATGCTTGCAGATGGGGTAGCTATTTATCCACCACTGCTAATGTCAATTAATATTTTTTTGGTATAAGACAAGATCAAGCTGCCATCATGCTGTTTACCTTTTGCTATCCCGTCTTTTTTACGCGTCGCCATGAGGTTGACCAGCTTCCTGTCGTGTCTGCTCGTTCAGAGCTTGGCTGTGAATGTAGTTTCGAGCAAACAATGGCCGTTGCACGATGATGGCCTTAATAAGGTCGTCGAATGGTGAAATAACCCTCTGAATATAGCTTGTTGAATTGAAGGGGCTAACGGCTCCAAAGGGACCATTACAGTTTCAAAATCAATGGAGAGCGGTTATTCATTTGGTCTGGGGAGGTATGGGACTTCACTGTCTGCCAATTGAATTAATCTGATTGTCATAATATAGATGCACTACTGGAGAGCCCCAGTTCCCGAGATGTGGATTGACATTCTTCAAAAAGTGAAGGCAGCTGGGTAAGATATGCCACATTTATCATATTACTGACCACACTCTGACGGGAATAGCTTCAACACAATTAGCTTCTACGGAAACTGGGGTGAGACCTTGTCAGAACACCCGGTGGGCACCTAGACCCTAACTGTTACTAGGATACCACAATGCAAAGAACGGATCCCTGGACTTTGAGAATGGTGCGCACAACTTTGAACGCCTCTTCGAGATTGCAAAGGAGGTTGGCCTGTACGTCCTCTTCCGCCCCGGACCATACGTCAACGCCGAAGCTACTGCTGGCGGCTTTCCAGGATGGGTTACGACTGGTGCATACGGTGAGCTGCGCAACAATGACACTCGGTACACCGATGCTTGGACGCCATACATGGACCGGATGTCACAGATAATTGCCAAGCACCAAGTCACCAACGGCGGTAATGTTTTCATCTACCAAATCGAAAATGAATTCGGAAACCAATGGCTCGACCGCGTGAAGAAAATTCCTGATCTCGTGGCCATCGATTATATGGAACTCATGGAGTCATCTGCAAGAAGGAACGGAATCGATGTCCCCCTCATTCACAACAACCCAAACATGAACACCAAGTCGTGGTCCAAGGATTATAGCAACGAGGGAGGGAATGTGGATATTTATTCCGCGGATCATTACCCTTCATGCTGGAGCTGTGACTTAACGGAGTGCACTGGGACCAATGGCAATGTCCCCGACTTCACCACGTTTGAATACTACACATCGTTCCAAGATGTCGCTCCAACGCAGCCATCTTTCTTGGCTGAGTTTCAAGGCGGGAGCTACTTGCCCTGGGGAGGCCCTGAAGGAGGCTGGTGAGATTTTATCCCGCCTCTAGCATATGCTATTGATAGTTGGCTGACAATGTTTAGTGTGAATAACACTGGCCCTGATTGGGTTAATGTCTTCTATAGACACAATGTCGCCCAAAAGATTACAGCTGTGAATGTGTACATGGCGTTTGGAGGAACTAGTTGGTAAGGATTCTCTCTGAAACTTTTGACAACAACAACTAACTCGTGAACAGGGGTATGTCATCCGCTCTAAAGCCCAGGAGAGTTAATACTGACTCGAAATAGCCGGAATCCCCTTCCCAGGTGTTGGAACCAGTTATGACTACAGCGCGCCTATTAGTAAGTCTATAAACAGAGAATAATGTGCGAGCCTGCAACTGACGCCCTTGGTAGGCGAGACTAGATTCGTTGGTGACAAGTATTCCGAGACGAAGCTATTTGCACAATTCCTTCGTGTCGCCAGAGACCTGACGAAGGTCGACCGCGTCAACAATGGCACGACATATGCCTCGAACTCAGCCATTATGACAACAGAGCTTCGCAACCCCGACACTAATGCAGCTTTCTATGTTACTGCTCACGCATTCTCGCCATCGACCGATCGAAGCCCTTTCAAGCTGGATGTCTCCACATCAGCAGGTAGATTGACTATCCCCCAGAATGGCGGCAATATTGTCCTCAATGGCCGAGAATCGAAGATTATCGTCACCGATTTCAGCGTCGGGCGTGAGAAGCTTATTTATTCTACGGCAGAGGTTTTGACTGTTTCAATCCAAGACGGCAAGCCAGTTGTTTTCCTCTGGTTACCAGCTGGCGAAAGTGGAGAGTTCCTCTTAGACTGTATAAGGATACCTTTGGTTCTGAAGAAGGACGGCTGCTCCAATATCAAGTTCAAGCAAGGTCGCAAGGGATTCGTTACCTCTTATACTCAGTCCAAGGGATCTTGTGTTCTGCAATTCGAAACTGGCATTCGGTTTGTCCTTCTTGATAGGTCTGCTGCTTACGATACTTGGGTGCCCAGCTTGTCAAACAACCCGTTTACCTACGAGAATACAACAGGTAAGGCACCTTTGAATTTGCTTGTCATTACTTTGCTAACAGAAATTAGTCGTCGTCCAGGGCCCATATCTTGTGCGAAATGTAGCCATTGAAAAGAAGACAATTGACATTTCTGGAGACTGGTCTGAGAAGACCGACCTCGAAGTGTTTGCCCCGAAAGCAGTTAACTCAATCACATTCAATGGAAAGAAGGTCCAGACCAGAAAAACTTTATATGGCAGTCTTATCGGAACTCTAAAGGCTTCGACGCATTCCGTTGACTCGGTGAAATCCAGTCTTCCTGCACTTACAAGCTGGAAAGTTAACGATGGCCTGCCAGAGAGGAAGGCGGCCTACGATGACTCGAAGTGGACAGGTGAGTCTTTAATCTCCTTGGCGTATATTGAAGATGCTAATATTCCCAGATGCGGACCATACGACAACCCAAAACCCGACCGCTCCCGCAACATATCCTGTTCTTTACTCGGATGAATACGGTAAGCATGGCTCAGTGTATAAGACTACTTAGCTGACCACCACAGGGTTCCATCATGGCAACCTTCTCTGGCGTGGTAGATTCTCAGGAGCTGCCACTGGTGTTTACCTTGACGTTATCGGCGGAGCATTTAGGTATGAGACTCTCTTTGATTTGAGTCCCCTCATTGCTAATTGATATACAGCGGATGGAGCGCGTATCTGAATGACAAGTATATCGGTTCCTGGGTCGGCAACAAAGACTCCAACGGCGCCCTCGAACTCTCCTTCGCCAACGCAACTCTCAACACCGACTCCGAAAACGTCCTCTTCGTCATCCAAGACCACATGGGCAAAGACCTGAGAGGCGGCGCAACCATCGCACGTGGAATCTACAACGCAACTCTCGTCGGGGGAGGCAAATTCTCGTCTTGGAAACTCACTGGAACTGCAGGCGGAGAAGATAACATCGATCCTGTGCGTGGGGTATATGCCGAGGGTGGCCTGCACGCTGAACGTCTGGGATGGCATTTACCCGGCTTCAATGACGCGGCTTGGAAGAAGGGTACACCGGATACGGGACTCAGCACCGATGGAGCCAACTTCTACCGTACAGTCGTGCCCCTTGATATTCCGAAGGGCATCGATGTGTCTCTTGGTCTTAAGCTCAGCTCGCCGACTGGATTGCATTTGCGTGCACAGGTTTATGTGAACGGTTATATGTTTGGAAAGTACATCCCACATATCGGCAATCAGATCACGTTTCCAGGCCAGTATCCCTTAATCCACTGTTTTGTCTACACCTTTGCTGACTTTTGAAACAGTCTTCCCAGGAATTTTGGATTACCACGGCGACAACACAATTGCCGTCAGTCTCTGGGCCCAGGATGCCGCAGGCGCAAGCCTGACTGTTGATTGGACTGTACTTGGTGTCGTTGAGTCCGCGTTCGATCCGGGCTTTGAGGCGGACTATTTGCGTCCAGGATGGACTGATAATAGGTCGGACTACTATTGATCTGGGCATACGGCTAGATTTCCGCCGCTGGAAGAGATCTACAATATCTGGAAGTGATACATTCGATTCTTGGGTGGCTTAATGCATTTACGAAAAGTTTTAGAACTATAACGAAGTTTATCTGTGTTGGGCAGTCTCCGCTCTGATTTTATTTTATTTCCGAAGATTCCCTGCTATATACAATCTCATATCATCCTATCCTCTCCATCCCCTTCACCCATTTAACAGCTTACCTGCTCCGCCGTCCCAATTCCTGCCTGACTACTCGTAAAGAAATTCGCCGTCGCCCCCGAATCCCTACACAAATCAAAGTGTATCTCGGCCCCATATTGATTCGGCACGCTACAAATCGGATTCCCATCCGTCGGACACAGATTATTGACCCGCACCGTAACACTATTCTCCGTCACCGCCTGCCCGCTCAGATCCGTCGTCACAGTCAACTTGTAGCAGGTCCCACATGCAGGACCCGCGCCGTCGCCGGGGCCAGCGCCGAATTGAGATTGGCTCAGCGCGGCGGTGTAGCCGCCTCCGGGCTCGCCGCAGGCATTGATGGAGGTGGCGCAGTTAGGGGAGCCCATGGAGTCGCCAGCACCGTATTCGGTGAAGGAGGCTTTGAGGGCGGTGGCGGCGAGGGGGAGGGAGAGGGCGAGGGCGAGGAGGGCTTTGGGGTGCATGATGGGTGGTGGATTGATTTGTTGGGATTGTGGGTTTGAGTAGTTGCTGTCTGTGTTTTGAGATAATGGACTGATGGGGGAAGGTTAGTTGGGGGTTATAAGCCTTCTTTTATAATCGTATGATAACTACGTTGACTTGGGATTCAGCCGACAGCGTTTCAAGTATGAGGGCCTCGCGGGCTCAATATCGCGGGTTAGGAATTGATCTTCAATGTCATCAATTTAAACTTCCCAACTTCCCCTCATCTTCACCTTCCTTTCGCAATGATCTGCAACTGCTGCAGGTTTGCCGTGTTTGCGACCGCTGGTAGAAGTCGACTTGTGGTCATGTCGTCGGTAGATCTCGAGTCTAGTGTCTGAGCGTGGCTGACGGCGGCTGACGCCACGAAATATCCGCTAGTGGATCGGCATCCCCGGATTTGTAGCCCGTGTTCCTGAAGATGGAGAGTCAAGCTTAGATTAGGGGTGTAAAACAATGGCAACACATAAGCACGACTTGCGAATTGGGAATGGGTGGAAGGCTAAATAGGTGTTATACACTGGCATATTGCATATCCTATTAACAATTCTGAAATAGTAACGAATGGCGATGACTATTTACTCTCTTGTGGCATCGCACTAAGTGTGAGTTGGAGTTGTTGCTGCGCCTCACCGCCTGCCTAACGAGCATTTGGCCAAGCTTTTATATTGAAATCCAACAGAGACAGGGCCTGTCACCTGTCACCATTTTCTATCTAATCTTAGGGATAAATGGGCAGGTCCGTTCCTGGTCGCGACTGCCTTCTCCTGCTTAAATATCAATAATTCCCCCAGTTTTGCATTTGCAGTTTTGGACGCGTTTATTTCCTCACTTACGGTCATTTCCTCACCCACGCTCGCTATCATGCTCGCCACCATGAACACCGCCGCTCCTTTCTGGGTCTCTATCGCCCTATTAGTTCCACGGGCTCTAGCGGCCCCCGCCGACTCTTCAGCTACCGCCGCAGCACCAAGCTGTACAGCTTCCCTCATCACCAGTCTCTGCGACTACCCGAGTGCTGGCCCAGAGTTTTCCGTCGCCATCAGCAGCAGGGCCTCCTGCTGGGAATATTGCAACGACCACCCTCCCTGCAATTTCGCCATCTTCTCCGCTGGCAACCCCTACACAGGCAGTGGCGCCTGCTTGCTGTACCCCGGTGAAAACTTCGATGCGAGCAAAGGTAGTACGGATTGCGGCAACCCTTCCCTGTCCGTCTATGACAAGCCTGTGTGTGCTGGCGGGAGCGCAACCACTACTGCTGGCGCCTGCGCCGCCACCGCGTCTCCCTCTGCTGTTGCCTCGGTCTGCGGGTACCCGACGCCGCCTGATAACTGCCAAAGCAGTTGTTATGCTAGTAGCGGTTCAGCGCACTGCTTGAGTATCTGTGCAAAGGCCGATTCCTGCAACTACGCCATCTTTAAAGCGATGAGCGAAAGCAAGTCGCCATATTCCGCCGGCAATTGCTGGATCTATACGGAGGGAAAATTTAACCCTGGGCTTGCCACCGCTTGTACTGGCTCTCCTGACCAGTTTGTGTATAACAACTTGGACAACGTGTGTCCCAAGCCATCGCCTACGTCGTCCTCCCTTGCATCATCTGCTACGGCACACTCCAGTGGCACTGAAACTGCAAGCGCTACGACGGGCTCTCATGGCTCTGGTGGCTCTGGTGGAACTACAGGCGATACTACGGGCTCAGCCGATGGCGCTGCTACGAGCTCTACTGGCACCGAGACCACAGGCAATACTGGGAGCTCAACCAATAGCTCTGGTACGAACTCTAATGGCACTGGTACGAAATCCAATGGCACTGAAACCGCTGCGGCCCCAGCCACTACCACCACGAATTCTGCGGCTGCCGGCCTGTCGCTCACCAATCCATTGGCTATAGGCGCGGCTGTATTGATGTGGATGGCCTTGTAATGATATCCTTGCATATATTGTTTGCTTGTTCACTGTTCACCCAAACTGGCCATTGGGGACGATATACTATATATTAATGGACTTCGTGTGGGGTCACTTCTCATAAGTCTCTCGCTATTTTGGAGGGTATGTTGGGTTATTCATCCCATACTGCAAACAGAGGACTGGGGTTCCGAATGGTATGAACCACGTTACCATCTTGATCGATCTTAGAAGAACCGGCGGAGGAGTTATGTATTTCATTATATATTTAATCATTAATTGTAGTATACCACCAAATACAACATGGATATTTTGAGAATTTCGTGGAATGAGTCGATCTTCAACCAACTAGCTATGTCATACAAGCCAAAGAAGCTTATTGAAGCACTGACCCCGTCCTAGTCCAGTGGATATACGCTTGATTATTTTATGGAGGGACCACTTCACAAAAGCTAGTGCCAGTCTACGGATGCTTCGACGCTTTATTGTGCGGTAAATTCGAGCATGGGGCAGGCGGCTGCAAAAGCAAATGCGTGCCGCTGCCCTGCCGCGGCACTATGGATCTCGTCTTTACAAATTCACTTATCCCTCTTGTTCGTATAGTCGTCTCAAGTCGATGTCAGACCGAGACAAGCATATCAAGCACCATGAACGACCATGGAAATGTTCTGTCGCCGCTTGCGAGTGGTCTGTCATTGGCTTCTACAAGAATAAAGCTGCGACGACCACTGGCTTATTTTTCACCGTACCTTATTGAGTATGAATCTATTGAAAGCTCAAGGTCAGTGGATTAGTAGTCAGGTGGGTGACTACCAGCGAATTACACAATGGGCTTGTTGAGGATGGAAATTATGAGTGTCACAGAAGGTAGAAATTGATATGATGATAAAGTCTGTTTTCTTAAAAGTAGGGGTCATAAGTTATATATTAATTTATGGGCGTAAGATCACCTATTGGCTATGTCCCTGACGACGACGAGGTTGTAGCTAGATCGTGCTTGGTAAACAAATGATATTTACGATTGTAGGCGGTGAGATTCTCGGTTTTGGTTAGTTTCTAAGCTGGTTGTCGATCCAAATGCCGGGGGTAATAATTACAGCGAATAATTACAGCGCATAGTGCACGCCGTATTAATCTGCGCGTGTAGTTGCTCTGTAAGGCTCGTAACGAATAGATGAGCAGTTCCAACAATTTCACGACCCCTCGGATGCTTCCTCGGACATTTAGGTCCGCACAAGAACGTGCCTTGCAACATATCTTTTCGCATTTGCAGAGACCGACTTCAAGCGAACCGAGGGATAAACCTTACGGTTGAAGCTCAGCCTCAACGAAAAGATCATGTAATATTAAAAACCCACAAACTCACTCACTCTCGGTGTCTACGGTGCTAATGTGGATATTGACAGGGAAATTTCACACAGGCAACTAGCAGACCTGCGAAGCCACAAAGCTGGGCCTACGACATCATCATCAGAACCGCGGCGAGACTCAACCCTCGTGGCGCAGGGGTAACAAACACGAGGTCGACCTGCGGCGCGGATGCCTCGGCCACCAGCCGACGCAAGGAGCGTCAACATAGACATTAGACGGTAAGGCGCCCTATTCGTCGATCCCGTGGCCCTATTTCGACGAACCTAGAAATAAGACGGGGGATCTCTGACAGGTACGCACGTACGTGTGGACGGAGAAACGTTTTTTCTTTCCATGGACGGCTCAGAAGACGGGTCCCTGGATGGGCCCAGTTCCTGTCGTCGGGCGAATTTGAATATTTTCGGGCCGTTTGGGGACGGGACAGGGGGTGGAGTTGGGGAGTTGCCTGGGGCAGGAGGGGAAGTTGGAGGCTGGCGACGATCTTATTTTCGTTTGGCGAACGGAAGGCGCGGGGGGCAAGTGGCTGACAGCGTTGTTGGCGCACTGTGATTCCGTGATGTTGATGAGTGAGCTTGCCCTTGCCTGGCTTTGTCTATAGATGTGTCAGTTATGCAGCTGCCAAGTCTCAGACCTGCAAACCTAGGGACATGTTCTCTAGACAGCTAGATTTCTTTGCATCTTGACAGCTGCAGAGATAAAAAGGTCGGTAAGACATGTGAATTGGAGAAATTTGTGGGATATCGGCGACAGCGGCTAAACTGAGGCTAGGTTGGTAAGTTGTGGAAGTTGGAAGTTTGTTTGCGGGGTAAACTACGGCGAATTTCCTATTTAGCTGTAGTGTCTCCTGCGGGATATGGCCGAAATACCACCACGGCACTTTCTCTTTCGGTATAGCGACATGAGCTTCACTAACCGACGACAAGCCACAGGGAGCTACACTAAGCTAAGATCACTGCTAATTTTTGGCCGAGCCGTCCATGGATGGAAATGAAGAAGGTGAAGAAGATGAAGAAGAAATGATGCTGATGAAGATATACAGATTATGCACATACAATACAATATACAATCTTATGCACACATACATATACATCCCCAACAACGGCCTTGTTATCCCTAAAATTCGGCCCGTCACATATTATTCTCAGGCCACAGGCAAAATGATCAGCTAGGATTGAGCTCTTGGCACTGAGAGAATCAAGCTGGAAACATGCAGATTGTACGAAGCATAAGCCCTATGAGCCTCCATAAGCACACCGGAACGCCTCGGAGAACGGTGGCCCTTCTGGCTCCCAGCCGGCCTTGGAATATCTTCGGGCCTTTTACACTTTTTACTAGAGTACTCTACCTACCGTTAGTAGAGTTGACGTGTATCCACTCGTATGCGGGGATTGAGGGGATTGAGGGGTAAGACAATACTCGAGTACTGGAGTACTGGGGTTTAGTATTGTCCATTGAGCTCTCTAGTATATCCTACCGTGCAAGGTTACTCCACCCCGTCTGGTCAGTCAGTTCTGGGTAGACTGACTAGAAGGAGTATTAAAGTCGAGGTATGACCCGGATGATTCGTGATCTTCACCTCACCTCACCCTCACCACCATCCCTATCACAATGAAGGTCGCACTTTCCTGGGTGTTGGCAGCCGCCGCGGCTGTCTCTGCCACCACTTCAATTGAATACCGCACTACCTCCAATGGCGACCCTCTGGCAAAATGTCCAGGTTACAAGGCCTCAAACGTCAAGGTTGGCAAGTCGAGTATCACAGCCGACCTGACGCTCGCTGGAAAGGCCTGCAATGTCTACGGTGATGACCTGAAGAGCCTGACCTTGGAGGTCGAGTACCAGTCTGGTAAGTTTCAGTGACACCCTCGTACAACCCAATTGGCTCCTAACGCGTAAACAAAGATGACCGCATCCACGTCAAGATTCAAGATGCTGCCAACAGCGTCTACCAGGTCCCAGAGAGCGTCCTCCCGCGCCCCAAGGCAAAGGCTGGTATCAAGTCGGCCAAGTCCAACATCCAGTTCAAGTACAAGTCAAACCCGTTCTCCTTCTCCATTGTTCGCACGAAGACTGGCGAAGTCCTTTTCGATTCTTCTGCCGCAAGCATCGTCTTTGAGTCCCAGTACCTCCGCCTGAGGACCAAGCTCCCAAACAACCCCAACTTGTACGGTCTGGGAGAGCACTCTGACTCGTTCCGCCTCAACACCACCAACTACATCCGCACTCTCTGGTCGCAGGATGCCTACGGAATCCCAGCCGGTGCTAACTTGTACGGAAACCACCCCGTCTACTACGAGCACAGGACCACGGGCAGCCATGGTGTCTTCTTCCTCAACTCCAATGGCATGGATATCAAGATCAACAACGACAAGGGCAAGAACCAGTACTTGGAGTACAACACTCTTGGTGGCGTCTTGGACTTCTACTTCATCGCTGGACCAACCCCAGTGGCTGTTGCACAGCAGTATGCCGAAGTCGTGGGCTTGCCCGCCATGATGCCCTACTGGGGACTCGGTTACCACAATTGCCGATACGGATACCAGGATGCCTTCGAGGTTGCTGAAGTGATTCACAACTACTCCGTGGCTGCGATTCCTTTGGAGACAATGTGGACCGATATCGACTACATGGACAGAAGAAGGGTCTTCTCGCTTGACCCCGAGCGATTCCCTCTCAAGAAGATGCAGGCGATTAACGATTATCTCCATGCCCGCGACCAGAAGCAGATTGTTATGGTGGACCCGGCTGTCGCCTACCAAGATTACCCGCCATACCACAGCGGTGTTGCAGATGATATCTTCCTTAAGCGCGACAATGGATCCGACTGGTTGGGCGTTGTGTGGCCTGGTGTTTCGGTCTTCCCCGATTGGTTCCATACCGGTGTCCAGGACTGGTGGAACAACGAGTTTGCTTCTTTCTTTGCCGTCGACGGAGTCAACATTGACGGTCTGTGGATTGATATGAACGAGCCCTCTAACTTCCCTTGCAACTTCCCTTGTGACAACCCATTTGCTGCCGCCGTTGGATTTCCTCCTGAGGCACCAGCAGTGCGCCTGCCACCCAGAGCGCTTCCAGGTTTCCCATGTGATTTCCAACCCGAGGGAACACCATGCACAGCGTCCAAGGAGAGACGCGCAATCGAGGCCCCAGTTGTGTCATCATCCAAGGTCGAGCGCCAGGCAGCTGGACAGCAACTTGGCCTCCCAGGCAGAGACTTACTGTACCCCAAGTACGCCATCCACAACGTAGCGGCATACACAGTTGAGGATAACGCAGCCGGCGGTGGTATCTCCAACCACACCGTCAACACCGATGTCATCCACGCCAACGGTCTTGCCATGTACGACACTCACAACCTCTACGGCTCAAGTATGTCCCCCCCAGCTCATAAACCCAAACACCAGCTAACCAAGTCCAGTGATGTCCGTCGCCTCCCGCGAGGCCATGCAGTTCCGCCGCCCCACCGAGCGCCCTCTGATCATTACCCGCAGCACCTTTGCCGGCGCCGGAACCAAGGTCGGCAAGTGGCTCGGTGACAACGTCAGCTCGTGGCTCGGATACCGCATCACCATCAGAGGCATGCTCGCCTTCGCCTCCGTCTACCAAGTCCCCATGGTCGGCTCCGACGTGTGCGGTTTCGCCGACGACACCAACGAGAAGCTCTGCGCCCGCTGGGCCATGCTCGGCGCCTTCGCTCCCTTCTACCGCAACCACAACGGCTACATCCCCCAGATCCCGCAGGAGTTCTACCGCTGGGACAGCGTCGCCGAGGCTGCCCGCAAGGCAATCGACATCCGTTACCGCCTGCTCGATTACATCTACACCGCTCTCCACCGCCAGACCCTCGACGGCACCCCGCTCGTCAGCCCGCTCTTCTACCTCTACCCCAACGACGCCAACACCTTCGGCATCGAGACCCAATACTTCTTCGGCCCCGGCATCCTCGTCAGCCCCGTCATCGAGGAGGACTCCACCTCCGTCTCCGCCTACCTCCCCAAGGACATCTTCTACGACTTCTACACCCACGCCAAGGTCCAGGGCCAGGGCAAGCGCGTCCTCATCGAGAACCTGAGCACCTCCGATATCCCCCTCCACTACCGCGGCGGCGCCATCATCGCCCAGCGCGTCGAGAGCGCCATGACCACCACCGCGCTCCGCAAGAACGATTTCGAGCTCATCGTCGCCATCGGTGCCAACGGAAAGGCCGAGGGAGAGCTGTACCTCGATGACGGTATTAGCCTTGTCCAGAAGGGCACGACCAGCTTGAAGTTCGTGTATGATGGCAAGACCCTCAAGGTTAAGGGAAGCTACGGATATGCTTCCAAGGTGCAGATTAGACAGGTTACCTTCCTTGGACTGAACCTCGGTGGAGGCGGTGGCAAGGGCAAGGGATGCAAGGTTAATGGCGTTGCGAGCAAGACTGCGGTTACGGCTACTTCGGGAGCTGTGGTTGTCCAGGTTGGCAAGGGACTGAGCGCTGACTTCACTGTCGAGGTTGACCAGTAGATTTGTAATTATGGGTGGACTGACTACTCTGTCCACCGCACCTGAGGTATTGTAATAGGATAAAAGCTTAATCATCATTATTACCCAGCACGGACTCGTTTTGTAAACTGAATGCAATAGTGCTGTGATTTTAGGCATATCTTGCCTATATATTGATACACCTATGCATGCTACCAATCTAGCAACGCAGCAAAGCTACATAATAGCAATATTCCCAACGCCGAAGCAAGTGGTATCCCCGCCCACCCCTCCTTCCCACATATGCGAGTAGTACAGTACAGTAGTAGGTAGTAACTGATGCCAGATCCCGCGCCTAATAATGCCCCATTATCTGTACATGGCCTCCGCAGGGTACGCGCCAGGAGGAAGTCTATTCCTCATCCATCAAACACCCCAAGATAAGACTCTGCACCACAAACTCATCTCCCACAACTCTAACCTTCTTCCTCTCACCCCCCTGCTCCGACCCGGCCTTCTCATCTTCCACTTCCTCACCCCTCTTCCTTTTCCCCGCTTTTCCCTTGGCCTTCCCCTTCGCTTTCGCAGTAGCCTCCACCACACCCAGAATCTCGGCCTCGGCACCAGCAACCTTCCGATCATCATCCACATACACCAAATCCCAACCACCACCTTTTTCCACCACCTCCCTCGCCTCCTTCACACTCGCTACCCGCCTCACCTCACCCGCACCCAACGCCCTTGTCAAAAAGAGATACGCCTTCTTTCGCTCCTCCGCCTTTCCGCGACCCATCAGGAAAATGACTCGCTTTCCGCCAAGCAGCTTCTCCCTTCGCGCAAACGTCTCCTCAAACCGCGCAGTCGACGGATCATAAGGCGCTAACAGGCGACTCCGCACCGCGCCTCCGAGGTACGACGATTCCCCCGCCGCGAGCAAGAACGGCAGGAACGGCACGATCCTGCCGCGCGCTACGCAAGTAGTGACCCAGCGCCCGGAGAGACAAGGGAGACCCAGTGCGAGCGCCTGCACGAACTTGGATTTACGCGTGTAGTGGTCACCGATGAAGGCTACGAAGCCAAGATCCTGCGCACCAGGTGCGAGGGCCAGCTCGCCAATCTGTTTCTGTTTATGTTTGAGCGGGGGTAGCGGCTGCTTCGTCGCTGTGGAAGGGGTGGTGAGGAGGGAGGTGGGACCATCAGTAAAGAGGTCATTGAAGCCATCGAGGAGGCGGCCGCCGTGGGATTTGATGAGGCGCGTGACGGCTGTGCGGTCGGAGATGTCTTGTGCCGTGTCGCCTTTGTAGGAGATAGCAAAGGCCATGTTGGCGAAGAGGGTTGGGTTGGTGACCTTTTGAAGATGAGTGGCTTTGGGAACGGTTGGGGGACCTTTGGTGAGGATATCTGGGGAGCTGGATTTGGAACTGTCGGATTCGGTATCATAGTTTATGGAGGCTCGGCGTGTGGAGCGAGCCGGGCGCTGAGGACGGGCTGGTGTCCGTTCCACTACAATACTACTATCGTCCTCAGACAAGTCGGTGGTGCTAATAGTACTCCGTGACGCTCTGGAGTTGCTACGGGAGCTCTTTGCACCGAGCTTTGCCTTTCCAGCTGCTTCAACTGCCTTGCTACTGTGTAATACTTCATTTCTAGACTTCGTTTGGCTAGCCGTGAGCGGTCCCTGAGGAAATGATAGTTTACGCCTGACAGTAGGCGGCGGCATTGATTCCGCAGATTCTCGCGCAGGGGTTCCATTACCACTCGTATCTGCAGATGTATCTGTCGACTTGCTACTACCTTCACGGCCTCGAGTATTGCTAGTCTCCATGACAGCAGTGAAGAACTCATCATTGTCATACTCCGATGGCAGTTCAGAGAGAGACGAGCTGGTGGAGCGCCGAAGATTCGATCCATTAGGAGTAGCGTGTGTAGATATATTTTCCGACGACTTCAAATTCGCTGCAGTTGGGAGATGAGATGATATTTCCCCAGCCATGCCACTATGTTGTGTGGACGGCAGAGATACCGAATCTTTTGACCCGGTGGAACTGGCTATGCCACTGGATGTTATGGGAGCAGTTGGCCGATGTTTTCTCAAATACATCTGCCGAATCTCTTCGTCGTGATAATAAGCCTGATGGTCCTTCATATTACACTGCTTATCGGCGCTATAAAACGGGCACGGAAGTAGCTCCGTCTCGTCTGTGAGAGCGTTCCCTCCAGTCTCAATTGACTGGCGAATCGGCGATACCAACTTTTGCGCAGTAACCATAACCACGTCATCTTCGCTGCCTTGACTTTCTCTGGGCACCTGCTTGGTATCAAACATAACACCAGAAGATTGACGAGCTTTCCTTGCGGCGCGTCGGGCAGCAGGCCTCACTGGCGATGAATCAGCAGCATCCACATCGGCGCTCTGCAAATTGTCTGCCGACGACGGGACTTTCTGCGAAGGTGCTTCGAGATTGGGTTTGATAGAAGGAATCAAAGGTAGACTAGAGCTCATAGCTGATTCCCCAGAAAATACGACCCGTGATTTCTTTGAAATCGCGACATTTTTGGAAGCGGCCATATTAGACTTGACTGCCTTGGCTAGACCGACCTTCACCCCGCGTTTCATAGCAAGGTCTCTGATGGGGCTCGCAATCGCATCGTACTCCGGGTCATCCTGGGTAAAACCAAGACCACCAATAGAGACCAAAGAAGGCTCCGGGGAGTCATCCATATCAAAAAGCTTATAGTCTGATTTGGCTGGGCTCGTCTCAGGGACCATGTCCTCAACAGTAGATGCAGGCATGGCGACAACCTGTGAAAGGCGACCAGGCGTTTGAGGCAGACCACTCTTGCCAAATCGACCGCTGGATGTGCGAGGTACACGCGTTTTTGGGGACATGGAGCTTTCTCGATGTGCAGATTCGGTATCTGAGTTGTTTCCAAGGGCGGGTAAGGGTGGTAACACCTCGTTCTCTTGAGGTTTGGGGTCAGTAGACGGAGTGTTTGACTGGTTGGTCAAATTGAAACCGCCGTTCGAAGGTATGGGGCCTTTTTCTAGCCTTGATGACCTGTCACTGGGAGATGGACTGTCAACAGGGGCCGCGATTGGAATTTGTGAATCGACAATAGTCATCTCTGCTTGGGTATCTGCCTGAGTGTCACCCTGGTCGTTCTCATCTGTCTTTATAGAGACCCGAATTTGGGTACTGGTCTGGGTATCCCTCGCATCAGCGCCGTAACACTGTGCGACGTATTCCTGAGATACGCTCCGCCGCTTCTGGCCAGTTGCTGGTACCTCGACTTCTTCCTCCTCCTCCTCTTCCTCCTTCGGCGCGCGGGTCACAGATACTTGCGCAAGCTCTTTGGCAGCATCCTCTCTCATTTTCCTTTGCTTGGCACGAATTGCTTGCTCTCTCTCAAACGAATCCTCCTCACTATCGCTGTCGGCCTCGGCTTGTGCTTGCTTTTGCAAGCGGCGTTGTTGAGACTCTTCGCGACTGACATATTCATGCGGCTCTGACCCTTTGAAGCTGATTGCTCGGTGCTGAAAGCTTTTTGAGGTTCGCTGAACCGGCGTTTCGTGAGTAACTGGGATGTGCCCACGGTAACTTACGCTAGCTGGTGTCTTGCTGCCATGGTGGTATAGCGGAGAGGTGAAGTCAAGAAGACGGTGGCCATGGCCGGCCGCTTCATTATCGCGAGAGCGATTTGTAGCAGATGATTTCGCGTGATGTAGTAGAGGAGATGAGAGGTCTCCAGGAGGATGGTATGAAGCCTGCTGAAAGCGGTCGGTGACTGACGACAGGACGCGATTTCGCGACGACTGCACCCCGAAACCAAACATGCCCGGTGAAGGCCTAGATGACCCAGACTCCAAGACATGAGGGTCTACCGGAGACGATTGTGTGTTATTGAATAACTGTGTCCCTTGCAAGGGTGGTTTCGACTTCGCAAATGGGTTTTCAGGCGGGGCAGGCGTCTCCGGCTCTAATTGCATAGGCGCTTCGTGGACCGTGAACCCCTCATCTATTCCTATAGAAGATTCGCGGTTTATTGGCGCATGTACTTTGCTCGTCGTGAAGGAGAAGCGTACGCCGCCTGCTTCATTCTCGTCGTAACTCCTCGCAGAGGCTGTGGGATCCAGATTCGTTTGCAAAGGGAGTTCATCATCGTGACCAGGCACAGGAGACGAGGAAGGCATATGCATATCGCCATAAGCAAGGCTATTATTCTTCTGTGTGGGAGAGCCATCTGGTTCGCCGAGATTGGCGTCTGATGGCTGCCAGTCATCCATGCTGTGTTTCGTGGGCCTATTCAGGCTCTTCCCATGCTTGGTGGTGCTTGTCGCAGAGCGTTGGGTGTATGTTCGTGGTGATTGCTTGGAGTCATTGGATTTTTCTCCGGAACGATGTGACTCAGCGCGTCGTGGCTGGTGTTTGTCGTCGCGGCGATTCAGGGCCTTATCTTTATCAGTCGTTATAGACACAGGTTCGCCTTTCTTTCGATGCAATTCTTCCTTGTTGGGCCGATCTCTGTTCAAGCTGGTTTCGTCCTGTCCATCTTCATTCCCCGCAGTGCTCGCGCGTCGTGCTTGGGTCTCGAGCAAGGAGCCAAAATCAACAATATCCGACGTCCGAGTATCCTCTCTTCCACCACTTTGCCCATCAATCGCCGGTTCCCTGTCGACAAGTACCTGAGAAGGCTGTGAAAAGACGTGTTCCAGCCGAGGCACAGTAGGCACGGCTACCGACAGAAAAGCAACCTGAGAGTCGTCCAAGAGGTGTTTTTCCTGAAGATTCCTTATAAGCTGAGTATCAAGCGATTCGGACCCAGCCGTTACGTGCAATGGCCCGTCTTGCCAGAGTGCGAGTGGTTGTGAGGTTGAGAAACATGGATCTCCAGCCTTGCTGGTCGTGGCCGCCATCGATCGCGGGAAGTGTGAGTGGTCAGTGCCACCCTTGCGTCGCGGCGATGACTTGCATACACGCAGAGAACGCGACAAAATTCTGTCACTCGGCGTGTCTATCGCGTCAACTTCATTCTGTGCTTCTTGATCTGTTTGTCGTTGTAGCCTGGAGATGAAGTTCATGTGCTGGCGGTAATTTGAGCAGAGCAAGGGCTCAGGGTAAAAGAGTGCATGGTGGCTATTGTCACGCGGGGTTCAATTGTGACCCTTTGGCTTTTGTGAGAGCAAGGGAAGGCAGCACCGCGTTAGTGACACGATATCACGTGGTTTCATTTTTGTCTTGGGAACTAGCCTCAAAAGACAGTTAGAACAGTATTGATGGGGGTATAAATAGTTCACAGTATGTTGCAATGATGCGCATAGACGAGAATGGCTACCTTGATGACGATTACATGGCATCCCAGTACGGTTTGTAGAAGCCGTTGATAGATATCGCTGCCGAGGGCGTTAACAATCGAATCCAAGTCTGAATATTACGACTGACAGCCAGCGAACCTCGGGGCGACAACAAGATTTGGAATGTGTCTCGGTGACAAAAACATCTGGTTGCAGCATCCTCGGTGACAGCGGCCTGGTGACAACAGCGCGACACCGAGAGCCCTCCAAACCACTACCTCGTCATCCATCGAAATACGGAATTATTTTTCCTCTTTCCCGGACTCTATTCATACTCTTCCTTTGCGCCTCTTCCTCATCTATGATTGGGACGAAAGTTTTGATAGCGCCGCTTCCTCCCTCACGACCACTATATAACCCATGATTATTAGTCTGACGGGTCTATCTGTGCTGCTCCTCGCTGACATACTCACCTGCCTTCATATATCCTCTTCGAGCGGGGGAGTTGTGGAAAAGACGTACCTCGAAGAGGAACTGTAAACAGATATATCCATACCTCCGAGTTTTGCCCCCATCTATTCACATATCAGTGACATATATGACAACCACTTCCGCAAACCACCAATCCACCCACCAGCCTATAAAACCCCCAGTTCTGCACAGAAGATATATTATACCGCAAGTCATAGGGTGGAAAGAGGACAACACAGATCGTCGGGTACAGGGACGATCCACCGAGCAGGCCAGTGTGAGAAGTCTCCGGCGAAAACGTTCCCCTTCTGTTCGGCGACAGAAAAGCCCACAACAGCATGCGTAAACGACAAAATCATTGGTTGACGGTGAGAACTACTCGACAGCAACAACATCAACAATTCCGGAATCAGAACCAGCACCAGCACCAGCACCAGCACGAGCCCACCGAATCTGAACCCGAACTTTCCACGAGACAGCCCGCCGCCTGAAATGATCTATACGACCTGGTTCAAACGTTTTATGTCGATTCGAATTCCGCTAGCCGCAATCAAACCAATATATTGTAGCTGTGAGGAAGAAACGTCAAGGGGGAGTTTGGCGTTGTATTTATACCCACCGGGCACTCTCGACATTCGTGTAGGATTGAGGGCGGCCGAGACTTATCTCAAGTGAGAATAGGAAGCACATAGTTAGCTATCCATCATCACCCTCCAACTTCACATACCCAGCACGTAAAAATTCATTGGGGGGATCAATTGGCTTTTATTCCACATCCTACCAAGATCATTCTCTATTTGCTATCCATCCATCCCTCAGCACACGCCCGTAGGCCTTGGCTCCCCTCCCCATCCATCCATCATATCCATATATAAAATTCCCATAACCCACCATCATCACTCATCTATGGAAGGCAGTAACCACCATCAACAATGATATCCGTCCCCGTCGTGTAACTCGCCGCATCACTGGCCAGGTACAGGTACGCGCCCTTGAGCTCGTGCGCCTCGCCCTCACGACCCATTGGGATCTTGTTCTTCCAGATCGCCTTCGTCTCCGCCGGCACGAAGTCGCTGATCTCAGTCGCCATGTAGCCCGGGCTGACGGAGTTGGCGCGGGCGAAACCGACCCACTCGACAGCGAGGGACTTGCCTGTGTGGGTGTTAGTAATCTCATCTCGTCTCATCTCAGATCTCAAGAAAGAGGGTAACAGAAGGGGAACATACAAAGGTGAATAACACCCGCCTTAGCAGCATTATACGCTCCCTGCAACTGCGGAATATTCACAATATGCCCACTCATACTCGCCGTAGCAACAAAACTCCCATAAGTAAAGTTCTCCAACTTCTTCCCATCGGTCGTCGTCCCCTCAGCCTTCTGGCGACGCCAGTGCTTCCCAGCCGCGCGCGCGGAGTAGAAGGTCCCGTCCAGATCCGTGGTGACCACCTTGTTGTAGTGGGAGATCTCCCCGTCGAGCATGGCACCCTGCGTCCAGGGGATGCCGGAGTTGGCGATGAAGACGTCGAGACGGCCGCCGAAGTCTGAGACGGCTTGGTTTACGGCCGCCTCGACGGCCTCGTAGGTGGTGATGTTTACTTGGTATGCCTTGCCTGGGGTGGGTGTTAGTTATGCTATTTGCTTTGCTCGTTTGTTTGCAATTGCTCGCCCCCGGGGGTTGACGGTGAGGTGTGTGGTGATGTCATAGGATACACTTACACTTAACGCCAAAGGTCTTCTCGATCTTCTCAGCCTCCTGGATGGCCTTCTTGTTGCTGTTATACCAGATGGCGACATTGGCACCTGCCTCAGCGAGGGCGTGGGCGACAGCAAGACCGATTCCTGCTCCGGCTCCGGAGACGATGGCAGTCTTTCCCTTGAGGGAGAAGAGAGGGAGCACACGATCAGTGTATTGCGGTGCCTCGGTGTTGTTGTGGGTGAATTGGCCCTGGACCATAGTCTCTCCTGCCATCTTGAAGGTTTGTTGAAGGGTAGTGAAGGTAGTAGTGGAAGGTGATTGGAGGAAGAGGTTGTATGTGTGAGTTGAAGCTGTTGACTGGGGGGATAATGGAAGTTGAATATGAAGAAGAGAAGAGATTCGGATCTGTGGGAGAAGAGAGGGGAATATATAAATGGAGGGGGTTAATATGGCCGGTGGGGTAGATGATGACGCAGTGGGCTTGTTGCTGTGGTGGTAGTAAGCGGTTTAGTCAGGTTTTGGGGGGAGATGTGGCGTTGCACTAGTAACTCCTACTGGACCGCGTTCAGTTACATTCCGTTACATTCAGTTACAGTACCGGATGAAGTACCAAGTTCTAAGGCACCGGAGTGAGAAGATGCGACATGGATGGTGCGTTAGATTCTGCATTTGATGCTGTATGCGTGGTATGTTTTTGTAGGTGCTTGTATTCTACAATGTTTTACTAGAAGACGGAAAATGATGTTGTTGATATCTTGCCTGTATTTGCTGTATTCTGCCGGTCTTCTGCAGCGTGTCCTGTGTTTACTTCACGGCGTGGCATAAACGCAGCAAAATGGAGCCAAAGAGGGGTCAAGCGGGGGAGACGAAGCCAAAGGAGATCAGCCCTCCGCAACGGCAGTTTGACGATCATTTCCTAGTTATATTTACAGATTTACGCCGTGGCGTTCATAGTAAGCCATTATGCATATTATGAAGCAGTCTAGCATGTATGTAACCCCTTTCGTATGACGGCATACCTGATAGTAGTAACTGTGTTGTTCTGTATAGATTTGTCCTTCATCTTCTATCGTTGAGGTCATTGCGGGGCAACTTATCCGATAATCAGCGATAACCAGACCTGGATAAGTACCCACAGTAGTAATTTTGTATTGGGTGGTACAAACTGGAACAACACTGCGGTACGGGATATCCGTATCGCGATTGGCAGTTCCCGCTGCATTCGGATTGGGCGGTGAGATGGGGGAAAGAGGGGCAGTAAGGGTTGTAAGGGCTGTACCTTGATTAGTTAGGTTTAGCGGGGGGGAATTGTCGGATTAATTTGTCGGATTAATTGTCGGAACCGACGGTTGAAGGAAACGGTTCCGATGATAAGTGGATTAGCGGATACCGGGTTGGCGTGCTTACCAGGTATCGTGTCAGGCACTGTTGGGGCTGCAGGAAATCTTGGGGGCATCATATTTAGCATCATCTTTCGATACAACGGGACGCAGTACGACAAGTCGATTTGGATAATTGGAGTTATATGTATAACAGTTAATGTCTTGGTGTGTTGGATACGGCCTGTGCCGAAAAATGAGAACTACACGGCTGGGAACTGGAGCATTGGGAACTGGAGCACTGGGAAATGGAGTACTGGGAAATGGAGTACTGGGAATTGTAGCATTGGGAACTGTAGCATTGGGAACTGGAGCATTAGGAACTGTAGCATTGGGAACTGTAGCATTGGGAACTGGAGCGCTGGGAACTGGAGCACTGGGAAATAAAGTGCTGGGAAATGGAGTACTGGGAAACAAACGACTAGGATGAGAATTGAAAGCTTGAACATGACTTAACCTTACTATTAAAGTCCCATGCTTCTATTTAAAATGCCCCACTACATTTAAAAACAAACGTCGCTTTACCGTAGGTGAAGCTCTCAGTCCGTATCCTACCCCAGCAGCTCTCGTTTTAGCCATGCTCGCCCATGCTTCATTTATTATTAATAGTATAGCATAGTGCGTTCTATGTATAGTAGAAGTACAGCTATGCCTATTTTATATATGAAGTTTATCATTTGATAAAATTATGTATAATATATTTTCCAATCCAACCACGAACCTGACCCCACTTGTAGTGACCAATTTAGGTGGAAAGGCATAAATAACATGAGGTTAAGTAGTAGCAGGGGCTTTTTGACAAAATAGTAAATTGCCACAATTATTTAGGAATGAGGATAGTAGAAGGTGGTATAGTACAGGCTCGCTCCATCCCCTATACCTCAACCACTACCTCAACAGCTCCCATAACCACTACCCTAGCCTCTACTACGTTTGCCGCCTCCGCAACCTCACCCTTTACCTTATCTGCATCACTTGGACAGACTACTTCCACCGCCCTTGATTCCTCTCTAGGTGAGGAGGCCATTCTTTCCAACGCCCCCCGAATCACTTGACGGTTCTTGTGAATGAACCAGTGATCCCCGTCGACCTCGACAAACTCGAACTTGTCCGTCTGAACATCCCAACCCGCAACCTGGTCTGGATACACCATGTCGTCCTGACGAGCTGCAAACGCGGTAATCGGCACATTGAGCGGCTCTTCTTCGACAAAGACGTAATTCGAAAACCAAGGTGAGTCTCGTTTGAAAAGCGGGAGAATATTCCGGAAAAAGTGTGGGTCTTCGGTGTAGCGTGAGACGGCCAAGGCATAATCCGGGTTAATATCCTCTGCAAACGCCCATTGTAAACTTATTGCACTCTGCCAGGAGGACATTAGATGAGGGGCAATAGTGCCAGTGAGCAACAATTGCGGAAGCGGGTGGACTCCACGACGTCTCATTTCTCTGATCACCTCAAAAGCGACTATCCCGCCGAAGGAATGACCCCAAATGATGTGCGTGGCACCAATAACTGAATCCAATTCGGCGAGTAGCCCTGATACAATCTCGGAGACGCTCGATGGGATTGGTTCATCTGCTCTGTTATCGCGACCAGGAATTTGGACAGCAATTGCGTCTAGCCCGCGAGGGGGGTCAACTAGATATGGGGTGAAGAAAGAAGCGTCTGCGGCCATTGGGTGGATACAGAGTAGACGAGGTTGGGATTTAACGATGGCATCGTCGCAACCTCGGATAAACCAAGGGGAGATGACTGTTAGAGCAACGGAATGGTTATCTTGCTGAGTATGGCTGTGACCGTTTTCGACTGTCGAGCTCTGCGCCTCAGCGGGATCTAAATTCAAAGATCTCTCAAGCTCTTGCGCAATGTCCTCAATAGTAGGATTGTTAAAGAGTTTTACGATAGGATAGGATACCCGTATATCACGTTGAATCATGCCTCGAACCTGTGCGAGGGTCAGCGAGTCTGGAGCATATCGCTCAAGCCCTGCCGCCCGGGAGATTCGTCCCTCTTCAACACCTAGGATTTTTGCGAGCCCAGCGTGTAAAACATCAGCGATCTCTGGGGCGGTCCGTGGTCCGGTACCAGATCCAAAACTTTCTGGTGTACGAGTGTTAGCGCTGTCCTGCAGAAGACCCATGAAAGTGGCGTCTAGATATAGGTGAGGAGCTGAAGCGATAAACATGCGCCAGTCGATATCCGCAGGCATTCGCTCCGTAGCATCCTCAAGCATGGCCCGCTCTAAGGTAGACAGCACGTCCGGGAGACTTATTTGAAACACGCCTCTGGTCATATTAAGCTGGATTATGGTGTCAGCGTCCTGTGTTGAATTTTTAAAAATACCAGCAAAGTTCCCCATAGCGCCGTAGTTAAGAGCCAGTGCGGGCAGGCCGGAGAGACGACGAGAATGTGCCAATCCATTGAGAAACTGGTTAGCAGCTGTATAGCTCAACTGTCCAGGAAATCCGACTAAAGTGGCGATAGATGAGATTAAAACAAAGAAATCTAGTGGCATGTTCTTCGTGGCCTCATGTAGGTGCCATGCCCCCATCGCCTTGGGCTCAAAGGCCTGCCGGAATGTATTAGTCGTGACATCCTTTATCAATTCATTTCCTGCCACTGCGGCACAGTGGATGACCCCGGATATCGTTGGCCATTCTCTACCTTGCGCGAATAGAGCATTGACTTTTTCGCTGCAACTTATATCTGCTCGTTCAACCCATACATTGACACCACGCCGATGCAGGCCGTCGATCGTCGCCTGGTCATCTGGCGATTTTGGGCCTGACCGACTGACTAGCACCAAATGTCGCGCTCCTCGGTCAACCAGAAATGCAGCAAGATGCAAACCCAGCCCGCTGGTGCCTCCAGTCACGAGGTAGGCTCGATCCCCACGCAAGTGAAGTCGGTCGCATGGAACGACGGGGACCTCAGTCAAATCAGGCATCTCAACCACGGCCTTCCCAATGATCTCGGACCGTAAAAGCGCAGTCAGCGCCGTTTTCAGTTCTATGACGGGGAACTTGACTATAGGGAAGGACTTGAGCTGCTTTGTCTCGAGTAACGTGGCGACTTCATCTTGAATCTGACTATTTAACGCTGGTTTTTGTTTGGTTAATCTGTCGACATCAACGACGAAGAAAGAACAGTTCTGACCGAATTGCTCTAGTCCTAGCCGCATGTTGCGGTAGATATCAGTCTTTCCAATCTCTACAAACCGCCCAAAAGGCGCAAGGCACGCAACCGACTCAGCTAAGAGCTCTCCACTTAGCGAGTTCAATACCACGTCTACCCCGCGACCATGCGTAGCAGCTTTAACGCCGTTGCGAAATGACGCGGAACGAGAGCTGAACACCGCCTGAACGCCTGGTAACTTGGCCACGACAGCTTGGCGGTGGGGACTGCCCGCGGTGGCGTATACCTGGGCACCAACAAGATGAGCAACCTGGATGGCGGCCATGCCCACACCACCCGCGGCCGCATGGATGAGGACGGTCTCACCCCGTGTAAGCCGAGCAAGGTGCACTAGGGCGTAGTGTGCAGTTACAAAAGCTCCCGGGATAGCAGCGGCCTCCGCCATATCGAGCGGCGTAGGTTTGGGGTTAACCCGACTCTGGTGGGCTACAACATGCCCTGCGATCCCATCGCACACACGAGCAGTAACTGGAGACCCAACCTTGACCTTTTGTACGTTATCACCAATATCCCTCACAACTCCTGAGACCTCTAACCCAAGTCGGAGCCCAGACAGCGACCCGACGGTAGCGCGCTCACTTAGCATGCCTATGCTATTTATGGCGTCTTTGAAGTTTAGGCCTGCAGCATGAACCTCGATGCTCACATCATCCGGTCCAAGGCAGACAGCCTCTCCTGGGTTACGCTGCCGGAAATGAATTGCATCGAGGGAGCCCCCGCGATCACGCTCCGCGAAGTACTCTCCGCCACGAGCAGGCATCATCATTACATTTTGTTTATTCTCAGTCTCGATGGGAACAACTCGTTTGACAAATCTTCCAGCTGACCGTAACGCCACTACGTTCTCATCTCGGCCTAGTCGTGCTCTTACAATCTCGTCCCCGAGTAACGGGAGGTAGTCATGAACCTGACCGAGGGGAAGGTCAACCAACCGGATTCGAACCCATGGAAGTTCATTTGCCATGACCCTTACTGCCGCTTGTAGGGCCGAAGAGAATGGGTCGCACTGGGAATCGGTTGGTGTAACACAGGCTCCCTGGCTGATAACGATAACCCAAGGAATCCCCTGGCGAGAGTGAAGACGGTTCGCCATATCCACAAGTGTGCTAACAGTCGATTCTAGACTGAGCTGAAGGTCTGCAGCTGAACCCACAGAGTGACAGTTCCTTATAGTGGGAATAAGGACGAGGGAGCGACCATCCATAGGGAAATCCAGATTGACGGGCATCTTGGGCGGTGCTAGAGCGGAGGGGCGCTGGAGTATCTGCACACGGGCATGTGGAAATGCCCCTTGGATGACGGGAGTACAGTCCAAGGCTTGATCTAGCGGCTCAAGTACAAGCACATTTTCAAAGTCCATTTTAACTATTTGGTTGTCCGGCTCTGGGAGAAAAGAGATATCGTACTGAGACACGCTAGGAACGCTACGACCTGGCACACGCTTTGCGCGGACACCTGTCATAATAGCGAGCGGCTCGCCATAGGCGTCGTAGACATTTATACGGCCGCAAATCGAAATTTCGTCATGACAAGTAATCTGGACATGGACTGCGGCAGCTGTTGCCCCGCGTGCGTCGAAGATCTCTATATGTTCGATGCCATAAGGGAGGTAGACTTCTGCGGAGTTTCCACGGTAGTGTTGTTCAACATATATAGTATGCAGACATGCGTCTAGTAAGGCAGGGTGAATTCTAAAGCGAGATGCCTCCTGGTGAAGCAGTTTGGGGAGCGTTACCAGCCCAAAGATATCGTTCCCTAGTCGCCAAATCTTCTGTACACCGCGGAAGGCATCGCCGTACCGAAGACCTGCTCTCTCCAAGGTCGAATAGAATGTTTTGATGTCTACCTCCTCTCCCGTCTGGATTCGTGACTGTACGGTATCCAGCATTTCTAGGCTAGGCCGTGAGAATGAATCAGATGTGTCGATCCGTCCGCGACAGATCACTTGCCATGCATCAGCCGGGCTAGAATCAGCCGCTCGGAAGCTTAGAATGAAATCATGGGCGGCAGAGGTAATTTCTAGCTGGACCTGTGGAGGGAAGTCATCGGCTGCGGCCATCACTAGGGCATGTTCAAATCTCATATCTTGTAGTCGAATACTGGTTGCACTCTGTGGAAGCAGGAGCTTTGTAGCAGCTAGGAACACAGCCTCCGCCTGCCCAGTGGCGGGAAAGACAGCGGCTCCATCCAAGACGTGGTCTGCGAGAAATGGCGAGACCCCAGTGCTAAGGCGAAGGTGTAGGACACCGAGGCCATCATCTGACAGCCGTGTATAGCTCTTGTGAAAAGGATGTTGGTCCTTCGCTCGACGAACGCGGTGTGCGTCCGGATGTTCGAACCAATAACGCTGGCGTTGAAACGGATACAGTGGCAGATCGATTAATTTCCCACAACCTCCGGCAAACGATTCCAGGTCCACGGGAACTCCCATGGCATGCGCTGCTCCGATTAGGTGTGAAAAGGGTACAGTGTCACTATCTCGAAACATAGAGGGAAGAATATTAGCGGGCATCTTCAAAACATCAGCAGTGCGACGGGTTTCACTGACAAGGACCGGGTGAGGCCCAATCTCAATAAGGAAACCATAACCATCCTTCAATATTTTACCCGCAGTTTCCACATATTTTACCGGCTGTCGAATGTTCTCAAACCAGTACTCTGCCGTCAGATGAGTCCCAGGTTCAATGGATGCTGTAACGGTGGAGTAGAGACTGATATTGGCCTCTCCGCCGCTGATAGATGAGAGCGAGTCTACAAGCTCATCTCGAAGAGGGTCCATAAAGCGACTGTGGTATGGAACGTCGACCTTAATAAACCTCGTAAATATCCCTTGTTGCTCAAAATGTTCAAGCAGTTGTTGTAAAGCCTCTGTCTCCCCGCTTAATGTTGTCATCTGGGGCCCATTCATACCAGCGATCTCAATTTGTGCTTTCAACCGGCGTCGCCAGATGTGGTGCTGTAGTTCAGCAGATGATAATCCGACTGCTAACATCGCCCCTTTTCCTTGGGCTTTGCTCTGTACTAGAGACCTCCAGTAGATCACTTTTACCGCCTCTTCAAGAGTTAGGGCACCACTGATATGGGCGGCCGCAACCTCACCAACAGAGTGACCAACAACAGCGTCTGGCCTAAGGCCGTATGAGGACAATGTCTTCGCCAATGCAATCTGAATTGCCGCAATCGCCGGTTGGACTACGATCGTGCGGCCAGCAGAAAATGGGTCATCGTGGGAAGCGGCTATCTCTGCGCGAATGGACCATCCTGAGAGAGTGATGAAATGCGCGTCAAAATCAGCCAGTGATTGTCGAAATATAGGTTCTTGAGCGGCAAGGCCCATGCCCATCCCGGCCCATTGGCCTCCCTGACCAGAGAATACGAAGGCGACCTTTGGCCTCACTTCGGATTGCCGCCGGAAGGACAAGACTCCCTTCGATGCTTCCCCAGACGCGATCTGTTCGAGCTGGAAACAGAGATCTTCAATCCCTGAAGCCGCAACAATGGAAATTTCGGAATGGTGGCTTCGTCGCATGTTCAAAGTGTATGAAACATCCTCTATTGTAGGATGAGACGCTCGTAGCTGTCGATCCAACCCTTTGACTGTATCAGATAGTGCGGCCGCAGACCGGGCGGATACGGTAAAGAGTTGGGGGCAATTTCTAGCTTGAGAAGAGCGACTTGCACGCTGGCATGGCTGCGGAGGTGCATTTTGAAGAATGATGTGTGCATTTGTTCCTCCTGCGCCAAAAGAGTTGACAGCGATAATTAGTTCGCCGTTAATACCTCGTGGGAGAACGGCTGCTGTTGTCGAAATGGCAAGACGGAGCCTCTCAAAGTTGATGGCAGGATTAGGTGTTTGAAAATTGGCCTGCGGGGGAACCTCTCCGTAGAACGCGATCAGAGCAGCTTTAATAAAGCCAGTGATACCTGAGGCACCCTCCATATGGCCTAAGTTGCCTTTGACAGACCCAATCAACAGAGGTACGTCTTCCTTTGAGCGGGCCAGTCCAATCTTCTCGCCCAGGGCCTGCGCTTCAATAGGGTCACCAATCTGAGTTCCTGATCCATGAGCCTCAACATAACAAACCCTACCTGGATCAATCCCGTAACGCTGATAGACAGATTGCAGGAGGTCCATCTGGGCATTGGCGCTAGGAACGGCGAATCCGCCCTCAGTATACCCATCTTGATTGATCAGCGATCCTCGAATCAGTGAGTATATCCTGTCTTTGTCCTTGAATGCACGGCTCAGGGGCTTGAGAAAGACCATTCCAACCCCCTCGCTACGCACATAACCATCCGCATCCTTGTCGAACGACTTGCAGGCCCCACTCGCCGACAGGAATCCGGACGTAGAAAGTTGGATGCTAGGTTCGGGCCGTAGAATTGCGTTTACGCCGCCAGCAATGGCAGCCGTGCTCTCTCCTGTCCAGATACTTTGACAAGCGAGATGCAGAGCTACCAAACTCGACGAACACGCAGTGTCCACTGTGATGCTGGGGCCTTGCAGGTTTAGCCGATGTGACACCCTGTTTGAGAGGGCACATGCTGCGCTACCCAGACTGGAATGAGGGTTGAAATGGTCTCGTTGCATGCCGTTCACTTGTATGGCAGCGTAATCATTCTGGAACGTTCCAACGAATACCCCAGTGGATGATCCAGCTACTTGGTGCAATGGGATCCCCGAGTCCTCGAGGGCGTGGACGGAAGCCTCCAGGGCTAACCTCTGTTGAGGGTCCATTCGGGAGGCTTCCGCTGGAAAGTATCCAAAAAACTCGGCGTCAAATGTGTCAATATCTGGGATGAAGCCGCCTTTGGTATTTTGTATCCGACCATGACTCCTACCATTAGGGTCATGAAATGAATGATGGTCAAACCGATCAGGTGGGATATCGGACATCATGGTGCTTCCATTTCGAAGTGCCTCCCAGAATTCCGTGACGGATGAAATGCCGCCAGGGTATCGACATCCGATCCCAACCACCGCGATGGGTTCATCGTTGCTATGATCCATTTGAAAAGCATATACCAAGGGTTTGACGAAGTATCTGATGTGATTGAGTAGCTGAATGCCTCTACAGAGGGATAATAGTCTTATGTAACATTTCTATAGGGCCATTATCACATTTTCAAAGACCCTTCGGCCAGACTAGTCTTTTCTAGTGACTCTATGAGTTCTGTCTTACCTCAGCTTAGTTTCATGCAGCGAGATTCAATATTCACCCTCTTTTCTTTTCGTACACCGTACCCACCCACGTAGATGTATATGCCCAAGTTAGTCTCCTAGTGATGATGTACGAAACTGTACCCTAAATTTACACATTCCTGCCAGCTATTTGTCATATCCATCTCTAACTCTGTGTTTAAGCGGGGGATATGACAATTGGGCAAGAAGAAATTGGTCTGGGAATCAGCTAGCCATGAAATGAGACATAGGGATTTAATCATTACCAAGAGATCTGAAAATGGGGATCTGAACACGGGGCACGAACAAATTGGCTCAAGAACCAGCCAGGTCATATATTGAGACATAGAGATCTAATTATGGTCTAGCGGTCTGAAAATAGGCAACAATTCGTATAAATGACCCGGATGTCTCATTTCATAACTTGATGTCAGTTGATGAAATGAGACATTCAGGAGAAGACTTCAGGTGGGAACAATGAACTATAATACGTACAAACAAGTCGACAAATAGCCAATGGTCTAAGTAGAGGACGTCGTCAGACGACGGGTCTCTACGGTTTGATGGTGGGACACGTCAGTTTTACTGTCGATTTTTTATGCTTAAAGCTCAGACCTACCCGTTTAGGAACATTCACCGCTCTTCAGCCTCAGAGGAAATAACGGCGCTCAGATACCTATGTATGGTTCTAGTGGATTAACATGCAGGAGTAACTATCCATCACATATTGTTTCTGATATGTGATGGATAGTTGCGCCCATATGTTAATCGTCCCTATTCTAAAACTCACTATCACTCTTGATGGTACTCCTGTATTTCAACACGACAATCTCACAGCTCTGCATCCCTCTCCCTTGAAGAACTTGCCACTTTATATTGGTCAAGAAGTATACGCTAGGTCACGAGAGGAAGGCATCACGATAGCATCATAATTATATTGATAGTTATAACTAAAGTTGTCATTATTAACGTATAAAGCTTACGTGTTGTCCTCGAACCGCTGTCATATCCACGAAGCGTTGTCGCCTGTCACGCCTGTCACCTGAGCGAAGCTAGTATGTGGAAACCACCGAGTAGAGGTGTCGATAGGAATGGAAATTAAATTTTTGAGAGGATTCCGCGACTCTGCGCCAATATCGTACGTTTAATGCGTGGGCATGCAGGTAAAAAAAGTTGAAGTCATGATTCATCTCAAAGTTGGTTCGTTTTACGTAGCAAGTTACCAACCAAGTACCTCAAGTGAGACCCTTTTCCCTACGAGTACTGTTTCACCGCGACCGGTAGTAACCTTCCCCGCTTTTATAGGGTTTTACTCTGGATGGTTAGACGATCTGATTCCCCTATAGTTGCTTGCTCCCTAGTGCAGCCCCTAAATATGTTTGATATGGCCTTGTTGCTGATTAAATAGTGCTGGTTGGATTTCCGAATATCAAACAACATGGATCTAGAGCAGCGCCCTACTTCAGAGAAGCAACTAATCAATACCACTGTTCATAATATCACATGGCGTGGTATTACTGTTACCGTCACCGATCGCAAGACCAAGCAATCAAAAACCCTGGTGGACAATATCGAAGGAGTTGTACAAGCTGGTTCGTTCTATTCTATAATTTCCAGAATGAGTATTCCAACGAAAGAGACTAATACATCTATAAAGGAGAATGCTGCGCCATAATGGGCCCTTCAGGGAGCGGAAAGACAACCCTATTAAATGTTCTTGCCAGGCGGTCAACAAAAGCTAAGAGCATCGAAGGCAGCATTCTTGTTAATGGGAGACCGTTGACGAAATCTGAATTTCGCCAAGCCAGCTGCCTTGTCAACCAGGAAGAAGTATTCATTGGAGGCCTATCCGTTTATGAGACGTTGTCATTTCCTTCGCGACTTGCTAGATATGGGTAAGTTAAGCATTGAGCCATGAAATCTACCTGCATATACCTTAACAGACGCTGACAAACATTAATAGGTCATCGACAGAACGTTTGGTGCAAGTAAGCGCACTTCTTGAATCTTTTGGTCTCACTGACCAGGCGAACACAATCATCGGGACATCGCTGCGCAAGGGCATTTCGGACGGCCAAAAACGGCGCGTGGCAATCGCAAGACAGCTCGTAGTGTCACCTAGGATTCTATTTCTCGACGAACCCACGTCAGGGCTTGATTCAGCCGCCAGTTTTGAGGTGGTCCAATATCTACAAGCCCTTGCAAGAAGAAACAACCTTATCATTATTTTCTCGATCCACCAGCCCTCTACATCGATTTTTAACCTCTTTGACAAGTTGCTACTAATTTCAGCAGGCAAGCCGCATTACTTCGGCGCAGTGTCAGATGTGGTTGCGTATTATAGCAACATTGGCATCGAGATTCCACTCCACTCGAATGTCCCGGATTTCCTTCTTGAGCTAGTCAACATTGACTTCTCACAAGATAAAGTATATGCCGCTCTTCGACTCGTGGAGCTCCAGTCTGCCTGGCAGGCATCTGCTAACGCTAAGACCGCCCACGACACCATCTTGTGTGCCGAAAATGGAGCTGAATGTCTGAAGATCGAGTCAGGCAACAACAGACCAAGAATGGGCAGTCGGACAGTGACGTTGTTACACCGGAGCCTCGTCAAGACCTATCGCGACCCTATGGCCTACGGCATCCGGCTTGCGTTTTCCCTCAGCTTTGCCATTTTAATTGGGACAGTATGGCTGCGCCTCGACCTCGAGCAGGAGTCGATTTCATTCCTGGTCAGCGAAATCTTCTTTGCGCTCTGCTTCATGTCTATGGCGGCCATCATCTATGCGCCCGCCTTTATTGAGGATTACCTGCAATCCGCGCAGGATTTTCACAATGGCCTGTACGGTCCCACTGAGTTTGCAGTATCCAATTTCCTCATCAGCATACCAACCAACTTCTTGCTGAGCCTCGTCTTCTCTATCACCTGCTACTGGCTATCCAACCTTGTACCCTCCGCCACAGCCTTTTTCACCTGGGTTCTCTGGGTCTTCCTCACCGCATTAGCCGCCGAAGCCCTCGTCGTCGTAGTAGCATGCATCCTTCCCGACTTCATCTTCACCATAGCCTGCTCCTCGTTCCTCAACAGTCTGCTCCTCTGCGGCCAGGGCTTCTTCATTTCATACTCTAGTCTAAACCCCTTCTACCGCTTCGGAATCCACTATTGGGACTACCTCGCCTACGCATTCCAGGGGTTGATGGTCAGCCAGTTTCGCGGCGCAAAGTACAGCTGCGGCACTCATTGCAGCTGTATGTACGCCTCAGACCTGGCTAACCAGTGCCAGGTTGCTGGAAAAGCGGTCTTGGAGCGGTATGGATATGAAGAGAAGGGGCAGTTTGGTAGAAATATAGGTATCACGGTGGCTATTGTACTTGGGTATCGAGTGGCTTCGTGGATACTGATTAAGCTTAAAAACTAAATATTATTCAGGAAAGGTACCAATTAGGTTGTATCCATACCATACACGCTGCTGTCTTTGCAAAGTAAAACGACGGTCATGATGAGAGATGTATATTTGACAACTTTCTTGCACATGTATGTAAGTAGTAGCTTGGGTGATACACCCTAATGATACATATATATCTTATGGTAAAGGTTGTGGGATGTGAAGGCGATGAGGAGGTTTTAACGTGGTAGACTAAAATACTTTAAATCGCCATCATCCGTATAGTTGTAAAGGCCGACTTCATACTCGAGCACTATACACGCGTTGAGGGCTCACAATTAATGCTATTAACTGTTCTTCATGTGGTGCTAATCTATCACCCCGAAGCCCCTGCATAAAGCAGCCAGATCACGAGGCCTATTAATAATGGGATACAGCAGGCAACACCCCGGAGTGACTGTTGGGAGCTGCTATTATACTGCATCCACAATATACAAGGAGATGGATGTCTTTGGGCGGCTAGTAAAGCGCCTATATTGGCCATGTGCCTATAAGCTACGGCTAGGGAGCTGAATGCTACTAGATCCAATCATTCCTTTCGGGATCTACTGCCATCCACATTGCCCTCTAGATTTCCCTTGGGCGCTTCGTGCTTCTGAACCCTGTACTTTCAAATCATTAGCCATTTTCTCATCTCATCTTCGCCCTATCATTTTCTTACTGTATTCCAAGAGCTTTCTTGTTGCGCCTCCTTCTCCCACCGCTATTGCAACGAGTTAAAGAACAGAGACTCTGACTCTGATGATGAATAGGATTATTTGTTGATTAGAGAGGTTGAAATCGGAACTTAATACATCTCATACTATCACTGTATCATACAGCTTTCCTAAGTGGCGCGCGGTAACAATACGCCTCAAAATGCTAATACCTAAATTCTCGCCTCTCCTATGCATTTGCCTGTTCTTCCTCTCCTACAAACGTAATTGTACTGTTAAACGCCTTGATCATCCTATCGTACATTATATCGTTGTTGCAGAATGTTCCTATAAATATTACCCTGTCCCTAATTAGAAAGAGGACATTTTAGAGCTTAGGGTTAGGATCAGCCCTCTGCAACGGCAGTTTATCGATCTTTTGCTAGTTATATTTACGGATTTACGCTGTGGCGTTCATAGTAAGCCATTATGCATATTATGAAGCAATCTAACAATATATATAACCCCTTTCGTATAACAGCATACCTAATAGTAGTAGTAACTATGTTGTTCTATATAGGTTTGTCCTTTGTCTTCTATCATTAAGGTTATTATAGGGCAACTTATCTAATAATTAGCAATAACCTAGACCTATATAAGTACCTACAGTAGTAATTTTGTATTAGCGGTACAAACTAGAACAACACTGCGGTACAGGATATCCGTATCGTAATTAGTAGTTCCTGCTGCATTCAGATTAGGCGGTAATAGAGGGGAAAGAGGGGCAGTAAGGGCTGTACCTTGATTAGTTGGGTTTAGCGGGGGGGAATTGTCGGATTAATTGTCGGAACCGACGGGTTGAAGGCGTCGGCTCCGACGATAAGTGGATTAGCGGATACTAGATTAGCGTGCTTACCTCGCTTATGGTACTACTTTCACGTGACCATGCCTGATACAGTACCAAGAATCTCTCATTCCATTAAATTCGACCCTCTCCTTCTCCCTTAGAAGTTGCTACCAACCTCTAAGAAACATAGAAACATCTTATCTTCCTCTATAGACTCTCACGTTGAAATATTACTGTTCATCTTGATCGAACTATGCAACAGAATGACCTAACATCAAAGCAGATTCGACACAAAAGCACGTGTGTGTCTGCGTGACAGTAGCAAGGCTGGCCTGCACCGCGGGGTGCAGGCCTCCAGCCGCCACAGCTGAAGGAATATCGCCGTGTTCTGCCAGCCTCACGCCTTTCTCTTTCAATCTGTCATCTCTTTATCGGGGGATATTTGTTTTTGGGACCTTGACATCGCCGATGAGCCCCTCCTGAATGTGACAATCGTGCGCCCAGATACGCGACTCATGTACTCTAACTGAAGCCTGCTGCATTTGTTTCCTACCATCACCGACCGAGTCCAAGTCACCAGCTGCCTGCGCGCGCATGTCCCAGCCTCGAATTCTTCATTCCGCGCAAAACTGATATAACTACATCCTATTGCATTTGTTTCGCCCTCCGAGTCTGAGTCGCCTAGCACCTGCCATCAGATTATAGCCTCGAGTTCTCTCACCTATACAAGGCTTATGCGACTGCATGCCGTTGTTACATTGGGATCGCAGTCGCAGCATTTTCGAGACCAAGCCGCCGACCGTCTGCCCTTAAATCCTACCTTGAATTCCCTACCCCGAGCCCACGACGATGGACAATCTTCCCCTCGATCACAGCTCAGCCATAGCCGATTTCAGAGCTGCCCGAAAGAAATATACCCAAAAAGCTGCCTGTGGGCGAAACTATGTTCTGGTGAAGAAGCTCAAGCTTTGGCTAGAGAGCAATGGAACAGACGGTAGATCCCAGGCGAGCCATCTTCTTGATTTCGCATACCGCAAACGCAGCCGTCATAGGCCCGTTCTCCCAATCTCGCGGGATGTATTGTCTGATAAACGCAATGGGTGCCTTCTTGTTTTCTGTATACTGCTCGAACTTGACTGTGGCCATCTAATCGATGAATTCTGGAGACAAGATATTTGCGACAAACACCTTCCAATCAACCTCCACTCATTACAAGAGAAGGCTGCAACTATGGTTACAAGCGACTCAAACTCATTAGCAAACGGCTTCAACAACTTGCAGTGGCAGTTTTGCCCAACTACATTTGAGCTGAGAAGGGGACGCAAATTGGTTGTAGACCATATTTTGCCATTCTACAGAAAGGAGAAAATCAACGACAAGGGTGCCACCGCCCAACTCTGGCAAATCGAAGTCGCCGAGGAGTTTGTAGATCCTAATCTAGCTCGAGCTGTTGCGAAAGATGGCAACTACAATGACCCGAATGATGACATTGGCCAGGTAAGTTGGTTTTCATCTTCAGCTGCGGAAGCACAAAAGTGGGAATGAGAATGTGTTGGTAATAACCGTACTATAGCGATATCACTTCGCTATAAAAACCTTTGACGAAGGTAAACGAGATCTTTTCAAAAACGAAAAAGAAGCATTTCTAGCTCTTCGTGACCATCCAGGCATGATACAGTATTTGGGCGATTACGAGCATGTTGAAATTCGCCAATCATCCAGTCCCCAAATCATCACACCTGGTGGGACATTGGAAACCGGGACCATAAAGGCAAATACCTCGAATATCATTTTGGAATATGGGGATCACGATCTAGATGAATATTTTATGGAATTTGTCCCACCGGTCTTCCAAAGTGAGATCAAATCCTTTTGGGAATGCCTGTTTGATGTAGCCGATGCAGTGAAACACATCCACCACTTGAAGGTAAACACGGAAGGTCGAACGCAAGAATTCAATGGGTAAGTACTAACCTAGGTAATGGTTTTATGAAGCTGACGGACGGTTTTAGGTGGCACGCGGATATTAAGCCGGATAATATTCTGATTGTTCAAGGCAAATTTAAATTAGCTGACCCTGGCTTTGCAACGTTTGTGAAAAAGAAAAATACCGAAACGGAGCCCAAGAAGGTCGTCGCTGGAGGCACAGAGACATATAGTAAGTAATTATTAATGTGATGCTAATCTAAGGCACGGCCTTCTGACATTTTGGTTTAGGTGCCCCAGAACGCCGATACTCTAGCAGCGGAACAAGGGAAGGAGCAGTCTCGCAAACGATCGACATCTGGTCCCTAGGGTGCGTCTTTTCTATCGCTGCGACCTGGGTTGTTCTAGGCCATGAAGGCATACGGCAATTTACGAGGTTGCGCCAAAGATCAATTCGTAATAGTTCCGAAGAACAGGCTGCACATCGCACCAGACCTCACCCTGACCTAGACCATTTCCATAACGGCAAAGAAGTTCTCCCTGATGTGCTAAGCTGGCATGCATATTTGCGAAGCGTATTACGCAAGTCCGATACTATTACCAGCAGCGTGCTTGATCTTATCGACAAAGATATGTTTGTGGGAGACGCGGGTTGTCGAATCAAGGCAACCGAGCTTTGTAAAAAACTACACGATATCAAGTCTCACATGCAAACTGAAACCCGGGCGCTCCCAAAAGCTATCATGGAGGCTCTTCTTGAGGTTGACGAAGCTCCCCCAAAGGAGTCAATGGCAAGCACCACCCATGAACTCACCATGCCAAAGGAATCTCCTACAATTGTTGATAAGCGTCAAGCCCAAAAATCGGCACTTCTTGGAGCCCCTTTGAAGATGACGGCCCGACGTTCCGAGTATCTCAAGTCAGAATTGAGTAATTCATATGTCAACTTCCAAACAGATGACGAGTATCCTGAAATTTCTATAACTGTGCCATCGTCTCATAAGCCGGTAACCCAGAAGGTCAATGAGGAGCCACGTCCATTAAACCGGAGAAATTCCCGGATTCAAGAAGAGAACATATCAACCAGAAAAGATGCAGAAGCACCCCTTAGCCCACGATATATGCAAATCGGCTCATTTGCTACAACTATGCAACGTCCTGTGAACCGGAAACGGAGAACCAACCCGCCGCAGGATATCTTCCAAGCCCGCGAAGAAGTTAAGAGCCGTACAAAGATGCGTCTGTTCGGAAGAAAGACCACTAAAGATGAACTCCTTTCCAGACATTTTAGTAATCGAGATATAGTAAGTTGCATATCATAAAAGTAATATGGCAAAACCTAACTAATACTTCTAAGAAATTTCTAGTAGATAATGCCGAGTCGATGAGTCGATATTGGGCTAATGCGAAGTTTCTACTTGAAACCCTCATACTAAAAGCAATAGGCCAAGACGACAATGGAATGGACCTCTCTTTCACTTTCGGAAACATTTCGGTTCAGAATAGCAACGTTGTATCTAAGTTTACAGACGCCATGGACGATCAAGAAGCACGGCCAAGAGATCATTTGCACACCGACATGAAGGGATCACTTGGGGATATCTTCTACGAATACTTTCAAGTGGCGAAGAAAAGGGGGAGCTGGAGCAAAAACCTTACATTGATTGTTCTTACGGATGGCAAGTGGGATGGCATGGAAGACAAGAACGGAGTCGACACTATGATCATAGAGTTTGGCAACCAAGTACAGAAAATATTTGGCAACCTCAAACATCGGCCCGTGAGCATAGAGTTCATCCAATTCGGCCATGACCCAAATGCGACGAGCAGATTACGGAGATTAGATGACGATCTAGTATACTCTGGAATTCCGTAAGTGCCTCCTTGTAGCAGTTTATTCTCTAGAGGTATAGCTACTAACTGCGTATGTAGGGACATTGTTGACTTCGAGCACTGCTCGGGGGATGTTAACAAAATGCTTCTAGGAAGCTTCGTCGAAGAATACGACGACGACGAGGAGCCGGCTACTATGTCTATAATCTCAGAATTAGATGGCGTCCCTCTAACGGAGACCCCATTGCAGCAGCCAACAAATTATTTCCCGACCTCGAGCACTGCTGAGACTGGCCTGTTCGAACTAGCAACGAGGCAGCCCATATCGTCACAGGTGCGAAGAAACACGGCGACGGCAGAACCACAGCGGGAGCAGTTTACTCGATCCTCTCGTCATAGTTATCACCCACGGTGATTCAATCACAGTATTTCCGCGAAACTTAATGAGCCTCTAAATCCTTCGAATTTTTTGTCTCTCTTCTGTCCATAAGAGATAGCTACGCATAGAGGATTCGATAGCGGAGTTTAGGAGTGATTAGTGTTTCGATGAGGGTGAGAGGTGCTTTTTAGGGAAGGTAGCTAGGTAAATGAGGGAGCTGAAGGGTTGGTTACATATACCTAGGACAAAAGTACAAAGGGGGAGGAGAGACGCGGAAAGGAGTTTGTTTGCAGTAGATGAGAGTATAGAACGCGTACTCTAATTTAGTCTATCTACGTCTTAAGAAAAAGGTAAGTTACATAACGACAGACCCCTACTTAGCCCCGCCCTCCCGCCGGCCCGCTAACTTTAATTTTAAGCATAACCACCCGTCCGCCAACCAGCTAATGCATTTATTATATCTCGTTTAGCAATGGGGCGTACTCGTGTGAAATTTAAGGCGCCTGAGTAGGTGGGAGTGGTGGAGTTTGAGAAGATTAATGGTATTAGCGGGTGTTCTCGAGATGAGGAATAAGATTGGATATCTAGGGGTTAGACGAATTTAATGTCGAGTTTTTTCACTGTGCTATGAATGTTCGAGCAGGTTTCATCAAGAACTTCCTGTTATTGTCATTTCGTCGTGATATTGGCCAGCCAAGTAATATACAGTAGTGGATCTATGAAGTCTTTTAAACAATACTTTCCTTTGAGTCCATCGAATCCATCAAGTCCTCGGGTTGTAACCCGAACCTCTTCCGTTTCCTGTCCGCCATTCTAAAAGCTAAGTACCCGAGGGTAAGGGTCAGAGCTGTCAGAGGTAGTGTGACTTGAATCCATCTAACGAGAGCAAGACTAGAGAACGAGACATATGCCTTGCCTAGGGAATCGGTTGTGCCACCATTTCCTTGGTCCTGGAATTTCACGATGTCGGTGCTAAATAAGGTCTTCGGAGGGTTAGTAAAGGAGTATTTACAGGGGATAAATGAGAGACTTACGGATACAAATGTTGCTGGCAAGTAGATTAGTGTGACTACGGTAACTATTCGCATTGCAATTGCTTCTTTCCGAGACAGATCCGCGACTTGATGCATGCTTATTGTTAGTTTCTCCATCTTTTCGGTTGCCTGGCTCTGGATATGTTGTAGGACCTGTAGTTCCATTAGTGTATGAGAAAATCGACAAATACACAATAACATGTAAATAACTTACCAGAGCTTTATTACTAGATGTGATTTGAACCAGGGTCTTAACTCGTACAATCTCCATCTTGGCGTTGTGAATCATATTGTCGATTTGTGAGCAAAATGAAAGAACCTCTTCGCGACATAAATCCATTACCCCAAAGTCACTCCTGTCTAACAGGCCCTTGTAGTATGCGCGGAGAGATTCGAGCACATACGAATTCGCTTCGAGGATCATGGAAACTTGGCTGGCCTGGTCCTCATAATGCTGAATGCCTTGAAAATCTTCCGGTCTATACTCATACCGTACTTCTCCGGGGCCGCGTGGTAGGATTACCTCCCTCGTCTACATGATATTGTTAGTATTATCTGCCGCGGAATGTATATTATTTGGCTTACCTCGTATGCGATGACTTCCTCTAGCCATAGAATATACCACCGCCAATCTTCACACGACCACTGACACAATAAGAGATGAACTGCCAAGCTAGATATTAAGCACTGGGCAACTGTTCCAAAAGACCGATCTTCTAGCCTTCCATCCTTACCAGTCACATCTTGAATCCTATCTTTAAGCTCCAGGTTTCCCTTCGTGAGTATCCACAACGTCGTACCAAGTTCCACATCAAACTGATGATGAACGGCAGCCTGCCGTTGAGACCACCGCTTTTCCCGCAAAGACACTTTCGCGTCCGAAGTGCAGGAAACACCCTTGAGATTGAAGCTCAGTTGAATCTGCCGCCCACTTCTCCCCAAGCCAGGAACAGCCGGCCCGCGAGATGGGGAATTTAGCAGAGTCTGCTCGCGAAATGCACTGAACCTGAAATCCCGCGGTACGCTCTGTAGTCCGAAGGGGAACAAGAAATCAAGATAGCCTGGCATGACTTGGTGATAACTCAGTATTCGGAGCATCATTTTTCGCGTGATTCTAAGCTGCTGCCGGGAGTTATTTGCCGCGTGTATGAAGCTATGTATCGTTAGTGGCTAGCTAGTTTCTTAAATCTCAAGGGGGCATCGGGATGTTATCACTTACATGAAGCGGCATTTTGGATCAGACTTCGTTGCGAGCTCTCCAGTAAGCGTCGCCACGAGAGGATCGATTGACGATTGATCCCCAATCCAATCCTTTAGCTTGGAATCGTTAAATATATTACGTCTCTCAAAAGCTGCACATGGCGTTAGTACTGAAAACTTGAGATATAAATGTGAGAACTTGCCTCGTCCCCTGAAATCACGAAACGGAATGTCTGCAGCTCCATCCTCCCCATCCTCCCCGATGAATAGTGCCGATGACGCCTCTTTTAGTCTGGACTCGTACGCCTTGAGAACCGCTGTACAGGCCGTCCTATATATGAGGTTATGAGGGTAGGACTCAAAGTCCTCATACGAGAGCTTGAAAGAGTCGGGAAGCGCGGGAGCTATCACCACGGGAGCTACAACCATGGTAGGCGGAAATATGCAGGTCAAACTTTGTCGATCAAAGTAAGTGAGCTGGGCTGCTTCAATGCAGGGATGCTGTTGACCGTTTCAATGCTAGTTAACCCTCGCAATCGATTCTCGGGGCGTTATACTATTTATGTGGAATCGAGCTTCCCCCTGCTACACATTTAAACGTCAGTGCGATCCACCTTGGGCGACGCCTTGCCAGGTCCTCGCCTGATCCTGCTGACCCCCGTTACGTTGTTGCGGCGCAGCTTCGCCACCACCCCTGCTCAGCCGCTCTAGCACAGCACGGGCTACGGAAAACGGTCCAGGCAGGCAGCGTGCATGAGCAGATAGTTTATTTTATTGGATATATAAGTCCTAGATAACCAACTCCCAACAGCACTCTTCTCATGGTTCCCCGGGCTCTGGTGATTGGGATAGCCGCTCCTCGACGACCTCCTTGTTGGCGGTGTTGTTGTTATTGTCGCGTAATCTGTCGATGGCTTTGTGGTCTTCCTGTAGGCCAACAACCATTTGATTAGCGACACATGGCAGACATAGTCGGGCGCTAAATGTGTTGGCAACTTACCGTCGTCAATAACTCAGGCAAATTAAAGATATAAAGGTCCTTTTCTAACTATTAGAGGCGTGGCAGTCAGCATGAGAAACACGTCGCAAGTATCATAAATAATAGGCGAAAGCCTTCGAACGTAATAACCTACTGTTATCTTAACCATATACTCTGGGAACTTCCCCACCAAATAATCCCTAAGCGTCTCCCAAGGCAAGTCATACGCATCGCATGTATTCCGCACCGGTTTTGGCCCCTTCGGCAGTAGGCTGGCCTCTGTCGACTGCCGCGCGAGCTTGGCGAAATTTGTATTCTTGCGCAACGCCGACTCCGGGGGCTGTGTCCGTCGCCTCCCCATACTGCCTAATCGGCGCATGGAACCCGAGCTGCTCGGGCGAGCCAAGTCATCCTGGGCGTCTGGAACATGTGGCGGAGGAGACATGGTGGTCTAGAATCGCAGTGGCTCTCGCGAGTCGCTGGAATAATATTCAAAACCTTTTTAGAATGCTTCAAGGCTTAAAGTGTGGATTTGATTCTCTAGTCAGTCGGCTTGCCTTTCGTCCCCCGCAAGGCTGCGACAGGAAACCTCAACTTATAGGCGCCGTGCCACAGAGCTACAGATTGTAAAGCGGGCATTGCAGGGTGTGGCGTGGCAGCAATATGCACGAGCTATCTAGTTTCTACCCAATGATAACAGCGCATTTCGATGCGGCTCTTCCTCACCGGCTACTGGGGAAAGCCTAAGTACTACACAGACGGGCGCATGCGCCCAATTAGACAATGTGAGGCTTGGATATGGGAGTCATGGGGATGGTGAGTCCGTCGAGTGCATGGCTGAGACGGCGACGACGGCAGCGAGCACAAGCCACTGCACTTAATGCGCGACGGCGACGGGAGCGGGGATGAGCCACTGCAATTATGTACATGGCAGGGGTATTAGCGAATCTAGGATCATCGTAGAGGATCTACTGATAAGCTCCTCATCTATCCATACTCTAATGAAATCTTAGTAAAGGCTCACTATTCGTATTGTTACAATCCCCCTCCCTATAAGCGCCACCCCTAAAAGTACAAATACCGTACAGTTCCCCTTCAATCCCCCCAAATTATCCCCTATTTCTCCCCCCCCTCCACAACCTCCAGCGCTTTCCTCGCTTTTACAACCGCCTCCTTCGCCTCCCTCACCCCCTCCCCTTCTCCCCCACCTAAACCCCTTCCCTGTCCCCCTCTCAACACCCCCCCCATAACCCCCTCAACCCCCCTAACCGCCTTCCTCCCCTCCTCCCTAACCTCCCGTTCCCACCAGCCCCTCCCCCCCTCCCACCCCGCCTGCATCCTCCTAAGCGCCCACACCGTCCCCAGCGCCGCCACCGCCCCAGCCTCATAGATCCCAACACTAAGATTTGACACATATATCAGCCCCGCGAACACCGAACTAAACACCGTCGTCCCCAGCGTCTGCGCGACGAGTTTCTGCGCCAGGGCTTGCAGACGCGGAATGCTGGTTGTGGCGATGTAGGAGCGTGTTAGGGGGATGTGGAGAGGCCAGGGGTGTGCTTTTATAGCTGGTGTGGCGATGGGTCCGTCGAGGGGTGTTTCAATAACTGGAATCACATCCCTGACGCGGGGTTCTGTGGTTGGTGCAACACCAAGAGGCACCTCCTCCTCCGGATCGCGTATCAGCGGCGCATCTTTATACGCCCAATTCTTACCCGAAGGCAGCGGAGTCTTCGCCTCCCCAAGCACACCAGCTGCGTCGATCTTCCCAGCGATATATATAACCTCCTGCTCCGCCCCAGTAAGGAATCGCGACGCGAGAATATCAGATGTGATAGCCGACACATCGTCAACGCGCCAGAACAACTTCCACCACGCCAGCGCGCGCCATCGCCGTCCCGAGAACGCGAGGTCGAGCTGGTCGCGCAGTTCCGTGTGCGCAGCTTCTGCCCACTCATCCAGGTCGCGCTGGAGAGATTGCGTGGTTGCCGACGACACTTTTGCGGACAGCGCGGCGGATAGGGCAGAGGCTTCGCGGTAATGGATTTTCTCTTCTGTGGAGGAGAGGAGGGAGCGGATGAGGGAGTGGACTGGTGGTTTTAGCGGTGCTGCAGACGAGGAGGAGGAGCCGGAGATGACCCAGTCGCGGAGGGTGGGGAGCCCGGAGGCGGTCCATTGGTGTTCGTATGCTAGTGCGTTACCGACGTCTTCGCGGAAGGCGGTTAGGGCGGAAGTGCCGAGTGATACGTCGACGGAGTGGAATTGGCTGGTGGTGGCGTCTGTGTCGTGGATACTGGATGGTAGATCGACGGCGGTTTGGATGAGATCCCCCTCCATTGTCGGTAGTCGAAGAAGCGATGCAGCGCCGAGGATGCCGTCGCCTACTACGAGGGCTTTATGGACTGGTGCTGTTATGGGGGAGTAGTGCGCGCCGAATGACGCGGGGATCTGGATATTGGGAACCAGCACGTTCTCTGTGAGTCCCGCGGTCCCCTCCTCGGATTCCGTCAGGACATCTCCGTCAATAACCAGAATCTCGAGGTAATGGTCATTCAACATCGCTGAAGAGATCTGCACCTCCTTCACCAGCCGATTCTTGAATCCCCCCTCCACAACCCCGCCAGAGCGGTGGCTGATACGCAATAACACCGGATCCCCCGTCCCCATCAAACTCCTCTCCCACTCCTCCTCCGCCTTCAACGGATCCGCAAGAAGCAACCGTATCAATTCCCTACTCTTCGCCGTGGACTTCCCCTGCCCCGCCAGCGCAATGACAGCAACGCGTATAACCTCCTGCCCACCTTGCTGCTCGACACCGCGCTGCGCCAGTCGTAGGCGCGGGAGGTTGACGTACCCAACTGCGTGTTTCTCGAGGTCGCTCAGTGCTTTCTCAAGCTCGGCAATTGCTTGTTTAGGCGTAAGTGGCTTCGTCTCAATATCCTCCTCCTCCACCACCGCAGTCGCAGTCGCAGTAGAAAGTCCCCGTCGCGCCCGCGGCATAGCTGCGATCCCAGTTTGCTCCCGCCGACGCGGTACCTGTCTCCCACCACCACCCGCTGATGGCGCCGCATTGAATTGGCAGAGTAAACATTTCGACGTCTTCGGCAGCAGATTGTCGGTGCGCGCCAGTCGCAGTCGCCCGGGGGCTAGCCGTGGGAGTCGTGGCGGCATTTGTGGTTCTGCTGTGGTGTGCTGTGCTGTGGTCGCGGGAGTGGTCGCGATGGACCGGGAAGCTTGGGTGAGGTCCGTGAAATAAACTTCGGCGGCGCGGCTCGTTAACGCAGCCTTGTGTGTGCGGCTGTGGTTGACAGGCGTGTTTGATGGGGACGCACCAACAATAATACAATGCGATTGTGAGCAGAACAGTGTTGTTAAATAATTACGGAATGAATTGCTAGATATTTTCTTTCTATACAGAGCAAATATACGTATAAACATACTAATCATTCCCCCCCACCAATCCCACCCCTACCTTAACACCAACCCCCCAAACGCCCTATCCATCTCCTCCCCCTCCCTCACCACCCTCTCCGACAAACTCTCCCCCAACCCCTCCCCCTCCTTCTCCTTCGTCTCACTATCCATTATACTCTTACTCTCCCCCTCCTTCCCCTCCCCCCCTCTCACCGGCTCCAAAATCCTACTCTCACTATCCAACCACCCCGGCGCCACCCTCCTCTTCTCCGCCAACTCCCTCGCTCTAATCCCTTCCTCCCACCCCCTCAACTCGCGGTCGGCGTCATCTTGTACTTTGGTTATGTAGGCCTGCAGCGCCTTGCACGACGCCATGATCTCGTCCGGGTGCGCGGCGTGTCCGGTGCCGGGGGAGATCACGTATTGGGGTTTTGAGCTTGAGCCCGCGGCGGAGGTGGTGGTGGTGGTGGAGGAGGGGGGGAGGGTGGAGGGGAGGGTCTTGTAGGTGTAGGGCAAAGTGGTGGCCGTCGGGAGGGAGATGAAGGGGGAGACGGTTAGGGGGACTTGGGCGAGGAGGGGGTGTGCTTCTGTGGGGGGGTGGTGTGTTAGTGACTGACTGTCTGGAGCTGGAGATGGGGTTTGGGGGAATGGGGGAGTGGGGGAGTGGGCACTCACTGCTGTCGTTCATCTTGATCAAGACCATGGTAGTTGGGTCAGCGCGAGGCTAGGTGCCCAGAGGAGAGCCGTGGAGCATGGGCTGGGGAGGTGGTTGAGAGTTCGTATCGTTCGATTTCGGCGGGCGTGGCCTTGGTGGGCAGGTATGTCGTGGTTGCTTGGTCGGAACAGCTGGTCGAGTCGAGGCCGTGAGGGATGAGGTATTATTCGTCGTAGTTATCCGGGTTCTTCAGAGTGAGGAGTGTAAGTCAAGTAAGATGCCAGCTCTTTGTATGCAGTATATTGTTCTATGTACAGACTGTATGATGCCGCCTATAATTCGTACCACTCGCTACCCTGAATGCGTATGAACAGCACGTCTATCTTCCCTTATCAAGCCACACTATTGACGCCACAACACAACAGCTCGTCCCTATCAAGCCTCACTATCGACGCCACAAGGCAGCAGCTCTTCCTTATCAGGCCACACTATCGATGCCACACCATCAACGCCACAAGGCAACCCCTCTATATACCATCACGTGATATACACTAAGTAAGCTAAGTACTCTCTTCCCTTCCATCATCCCATCATTAGGTGTTTTAGGTTCAATCCCCTAGCCAATCACAGCCACCCATATCTCAAGCTGAGCCCAGCCTCTCTCTACCCTTCTGTACCCTTCATGCCCTTTTATGCCCTGTATACCCTATTAATACCCCATTTATACCCTGAATCCCCTCTAAAACTGTGGCTGGTGACCCCTTCCTAGTGTAATTTCACTCCAATTCACCCTAATTCACCTCAAATTCACCTTCAGGCTCGCCTCGCCCTCCCCTCGCCCCTCGTTAGTTGCTCTCCAGTAGTCCTGCTTGTATCTCTACTTATTCTATCCTCCTCTACCACACTCTTACCTCCTCTCCCCCTCCTTATCTGAGCTTGTGCCTTACCTAAACTAAGTACTACTACTTACCTCATTGACCCAAGTCAGCATCATCCTCCACTCTCTCTACTGTACTCTACCAACCCTCTTCCCACTCTACTACTACCTCCTCTTACCTCCTCCACTTCACATCTACAGCCTCAAAGTTCTGCATTGATTGCAGACTACGATTCAACTTCTCATCTAACGATCAACGACCCTGAAGATATACGATTCCATTAACGTTGTCACGGTCTGATTTGCGCCTTCTTCGACAGCCTTCGTCTTCGTCTTCGTCTTCGTACCTGCCAGTCGCTAATAACAAGTACAACGAATCCCACCAACACCCTCGTCCGTCCTGCCCCTCAAAATTCTAGACGCTTATCCTCATCTAACCCCGACAAGATCACAACTTTCCCACGAAAACACGACCTTCTCATACCCGTGGCACACGACATACCACGGTCTCCTCACCACCTACCTTCCGGGGAGCGATAGATTCATAGGAAAAAGGGACTTCCATTCCCAAGAGATCTGCAACCATGGATGATAATACCGAGGCCGTCGCCGGAGCCCTGCCTGGCGCGAACAGAGCCCAGATTGACAATGCCATCCGCGCACTGAGCGAAAAGAAGCCCATCCCCGAAATCGACTTCACACTGCACACCATGGAGGATGGGAGCCAGGTCAGCACCCTGGAGCGAGTCTGCAAAGGTATGGATTACACTACAATCAAGTGACGAGCCGAGACACACGAGACGCTTTGGCTAACATGTGCGAACAGACGTCCAAGCACCAGCGATGCGCCCGCCAACCGACGAGCAATTCTTCTCCAAGGAGGACCCCGCGAAGCCCGATCTGGCTTTCCTGAAGCAGCACTTCTACAGAGAGGGACGCCTTACGGAGGAGCAGGCCCTGTATATTATCAATGAGGGAACCAAGGTCCTCTCGCAGGAGCCCAATCTCCTCGAGATGGATGCGCCCATTACCGTCTGCGGTGATGTCCACGGTCAATATTACGACTTAATGAAGCTGTTCGAGGTTGGCGGAGACCCATCGGACACCAGATACCTGTTCCTCGGTGACTACGTGGATCGCGGCAACTTCAGTATAGAGTGCGTGCTGTACCTCTGGTCGCTGAAGATCTGGTACCCCAACACCTTGTGGCTCCTGCGCGGAAACCACGAGTGCAGACATTTGACCGACTACTTCACCTTCAAGCTCGAGTGCAAGCACAAGTACTCCGAGAACCTATACGAGGCCTGCATGGACTCCTTCTGCGCCCTGCCCCTCGCTGCGGTCATGAACAAGCAGTTCCTTTGCATTCACGGTGGACTGAGCCCCGAATTACATACTCTCGATGACCTGAAGAGCGTAAGTGGCCACGCGATACCATTGATATCCCATTCTAACTTCCCCAGATCGATCGTTTCCGCGAGCCCCCCACCCAAGGCCTGATGTGCGACATCCTCTGGGCAGATCCCCTCGAGGAGTTCGGTCAAGAGAAGACCTCTGAATACTTCATCCACAACCACGTCCGCGGATGCTCCTACTTCTTCTCATATCCCGCCGCCTGCAACTTCCTCGAGAAGAACAACCTCCTCTCCATCATCCGCGCGCACGAAGCCCAAGACGCCGGCTACCGCATGTACCGCAAGACGCGCACGACCGGTTTCCCCTCGGTGATGACCATCTTCTCCGCCCCCAACTACCTCGACGTCTACAACAACAAGGCCGCGGTCCTCAAGTACGAGAACAACGTCATGAACATCCGCCAGTTCAATTGCACCCCTCACCCCTACTGGCTCCCCAACTTCATGGACGTCTTCACCTGGTCCCTCCCCTTCGTCGGCGAGAAGATCACAGACATGCTCATCGCCATCCTCAGTACCTGCTCCGAAGACGAACTCAAGGAAGAAGCCTCCACCTCCCCCCCCATCTCCTCCCCCATCTCCGAAGGCGGCGTCCCCGGCACCACCGTTGCCGCCCCCGCCCTCCTCCCCACCGACCCCGAGAGCATCGAATACAAGCGCCGCGCCATCAAGAACAAGATCCTCGCCATCGGCCGCCTCTCCCGCGTCTTCCAAGTCCTGCGCGAGGAATCCGAGCGCGTCACCGAGCTCAAGACTGCGTCCGGTGGGCGTCTGCCGGCTGGCACGCTCATGTTGGGTGCGGAGGGAATCAAGAATGCTATTAATAGCTTCGAGGACGCGAGGAAGGTGGATATTCAGAATGAGCGTCTGCCGCCTAGCCATGCGGAGGTGACGAGACAGAGTATTGAGGGGAGGGCGGCGGCGATTGATAGGGCGGTGGCTGAGGCGGATAATGATACGGCGTTGCAGACGTTGTCGAGGAGGTTGAGCACGTGAGTTTCCCTTTTCTGGTGGTTTGTGAGGGCTCAAAGGCTAATACTGTTGTAGGGATCGCAAGCGCAGAAGTGGATAGATGCGTGGCGAGGACGTAGGAGCGTCTTATCTCCCATCCCTCATCTCATCTCGGTAGCATGAGGGATGGCGACTGTAGGATTCTTTTTGCAGGAGGTAGTTTGAGTTAGTGATTGGGGTTGAGAGAAGTGAGAGAGGGAGAGGGGATGTGTATGCGGGGAGGGACATGCGAATGCATATGCAAGCGATACCACACACATATGTAGACGGGGAAATGTGCAGTATACAGAGCAGAGACTACGAAACTATTATGCAAGTGCAGCGGGATGAACACGGCGAGATGGGGAATTGTGTGAGTGGAATGGCTTTGAGGGGGAGGATGTGATATGGGTGGTTGCTGAATAGGGGTGGAGGGGGTGTTTAATGCTATAGTGGGCTGAATAGGGTAGTAATCACCTTCCATGCCCTTTCTCCTTCTTGTATATCTGGTAACTTGAATTCGTACACCACGCCTGACCTGACCCATTTCTTCTTCCCCCTCTATTCTATCATTCCAAGCACACCGCAACCAAGAGATGAGAGTACACCCCTTCCCCCCCGCCCCCCTGCCACGTGATCCCCCCCGTCAATGGCGAGACCAGGCACAACACGGGCCATCCCTCACCCGGCCCGGGGTCCGCGGGGTTTTAATATGGATAAACCCCCCAACTAAGCAGCGGCCAGACCGGAACACGCAGGAACAGCGGTATGGCTGGCCACTCTACTGTAAAGTGATCGCATTCATTTATTATTACCCCGGACCGGGGAATTGGGGCAAGCTTGAGGGAGGTAGGTGTTGTTCGATTTGTACTTAATCTCCCCCCGCGCGCTCTCACTGCTGCTTTCCTCTTCTTTCTCACCCTCCCCTCGCGCATGCTTTTCGTGAATTTTGTTCAATTGTCAAGCTATCACCATGCATATCCTCTCCACCCTCCTCGCCGTCGCGCCAGTTCTCGTCGCGGCGCAGAATTGTCCTCTGCAATTCGATGGACGTGTCCCCAAGAGCGCGAAGCTGGGATTGCTCGATACGGCGAAGAGTCCTTTTAATGCCGATTATGTCAAGGGCGCTGGTGAGTTCTGGAGACATTTCCTTTTATTTTTTTTGGAATTGTAGTTGCGAGGGAGAGTGGGTGGGGGATGGGGTGGAAATGAAGCTAGGAATTGGACTGGGCGAGTGCTCTGAGCGCCTTGGATTGCATGATTGAACCGGAAGGGAAAGGAATGAGCTGGTTGAGAGGTGGGCGGCCTAGAGATTTCTAGCTTGTGCCTAGTTGCGGATATAAGTCACTCAGACAGGAGCTATGATAAAACCTTTGGGAAGGCGCGATAGCCAGAAGGTTGGATAGAACTGGGAAGGAGCTATCAGATGGAAGGAGCTACCTCTGGGTTGATACCTGTGGTGGCAGGAGCGTTCCCCAGGTCGATTCTGCCACTTTTGCCTTTATACAGTGGCGGAAGGAGCGTTTATGTGGCCGCTCCTGCTGCTTTTGATATGCATATCGGTCAGCAGAAGGGGCAGATTTGGGAAGGAGCTATGAGTGAAATATCACCCAGTGGTGGCAAGTGCCTTCCTCTGGTCACTCCTGCCAATTTTTCTGCGGATGGAGAATATATATGGAAACATGAAGAACAATGGAGAGAGTTTTTGATGCTGACGCTGCTTGCAGGCCTGAAGTGGAGTGAAATTGCGAAATTCCCCAAAGTATCACCTCCATCATTGGTAAGTCTACTCTTCTACTCATAGGAGACCTCCTGCGAAGCCTAGTCCCTAACCCGACCCCCAGTTCGACGGATCCACATACAAAGCAATCGAAGTAACCATCGACGACACCTCCATCTTCGCTCCCTCCGCAGACAACGTCCAAATCGGCTTCCGCCGCGCCGAGCTCATGCCCACCACAAACACCGGCTCCGACCCCTCTACCACTGGCATCAAGACCCTCCACTTCAGCGTGCGCGCCGACACCTCGCGCCCGCTCAACTACACGCACGAGTACCAACTCGTCTTCCTCGAGTCGGCGGACTACAGCACGAATCAGTTCGCGTTGAAGACGGGGAGTATCATCGATGATAGCGATCCGAGAGGTCACTTGAAGAAGAACTGGCTGAGGCTGGTGGGGAATGTGGCGAATGATAATGGAGGGAAGACGCTGTTTGAGGTTCCGTTCGGGAAGGATTGGCATAATTTCGGGCTGAGGCTGGATTTTACGAAGAAGTAAGTTTTGTTCACTCCGGCTTTCTATGCAAAAGGACTAACAGGTCGCAGTACCACGCAGGTTTTCTACTCCCCTTCTATCCTGCCGCTGATTCCCGTCACGCCTCCGATTCACAATGATATCTCTGGGCAAGGCCAGCTGCACTTTGGACTGCTTAAGAAACCCATTGGGAAGAACTTCACGGATATGCCTCATCAGGGATACCAGGAGCCTGGAATTCATGAGGGAGCCATATTCGGTGGGATTTTTGAAGAGGATAGCACGCATGGATGTGTCAGTTTGATTCCCAAGAGCTGGTGGAGTTGGTGGTGATCAGGGCCATGTGGGCTGAGAAGTGAGCGGAAAGTGGTTGATATTTTGTAATATGGTGCCTAAAATATACGCTATTTATGCAAAATTATCAGATGCTTGCCGCAAATTACTAACAATGATCTGTGCCTGGGATATTCCTGAAGTGGCATGGCTAGCTCCGGGAGCTAATACTTAAAATTCACGTTTAGAAGTTCGTGCCTGGCGGTAGCTTATTACTAGACTTTATCACTTTCTAGCTAGCTTATTTTTGTAGCCAGTTTATAACATTTCCGTCTATCTTGCTTCTTGATGATCGCTCCCTCCTCAACAAATGTAGGACTCTGTCATTGACCCATCTATGGCTTCAACCGGTCTCTTACTACATTCATGTGATAATGATATTCGCCAGTATTCCCATATACCCATTACTTTACATCTGATTAATCACTAAACATTCTCAGTTAGCATCCATCATGGCACCACGTTCCAGGTTCTACAAGACAGCCCTCTGGAGATACGATTCCGACGAGCTCGCCAGAATCGCCATCCAAGCTGCTCCCATATTGATTATGCCCGCAATATGCGACACGTTCCTCCCCATAGCCCCATACAACGTAGACGCGAACACCATCTCAGTCGAGCAGTTCGTCAGGGTCGAGGTACCAGACTACACCGACAACATCGACCTATCATTTGCCCTCAGAACCGCATTCCTCGAAGCATACAACCCCCTCCAAGAGCAGATCCTCGCCATCACATCCATCGAAAGCTCCGTCCTACTCCCGCAGTTTAAAGGCATCATCCGCACGCCCGACATTGCCGAACCAGCATTCAAGGGCATAATCACCAACCTCGAACTCCTCGCCATCGTCCGCCACAACCACAACGAGTACATGGGCTTCATGAACCGTGTATCGCGCGGACCTGCCCCCAATCAGGACATCCTACGTGTCATTTTCAGCCTAGCCGATATCAACCATTTCTGCAGCCGATCGCCGTTCCAGTGCGAACAGATCTCCGGCTTCTACGCCTCCTGGAGTGCTCGCCTCGATCTCGCTACGGTCTATAAAAACTATCTCCGCTTGGATTATCCGGACTGCAAGGACGTGAGCGTATATTTCGGCTGCCCCGAGCGGGCGCGGGAATTGGATCCGCAGGAAGAGGAGCAGAGTAAGGCGAACGGGTTCCGTGCGGTGATGGAAATCCGGGATCGCAGTAGGCTTCGCTCCCACTTGGATCTGGTTTGCAAGTCGGAGTTGTTTGATGATCATGTTATGGGGATGATGTCGGATGTGCGGTCGTCGATGGCGCATCATATCACGTATCTGGGCATGGCGATATTTCAGTGTGGACTTTCGGAGACCGAGGGGAAGGAGGCGATAGAGAAGTGTGTGGATTGTAAGTCGTAGCTCTTTCAACCTTGCTTTGTTTGTGGAGAGGGTGGGGTGCTGATAAGCCCTCTTTGTTGTAGTGCGTGATGCATTAAGGAAGATTGTGCTCGAACTCCCTCTTGCGGGGAAGATCGTGAGGCATCCCGACGTCATCAAGAGTCTGGGGAGGTGCCTTTTGGATTCGGGACTAGTATGGGAGTGACAACGGTGGCGAGGGAGTGTATTAAATCGATCAGTCGTGGGTCCTTTTCCTGGATGATACTGCTTGATGCTGGCGGGGTTTAGCGTGCAGTACTGGATATGTCAGTTGGAAGCACTGTATTAATATTGGGCGTTGGTTATTGGAAAGGCCTCTTTGAGCTGTAAAGACAATAGTCTATACAAGGGCGTTTCACTAATCTATCTTCTGTTTTGGTTTTAAGCTCCGAATACGGCTCATAATGGATATCCAGCCTACCAGGTGAGAACTCCCTCCTACTTATGCATCGCTCGCGTCCGTGAAATATTCAAACCCAGCCGGCTTCTCTGCAACCTCTCCATCACCATCAATAGCTCTATCAGCATTACCTCCCCCCACTGCCGCCTCCACACTCCCATCCACCCCTCCAACTCCTCCTTCTCTTGTCGAACCCAACAACCCCCCTACCATCTCCGCCCACTCCCACGGACTCTCCGTCCCCCCCGGCACAGCATTAAAATACTCCCACCCCATCACCCCTCCCCACCCCGTCCCCAACCACTCCGTAACCCCCATCAGCGTCTCCGCAAAAACCCCCATCTCCACAAACCCCGCCCCATTCCCCTGATTCGTCACAACACCCATCACCACCTTCCTCGGATCCCACCCTCCTCCTCCTCCTTCCCCCATCACGAGCCTCAAATACCCAGTCGGCGTCCGCACATCGCCCCACCCACAGTAGAACTGCGCATTATACCACGCGATCTCGCTTCCCCTCTCCGACTCCAAATCCGCATAATCAAATCCACTCAGATTAGCCCTCGGATCCCTCGTCGCCAGCGCCGTCGCCACAGGTGCAAGCGTAATAATAAACCCGCCCCCGAAATCCGAGCGTAACCGATCAATCAGTCGAATCACCCCAGCCAGCGACATCTTCTCCTCCACATCCAAATCCAATCCGTCCAGCTCCCCCCAGCGGATAAAATCAAACAACAACTTATAATACCTCTCAAACTCCCCCTCCTCCCCATCAAGCACCTTGAACGACCCCTGCGCCGCTCCGCCAAGCATACCCATCACCCTGATCCCCCCGCGCTTTAAGTCGTGTAGCTCGGAGAAGAGAGTCTGGTTCCGTGGATCCGAGGGCGCGTGGTCGTTGAGCGTCAAGTGCGGGTTGGTGGGGTGGCCGTTGAGGTGGATGGCGGCGAGGATGAGGTGCGTTAAGGGGGTTTTGAGGAGCGGGAGGAGCGGAACATGATCGCCGGAGGGGGTGTGGTGGGTTTGGTGGTAGAGAATTAGGCGGGGGGTTTGCGAGGAGGGGATGGGGGCCATGGTGGGCGGTTTGGCGGGGTAGAGAGGAGAGTTGCAGGTGGTTGTGAGCGCGCGGGAGAATTGATTTTCTCAGACTAGCAATGATAATCGATTTTTAGGTTCTGTAGGGGTTCTTAGCGTGAATTGGGCAGATCTGGTATGCATACAGTAGGTTGATGCTGATTCGGGGTGGACGAGGCTGACAGATCTCTTGTTGGGGCAGGGGCGATGATAGATTAGATTAGATTAGATCTTTCGGTCAGTAGTTATGACGATGCGGGTCTCGGCTTGTCGGGAAAGGAAGGGGTAACCGGCGGTGGCTTTTTCATGGCGAGTTGGGCGCGAATACGTCATTGTACAAGTGTTTAAGATATGTCTCGGAAATATAGTTTAAGAGTTTGTTTGGTGGCGTGTATTGAGGCGACTAGAGGGATTTATTAGTCAAATGAAGATGTACCCCTGATAAAAAGCTAGTGATGGCTGTTGTGTGGTGTGGCGGAGGGAAATACACGTCTCATGAGAAGTACAGCCTTCAGGATGCGAAATTCATACAAAATAAATGCCTTTCTTCTTGAATTTATCAACTTTCAACATGTGGCTGTATCATAATGATTTGTTACAATAAATTTGTGGTGCGAGATGTGATGGCAATGGAAACAAAAATCACATCAACCATCTTACTCATCCAATGTACTCCATCATGAACGAGTGAATTAAATTTCAATATAACCAATACGTATGCCAAACGGCAGTACAGGCCCGACCTAAATGCCAGACCCCAAATGCTGCGCTACCGTATGCTGCGTCCCGATAATATGCCCCTTTACGCCGACCCAAGTCATCAAATCCATCCCATCCGTCCCGAAGGCGCTTCATATCTCATGTGTGATATAATGTATCGTCCATCTTTTGATCGCACCCATTGTCAGATAATCATCAGTTCAGTCCCATCTATCAACCTTTCCTCCCCGACGCAAAATCATGCGCAGCAACCGGTGACTCGGGACCTTCATTCCTTTTCCTGGGGACTGACCCACTACTCGATGTTGTCCCGGCGGTGCTGGAGCTATCCCTCGTCTCGCCTAGCTCAGGTGCTGTAGTTGAAGCTGTGTCGCGGAACTGTTGGAATTGCGCGCGTGTGTAGGAGAGCATGGTGTTGTTGTATGAGGAGAGGGTCGTGGGCGGCGAGCCGAGAGTTGATGTCGAGGAGTATGAGGTTGAGGTGGTTGAGGCCTGCGAGGGGACGGTTGTTGGTGTTGCGGCAGGCATTGTGAAAGGTTGTGTGGTTGTGTGGTTGTAGTTTGGGGATGTGGAGGTGGAGATGGAGGGAGTGGTTGAATTGTCAGAGTAATTTTGAAGTTTCAATATTTGGCTATCGTTTGTATGAAGATTTCCGCGGGGGATGAAGATGCTTAGATATCCTTTGAAGGTCTCCCTATGCGGACTTGTATCGCCGATCGAAAAGGAGAAGTGTCTTGCCCCAAACCCCAAGGCCCAGAATGTGTAAAAGGTTGGCAACCTCGATCCACCTGTCTTACTCGCAGTTATCGTTAATCATTTGTTTTCTTCCGATTGAGACTCGTCCGTATCTTCTGCTAAGCTGCTAAGCAAGTTTTGGTGATTAATAACTGCATGAGGCCGGATCTTCGCAGGCTTATAAGAACCCCACCTCTAGTGGGTGTGGCGCCCATGGCGACCGCTCCGGCCCACTATCGCGTGGATTCTGACGTCGAGCGTGGCGCAGATCACGTAGGCCTCGGCGGGGTGAGGATAAGGGGCTGGACGATGGCGGCAGGTATACGCGCCCCCGGACCGTCATGGTTAGGCGATGGTGGGTGAGATGGTGGTGGTGGGTGGTGGGGGGATGACGATAAGTGGATAGTAGTGACTTTAATTAAAGTGCGGAGAAACGACTTGAGGAACGAGAAAAGGATGAGTTGTAACCAGATAACCAGATAATTGCAGAATGGTCACCTACCGTAGTATTTCTGCACAGTTACTTGTACTGTATAGTGACTGTATAGTGACTGTACCATAACAGGTCGCCTTGCAGAAGTACTAGTTGCCCTTGAGCTCAAACAGGGCTGAGAGCTCGCCGTCGACGTGTCCCAATGCATCCTGCAGCATGGCCGACTTTCCCTTCTGGGCATCCGTGGACATGGTAGCTCACCTAGGGTCCTCAGCCCATCTGGGAAAAACTCCTGGTAGGAAAAAAAGAAAAGAGGGAAAAAATGTTGAATCGAGGTAGACATGACGTAGTGTTTACCATGCGCGCATATGTGATGCGATATTGGGTCGCGGCTTCCCGTCTTTCTTGGTACTTGCAACACTTGCAACACACTAAAACAGTGGTTCCACGTTATTAAAGCCGCACGTTCCTGGGCGAGATCGATTCCTTCCCCGTCACTTGAGTTTCAGATATTTCAATATTTCGATATTTCGGTCATAGTCCGTCCGCTGGCCGCTGATCGCCCGTCATGTCTCGGTCTGGCTGCCATTGGCGTAGGTCATGAATATCGACGGTCGAGTTCGAGTCTCGAATCTAGAGCACTCGGATCGCCCTTCCGCCGGTTGACCGCGACTATCTCTTGCCATCCTGCCGGTTGACCGCGACGATCTCCTGGCTGAATTGGTTAATACTTTTGACAACGAAGCGCGCATACCTGGCAATATTCGCACCGGGTACCTCGCTGGCCCGCATCTCTTGGTCCTCGGTGGCTCAGTGGCTCAGCAGTGCTCGCGTTGCCTCCTTCCAGCTTCAGTTCTTTTCCTGTTTCTTCCAACAATCCAATCCCCACATCTCCGATCTCTCTCTCTGTCTCTCTTTCCCCTTTCCCCTCCCAACTCTCTCCACTATCCGTCATGATGCGATCTCCCCCCGTACAGCGCCATACTACAGCTCAGTTGATTCCAATCTCCCGGCTGCTGATCCCTTGAGTGAGGCGCATCGAGATTGTTTGACCGCAGTGCGCAGTGTGATCTGTTCCCCGCTGGAGAGAGAAAACTACGTATGCCAAGCCTTTTGTGTCGTCACTGAGCGTTGCCGACCGTGGGGTCCCTGCATGATCCAGAAGTGGCTTAGCGGCCTTTACTCTCCACCTAAGTAGAGTACATACTAAAACACTATGGGAGATACAAGCTTCCCCTTCTCTCCACCACTCAAATCTCTCCACACAAAACTAACATCTCTAGCATTATAACGAGGCATTTTCATGTGTTTGAAATCAGGTAATCAACTATCAAATATGCAGTTAAAGAATGCAAATGATACGATTTGGAGAGGTATGATCCGATTTCGATCTTCTGTGATAAACTGCAGGATAAGCAGATTGGTTCGGCGTGTTTACGTATTTTAATTATCCAGTTGTTCAGTTTCTTAATGGACAGACTTTAACTTCATCTTTCGGGAATGGAAGGGGCTGGAATATATTACGGAATATGACTCGGTTGCGGAAGAAACGCATACAAGGTAACACGTTCGCTGTGGGGATATGTGTGAATCTGTGAGTTTTGTTGATTAGTTCCAGAGGTCTAATTCCGACTAGATGCAACTGTTTGAAATCTTCCGAGTATGACCTTCCTAGTTCTCATCGAACCCAAAAATTAAATTATATAACAAAGCAGAAATATATGTCTAGTAAACCCTCGCCCATCTACCCCTTCTTTTATACTCCTACTCCACCTCGCTCGGCTTCTCCCCCCTAAACAAACTCCCCAAATAACTCCCCTTAACAACCTTATCCGCCTTCCCCTTCTTCCCAATCGTCACATTCCCCAGCGCCAGCGTGAAAATCAATCCCAGCCACCCAAAACTACTCAACGCATAAAACGCAAGCACAATCCCCCTCTTCGCCTTACCCCTTATATACTCCTGCTCCACCGGGCCCAGCCCCGCAATCGCATCGAAACTACTCGACCCCGCAGAGCTAAAATTGATACCCCCCTGACTCAGCGTGTTGTTGAAGATATTCAACATCAGCGTCGTCGCGATCGTGCCACCCAACGAGACCATCAACGACATCAAACTCACTATCGACGCAATCTGGCGCGGGTAGTACCCGATACCATGCAGCGTCCCAGGCATGAAGCGCACCCCGGTTCCCACACCCGTCAGCACCAGCATACCGATGATGAACGGCATGCCCTCCTTGTCGAGCGCGAGAGCTATGAGCGTGAGCCCAAGCGGCTCAAGCACAACGCCAAGGAAGAGCGTGGCGAACGTCTGCAGCGGCCACACGTTACACGCGAACATGGCCATGTATGAACCCGCGGCGAGGCCGGGGAGATAGTACAGAAGGTTCACCCCAGACTCGCCCGAGTCCTTGCCGTGCACCAGCGCGAAATAGAGATCCACGAAGTAGAAGACGGCGTACATGGCCATGCCGGTTAGGAAGGAGATGTACATCAGGATGCTGACGTTGCGTGCAACGAGAAGCTTGAAGGGGAGCATGGCCTTCCGAGTCGGGTTGCGCCGCGACAGGAAGTGACCGGGGAGCATGAGATATTCCCAGACGATGAAGGCGGCAAGGAGTGCGACACCGATGATGAGTGGGGCGAGGATTTGGACGGAGTTCCAGGCGTAGGAAGACCCAGCCCATGTGAGCGCCAGGACGAGAAGCCCAAGTCCGAAGAGGAACAGGATCTGCCCGCCATAGTCGATGGTGAGGAGTCGCGCTTTGAAGGTCTGCTCGATATTGACGTCTGTCACTCCGTCAACCCGCTTTATCTCCTGCGGGCCGAGGAGCTCAGGCCGCAGCACGAAATGCACGAGAACCATCCCAATGAGTCCCAAGGGAATATTAATGATGAAACACCATCTCCAGCTGACTTGCGTCAGGTATCCCCCTACCACGGGCCCGATGCCGTATCCTACGCCCCCGACGATCGTGAAGATAGTATTGTTTTTGGCGTTCTCTTCTAGCGTCACTTTGTCTGCTAAGATGACCTTGGTGTTGATGAGCATGCCCGCACAGCCAATGCCCTGGAGTGCGCGCCCGACGAGCAGCATGGGGAAGGAGGTCACCGGCGCGGCGGCGCAGAGCACGCTGCCGATGACCATGAAGATGAGGGAAAATTGCATGGCGTAGTAGCGGCCGAAGACGTCGGCGAGTTGGCCCCAGGAGGGGATGAAGCAAGCGGAGGTGAGGTTGAAGGCTGAGACGATCCAGTTGAGTTGCGCGAGTTGATCTGTGGAGTGTTAGGAATTGTTCCGTGAAAGTGGGGGAGCGATGGGAGGGGCTTACTGAAATCAGATGCTATGAAGGGAAGTGCGCCGGCGATGATTGTGACATCGAGAGACTGGACTAGGAAGGGCACGAAAAGACCTGATATAATGCGCCACCGGTATATCCTCGCGGCTCGTTTGGCCTCCTTGCACTCCGCACAGGGAGATGAGTTATCGACCAAGTCCGTCTTTTCGTGGACTTCTGGCGCGCCGTCGGGGTGGGCTGTGAGCTCCATCGCCGACTCTGAGATCTGGCTGACACCGCGACGGTGGATGCAATCACGCTTTTTCTCGGACTTGGTTGGTTTGCTGGCTTTGGTGGGCTTGGTGGGTTCGTAGAGCTTGCTTGGCTCAGTGGGATAACTGGGCTCGCTGGTGTCCGGCTCGCTCGACTCGACAGGCAGTTTATTCTTCCTGTTCTTGTACCATTTATACGCCAAGTACGCCATATTCGATCTTTACTCGCACGCCGGCGACAAACAGAAAGTGCTGAGGGGACTCGATCGAGCACTTAAAGTGCGAGGTTAATTGTCAAAGAACCAGCAGCGAGAACACACAGATGGTAACCCTGATCTTATAAAAGGGCGAGCCGTTAAGCCGCACAGCAATGATAATGATGTATGTAGAGTGTACAAATGTGTTTATGATTTATCTTGCCAACAGCGAGAGAAGAACATGGTGACGGCCTCGGGTTATATACAAGTGCCGGGCAGCCAGCTATCAACAGCGGCTCATCTAACTCCGCCACAGCCTCACGGAGAGCGGAGACAGGGACGAGACAGATGCGGCGGTGACAGGGAGAACGCAACTCATTACGACGCCAGAAGGATCTTTGGGTGGAGAGCTAAGGGTATGAATCATCCAATATCAAAGCCCTACGGAATGCCCAGTGAAACCCGTTTAATCGTGGCAAAGAAAAAGGAGAAATTAAGAAATATGTAATATGTAAGACGCACATATAAATCGTCCGCAACGCATCAAATTTCCTGTTCTGGATACAAAGCGCGAAAAGGCCGACGACATGGTGACCTAAATACGGTTTAGCGGTAATTGTTGAGTTTTGTGGCAGGGCAGGAGCTACTGGGGTTAGTGTAGCCTAATGTGGACTAGTTTAGACTAGCGAAGTGGATTTTTGCACAGCTTACAACTTCATGGTACCCCAAATACGGTTTAGCGTGATTCCTTGGGTTGATTGGCGCCGGATAAGCTTTGTGACGGTTTGGGCGGCTGAGGGTCCAAGAGATAAGCGCTAGTCATGGCCTGAAAATCCAGGGTCAACATATCCCCTCCTCGTCACCATCGACACGCCAAGCCACGCGGCCAAGCCCTTTACTCTACAGTGCAGTGTGTCGAATAAGATCTCATAACTACCTTTATTTCCTTCTTGAGACTGGATTGCCCAGAGGCTGAACCCGGAGTACCAGAGCCATGCCCCAGTTCGTGCTCATTTCCTGAGTGCGGCCAAAGGTGTCAGCTGTATTAGGGAGGATTCAACGAAGAGGGGAGGGGTAAGAACAGAAGCACTGTGTCAAGGAATAGGGAGACTGAGAACTGAAACTTCGAGCAGGGAGTAAGGACAGCAGTGTCAAGCAAGAAAGAGGCCGAGAACAGAAGTATCAACCGCACGGGAAACTATAGTGAGGAGGCAAGGATCTAAGAAGGAGATTAAGGAAAGAGGGATCTCAAAGGAGCCGCTGCAGTACAACACCAGTACAACAACCACAGTACGCCACAATGGTCTACTGCGGTAAACCCTCAGGGGCATGTCACGCCTGCCGAGAGCGCCGCACCCGCTGTGACAAGCTGCCAGACGGCTGCACCCAGTGCACAAATGCAAAGCGCATGTGTCCCGGGTACCGCGCCATGGGAGATGTGCTCTTCAAGGACGTCACTATCAATGTGATCCGCAAGGCTAAGGCAGGCGAGGTGCGCGCGAAGCAAGCCGCATTGAGATCAAGCCCTCAATCATCTACCCCACAAACGCCTAACGCCACAGCCGACGATGACAGCGATCCGTCCGAAGATGGTATGGAGGTCGTTGCCCAGGCCACCCCGCTGCAGCACTTCTCATTGGTCCCTAGCGTTGAGGAGCGCGCAACGGGACTCTTTGTAGCCAACTACGTTTATGCGCTTGATGGCTACACTCGTGGTCATCTAGACTACCTCACAGATGTCTTCAGAAAGGACAGTCTCGATGAAGGGCTCCTCTCCAGCATGAAGGCTGTGGGCCTCGCCGGCTTTGCTCACACCACACGCTCTCCTTATCTTATCAAGAACGCGCGCTGCCAATACATCAAGGCGATCCAGCACACGAACGCCGCCCTGCGTGATCCCAGCACCGCAAAGAAGGATGCCACACTCCTCACGATCATCATCCTCGGCATATTCGAGTCGGTCACCGGCGGCTCGCTACGTTCCCTCCGCGACTGGGTCGCCCACGTTATGGGCGCCTGCGACGTCGTCAAAGTGCGCGGCCACAAGGGAATCGAGTCCATATCTGGCCGCCGCATGCTGCTCCAGGTCACCTCGAACCTGCTGATCTCGTGCGTCCAAAAGGCTGATCCGGTCCCAGACGACATCGCCGAACTGATCTTCACCGCTATCAACACTGTACGCACCAAGGACTTGGTCAACAACATCCAGTCCAATGAATCCGCCTTCCTCGTCCTGGAGTGCATGATTAAATTCGCCAAGTTGCGCTCCGACGTCGTCCATTGTCACGAAACGGACCCACTAGTCATATACGTCCGGTGTATCGAATTAGACACTATTCTAGAGAACCTGTCCAACAACCCCCCTGAGCACTGGCGCATCCACACCGTATTCACGGACGCCGCGCCGGATTTCATCTACAATGGCCGCTACCACATCAACACCGACTACATAGTCTCCCAGTCATGGAACGCCCTCCGCATCGTCCGTTTCATGCTCAACGAGATCGTCCGCGACTTGCTCACCCCGGGTGCCACTGTCCGCGACGTTCCCACCTCGGGCGCCACTGAGTCGTTGCCCCTCCACACCCCCCTCACCGGCCCCGAGTTCGAAGCTCAGCGGCTAAAATCTATCGCCGCCATGTACGAGGCCCAAGAAGGGATCCTATACAGCGTCCCACAGCACACCGATGCCATACCCGATCGCGGGGGTAGTGGTGCCAGTACCAACTCACCTGTGCGTACGGTGTGGTCGGATTTCCGCGACCGGCCAGGAGAAGAGAAGCCGCTTGCGAAGATCTCGGGCGCGTTGTTCTTGATCTGGCCTCTGTGGTTTGTGGGGATTAATGATACGGCGTCGGATGAGATTAGGAGGTTTGTGGTGAGGAATCTGAGGATGGTGGGGGATCGGATGGGGATTAAGCAGGCGTATTTGTTGGCCGACGCGGTGGAGTCGCATATTGAACTGAGCGTGTCACTGTAGATGGGTGTGACTGGAGTTTTGGGGGGTTGACGTTTATTCGCGCCAACGATTTGATTTGATGACTGATGAATATACCGAAGAAGAAAGATACTGAAGCTACATAAAGAGTCTAAAGAGGGACTGACTATGCACAATATAAAGTGCTTATAGTAACTGTTATTGGGATGAAGGCGCTCAATTATTTATGGGTATAATTCTTATATCATAATTATATTATTTTTTAATGGGCCATTTACTAGAAAATGAACTCGAGCTTAAATTTTATACAACAAAGCTGCTCTATGCCAAGAATACTGGGCGAGGGGCTAGTCGCTTAAACTGGTTACCTATTTAAGCACTTTGATCCATCCTCCTCCAACTACACTTCCTTCCACACAACGTCTAAAGTTTACTTAATAAGCCCATGCTAGAAATACCAATAAATATCGAATACAAAGATCCGCATTGATCTCGCAGTCTTGCAGCATGTCTGCTCTAGCACCTTGGCTTCAGCGGAAGTTCCGTCACGCTCGAAGCAAATATACAAAAGAGAAAGAGCCAGGCATTCCCAAGGGACTTCCAGTTCTCCCCGAGTCATACCGGGATTTGTGTTTTGATCCGTTTCCATCTCTGAGCCCATTCTTCCAGAAACTGCCCTTGGAAATCCGCCGCACAATATATCTGGCTGCCTTTGGAAACCGAACTCTCCACATGGATCTTCAATACAGACACCCACACATTCCTGGTTCCTTGCACGCAGGACTCAATGGCGAAGACAATCTTTTTGATGTGTCAATTCCAAAGTCATGGCTCTGGTGGAGCTGTGTCTGCCATCGGAATCCGTATCACCAACATGACCTATGGTTGGACCACTGTAGCATCGGCGCCTGCTACTGGAACGACGGTTATTGTCGGGCTGATGAAACGGGACCGCGCAATGATTGTTACGTGGGTGTGATGGGATGGATGGTGTCGTGTCGCCAAGCGTGTGTCTATCCATCCCATTATCAATCTCATTATGCTTATGCTTGTGTTTATTTTTATTAATTCCTTCGCTAGGTACACTGAAATACTCCCAATTTTATACTCGGACAACACAATATATATTCACAGCGTTCCGTTCAGCAGCCATATCTTAAGGATACTACCGCTGCAGAATTTAGCAATGATGACGTCTTTAGAATTCATGTGGGATCTTGACACTTCTCCGGATGTAATACCATGGGTCCGTAGCGAGGATGTTGACAAAGTCAAGCTTAAACGTTGGAAGGTCTTCAAGGACTTGATGTCAATGATTAACAAATCAACCTTCCAGAGTCTACAAAAACTCGTCCTTGTTATTGTTGACAACAGAGATGGGCGGAGATGGTTCCCCGACGAAATCATGGCTGCGTCCCAAACGAAACCGCCTCAATTCATTCTCTTGGACCCGCCAGATCGAATTGCTAGGGAGTTTGGTGGGCAGCTACAGAAATTCGAACTCACCCTTCCTTACGATAGGGCTGCTGACCTCGAAAGTAAGCTGGTGGATAAGATGGATAAAACTCAAGTTATAATGCGCCATCCCGGACTTGCTATGATCCGGAAATTCTGGAGATCAATACCTAAGCAGCTCCCAATCCACGAGGAACTCGGTTTTTCTGGAGAGCTTGGGTACTGGATCATACACGGACATTGTTTATCACCAGGTATCTGGACTTGCAGCCTTGGTACTGGACGAATCACGCCGCCGAACTACTAGTACTGAAGAGTGCAAGTAAGGATTTTTAGACGCTGTAAATAGAATATCGACTGAGATTATAATATGAAACTGCTAGCATTAATTTGTTTTAGCTATATCAAGCCCAAAAAATAAATAACGATATATAAAAATGGCAAAAAAACAACCCACGCCAACAACGAACGCTACAGTATGTAAACATCATAAGTCAACCTCCCTCACCCCAACCCCCCCCCTTTAAGCCTCCTTCAAAACCCCCCCCTTCCCCACCGGCCTCGCCTCCAACTCAATTTCCTCTCCTCCCCCCGCCAACCTCGCATAACTCGGCGGCGGCGTCTCCGGCATCTCACTCACCCTTTCCCCCCTCTCCGCATGCCTAAACCCATCCTCCGCCCCTCCTCCCCGCACCTCCTCCCCATCCACTCCCCCCCCAACAACCTCCTCCACATCCTCCGCCTTCCTCCTCCGCTGCGCCGCACCACACCCACTCTCATCCTGCCCCGCACGATACCGCTTCTCGCCTCTCGCGGGCTTCTTCCGACAACACGCGCATGCTGCGCCTGCAGCTCCGACACCAGCTGCTGCGCCTGCTAGGGCCATGCTGTTGCCTTGTAGTCCGGCGACTAGGCGGGGTTTTGGGGGAGTGGAGGAGTCGTCGGCGGATGGGGTGGTGGTGGGGGAGAGGGGAGTTGCGGCTGCGACGGCGAGGAGGAGGGAGAGGGAGGCGGTGGTGAGGAGGGGGATTTGCATAGTGTATGCGGTTTGGGGTGTGAGATTGTGTGGGTTTGAGGTGGATGGTCGTCGTGGTGGGGGTGAGGTTGCTTGGATTGTAGTACAGGAGAGTTTATGGGTGGTAGGAGTACTGGTGTACTGGTATATATGGGGTAGGAGACTGAGGTTGTATTGGAAGTTGGATTGGGGGTATTCATTATTTATCTGGTTCACCCCCCTCTTCAATTATCACGGTGAGATATAGACCAATATATCTTTGATTTCCTCAAACTACCACTTTGACGCGTGGCCTACGCACGTAAGTAGTTGGTGTACGCGGTTTTCTCTTGGCTGTCGCAGGATTTGGGTGGGTAAGCGCGATTGTGGCTTAGCGGACTGATCCCTCCCTCCTCAAACTGCATCCATCATCCATCTCAGCTACTGACCTGTCAATGGATGCCCTTTTGTGGAAAATAAATATTTGAATTTCTTTGTGGATTAATTTTTATCAATTATTTGGCGGCTAAACCGGTTTCTACGTATCAAATGACTTTGTGTTGCTTTCTATATGGCGAGGCGCTTTCGACATCTTTCTGGTATCGTCATTGTCGCCCTTTACCTGAACTGAACTCCATCAACACCATCAACACCATCAACTCCCGCTCGCATTTCAACCCTCTATTTACCCTGGCCTCCTCTTATTGGTCTGTCACTACACGTACGCATAGTTATGCTCCTAACTAGTTCCCCCCAAACAACCCAAAAACAGACCGAACTTTTCGCCAACAGCTTCATCTATCCTGTAGGTTGGTAAGTTTTCATTTTGTCAAAGAGTTGTTTGCTATTTGGAGAATCGTACCTAACAATCCTTCGAACCTTGGAACCCTTCCTAAAAAAAAAGTGACTGTGCTTCACAGCTCCTATGTACAGCCCTCACTCAACCCCAAGATGGTCTAGCAATGCAAGCGCATTGCCAGGTTACTTCCTGTCGGCACCGTATCAAGGAACGTCCGAGAGAACTCCAGAAATCTGTGCACATCTTTGAAGTTGGACATGAGGCCTACCGAGATGCGGAGGGCGCCAGAAGTAGAGATGCCGATGTCAGCCAGGAAATCATCCCACTTCTTCCGCTTGCCGTGCGCAGCCTCGTGTTGCCATGCGCTCTCAAACGCCTCGAGAAGCGACTCTTTTTCCAGGTTGAACGCAGCCTCACTGGCGCCAGGGTTGCAGAAACACCCAGAGCGCAAGGACAAATTAATCTTGTTTCCACGCTGCTCAACTATGCGCTCGTCAACCACGTCACCGTTTGCGTCGATATAGTTGAACGCAATTGTTCCGCCGCGCATATATACGTCTGTCGGACCATAGAACCTGATCAGTGGGAGCCCAGACTGATGGCAGAGCGCGAGCATCTCTTTGAGGAGCCAGTCGGTAAGGCACATGACGCGAAGATGGACAGCATCCCTGCCGACGTCCTTGAGTTGACGGAGGCCGATGTGAACGGCTGGAAGGTTCAAGAAGTTGATTGTGCCATCTTCAAAGCCCTCGTGGTGGTCAAGGAGGACGTGGCCATCGCCCAGGGCCGAGCTTCCCCAAACGGTTCCACCAGCAAACGCTGGACGCTTCAATTTCAGCAGGGAATCCTTGCGTGCAATCAGACACCCGACGCCGGTTGGGTAACCGAACATCTTGTAGAAAGATATTGGTACAAAGTCGGGGTGCCATACCGAGAGGTCGAGGCGGTTAGTCGGTACATAGGCGGCGGCATCGAGACAGACGAGGCAACCCTGAGCTTGGGCAGTGGCGATCCACTCGAGTGGGTGCTGAACACCGCTGAAGTTGGACTGAGCGGGGTAGGCGAAGAGTCGAGGACCGACAGGGCCATCAAACTTGGGTTTAAGAGCTTCCTTCAAGGCAATATCGCTCACACGGAGGTCGGATGTCAGTGGGACATAGGTGGTTTTGGCGCCCTTTGCGCGTGCGAACTCGCGGATACCCTGAACGGAGTTGTGGTTGTCCATAAACAGGATGTACTCGCTCCTGGAGTCGAATGGGAATGCCTCTCCGACAAGTTTCAACGCGCCAGATGCGTTGGCAGTGAAAATCACGCAGTACTCCTCAGGTGACGCCTTGAAATATTGGAGGACACAGGCACGGGCATACTCATCCAACTCTGTCATGGCGCTTGATGTTGGGTTGAGCGAATGCGGGTTCCCAAATATGTTGGTACCGAGAAGATTCTGGTGATGGCGGAGCTGTCTGCTGGAGTATAGCCCAGCACCAGTATAATCGAGGTAAATGTGGCCCTGGAGATCGAGAATGGGGTACTCAGACCGGCGGACTTCGTCAATGTGCGAAGTGGCCTTGTATTTTGGATAAGCCTCCAAGAAGTTCTTCTCATCCTGTTTGTGGGCTTTTACCCTCCCGGGGATCCCACTGATGCAAGAACCCATGATTACTTCGAGAGAGACTGCAGTGCAAAAGTTGAAGAGTTCGAAAAGATTTTTTATATGGGTTGTTTAAGGGGAATGATTACTCCCATGAAGGGTCTGAAGGATGAATGGGATGGATGAGCAAGGTGACAGTTGAGTGAAGGGGCAGGAAATGTCCAGTGCTTTATCATAAAGGCGATGAAGGGTGCTTTTAATTCGCATCCCTGCAAGTGCCCAGCCCTTGTACACCACACCACACGGTGCGCAAGGTGCTTATGCATAAGTACCGGCTAATCGATCGCTACATTCTTTTCGCTCGCCTGCCACATCCGATACACACTTGTGTTGGTACCAGCATTGACATTGGTGGTGGTGTTGGAGGTTGCTTACAGGTGCTTCTATAAATATGTGTTACATTCGCTTCAACTCTCCCATTATGTGCATGGCCAAGCCACTTCCGCCCCTCCACTTCGACAACGCTGGGAATTGGACATACAGAGCCCACTAACTAGGATCGGCAATCCCGCCAACGCATTGCGTTAGTAATCCTACTTTTGCTGATCAAACGGGGCTGCTGATGCTTCTCTTTCACTAGCAAAGACGAAATGGAATGACCTTCCCGTGATAGTTAGAGTAGGCGATGGCTATGTCTCTAAAGCCCGTGGCGGAATGTGCTCATGCCGCACTGCACATAGAGTAGCGCTGAAATATGGGGATCTATGATTAGAACCAGGGATCAGAGGATCCAGCTCGGCAGTGCCTACGACAGACCCGGTCCACATTGATTGGCATGGCTGAACTGACAGCTGAACTGACAGCAGAGTGCTATTTTGCCCCAAGGCTAAAACAGCTTACATAGAGTGTTTGAAATCTGGTTTGAAATCCAACACAAAATAGGGCACAAATTCAAGTACTACCCACAGATGGGTATCCTGGTAACGTAATCTGCTGTGTTATGCTGGGGATTCTCCACGACACCATGGCAGCGCCACATTAACACGACATCTCCGTGTGGAACCACGGAAAGTTGCAGCATCGCCAAACGACAGGTTATACGCCGTTCCCCAACAGGTACGCTGGCAATATTGCAGGAACTGTGGATTCTGGCCAGATCGAAATTCCAAAACCCAAAGTGAGGGAAGCGTCAAGGACAGGAAAGCACTCTACTCGAGTCCTGTCATACTCTTATGCAGTCAGACACAGTCAGACGCCAAGAAAATCAATAATCCGATATATTTTGCCTACCCATAGTCAATTTATCCCAACCCGGCAACTCAGCCCCGAACGAGCGGGCCCCTGCCCTGCGCGCCTACCAAACGGTAGTGGCGTGCGGGGTATTCCCGCCCGCCCGTTTGATCACTAAAAGGACGCTAGAAACCCCCACTTACAGCGGTTAGCCCGCTAGATCGTCGTCCAGATCACCCCAAGAGCACAACAGGGGTTCATTCCCATTACGTGCACGAGCGTGACGGGCAACACCGCCGACCTCGCATGATGCTGTGCGGCGTAGGACTAGAGTATGGCAGCTTCCAACGCCCGACTACGAAGCTAGAAAGGGCGCGCGCCTGTCTCTCGCCTTGTCTTGAGCTCTGCGAGGTTGGTGGTGGCAATGTTCTAGGTCGGTGATTCCAGGAACCACCCCCCCTTGCTTCGTCCCAAGGAGAATGTGGTTCCTGTCTGACCGCCATGGTAGCCAACCAGCACACAAGATGTGGCATGCTGACCTCTGTGGCGCCTACTCCCCCCTCGCATTTTTCCCATACATGATCTCGATCCGTTTCCTTGGGCCCGATGGGTGCTACGCAACTGCTTCGATACTGCAAATTCCCTCAGCCCCAGCGGGGCTCTAAGATAGAAGGCATGCGCTGCATGTGAGAAGTAAGAGCGGAGCACGTCGTATACCGTCTGGCATGCGCAGGGTATAAGCAGGTGACTTGCCGTATTCCAAATTGGAGCGAGACAGCATACTGATCACCGAACAAACAGCAGAGCCACCGGTGATGAGAGATAATGCGGGGGATATGATGGTTCATCGGGATCGGCGATGCCAAGCAAATACTGTAAGTAAGGAGGCTGGCTACTTACAATCGCTTCCAGTATCGCTACAGACAACCGACGCCGCAGCATCGTTCTCAGCACAGCTGGGTATCTGCATTGCTTTCGCTGTTACACAACAGCTCATCGATGGCATATCGTGCTTAGCATGGTTAGCCGTATTGCTCGCATTACTAGTGTCACCACGGCAGCTAGCTAAGTCCGCAGCATCGTGCTCAACACGGTTGGCTATAGCGCGCGCTATGCCTGTACCACCTCACGCAATTGAGGCGGCAGCATCGTACTTATCACAGTTGGGTATAGGCGTTCGCGCTGTATCACCACAGAGTATCTATCAGCATTATGTTTGGCATGGTTGGATATATGAGCTCCCTATGCTCGTGCTACACTCAATTGGGGCGACAGCATCGTGCTCCGCACAGATGGGTATATGCACTTGCTCTGCCGGTACCACAGCAGATTATCAAGGCAGCATCTTGCTTTGCGCTGTTGGACATTTGCGATTTGTTTGGAAGTGCCACTCACCGCCGGCAACTGAACGATCTCATCGCCCCTAAGATCGGGCGGCTATCTACAGTATTGAGACAGAGCCGGCTACCAGCGGATTGAGCCATTTACATCGTCTGCGAACCTATAAGTGATCTACTATGGTTCGAGTGAAGTGCAATTTCTGTAAGAATATATCGATTGCCCCTTTGCTTGTGGGGGGGCTAGGTGTACAGCAGCACTGTGTCGGGGTGTAAATATCTAGAATAAAAGGAGGCTGGTGTATACTATCATGCACTTGTCACGTCCTACGAGAACACCGGTTATGGAGACCCCCACGAGCTCTGTGTTGCACTTTGTCGCGGGTAAAGCTCTGTTTCTCCAATATTCCTGCTGTTCACGCGTGATTTCTAGAATTAAGGGATAATCAGGGTTCACTCTCTCTCTCGCCCCATCTCGTGGGAACACCAACGAAAGGAGAACCCACATAGACACGTACACATCACGTTTTTTATTGGTAGGTTTCTAGCTTTCCTTAATTCTGGGGTTACAAGCGTATAGTCGGTGACTGACATTGTGCCGATATCTGATGGAAATTCTCCACTCCCTCGCCACGTCTAATAGACACCCCGACGAAAGGAGCCCCACGTGAACTATACTGTATTTTGTGTCAATGGAATGATATTCTCCTTTATTCCGATTTTCAAGGCGCATAGTGATATGGTACAGAGACTCAGAGGCATGTGAAAAGTTTCTAAATTCGCTATTTAAGCTAGGACCAACCCATCCATTCCCCTATCAAAACATTCCCATATAATATTGTGTCCTTCACAATGTCATCATCTGCATGCAGTCCAAACTCCTGGTTGGCTCGAGCACATGATATTGACTGTGGGACTTTACCTCTGTCAGAGATTCTATGGATGATCTAGGATTTGCCAGGAAATGGCCTTTGGTTTAGGCGTTTCATATGCCTATGACATTTGGCTTACTGGTTTGGTGACCAGCTGACGAAAGAGCGGAACTTGGGGTTTCAGCCACCTCCTAGAAATCTAGTATATAGTCAAGTAGCCCATCAAGATAGATAGATAGTTCAATCAATTTTATGTATCCATATACTGTATTTACTTGTGATACTCGTGGGCAGCGTCTGCGCATTGGGATTCTTTGGGATACCGGGTATTATCACCCGTTTTTGGGCGTGGAACACCATATTCCCCAACCACCTCCAACAGGTCCGTGCCTCAAACCCCTTCCCAACAGCATCTACAAATACTCACGCAGTTCAACTCGCATTATTCCAATAGCAATGACTGTTTGTTACATACCTCAGAGTAATCATACTCACCTATATTGTAATAATGTGCGAGCCTGAATCATGAACTCTATTTCCAGGTTAGCGCAACTGTTTCTAAAACGACCACCATCGCCTCTCCACCAGATCCCTATCGCAGGCTTCCATGTGCTTAACAAGGGACAGCTGATAGAAGAGGAGACGCTTCCACATTATTCACCAGCTCAATTCTTTCCCATTAATATTGGTGAGGTTTTAAATGCTAGATACCCAGTTATTGGGAAACTAGGGTACGGCGGAAACTCAACAGCATGGCTTTCCAGAGACTTGAAGTAGGTTTGTATTTCCCTAATATACAGGATATATTACTGACCGTTAGTATAGGGAGCATAAATATGTTACTGTGAAAGTTTGCAGACTGGAATGCGAACAAGTCAGAAGAGGGATCGATGTCTACAAACACCTGGACACTCTCGCAACAAGTCACGTTGGTGCTCTACTTATTCGGGACATGGCCGACTCATTTGATATCAGCAATGCACATGGAAAATATCCATGTATTGTGCATAAACCGTTGTCAATAAGTTTGGCCCAGTTACGAAGTAAATGCCCAAATCGAAGGCTCCCTGTGAATGTGTTGAAACCTGCTCTTGTCCATATTTTTCTGGCGCTCGATTTCCTGCATTCGGAAGCGAACATGGTACACACAGGTAAGAAAGATACGCGGTTCATAAAACTAATGATGTCGTTTGTTCCTAACAGATTTGCAGACTTACAGGAGAGAAATATAATCCTAGGTATCGAGGATGACTCCATCCTCGAGGAATTTGCGAGGAGCGAGTTGAGACATCCAAGTCCACGGAAAGTTGATGGAGACCGCATTATCTACAAATCAAGAGACTTGGTGATTACAAAAAATCCAGGGCGACCAGTAATCACGGATTTTGGAGAAGCTAGAATAGGTCAGCAGACTTATGATGATGATATTCAGCCATTCCAGTACCGGGCCCCTGAAGTAATTATGGACATGCCATGGAGCTACAAAGTCGATATCTGGAATGTAGGTGTCATGGTAAGTACCAGCCGTGTTCTATTTCATTTGTATGAGCGTCCAGTTGACTTTGCCCTTTCCTTTAGATTTGGGATTTGTTTGAGGACAAGAATATGTTCAACACAAGAGGACCTGATGGTGTCCCTGATAGTTTGTATCACATGGCACATATCACAGCGCTTTTAGGGCCAGCACCACTCGACTTTCTCGAGCGCAGCCGCAGCGAGAGAAGGCAGGAATACTATGATCCGAAGGGTGAGTGAATACTGACATTGTCATTATGACGACCTGTGTTAATGATAGTGTCTATGAAAGGGATAGTTTTAAATCCTCAAAATGTAATATTTAATTAATCCGACTTTTTGAGAAACCATGCTCCGCAGAGATCTGTTTTGCGTCTGCCCTTTCCCCTTTATATGTGGGCAACAAGAAACTGCAGCTTGCTCCATTAAACCTTATACGAGTCAAGTACGTCAGACCTACCAATGTGAATCAATGGGCTTAATATAACCCATAGATATATGAAGGGAGAAGCCAAGCATTCCATTAACGGCCAATTTTGAACAAATGGGTTCCAGCTGTCAACCACCTTCGTCCGAATCCGTTCCTCTATCGTTACCCATAGAGAATAATACTGTATCTCAAAACGTAAACCGAGACATCGCTGGCCATATAAAAGCTTAATTTTGTATAAACTCAGCTTTAATTTGTCTTAACTCAGCTCTCACAAAAGCCAGCCCTGAGTGCGGTGGTCCGGCGATCGCTGCCCCATTTACGGCCGCTTCACATTGTCTCAACTCAATTCAGCTCCCACAAATACTCGTCCTACTTGTAGGAGTCGGATAATTGACGCCACGATATTTAAAATGGCCCAGATGACTGCAATCTACGGCCTGGGCGGAGAAGAGCCCAAGATGGAGCAGTTTGTGGTGTTTCAGTAGAGCCCGGAGAAAAGTATAAATGATATGAGAAATCCCTCTGCACGGCGCCTCCTTCTGCCACAATCAACAGCATACACTAATTCCACTAACAAAATTTCAACAACTATTTCCAACACTTCCGAATAATGTTGGGCCCCAATGTTTTCAGCGTAGCAGCGTCTGCCCTTCTCGTCGGCGGTGCACTTGCCCAGAAAAAGACTATCCCAGCCTGCTGTTCAGTTCACACCACCAACAAAATATTGCGATGTAAGTCTGTGCAGTCTAATCTATCTCCTTCCCCCATCCTGGCTTGCCTGTAGAATAAAATAACCCGAATACCGCGATCTTTCTTGTAAAACTGGACTAAGCCAATCATACACCGTAGGTGAATACCCACAAAAATTTGGCTGTCTCCAGAATGGTTTCAAAGCCACTTGCAATGCAGCATATTTTGATGTGAACAGGGTAGGTCTTTCTTCGCTGTTTCTTGGCAACTTCAACTTTACGGGGTTCATTGCTAATCTGAGAAAATTACCTATAGGAAGAGAAACAGTTGAACCTTGTTGCTAACCGTGACTGCACTCAAGATAAATAATTATAAACCATGGATGTACTGTTGTGAGAATGTGAGAGTGACGGGGAGTGGTAGCATTTTAGGTTGGGTTGGATGGGGCATCAAGCAATTAAACATGATTTCTCTCGGAATTCAACATTCCTCGTATATGAGCCCACAAATCTATTAAGCTGCGTGTCCATTCTGCTTTTAAAATGAATATTGTTCACTACCTGTGCCGTACATGTAATGGTATAAAAGGGCACAAATAACTCAGCACCAGTGACAGACGCCAAGCCGCACAAATAACTCGGTGCTAGTGAAAGACGCTGTGGCGTACCAACACATGGGTGCTTTGATTGGATGGACGGCTATCGAGACACATATTGAGTTCCGCGTCTTCGAGACCACCACCCATTATAAAAGACTAGCTGTATAATATCGTAAAATCTTCTTCAAACTTGACCACCAATTTAATCCACCGCGTTAACTCACTCACTACCATGGCAAAATCTAAGACCAGTCAAAAAGCCACGCCTTCGTGCTGCGACAAACCGAAGGAGGCCTCGTCTTCGCCCGACAAGGCTGATGCATCCTCCCCTGACTCCGCCAACAAGCAAGAGAGCCTCGCTTTCCGTATCCCAACAATATCCCCGGTTCTATCCGCGCTCCTCCACAGCTCATGCTGCTGGCTTCCTGTAGGCTGTTCCCGTCCACCTTTGATCGCGCATCTTCTAACCCCACCAGACTCTCCTTGATCTCACCTCCATTGGCTCCGCCTCAGTGGCGTCCATCGGCCATCTGAAGCCCATTTTCGCAGCGATCACCGTGTGGGTGCTCATGGATAGCTTCCGTCGGGAGGGCGCCACCAACCGCAACGTGCTCAGGGCACTCATGTCGGGGTTCCTCCTAATCCTCCCAATGATCTTGAACTTGTCCCATCCGGGCGCCTCTGCTGAAACGTCGGGGAAGAGCTGTCATTAGGTGCCGTGTTGATCAGTGGAGAATTGGGTCCCGAGTCGTCACGTGGGATCTATTTATCTTCGATGCGGAGAAGTTGTCATACTTGACGCGACGCACATGACTTTGGAGTCCACCGTGATGGCATTTTGAGGGCGACTGGTCACTGGAAAGTCTGCAACCACGCGTTTGTATCAATTGGCGTGTAGCTGAGAGCAGGAGCCGGCAGGACGGGTTATTCTATGCGGGGAAATCAGCTTCGCCTATGACCGCTTGTGATGGATTTGGTAATGTTTTAATTGTTGTGGGGGCTCTAAAGGACTATATTTGCTAGGGATTTGAGAGAGTGGCTCGTTGGCTCGCAAATGCGAATGCATCTGGAAGTGGTGGCTTGGAGTCATGCGGTTGGAACGGGTCATATCGCATCACTGTATTGTATATTTGTGTATTGAGAACAGACGAAGTTGGTGGAGGTATTCGCTTTGGTATCACTATAAACTCTTTAATACCATCATATGTCTTCCCATCATCCCGCCGAGTATTAGTCGAGCCCCCTAATGTCCATATATCCGAGGCCGTCTCAGGTATTGCAAGGAAGTGTTCCCATGTGCAAAACTCCGCAGCAGAAACCCAACCATTGCTGGGAACTATGCATCCAACGCCCCTGAAAAAAACCGACTGCCCATTCCCTTTTTCCCTTCCCAGCCTTGTACCCTCAATCCAACAACCACGCCCTCCGCTTCTCCTCTTTCCTCGCCTTCCTCTTCTGCTTAAACTGCTTCACCTCATTCTTACTCAGCTTCTTCCCGCTCCTCTCCGCCTTCAGACTCCGCCCATCATGGCTATTCGCCGCCGCATCAACATCAAAGAACGCGTTCATCTGCCGCTTACTCTTATTCTCATCATTGAAGTTCTCCGGCGTCAAGTCCGCGGCCTGCCAGCGACCTGTAAACCTATTGAACGCCCCCGTAGCCGCATACGCCGCTGTCGGATCGACCATGCTCGCGTCTGCGGCTGCGGGAGCCGCCTCAGCAGGTTGTGCATACCACGCCGTCTCATCGTAGTCGCCATGGATCGCAGGGTCATACCCACCAGCAGCAGGCCGCGGCGGGGCTTCTTCTGGTATGGGCGTGGGCGCATCGACTCCAGGTGCCACGGCAGGCGCTGCCGTCGCGTCGGGCACACGCGGGTTCTCCCATTGTGTCGCTTGTGTGAAGCGGTTGTAGAAGTAGAATGACCCCGCCGTAGCATCCCATACTGGCGCCCAGCCGTCGTCTTCCTCCTCTTCTTGTGCTGGGGGCTCCTCGTCCGGGAGGGGAGGTTCTTCGTCGGGGAGAGGAGGCGCGGATGTGTCTTCGGGCTCCTTTCCCTTCCGTGATGTCGGTGCTACTGTGGGTTCTTCCGGCGACTCAGTCTCAGTCGGTAGTGATTCTGAGTTTGATGTGGCGTTATCTTGGGCTGGCTCCGTTGAGGCAGGGTGGTCGCCCGCACTCTCTTCGAAGTCCTGCGGTTTGTTGGGGGTGTCAGAAGTAGGAGTAGCCATTTCTAAAGTCTCTTGTAGTGATTAGTTGTCGCATATGGAGCAATCTAGAGAGATCTAATGTTGCACTTGAGCAAACAAATCAGCTCTGATTCCGTGGATGCATGTAACTCTATAAATTCACGGTCGCACTTGGCGCCCGCCAGTGACGAATTGGTCGCGAAATGCCGCTAATGCCCACCACCACGATCTGATAAGATAACAAATATAGGTGGCTGCAGGGAAGTCAGACAATGAAGTCAACGACAGCAACGGAACTGCCATAAACAAGCTGTCGCAAACTAGCTGTCGGTTTACCTTCAGTTTTCCTCCTCTCTATTCAAGTTCAAAGGGGATTTACAGATCGAAGCGCCCAACACCTCACCTCTAAGCAAGATGCAGCTCCCCACGACCATCCACGCCCCGCCATCCCTCGACTCCTTCACCCCGCTCACCGAACACCAATCAACCACCCCGAGCACCTTTTTCAGCGAAACACCCGTCCTCCACTACCACGGCCCGAATGCGCGCGCTCTAATTGCGCCCGAGCATCTGTCCGCTCTCCCAATATTCACCTCGGCGCAAAACAGCGTGGAAACCAATGCGCAGGCAGCCGCCAACGGAGATAAAGCCGAGGAGAATACCAATGGCGATGCGGCAACCCAACCTGCAGCCCAAAAGGTATTCCCGGTAGATATCTACGTCAGCAGCTCGTAAGACCCCTTTCTACCACTGCAGGAATCATAGCAAATCTAACATCCCTAGAAACCTCACCCTCTTCTCCGCAGCCACCTCCACCGGCGTCGAAATCCCATACCAATCCATAACCCTCCACGCCATCCAGCGCCTCCCATCCCCCACCCCCGAAGCCGACGGCGAGACAGTGCAGGGCCTCTACATGCAGCTTGATCTCGCGCCGCCGAATGACGAGGACGAGATGATGGACCCAGTCGAGCTGATCCTCCTTCCCCCGACCCAAGCGCAGCCCACCACGACTGAAGAGCCCATCAAGACCCTCTTCGCCGCCGTATCAGCTTGCTCGAATCTACACCCCGACGCCGCGGACTCAGACGAGGAGATGGGAGAAACGGACCGTATCGTCTTCGAGGGCTCAGTCGGATACGAGGGTATTAGCGGGCTACCAGGAGTGGTCAGTCTGCCTGGTGATGAGGGGCTACCACCACCATTCCCAGGGAGTGGGGGTTGGATCACGGCTGAGAATGTGGGAGATTTCTTCACGCCTGAAGGAGAGTGGATCGGCCGTGATGGAGACAAGGAGGAGGGGGAGGAGAATGCGGATGGAAAGAGGGAGAATGGCAGGAGTGAGGAAGGTGATGATCAGGGGGCGAAGAGGGCGAGGGTTGAATAAGAGGTGTTGGTTCTGCTGAAATAGTGAGCAACTGGGGTGAAAAGTTAGGATATAGCATGTTGTGGCGTAATGGTTGGGGCAATAGAAGCAGCAGGAGCGACCACACAAACGCTCCTTCCACAAATATGGAAAGGCAAAAGTAGCAGGAGCGATCTGGGGAATGCTCCTGCCGCCACCAAGCATCAATGCACCCATAGCTCCTTCCCACCGATAGCTCTTTCCCTCTGGTGGCTATTTCGCGGCTGATAGCTTCTTCCCGGCTGTACTATTTAATGGTATTACAGTCTGTGATCTTCAGGTGTGGATTATTTGTAGCACCTCCTGCCTATATCGCCCTACTATGCGTGACTTTTCCCATCCTGTACCCCGTATCCTACGCCATGAATCACGATCCCGCCTGCCATTACAACCCGAAAGCACCAATCCAAGCTTCTCCCCACCACCCCTACGCCACCCCACCCACCTCCTCCATCCCCTCCGGCACAGGCCCCCTAATCCTCCTCCCCCAAAACCTCATCAACGCCATCATCTCCCCTCTACTCCTCGGCATCCCATCTCCCCCCCTCTCCCACTTCACATACTCCACCGCCCCAAACCTCTCCTTGACCTCCCTCACCACCCCCGCCGTAACCACCGTCCCACTACTCCCCCCACACACCAACACCGGCGTCCTCGCCTTCCCCTCCCCGACGACAAGCGAACTCACATACCCCCTAACCCCCCCCATCGCACTCTTCGACCCCGCAATCCCACTCCCCACCACTATCACCCCCCCAAACTCAACACCAGGCCACGCCTCCACCACAGCTAACGCAACCATCCCTCCCTGCCCATAACCCAAGAAATGCACATCCCGCGCCACAAACCCACACTCACCCATCAACACCCCCAGTAACTCCCCCAACGGCCTCGCAGCCGTCGAAAACCCAGCATCGAAATCCAAAGCCCCCGTCCGCGAATCCAGCGACAGGTCATCGCCCCAGTGAAAGCCCGTCTCGTCTGTCCCAGTCATGAGAGCGGGGATAGGCGACGGCGCACGCAGTGATATGCATGCCGTATGTGGCAGAGAGAGCTGGGAAGCGAGATTGTGGAAAGGGGCGTTTGTGTCGCCCAGGCCGTGGAGAAGGATGAGGACTGAGCGTGGCGGGGTGGTGGGGGTCGGTGGCGGGGTGATGAGGATGGATGATGCGAGGGAAGGGTGGGAGGCGAAGTGGGAGGGTGTTGGGAGGGCCGGCATGTTGATTTTTGTGTCTCTCTGAGCTTCTGAGTGAGCTGAGATGGGAGTTGATGAAAGATGGTGAGTTGGGAGGGATGGCACGTGATATCAAAATCAGATATGTGTAACACGTGATTTTCAATCGTGGGGTTATATATATCACGTGACATGATCAGTTGAAGCTATTTATATCACGTGATCGTCTATACTAAGCAATGCTAAGCTTTAGCCAAGAAATCTGCCGAGGCGGCCCTTTGTTGCTTGGCTTGTGGCCGGTCAGCGTAGAATGTGGAATGACTGGGTATAATACAGCATGATAGCGGGGTAGATGGAGCACATGGAGCACATGGAGCACAGTTGCGCAGATCGATTTAGATCATCGAAGAGACAATATCTATCTCTACGGAGTTTAAGTGCTATTTATTCTCATATTCTGTCTATTATATCCTAGTTTATAGAGAGGCTTCTAGTGTATTATATATGCCATATTATACCCCTACAAACCCGCAGAGAATGCACCCCTCGCTGACTCGATGTTGCGTGTTTTCAGCTGTCCTACCCGCCCGTTGTTTGGCCCTGTTGGACGACTGGTTGGACTATCGAAGATCCACACGCTATTTATTGCATTGACCGCTCTAAATAGACAAACCGACAAACAGGATTATCCCCCTTCTTCTTCCCGTTTCCCTAGTTTCAGCTGTCGAGGGGCACGAAGGGGGACGGTAAGCTAGCATAATGAAGTATCGAATACCGAAGACCAGACATAACTGACGTGCTACGTAGTTGTACATTATACCTCAACCTCCTCAACCCCCCCCCCCCCTTCAATGGTTAGCTAATAGCCGCTGCACGGTGACTTAGGGATGGGGGTTGTCCTAATGGTCCTGATTCAATTCCCTCATTGGAAGCCACCTTCCGGCCGCTCTAACCGTGACGAATCCATGAATCCACCAGCCCAACCACTCGAAACGTGAATCAATCCACGCGTACTCACGGCGGCGGTGCTACTCGTATCCCCCTCCAGCTTACAGCTTAAATACCCTGCCTCACCCCGTTGCTCTCTGTCCTTCCTCTCTCCTCCCTCCTTCCCGTCAATTAGTTATCACCAGCTTCATATTTCACTTCAATTTCCAACTCTAATACCCAATACCCTTTTAAGAAACACTTCTCTTAAATCAACCGCAATCATGTTCGGATTCGGTGAGTCTCTAATCTAACCTCTCACTTCCTGAACCCGCCCTCCTACCCCTTCCCCCTCCATCCATGGCCACCCTCTAACACCTCCTAGGCGACGCCCACGACGACTACCAACAGGCCTACAACACTAACGACAACACTCCCAACGAGGCCAAGTTCTCCCACGAGGCCATCGCCGGTGCCGCCGCCTTCGCTGGCTTCAAGGGTAAGCTTCCCCCCCACCCCCCAAACCCCCACCCCCCCCCCCCCCAAACAAAGCTAACCCACCCCCCCAGCCTTCGAGGACAAGCAGCGCAAAGACGGCAAGCCCGTCTCCCACCAGTTCGCCAAGGAGCTCCTCGCCGGCCTCGCCGGTGCTGAGGTCGACCGCCTTGCCGAGACCAAGGGCATGGACTTCTACGACAAGGAGCGTGCCCAGCACCAGGCCAAGGAGAAGAGCCATGAGCTGTATGACCAGCACTACGGACAGCATGAGGATTATAACCCTCAGCAGAGGGATGCGCCGCAGGAGGTGCAGCAGTATGGGAGGTGGTAGATTGGCTGGGCTGGGCCTGGTTGGATCGAGGAGATAGGTAGTCATGAAATTGACATCCTTTGTGAACATGATTGATAGTTTGGAAATTTGTGTGTGATTGTGTTCCAGTGCTCTATTCAATGCCTAGAGCTAGACATGGTGCGTCCAACGCCGTCCTTGTGTTCGATACATACAGTGGCTTCACCTTCAAAGCTACGAAATCTATTCGGCCACACTGTCACCACCAGCAACAGCCTCCCCCTCCACCACAGCATGTCCATTCGTCTTCCCCTCCCCCTCTCCATTCTCCGCCGCCAAACTCGCCAGCCTCGCCTTCTCAGCCGCCTTCGCATCCCTCTTCAACTGCCTATTACTAACCTTCCCATTCTTCCCCACCTCCTCCTTCCCCTTTACCTCCGCCGCCCTCGCCGGCCACAGCACAGCAGCCCTCTCCTCATCCTCCTCGCTCCACTCCACCGGCAACACCGCAAACACCAAGTAACTCGTATGCGTCTTGACTTCCTGCTCAGTCTTATGTATCAGATTCCCCTCCTTGAACGCCTTCCGCTCTATCAAGCTCGCCACGATCGCCTCCCGCGAATTAGGCTGCACCTTCTTCCCCTTGCTGTTCTCGTTGCCTGACGACCCCGAACTCGCGCTCTTATCCACAGGCTCAGAGCCGTGGAAACTCCGGAACCGACCCTCGATCTCGCGGAGTCGTGCAAGCGCTTCGTCTACGCTGGCGGCTGTGTTCTGCATCCCGTGGACGGCTTGGCCGTGGACGATGCCGACGCGCTCTCGGCGGATTTCTACGCGCCGTTGCTGGACCTCCACCATTTGGATCTGTACCCATCCCAGTTGTCGCATACAGGATATGGTGCGCTGCACTTGCTCGATACACGGCGAGAAAGTGCAGATATGCACCGGGGCGTTCGGGTTCAGTGGCGACACAAACGGCTGTGGTGTCTCGCCCGCTGGCAAGGGTATAGATAGAGGCTGCTCGCGCCGCGAGAGATGCGGAAGCGCAAGCCACGGCGCCGGAAGATCGAGGAAGATAGCCTCAGCGCCAGGCGACTGATCCGCATTCTCACCCACCAAGAAGCCCTTCCCACACACATCACGGTGCGCGATCTCCACCACGCCCTCTAACCCATGGTCCGCAAGCTCAAGCACCAATTTCTCGTGCCGTTGCGCATGGAACTCGTAGCTGAATACTCTTCCGAGGTTTCTCTCCGGCGCATCAGTGGATGGGTACCCGCTATACACAGCCCTCGCAGAGGCATGCGTGAACGACCCGCTCCCCGCTCCAGCTTCTATGATCTTGCTCCCTGGCCGCGCGCGAATCCGATGCAGAATATATGCGTAGTCGGGTGTATACACGACCTGCGTCCTATGCGGCAATGCGCTCGTCCAGTTCTCCGGCGTCGGGGGAAGAAGATGCACAAATCCACTCGCAGCAGTAACTGCCTGCGTTGGCTCTGCGCGCGCCGGCTCATCGTCGTCTCCGCCATCCTCGCGCTTGCGCTTTGCCGGCCGGCGTCCGCGCGATCCAGTATCGACTTTCGAGGCGCGCACTTGGCTGCCCCAGGGGAGCGAGGTGAGTGTGCTGTGGGGGAAGGAGCCGAAGCGCGTGTTGATTACTTTGCCTTCCGAGTAGCCCTCGTCGTCGTCGTCACGCTCGCGGAGGATGGTGGGGACTTGATGGTCGCGGCGGAGGTAGACGATGGCGAGTTCGTCTGTTTTGGTGGCATCTCCGGGGTGGAGGAAGGGGGAGAGTTTCGTAGGCATCGTGGGTGGGATTGGCACTGCTGAGCTGTGCGTGGGGGATTGAGGTTTCGTTCTTGGATTCGTTCGGTGGTGAGATTGCCCGCATTATTTTTCTCGCGAGGCTGGACCCGCGAGGCTGAAAGACGCACGGACCGCAATGTGTGGTGCAACTGGCGACATTTCACCAGCCCTGGCCTCGTGCATGAGAGGAGGGGTGAGTCAAATCAATAGACAAGACAGGACGACGCGCTTATTATATTATATATATGCAACGCTGGTTGGGAGTATCATGAGCGGATATTTATGCTTCACTCTCTCTATTTCCGAACCTTTCGAGCCCGCGTCAGCCTGAATCCGCGCCCTACAATTTTTTCGAGATACCGCTTTCGGAGCGCAAGCACAAGCACATTTCACATCATGGATCAGTTGAAGGTCCATAATTCGCTCCAGCCTGGGCCGCCAGTGCCTTTCGTGCCGATCGAGAAGGGGAAGATCAGTTGGTATGTCTGCGGACCGACGGTCTACGATCACTCGCACTTGGGGCATGCGAGGAACTATGTCGCGACCGATATCATTCGGCGCATTCTGAGAGACTACTTTGGGTTCAAGATCAACTTTGTTATGAACATTACCGATGTCGATGATAAGGTGGGTTTGATATGCCCCCGTTTCTGTGGTTGTGTTGGCGCGTGGAGGACTAACTGAATGCCCCCAGATCATTCTAAGAGCACGCCGTTCGAAAATTCTCGAGCGTGAGAAGGCCAAGTCTCTCTCAGAGTCGGAAATCTCGAAGCTCGGACAAGAGGCATTCCAGGCATATGCCAAGGGAAACCTACCAGCGTTATTATCGAATGGCCAGGAGCTCACCCCCGAGAACTATGCCCAGCGACGCGATGATGTATATGCGAAGGTTCTTGCTGGGGGAACTCTCACCGGAGAGGGGAAGCCAGGAGACGACGAGGCGAAGATGAAGATGCACTTGAGCGCACTCACAGTTTCAGCGGAGGCTCTACAAAAGGGAGAGGTTTTTGGCGGCGCAGACGAGATCTTATTGCCATATCTAGATTCGATTTACAAGGAGAGCATTGACTCGAAGGAACACTCTATTTGGACCGATGTTACACAGTACTGGGAGAAGGATTTCATGGGCGACATGGAGGCGCTGAATGTTTTGGAACCAGACGTCATTACGAGGGTTACGGAATACGTACCGCAGATCGCTGATTTCGTCCAGAAGGTTATTGAGAAGGGATTCGCATACGAGTCTGAAGGGTCAGTGTACTTCGATATCGCGGCATTCGAGAAGGCTGGCAACTCTTACGCCCGCCTGAGACCAGATAGCAAGAATGACCAGGCATTAATTGCGGATGGCGAGGGATCGCTGTCGAAGAGCCTTGGTGGCAAGCGTGGCGCGGGCGACTTTGCGTTGTGGAAGCGCTCAAAGCCTGGAGAGCCCAGCTGGCCCAGCCCGTGGGGTGAGGGTCGTCCTGGATGGCACATTGAGTGCTCCGTCATGGCCTCTGATGTTCTTGGCTCGCAGATGGACATGCACGCCGGTGGTATCGATCTTGCCTTCCCGCATCACGATAACGAGTTGGCGCAGAGCGAGGCGTATTACTGCGAGCACGGTCAGCCGCATACTTGGGTCAACTATTTCCTGCACATGGGCCATCTGTCCATTGCTGGCTCGAAGATGTCGAAGTCTTTGAAGAACTTCCAGACTATTCAGGATGCGTTGAAGACTGGATATACTCCGAGAGCCATGCGTATTTTGTTCCTCATGGGCAGATGGAACGACGGCGTTGAAATCTCGCCGGATATGAGGACCCAAGGTGACGGATGGGAGACTTCGGTTAACAACTTCTTCACCACCACCAAGTCGCTGATTGCTGAGGCAAGCGGCAAAGAGCCGCTGGAAAACCTTTCCTTGGGAGATAGCGCTACATTGGATTCTGCTCTGGAAAAGGCACAATCAGAGATGCAGGCAGCCCTCGCAGACTCCTTCGACACGCCAAAGGCAATGCGCTTGATATACGAGGTTGTGAAGGAGGCGAACATATACGTCAACACCCACAAAGCCTCCGTTGATGTTCGCGAAGTCGAAAAGGTCGCTCGATGGGTGACTAAGATGGTCGGAATCTTTGGACTGGATGCCAATGCATCTCCACCCTACGATGGCCTAGGATGGGCCACCTCTGCGTCGGACAAGATTACCAACCCTACCGAAGCCATTGTCCCCTACTCTTCCGTCTATAATTGTGTCGTATCGGCGATTAAAGACCTCAAGATCGAGTCGGCCTCTTTGGACACCCTACTCGCCAACGACACCAACGCGGAGTTCACATCCGTCGTCTCCACTGGCGCAAACGACATCCAAACCCTCTCCCTCCCCTACCTCCGCGCCGTATCCCGCATTCGCGACGAACTACGCCGCGTCGCTCCCACAGCTGCGGCCAAGAAGGACATTCTCAAACTCTGCGACGAGATCCGCGACACCGATCTCACGAATCTGGGCGTGTACCTCGATGACAGGCCCGATGGGCAGCCATCGCTGATCAAGTTCGTGCCGAAAGAAGAGCTGCTCGCCCAACGCGAGGAGAAGGCAGCAAAGGAGAGAGAGAAGGCGGCACAGAAGGAGGCGGCGAAGATGTTGAGGGAGAAAGCTGAGGAGGAGAAAAAGAAGAAGGCTAGCGTTAGCCCGTACGAGATGTTCAAGGGAGACGAGAGGTTCAGCGCCTGGGATGCTGATGGACTGCCGACGAAGACGAAGGAGGGCGAGGATGTGCCGAAGAGCACGGGGAAGAAGCTGAAGAAGGACTGGGATAGACAAAAGAAGCTGTGGGAGGAGCATGGGGGGAAGAAGTAGGTTTAGACAGCAGTTGGTGGTCTGTAGGGCTGGTTGTGGATTAACGTAAGCATATTATGATTTATATATCTAACATATTTCTTCTTCATTGTGCACTGTATCTTGCGTTCTAGTAGTATTGTATTGTTCAAAGTTCCCATTCTCACCTCAACTGCCGATAATTGATAGTCAGAGTCAGGGCTCAACGATCTCTCAATGGCTCGGGCGGCCCCAGCCACCAGCCACCATCCACCAACCACGATAAGATAAGCCACAACAGGCACAACGGGTACCTTACCTGCCGCAGCACCTGCCTGACAAGGTCACACACCCACCCGGGCCACACAAGCGAACCCGCCATCTCGCGGTCAGTCACATCATCTCACTTCAGCTGTCTTCTTGCTCCTCACTGTCTCACTGTCCCTCACCAACTCTCTCTCTGACTCCCTCCTCTCATCAATCCTCATTATATCCTCTTATGTTTCCCAGATTCAACGACGCTGAAGATATCATGACCAGAAAACTTGTCTACGCTGCCGCCCCAGCTACAGCTCCAGCTCCAGCTCCAATGGCGACACAAGCTGCTCTACCGACTCGCCCACGAGCCCAAGGCCCAGGAAGCCCAGAGTCATACGCCGAACCATTTACCTCTTTCTTGACCGAGAACCCAACCGTATTCCACACTGTGGACTACTTCACAAAGAAGCTGACCGATGCGGGGTATTCCAAAGTACGGCATCTTCTCTCCGAATGGGCCCCGCAATGCTAATGCTGAACAGCTCTCGGAACGCTCGTCATGGTCATCCGAGATTAGGAAGGGAGGCAAATACTTCCTCGAGAGGAACGGAAGCAGCATAATAGCTTTTGCTATCGGTTCAGACTACAAGAGCGGCGATGGAGTGGCCATTATTGCCAGCCACATCGATGCTCTCACTGCAAGGCTAAAGCCAGTTTCGAAGAAGGACACAAAGGCTGGATACGAGCAGTTGGGTGTCGCACAGTATGCGGGTGCGTTGAACTCGACCTGGTGGGACCGTGACCTAGGTGTGGGCGGCAAGATCCTCGTCAAAGATCCGCAGACTGGGAAGGTGACGCCCAAGCTAGCCAAGCTCGACTACCCAAGTAAGTTGCCATTGGATCGTTGTATATACCTACATCAGCTAACACACCTCGTCCAGTTGCCCGTATCCCGACTCTTGCACCCCATTTCGGCTCCGGCATGACTGGCACCAACAACCGCGAAACCCAAGCTGTCCCGATCATTGGTGTTAACAACAGTGATTTATTCGGCACCAAGGAAGCGACTGCATCTGGCTCCTCAAACGGGGGAAATTACACCTTTGCGCCAACACAGCCTCCGGCATTGGTGTCTGCTATCGCCGCCGCGGCATCGGTTGACCCGAAGAACATTGTAAACTGGGAGCTTGAGCTCTTCGACACCCAACCAGCTCAACTCGGCGGCTTAAACAAGGACTTCATCTTTGGTGGCCGTATCGACGATAAGCTTTGCTCATGGTCTGCTATTGAGGGTTTACTCGCCGCACCGGAGGCGAAGTCTGCTATCAATCTCGTCGCTCTATTCGACGATGAGGAGATCGGCAGTCTGCTTCGCCAGGGTGCGAAGGGAAACTTCCTACCTAGCACAATTGAGAGGGTAAGCGAAGTTTTTGCCCCATTGGGCAATGATAGGGATGCCCTGAACCGTACTTACGCCAACTCGTTCATGGTAAGTGCGGACGTGACTCACGCCGTCAACCCCAACTTCCTCGGGGATTACCTCGACCAGCACGCGCCACGCCTGAACGTTGGTGTGGTTGTGTCTGGAGACAGCAACGGACATGTCACGACCGATGCGGTCAGCACTGCTTTCCTCCAGCGAGTCGCCGAGTTGTCAGACGCCAAGCTACAGGTCTTCCAGATCCGCAACGATAGCCGCTCAGGTGGCACTGTTGGCCCTATGCTTTCATCCGCTATGGGTGTGAGGGCCATCGATGCGGGAATACCGCAGCTGAGCATGCACAGCATTCGCGCAACGACTGGATCGAAGGATCCTGGACTCGGAGTTCAGCTGTTCCACGGCTTCTTCAAGCACTTTGAGACAGTGAACAGCGAGTTTGACTTTTAGGGTGCATCATAGGAGTTATTTGGCTGAAGATTTATTTATACATCAGATGGAGCCTGTTGAGGTACGGGTATGCGGTTCTAGATTTAGATATGTTAGAGTACCATATACAATCAATAGTTACCAGCAGCTGTCCTGTGCATTTTCAAATAGACACACGTGCAGTCAGGAGTATGATGGAAACGTGAACCTCAATATTCATTTGGTGTTGCTCTACTTGCCATTTCGGAGGCTTTCAACCTTAAATCCTAGCGTTGTTGATCGCTCGTCACAACGCTGGGGATTAGCATCTTGACAGATTGTACCCCGCAATTTATATGAAGCACGGCTAAAGTGCAACATCTCCGACTTGGCCAAAGGCCACTTTGATCTCTTTCGGAATTGGGACCTATATGTCCCGAAAAACTAATTGGGCTATGTTGAGTAGCTATCTATCTACGTGGCCAGAGCGGCCCTTGACTTATATTATGCTGTTTGTTCCCGCATTGTCACCGATGGCAGCTTCTTGTGCACCACGGCGTTGGTATTGAGCTCCACGACGGACATATCACCTCAGAAACAATTCCTACCACTGCAGCCATGCGATCAACCATCCCCTTCATCGCCACCCTCTCCATCCTCCTCCCTTCCGTCGCAGCCATCCCAACAAACACCCCCATCTACCTAGCCGACATCTTCCACCCCCCAACCCTCAACCTCCTCGCCTTCCTCCCCGGCGAGCTCCCCTGCGAATCCGCCCAACAAATCAAACAAGACACCCCCTTCAGCATCGGCGGCATCGACGGCATAGTGCTGAAATCGTACTGGACCACCAAGGCGACGCTGATGAGAGACGGCCGCGTCTTCGCGGATTGCGCTATTAGCCCGGAGTCGGTGGTGGTGGATGCGTGCCCGGTGGGGAGGAGGGAGAGGTTGACGGGGGTTGTGAAGAGGACGTGGAGTTGTTGGGTGGTGGGTGATGGGAAGGGGGGGGCGATGGGAGAGATACCAGTGGGAGAGGAGGGTGGTAGTGGAACCAAAGCTGGGCCGAATAGGCCATACTGGGAGAGCTAATGGCTTGGTTTGTTATAGGATGCTGGTGTGAAAGGGAAACTGAGCTGTATTTGTGTTATGTTGCCTTTATTCAAGGCTTGGGAATGAAGAATATATATATTCCTTCCTGTGTGTCCTTTCTAAACTTTGTACTTCACTTCATTGTCATAGAGACGATACTCGTGCTGCCTAGAAGTCTGTGGATGCATTGCGCATTTTTGCAATGTTGACTAGAAGCAAGCCGTTGGGATATAAAATTCAGTCTCGGGTTACAACTTCTGCATTGGAGTTTAACTAACAGTGATTCTGTTTGTGTTTTCCTTTGCATATCCTTTACTTACGTGAATTTACTCACTTGCGCATGCTTCTAATCAGACTGATAGCTAAATGATAAAGGATAAACTTTACTCCCAACTTACAAAGGGCTAGTTGTGGTCGTAAACAACGCGTTTGCTAATATTTGTGGGTGAAAACAACCTCACAAACATTTCATCATCACAACTATCCAACAACAACCTTGCTTTCCACAGGTAGGAGCATTTCCAATTTCTGACCTGTCATCATCCATTTCATTATAACTCTACATAGTTCCCATTGTCATCAAACGCAAGTCACTTCTTCTACCTGACAGCTTCTGTCTACAATGTTCTTTTAAGGTTATCTGTTCGTCCTGACCTCTACCTCAGTCACAGCCCTACTTCAACGACCATGGCCCGCCCAAGCATTACCGGCGACTCCGACCTCATTGAAGACCAAATTCAGCGAGAAGCTGAGACTCATGGAAACTCTAATCCTTCCGCTGAGAAAAAGAAACGCAAGCGTCTTCGACAGAGCAAGAGCTCTGAAGATCGTCATCACGGAAGGAGCCTCGATAACATGAACTCCAGGGATTTTAACCTTGGCCATGACGATAGTATGAGTATCGTGGCAGAGAAAGAGCCTCTGACGTTGAGCCCATCGAAGAAGAGAAAGAAAAACAGGCACCGAGATCAAAGCAGACTCTACGAAGTGCCAGGGGTTGAGAACCTCCCTGCCAAGCGCAAGACCTCCTACAGGATTGCTCAAGATCGCGCCACAGATGCTACCCAGAACGATGCCAATGATGCACCAGCCCAGGCAGGAAATCGCAATAACGTCTCCTCCTATCCGGGGGTTAGTCCGTTCATGAGTCCCCCAAAGGCTCTCGTTCCACACGCTTCGTCTGTGAATACTGCCCTCAAATCTCCTTCTACGCAGAAGGCTCGTCTGGACACCATCCTGAAGTCCTGCTCCCGAAGGTCAACTCTGAGTGCGGCAGTGGATGACATGGTACTGGACAATGAGTCTGATGGCTCTCCTTCTCCGCCTGATGGCCCACAACCTGCTATTGTGAAGGTTGAGCACGAACGTTCCACGATATCTCTCCGTGACATAGTCAGAGCATGCGATTGCAAAGATGGCCGGTTCTCATGCCCCATTGAAGGCTGCGGAAAGTCGTATACCCGCAAGGACTCCCTTGCTGGGCATATGCCGGTAAGTGACGGCAAATCCGCCTTCTTAATCACGTATGCTTACTGTAGTAGAAAAGCCACAGTGACCAGATCTTGCGCGACAACGGGGACAAAACCTATTCAGTCATTACCCGGTCAAAATTAACGGCAGCAATGGATAGAAACTTGGAATCAGCCCGTCAGGAAATACAGAAGTATACGAATCGGGGAGGCAACAACAACGAGGGTATGAGAGACCAAGTTGCCAAAATGAACAAGGGGAAAGAAACGACAGCGAGAAAGCTTAAGAAACCAGCACCAAACGCCGCGACTGAGCTATCTGCCCCAGTCAAGTCTATCTTCTCAGTCAACTCTCAGGTCGCAGCCCACAGCGCTGAGATTGAGCGCGACAGCAGTGCCTCTCCTGTTGTTGTTTGGGCCCCGATGAACCCTCGATCACCCAAGCCAATCAAACCTGCCGTTGGTAACATTACCACGGCTGAAGTTCCATACGGTTCGGCGATGGAAGATTGGGAAGTCAGCCCTGGCACTGTCAGAACTGCGAGAGATAATTTCAACTCTGGAGGCCATGGTAAGTCTATCCGTGGGCTGCTATCGGTTAACAAAGTTTTTGTATTAACATCGCACAGAAGTTGCTTATTCGGCCCACCATATCCGCAACAACCCCACCGTCACCGAATTTGCCAATACGAGCTTCGCCATCCATACTATCCCTGGCGGCCGCAGCTTTGGGTTCCCTCTTGAAACATTCGTCCGCGTTTGCTACGTGGTATCTGGCAAACTCCAGGTTCACGTTGATGGAGCTGACTTTGCCATTGGTAAAGGCGGGATGTGGCGGGTCACTGGTCTTGGATCCTGCATTGTTGGCAATCGAAGCTATGAGGATGCCATCATCCACATCACTTCTGTCAGAATTGAGCGAGGTGTTGTGGTTTAACCTTCGCTGTATGGGTTAAGTGGTTTCCTTGAGGTCTCTTGTGGAGCAAATATATGGCCGGACTGCTCGCTCTTTCGTCTGTGGATTTCACACAGCTTCGTTGATCTGCAACATTGTACAATATGAGAAATAGCGCTCAAGGGGTCGCTCGTTCTAGTAAGCAACTGTCGGTTTATAGAGTATGAACTTTCGATAGTAAGCAGATAATCAGGACGGGTATAAAACCAGTAGGGAGCATAGCAGCGATGAAATCAAGTATAGCCAGTAATTTGTTCAATCTCATTGTTGAGCGGTCCATGTATTTTCTGAGGGCCGACATAAATTGGAGCTGTCATCATTGTGGATAGCAAAGTAGATCTATCTGCAAACCTGACTGCTGCAACGTCCCCAGCGTCTCCTACACACAAAACAAGATATGAGGTTCGGAATCCCAGGTCTCGACGCTCATGAGTTTGAATTCGCACGTGAGTCGATCATCTTCATTTCCGTTTTGGGCGAGTGGTGACCCCCTGGAGGTATGCCACGTGGCACAGCTTGGCCTGACTTATCAGGAAGGAACTAGTGGCGTTTTCCCCTGTCAGCGGCCAATGACGTCCGATGACTAAGCAGACCTCACTCCCCGCATCACCATTTCACTTGGCTGGAGATGCACCAGTCAAGATCTCGCAAGACCATCGCAAGACCTCCCAGTTTCACAACGAAAGAGAGACATTATCCACAGAGATCCACGCGACAGAACAAAATACTCTGCCACCAACACATCAAGTGCATATAGAAGAATCATCTAGATTCTATTTTGTCTTGCGACTTGTCTTTTACCCCCACTGTCACGAAATTCGAGACAACGCCCCGCACCACTAACAAGGTCAGAGCTTCCACGGAAAGCCGAACCATTTCTATCTCTCCTACTTCATTGTGCAACAATAAACAATATCGATTGTATATCTGGGACATCTCCAGCCAGCTTCGCAAGCTACTTCGGACAATATCTTTCGCCCATAACTGAGTCAAAACACACGCCATAATGGAAGACGACAGCCAGACACCCGTGGTCCACACTCCTCCGGGACCTTCCACTATACGGCCAAAAGGTATATACTTTCTGCCCTCCCACTCTTACCATGTTCATCTCATTAATGTTTTTCAGGGATCCTCAAGAACTCCTACAGCGGCTCTCCATCGTCCCATGCGCCCGCGGCAGTCTCTCCACCACCTGCAGCACCCCCAGTAGAAGCTCGCATCGACCGCCGTTCAGTTGATACCACCCACTCCGATAAAGACATAACTCTACACAACACAGCCCTCAATGCCGGACACCGCCGCGCTTCGTCCTCGGCATCCCGTCCCGGTGGTGCTCGCCGCCGATCATCCCTCTCCTCCAACAGCGCATCCGGCACTCCGGTAGACGATACATCAATGCGCCTCAAATGGGACGAGGCAAACTTATACCTTACCGAGCAGGAGAAGAGCTCAACCATGAAGATTGACGAGCCGAAGACACCATATGCGCGCCGCTACGACCCCGATGAAGATGCGGACGAGATGCGTGCGCTAGATGCAGAGGACATCGTTGTGGATGAGCTAGATAAGGCGCAGCACCCAACCAAAATCCACCGTGTTGCCCGTGAAGATGAGATCCCAGGACTCGAGCTAGGCGAGCCTGAGGAGGCACTTCCGGAAGGTGAGCGCATGGAGCGGAGCGGCAGCACGGGCAGCGCGAGCGGCAAGGCTGTACATGTGAGAGATCCAGCTCACGTGGACAATGTGGGGGTGAGTGAGGAGGAGAAGGAGAAGCACCGCCGTTTTGAAGCGATGCGAAAGAGGCATTATGAGATGAGAGAGGTAGCTAGCCATTTAGGACATGCCGAGGGGTTGGACCCGGATGATGAGGATCAAGAGATGAATGGAGGCGCACAATGAGCGGGATGGGTTCGACAGAGAATCATGGGTTGAGAATCATGGGTTGACGTTGGATCGTACTTGGGTGAAGTGCGCGCCGTGGTTGTGGTCACATTATCGGTGATGTAGCGCCGCACTTCACCGTCCTGTCGTTACTATGATATTTCTGCGATCGTGTCATGCCTGCGAACGCTGTCCGCCATTGAATCCAGCCATAGGCGGCGCAACGGACGAGGTAGAGTGCAGATATCAAGGGATCAGTATCGAGCCAGAGTTGCTGGAATGGAAACATTTGACTTTCTACTTTCGACATTATGTTAGTTGCTTGTACTATTTGGCGAGATTCATATGGTGGTGGCGCTGTTTGACTCATGTCGCCAGCTTTGGAGAAGATAGAAATGGGATCTTGAGTGGGATTTGTCAACAAGGCCATCTCATCCTCTGCTTTCAAATTGCTCAACCCGCTGTCACGCTGATATCGTTCCTACGCCACTGTGAAGAATCCCTGTAAGTTGATGCAGCCGTGGCGATGTTTGTCAGAAACCAACGATGCCGCTCATTTGGGACAGCTATTTTCTGGTCGCGGAAGTTTCCCAAACTCCGACATTACGCCACGCGTATTTTACGAAAAGCCTCAACTTTCAATCTTGTCTTAATTTTATATGACATTATGGCCAACCCCGGTAAATTGATTTGGATATAAATGGCAAATTTCACGATTGGCTAGTTTTCACGAGGCTAATAACTTTTGCACCCTATCAGAGCTCCAATTTTCATAGTCACCAGCGCCGAAATTGCTAGTGTTACTGGTACCTATTGCACAGGTCGAGTATGCTCGTTCTCAGATGTTGCTCAAACGCCAATGATTGTAAATCATCTGGGGAATAGACATCACCGAGGCTCCGTGAATGAAGACCCGCATATGATGAACATGTCGCTTCAACCAGAGTCAAGTCCAGTCCACAGGCTATATAAATAGTATAGATAGCCATATCTAAATATGAAGGGCATCAATCAACAGCTTTTTTCGCTTTAATCACTTTAATACAGCCCTTGAAATCATGGTCAGAGTCGCAGTAGCAGGTGGAACCAGTAGCCTCGGCCGCTTGGTTGTCAATGCCATCGTAGCCATCAAAAAGCACGATGTCTTCGTGCTCTCCCGAAAGGTGATTAATCGCCCGTTCACCACCTCTCATCTTGCACAGTAGCTGATTGTTTTTAGGATTCTGACATCTTCGCTTCCGAACCCAACGTCAAGCTTTTCGCTGTTGACTACGCGGTTCCAGCTACCATCACTGCCGTCCTCGAGGAGAATCGCGTCGACACCGTGATATCGTGTCTCAATTTGAACACCAGAGAAGCAAGCGACGCACAGCTCAACCTCATTGAGGGAGTCGGCAAGACGTCGACGGTTAAGCGATTTGCTCCCAGCGAGTTTGGTCTTGACAATGTTGAAGTAGCCAAGGTGTAAGCCTATCCCTCGCATGCTTGCCTATCTAATCCCGCTCGCTGACCTCTCTATGCTATAGAGACTTCGACTATCCTGTCTTGGAATTCAAAATTGCAGCGATCGATAAGTTGAAGGAATTTCCGTCTTTATCATCTATCCGCTTCATCACGGGGATGTTCATGGATTTCTTCGGCCCGCCACCGAACCCGCCGCAAATAAATGTTATCTCCATAGTTATCGATCCCGAGCATGCGAAGGCTGGTATCCCAGGCGATGGCAGCGCTACCATCATTATTACTCATACTACAGATGTGGCGCGCTTCGTTGCCGCTGCTCTGAGCCTGCCAGACTGGCCCGAGAAGGTAATTATCCAAGGAGATAGACTCACATTGGATGAAGTAGTCGCAGTAGCCGAATCTGTGAAAGGTAACCACCCAAATAACCATATATTATGAACCACGAGGAGATTGCTGATTAGGCGCTCATCTAGGGTCCAAATTTGATGTTACTTACTCTTCGGTCGAGGACCTCAAAGCGGGCAAGATTACGGAGCTTCCTTCAAATATCCCTCGCTACGCATTTGTCCCCAAGCCTATGGTTGATGGCATTACGCAGACTTTCACCATCGGTATGGCGATCGGCTTATTTGACATCAAAGGACCACTTTTGAACGATCTGATTCCAGAAGTGAAGCCACTCTCGCTTGAGGCGTTTTTGAAGAAGAGCTTGCAACTCTAGGTAGACGGGAAACAACGACCAGTTGCCAAGAAATACCCGCTCACTAGTTAGTTATATGGATGTAGCTATTGAGAGGAGAATATATATATGGATATTTATTTGACTTTTGCGATGGCATCATGATTATAGTGAATTGGTAATGTATGCACCTCAATATGATAAAAGTGGAGTCACGTGCAGACCGCCTTTTGGCTGTCCACTCAGGGAGAGCACGTGGCAGCGGATACCAACGGGGTAGGTACGAATGCGGCGGATTGTGCAATAAGCTGTGCACCAACCAGCTCAAATCTTCTCTTATCTCATTGATATCGTTTGTGCCATTGCCGTTTTCTATTTACACGTTCACATTTGCTGCACTTAATGCTTTACGATTTATACGAACTTGCGTGTTTAATATCTAACTATAACGGCACCCCTCTGAGAATAACCACACCGCCTTGAGTTCAATACCACTCAGTCAGTTCTGAAATGACGGCCGATATAAATAACCCAGCTCCGAAACCGGTTGTTCTCCATATCGGCGATCCCATCTTATATAATGAGGCCATTTATGCTCGCTTCTGCGAGCTTTATACTGTGATCCGGCCCTCCACCGAGGAGAGGCAAAGACCAGAGTTCATCAAGGCACTCAAGGAGAAACGATGGGGGGACTTTAATGCCATATTCAGGCCCTACTGGTCGACCGGCGGGGAGATGGGGAAGTGGGATGCTGAGTTAATCAGCTGCTTGCCACAGGGTGTGAGAGTCTTTGCGAGCGCGGGCGCCGGATACGACTGGGCAGATGTTGATGAGCTTGCAAATCACGGTATGTTTCCCCTCTCACGTGGTGCAGAATAGCGCGGTAATCATCGTATAATCACTCTCTAACACCCTCAAGGCATCATCTACTGCAACTCGGCTGCCGCCTGCACCGAGTCGGTTGCAGACTTCGCTCTGTTCGGCATCCTCTCCACCTTCCGCCAGCTCACGTGGTGCACCACCGCAGCCAGCGACCCAACCAGCTTTACGCGCTGCCATCTCGATGCCACTGCCTTGAGCCGTAACCCCCGCGGTCATGTTCTTGGCGTCATTGGTCTCGGCAACATCGGGCAAGCTATCGCTGCAAAGGCCTTTGCGGCGTTTAAAATGCGGATTCTCTACTATGATGTCAAGAGAAAAAGCAGCGAAGTTGAGGCAGAGGTCCACGCCGCATTCGTGCCGACTTTGCAGGACTTGGTCCGCCAGTCGGACTGTGTCATTGTCGCTACTCCGGCAAGCCCGGATGGCAAGGTGCTGGTCAATGCGGAGCTCCTCGCACACTTCAAGAAGGGTGCTCGGCTTATCAATGTCGCCCGCGGCAACCTGGTTGATGAGGAGAGCCTCGCAGATGCCATCGATAGTGGACATATCAAGTCTGCGATGCTGGATGTGCATACCTTTGAGCCTAAGGTGAATGAGAGGCTAAAGAATAGGAGAGAAGTCATGCTCACATGCCACAATGCGGGTGGGACGGTCGATACACATATCGGTTTTGAGAGATTGAGCATGGAGAATATTGAGGCGGTGCTATCGAGAGCAGAGATGCCTAATAGTGCGGTGAATGCGCATTTGTTCAGCTTGGACATATGAACAGATGTGTAGGGCGCCCAGTCAATGGAGACATCCCTTGCGTTTGATGCATTTGAAACGGTAACATTACATAGGCTCATACATCTTGCTTATAAAGCCTCTCAAGTTAACAACTTGAGTTAGGTGGTTTGTGAAACCATCACTATGCACATCCAATATGTTCGCCTCTTTCTTCAAGTCCATCTCTTCATCAGTTAGAAGTTATAGCAAACCAAACAAATCATCGACCCGTTAACCCAATATGCGACCTATGTTCATCAAGGACTAAAGAAAAAATCTAAGAGTTTCCTACTCTACGACAATGAGGTCATCGGCACCTCACACTCCATATATAGGACTAGAAATCATCCCAGGAAGCTGCGACTGAGCTTGCTTGGTAATCGTTCTTTCCAAATATAGGGATTGAAAGTTCGGGGGAAGCTACGACTGAGCTTGCCTTGTAATCGTTCTTTCCATATATACGGCTAACAATCCCCAAGGAAGCTACGATTGAGCCTTTGCTTGGTAATCGTTCTTTCCATATCTACGATTTAGAAGTTATGAGGACGGACTGTTGGCATGATGTGAATATCAGAAGGGAAGAAGGGATGGGTACTTTGCCGGGAGTTTAAACTCAATATAAGCAATAGTCGGTAGTGCGATGATCGGTTCTTCATGATAGGTGGCCTCCCATATTTCTCGGTGTGAATTAACAGTCGAAAGTGTGGGGGGATGGCGGGGAAGAGCCGGGTAAGTGGAGAAGTATGGAGAAATATGCGGGGTAGACGCGTCCTGGAACCGCCACTCTATTTGGAACTGAATACACTTAGCGTTCTAACGACCTTTGGATGAGCTTGAAACCTGAAGTTTCTCATTGAGCACAGCAATTATGCACAAAGGTCTCTGGTTTTCTACCTCCTCCACTGAATCGGTAGGCAGAAGGGCCTATAGCCCATTTCTTCGATGACACTGACCAGATCCACCCAGTTTCCACCACAACGATGGACAGCATTTGTGTACATTAATCCATTGGTTTAAGCTTAAGGACTAGCCGCCATGCTTCCCGTGCACTTCAGTCGCATGAATGATCTGCGCGGACAGAGAAATTCCGCGAATCGTCAGTTTATTCTCGCTCGCAATTACTCCGCGGTCTCCAAGATTAGATCTCAGAGTGCCGTCGTTGGTCGGTATTAATGCCGCCCTTCAATCTATTTCTTATATTCCCTTTCGTCCGCCGTTTCTCGTTTGATTGAATCCACGTCATGCCTTTTGACCTTTGCAAGTATTTAAACTGGCGCATGTCCGCTCCTCGGATGAAGACATAGCTCCAGCGTCGATCAATTCCTCAAGCTTCATAATTTTCTTGCAACATCGCAATCATGGTGGCAGTAAACTTTCTTCGTCTCGCTGCCATGTCGCAGGCAGCAAGCGCGGCCACGGTTTACCTTGCCGGTGACTCGACAATGGCTAAGAACGGTGGTGGAAGTGGAACGGGAACAGATGGTATGGCTCTAGTCATTCTTTGCAAGCCTTTACCTGCTTCTAACTCCTGTCCTAGGATGGGGACAATATCTCGCCGACTCGTTATCTATCCCGGTAGTTAATAATGCTATTGGAGGGCGATCTGCTCGAAGCTTTACGAGAGAAGGCCGATTCGATACAATCATCAACACCGTGGTGTCTGGGGACATCGTCGTCATCGAGTTTGGCCACAATGATGGAGGAAGCTTGTCAACAGACAACGGCCGAACTGATTGCGGTGGAACAGGAGATGAGACCTGCCAGACGGTATACAAGTAAGTTTGAATATCTTTTAAGACATGAGATAGTGCACTAACACCCGCTTGCAGTGGTGTTGCGGAGACCGTCTTGACCTTCCCAAGATACCTCGAGAATGCCGCCAATGCCATCAAATCCAAGGGTGCTTCTGTGATAATATCGTCTCAGACCCCCAACAACCCTTTTGAGTCGGGCACTTTCGTGTACAGCGGATCTAGATTTGTCGGCATGGCGGCACTAGCAGCCAGCAACGCTGGTGTTGACTACGTCGACCACGGGCAGTACACAGCGAACGCCTTCGAGGCCAGCGGCGCGACAACCGTGAATTCTTACTTCCCGAATGACCACACTCACACCAGCAATGCTGGCGCCCTCGCTGTCGCCGACGCATTTGTTAGAGGTGTTCTTTGCGGCCAGACCGCTCTTACTGAGTTTGTCACCAACACGAATGTTGCGGGTAGCTGTGTTTAAGTTGAGCGGCATTTGTTGCATCTCGAAGTTTATGTATATGTATTAAATTTAGTATATATATTTGATGGTGTCCCTTGAATACCAAAGGGTACTGGCACGCTCACAGCCAGCCACACATAACTAAGAACATGGAAACTATTTTGTGCTAGCAGATAATAGAGTGCCATGAGATGTGCCATTAGTCTATATATTTATTCTCTGGTAACCTTAAACATAACGGCGTGATAAATTGTTTGTTAGTGCTAGTTTATTATATTTGTGGTGAGAAAATAAAATTGTATTCGGTGAAATAAATCATTATAAAAATTCTTGTAACTGCTATTAAAATCTCTAAAATATAGCTGACTACTCCTCAAGTCTTTTAAGTCTTTTAAGTCTTTTAAGCCCTTTAATTATTGTTGTTATTAAATTATTATTAATTATTATCATTATGGAGCTATTTTGCTCCATCAGCCCATCTCGTCAGGCACAATTCGAGAACCATGGTGTTGCTATATATAGTACGCACCTTTCTAGTGGCAGGGGTGTTCTCACAACCAACCAATCAGCTATTTCATTATGGCGTATGGCATATCTTTGACCACCCCTGCTTTTAATTCTCTCGTTCCCCACCTTGGACATCTTGACATTTCCTCACTTTCGCCCCTCTTGGACAGAAACTTGGTCAGAACATGGACAGAGCATTATAGACTTATCTTATATCATTTATTCCTCATGTATCCCACAAATTTACTTGCTCATCCTATAGCTTATTGCATGGCACACATTTAAGATGAAGTTTGCGAAAGAGCTCGAGCAGGACCTTGTTCCAGGTGAGACAGCCAGTGTAACCCTTCGTTGAGACGTACTCACATTCATCCCCTAGAATGGCGAGTCAAATACCTTGACTACAAGGCTGGCAAGAAGCGAGTCAAGGCCGTTGGTCGAGCTGTCGCACGCGCAAACGCAAACGCAACCCCTAGATCCGGCAAACTCAACCCGCGCGACCTCTATCGAAGCAACGGCTCTCCGACCCTGACTAGGAAGGCAGCGCTTCCTGCGCCTCAGCGTCAGCTTACGACGCATGGCTACAACTCCTTGCCTGAGCGACGTGGCACCGCATCACGCCCCACCTCCGACGAGAGCGACCAACTCTCAAAGCCCATCCTCATAAACAAGCGGAATGGAAAAGAGACAGAGAGCCCAGATAGCACACAGTTGCAGTATGGAAGCTTTGTACCCACGCCGCCTAGCGACTATGGTCCCGTACATCTCGAGTTGCCAGACCCGGCGCTGAGCACTGGAATCGACAGTAGCCCACCAGAAAGAGCCACGGACAAGACATCTAGATCGCACCATCGAGGTGGCGCGGCGGATAAGGCGCCACCGGGTCCATACAATGCGCATACCGTTGTGGAAAAGGGCACAGCACCCAAACGACCAGCCATCGCGGACATGTTCAATCGCGGGAGTTCGATGACCGTAACTGGGAGCACAGCGAATATCTCAAGCCCTGGAGACCCAAAGCCGCTACTGAAACGAATCTGGTCGCGTTCTGGGGCGAGACGTGATGAAGTGGCGTTGGATGTCAATATGATCCCCCTGGACTATGTGAAGGCAAAGGAAAAGGAATTCTTCGACTGGATGGATGGGCAGCTGGTCAAAGTTGAGACCTTTTACAAGGAGAAAGAAGACGAATCGGAGGAAAGGCTGAATGTCCTGAGGGGACAACTACACGAGATGAGGAATCGTCGCATTGAAGAAATTTCAAATTTCAGGAAAGTAAAGCGGGCTGGTAAAGGTGAGGCAGGCAAGTCGATTGATGACACTTCCGGAAACCCTAGTCCCTCCAGTGGGAGCGGCACGCCCCTTCACAATCAGAATATCTTGAGAAGACCTGTTACGAAGGCTTTGGATGGTCTAAAGTTTGGGCAAAGACTTGGCGTAAACTCGAAGGCGCTGCGCGATATGCACCTCACGCCAAACCTCCGGCCGTCAGAGGGAACGCAAGTAGCGCGTGGGACGGATCCTTCTCAAGACTATGTCCGGAGAGCTCATCAACATGAAGTCCCGTATAGGTCTGCGAAGAGGAAGCTTAAACTTGCCCTGAAGGAGTATTACCGTGGCCTTGAACTTTTAAAGTCATATGCCTTGCTGAACCGAACTGCGTTCCGGAAGATCAACAAAAAGTACGACAAGGCAGCAAACGCCCATCCACCCTTGCGTTATATGTCGGACAAGGTCAACAAGGCCTGGTTCGTCCAAAGCAGCGTCCTCGATAGCCACCTTCACGCCGTCGAAGACCTCTATGCTCGATACTTTGAGCGCGGGAACCACAAAGTGGCCATGGGCAAGCTCCGCAGCACAAATGGGAAACTGGGACAGCATACGGCCAGTGCCTTCCGCAGCGGCCTCCTTATTGGAACCGGTGCGGTCTTTGGAATCCAGGGGGTCGTCAACGCTGCCGCCATCCTTCGGAATCATTCCGACCCAGTAATCCATCTACGCACTGGTTATCTACTTCAAATATATGGGGGATATTTCCTCGCTTTATATTTGTTTTCATTTTTCTGCCTCGACTGCAGCGTCTGGGCTGCTAACAAAATCAACTACGTTTTTATTTTCGAGTTTGATCCGCGCAACAATCTCGACTGGAAGCAACTGGCAGAGTTCCCTTCATTCCTCACACTACTGCTTGGATTATTTATTTGGATAAATTTCTCGGGTGTCGGCAGTCTTGACATGTATCTGTACTACCCTGTCATTTTAATTTTTCTTACTTTGGTTTTTATCTTTTTGCCTGCACCGATACTGTTTAATCAGAGTCGGAGATGGTTTGCATATGCACATGTGAGTTATCCGGTATCGAACTAATGGAATAAATGCTAACCTTGAGCAGTGGCGTTTACTTCTCGCTGGATTATACCCTGTTGAATTTCGAGATTTCTTTTTGGGAGATATGTACTGTTCTTTGACATATGTTACGGCTGTTAGTATACCCTTAACCATTTGTTGCAATTGATAGACTGACAATCCTCTAGAATATTGAGCTTTTCTTTTGCCTTTATGCGAATCACTGGTCTGACCCACCACAATGCAACTCTGGGCATTCTCGCCTCCTCGGATTTTTCACAGCGCTTCCAGGAATTTGGCGTGCTCTGCAATGCCTTCGTCGATACTACGATACTCGGTCTGCGTTTCCACATCTTGCCAATTTCGGCAAGTACAGCACAACAATCCTCTACTACATCACACTGTCTCTGTACCGTATCAAGGAGTCTAATACACACCTGGCCATTTTCATCACTATCGCCGTTGTAAACTCCATCTACTCTACGCTCTGGGATCTCTTCATGGATTGGTCTCTACTCCAGCCGTCTGCGAAACATAAGTTTCTTCGACCAGTCTTGGGGTACAAATCACCATGGTACTACTACTCAGCCATAGTCTTTGATGTTCTTCTCCGCTTCAACTGGATCTTCTACGCTTTCTTCACGCACAACACACAGCACAGCACCATTGCCTCCTTCTTCATCTCCTTCTCGGAAGCTAATCGCCGTGGTGTCTGGACGTTGTTCCGTGTTGAGAACGAACACGCAGCCAACGTGATGCGCTTTAAAGCCTCGCGCGACGTACCGCTTCCTTACAAGTTGCACGATACAGATGAGACATCAGCCTCCGAGTCGATGGTTCGGCCAATTGGCGAGGACGGCGAGAACGCCGAGATGGCGAAGGTGCACTCGGGTAGCCTGCGACCCACTCCTAGCCCGGGACAGAGCCGGTTCCGCGCTCGGACATCATCAACGGCTAGGGCTGAGGAGCAGGGGCCTGGCACATTGAGACGACGGATGACGATTACTAAGATCATGGCGGAGGCGCACACGCAGGATTTCGTGAAGAAGAAGGGCAAGGAAGAGGTAGCGGGCACGGCTGCCACGGGGGAAGAGGATAGCTGGGAGAGGGAGAGCAGTGATGATGATGACGATGATGCTAGCCCGAGCGAAGACAGGGAGGAAGAGGAGCTGACGAGACAAGAGACGGAACAAGTTCGACAGTCGCAGCGAAATGCAGGGAGGGAGGGACTAGAAGAGATACTATAGATGCCTGGTAGTCTTGGCCCCAATCCTTTTGCCAATTTCGGATACACAGCCCTAGGGACTAGGCACATGCAGTGAGCATACCGTAACAATGCAACGTTTTTATTACCCCGAACGCCCAGGATGATACGACGACGGTGAGCGGTTTGAGCCTCGCTGTGCCTCAATTGTGCCTGGATTAGGCCACAAAATGTCAGAATGGCATCGTGGGAGGGAACGTGTTTGGTTGCCGAGGCGCCAATTATCGGCCCCTCCGGGGCGGAGGCGTGCGGGGCATGTCGATGCTCCCCTATCCAACGCAACTGATTGGTCCGTGGGAATATCTTCAGCAATGTAGCCCACCATCAGCTCTCCCACTCAGCTTCTTCGTATCTCAGCCGCGTACAGCCTTGTTCTGTACTAGACCGCTCTATATCTGTACATATATATGTGGGTGTTTCGGGATATATATTCTGGGTTTCCTTTTCTTACTTCTTGATTTAATATATCATCATTATCTCCCTTGCTGCGTCTCTTGCCTTCTGTTTTTGTATATACCGCAGATCCTATACATATCATATCCCCTTCTATCCAACTATCCGTCCTCCGCCTTTCCCCGCATTTACACACGTAATGGTCTCCATACCTGAAAAACACACGTCTATCCGCGGCGAAATTGAAGGCGCCTTTGGCCAGGTATCCGCCATTGTCAATGCTTCCCTTGGCCCTGTCAATGCCGCCTACCCTCACAGACCCTCGAACGAGCCTCTCAAAATTGATGGTTCGAAACGTGCCGACTTAGGGAAGGTAGAACCCGAGGATATCCAGGCTCTCCTCGAATCCTTTCACGACCAGGCACGTGGCGTCCAGGATGACAGCACTCTCCTCCTCGAGCGCCTCGTAACAGGCCTGTCGCGCCTACCCGAGGACTCGAAGACAGGAAAGCATCTCACAGACAACTTCGTGAACACTCTGTGGGATGCCCTGCCACACCCACCTCTTTCGTCACTAGGGGGCCAATATAAATACCGAGAGGCCGATGGCCGTAATAACAATATCAGCCACCCAAGTCTCGGACAGGCGGGCAGTCACTACGCTCGGTCTGTGAAGCCTGTGATCCTGCAAAATATCCAACTTCCGGACCCCGGGGATATCTTTGATGAGCTCATGGACCGTGGGGATGCGTTTGAAGAGCATCCGAACAAAATTAGCAGCGTTCTGTTCTACATGGCCGCCATTATCACTCACGACATATTTTGTACTAATAGCAAAGACAACACCATCTCTGATACGAGCTCCTATCTGGACCTCAGTCCATTGTACGGGAAAAATGGAGACGAACAGAAGCTGATTCGCACGTTCAAGGATGGAAAGCTGAAACCGGACTGCTTTTCTGAGAAAAGGACATTGGGCCTGCCACCGGGAGTCGGAGTCATGTTGATTATGTTCAACAGGTTCCATAATAAAACCGCGACAATGCTGGCATTGTGAGTATTTTGGTTGCATCGCTGTGATGAAGCTGACATAACTAGGATCAACGAGAATGGCCGATTTACAAAACCGAAGGACGATGACGCGAGCAAATGGGCAAAGTATGACGAGGACCTATTCCAGACGTCGAGGCTCATTACCTGCGGGTTGTATGTCAACATCATTGTGAAAGATTATGTGCGCACGATTTTGTCTTTGAATCGCACATCGTCGACATGGGCCCTGGATCCACGATCCGTCAGCACAAAGACTATGTTCAATGTTCCCGCTCCAGAGGGAGTGGGCAACAGCGTTTCCGCCGAGTTTAATCTCATTTACCGCTGGCACTCGGCCATCTCGGAGCGGGATGATAAATGGATCCAGGAGGAGTACGAAAGGATTTTCCCAGGAAAAAATCACAAGGACATGCCACTCCATGAACTCATGGGAGGGCTTGGAAAAGTCGTCGCTGGCCTGCCCGAAGACCCATTGGAGCGTCCATTTGGCGGGCTTACTCGCAACAAAGATGGAACGCTACCAGAAGAAGGCCTTGTGGAGATCCTTACTTCGTCGATTTTGGATGTCGCTGGCTCATTCGGAGCCAACAGAGTACCTACCATTATGAGAAGTATCGAAATCCTTGGGATAATGCAGGCCCGCCAGTGGAACCTGGCAAGCCTCAACGAGTTCCGCCTATTTTTCGGTTTGAAGGCACATGAGACATTCGAGGAAATCAACCCAGACCCTATAGTAGCCAAGAAACTCAAGAATCTGTACGACTCGCCCGACTTCGTTGAGCTCTATCCTGGCCTTACGGCCGAGAAAGCCAAGCCTCCTCAGGCACCTGGGTCCGGTCTTTGCGTCAACTACACCATCAGCCGGGCTATCCTATCTGATGCCGTCTCTCTTGTTCGCGGTGATCGCTTTTACACGACCGATTTCAATGGAAGAGCCTTGACAAACTGGGGGTTCACAGCCTGCAACTTTGATACGAAAGTTGACCAAGGCTGTGTCATGTACAAGCTGATCCTTGGTGCCTTCCCGGATGCCTTCAAAGGCAACTCCATCTACGCCCACTTTCCATTTGTCACGCCAGCCGAGAATCTTGTTATCCAAACAAATCTCGACACAGCCAAACTCTACGACTGGAATCCTCCGAAGGTGACCCCAGAGGTCGTTTCCATTGATAGCTATGATGCCGTAGTGAAGATACTGAATGATAAGACTAACTGGAAGGTTACTTGGGGAGACTCGATCGAGTTCCTCGTCTCCCAGCCCAATGAACGGTACGGCGACACTTACTGCCTCGCGGGTGACGATAACGCGAACGAGGAATCGCGAAAACTTGTCATGAAGGCCCTATATCCTAATGACTGGAAAAAGGAAGTCAAAGCCTTCTACCAAGACATCACCGAGAAGCTTCTCAAAAAATACACATACCAGATAGGCGGTGCGAACTGCGTCGACATTACGAGAGACGTGGGCAACTTGGCACATGCGCACTTCTCAGCGAGCCTGTTCTCGCTGCCGTTAAAGACAGAAGATAACCCTCGCGGTATCTACACGGAGCAAGAACTCAGTATGATCCTGTCTCTCCTCTTCTTCGCCATCTTCTATGACATCGACCCCAAGAAATCATTCCCGCTCAAGACGGCCGCCAAAATGCTCGCGAAATCTCTTGGGACCCTCGTCTTGCTCAACGTAGAGTCTGTGTCTCGATTTGGAAAGATAGCTGAGTTTGTTGAGAAGATACGGGCAAAGAGTCAACTTGAGGATTATGGCTTGCACACGATCCAACGGCTACTACAGAGCGGTCTCAGCACGAAGGAAGTTGTCTGGGGACAGCTCTTACCGACGGCGAGTAGCATGGTAGCGAACCAGAGCCAGCTGTTCTCCCAAGTTGTGGATTATTACCTCACAGAAGGCATCGAGCACTTGCCGAAGATGCAAGAGATTGCAGAGCACGAGACAGTTGAGAGTGAGGACCTGTTGTTGCACTAGTAAGTCACTGCACCTGAACGCCCCCTCACCGCATCTCCCAGCTAACAGACCCAGTTTCATGGAAGGCGCCCGCCTCCGCCACACCGCTGGTCTCTTCCGTGAGGCCGCGGTTGACATGACAGTCCAAGACCACGATCGCACCGTCCAGATTCCCAAGAACCACCGCATCCTTGCCAACATCGTGCGCGCCTCGCGTGACCCAGTCGCTTTCCCCGATCCACTTAAGGTAGATGTCACACGCCCACTGGACAGCTACATCCACTATGGCTATGGGCCCCATGAGTGCGCTGGCGTCGACGCGAGCAAGGTCGCAATGACGACAATGTTCAGGGCTATCCTGAGGCTGAAGGGTCTGAGGCTTGATCCAGCGAACCGGGAAGGGGTGAGGAAGGTGCCTGCTGAGCATGGCTACACTGTCTATTTGAAGCCAGATTGGAGTGATATCTGGCCTATCCCAACGAGTTTGAAGATTAGATGGGATGGACCTGCGTTGGTTTAATTTGCGAGCAGAGAAGGGGGATACTTAGGGGCTGGTTTACTGAGATTGGATATGCCGCTATATAAGTTTTCATGTTTTAAAAATTACGGGCTATCTATGCGAGCTGAGATGAGATGGAAAGGCACGATTTGGTAGTGGTTGATAGTCACGATACGATAGTTTTAGTTAGACTGTTTTGAATACAAGCAAGATTTGATTCCGTAAATCTAGTTTGCTTCGTGCATCGTATAATCGTTACAAATAGTATAGTACAATACATACAGGAATATGACCGTTATCCGTCCCTTTAACTCCGTTTCCTCCCAGGCCCGTCATTGAGAGTCGTACATCTACAAGAACAAACTGCCAACCTATATATACCCAGTCTCGTGATAAAATCCAACTTGGGATGAGAGCCGCATTAATCCCGACTACGGTTGCTCAGCCATCTCTTTAACACCACCTCTCTGACTGTATACCTGGCCAGCACTTCATCAACACGCATACCCTCCTCATCCACAGGTGGAGGAACATCAACATAAACCAGTACCAGTGTCTTCTTCACCTGGCCATTCACGCGATTCACACAATGCAGCCAATTCCACTTTTTGCTCTGCCTCTTTTCCACGTCTTTCGCAATCGCATCGTCGCTAGACCAGTAAGGATGACTGTATGTCGGTAGGATCAAGATCGCAAACTCAGCGTGTGAGAAGACAGGGCCGCGATTGTATAGCAAGTAATCGACACCGAATTTTGTGCCGCCGCGCACGCACCAGCCAAGACTGCGGAAGTGGTGGTAAACGACATATGAAATGATGAACAGATCATCTGGTCTGTTTTGGGGCGTGGCCGATACAGGGAAGGAAGAAGTTTGGCGGAAGAGCGACAGAAGGTCTTGAGGAGGGATTGGGAGGTTGCTCTGTGCGTTTTGGATCGACAGGACACCTAGGCCATATGAGAGAAAGAAGGCTTCTTCCATTGTGAGTTGGATGTGTTCCTGGTTGTGAAGTTCGACGAGTGTGTCGTCTGCTTCAGTGATTTTCGGTGGAGTTGGTGATCTAAGTTTGGAGAAGTCGGCGTTGATGGGATCCGATGGTAGGAATGTGGTTTGCTCAATAGTGGGCGAGAATCGAACACTCTTCTTGCGGTTCAGAGGTTTAGGCCGGTTTGAAGTCTCTTCAGTTGATACATCGCTATTTGTCGATGTAAAGGTCTCGGTTTCACCCGAAGTCTTCGCGGAACCCGGTTTGTAGAGTGGGCGGAGTAGCAGGTCAACTTCAGTGGCGGGAGGGGTTTGATATCCCGGTGATATCGCGTGCCCATTCGGAGTTGCTGTTTTATCCTGCGCCACTGTGGTCGCCGCCCGGTTGGCCACAATTGACGTTGGACCACTGCAAAGGTCTACGTCGCTTTGCGAGTTTGGCAGACGCACTAATTCTCCTGGGCCAACAGGTGGAACGAATGCCTTCTTGATCGATTGAGGTTTGTTATCATCGGCTGCTACGTTCGCTTGTTCAATTGCAGGGCTTGTAATGTTGGACAGGGCAGATGTCGGATCATTGACAAGGCGTACGTCGTATCGAGAGTTTGGTAGACGCAGCAGTTCTTCTGGACCAACAGGTGAAAGGAACGTCGTAGTGGTTGGTTCGTCCTTGCTGTTGTTGCTGTTGTCTCTGAGGGCCGCGTCTGACAGGATTCCGAGCTCCAGCTCCTCTCGCAGCTTCTGATCTATAGCCTCGCGGCCGATTCTTGCCCTCTCCCACTTGGCCTGCTGTCTCTCTGCACGCCTCTGTCTCGTCACTTCTTCGCTCGTCTTGGAGGCGTTGGCACCAACTCGGCGCTTCTCACGGTCAAGCCAACTGGGTTCACTCCGACTTAAGCTGCCTTTACCGAAGAACCCTTCCCGCCAAAGAGCATGGGCAGATCTTTCATCTGTGACATGGATAGAGCGAAGCTCCGGCGAGAATACCCCGTGATATAGAGCCTGAGGATGTGACGAGGGGGGACTGATAGTTTGTTGGAGCCATGTGTACAAGATTTGGACCAGGGAGATCGGATTATGTGGAACGAAGGTTGGGAGAGGGAAGGTTCGTAATGGCGTAGGGTGGGAATATAGCTTATTTATCTGTTGTGACCTGGTAGGCCCACGAGGTCTGCCATTACCGCCAGTTCCGTTCTTAGGAGAAGCTATATCCACGGTCGCATTTGACCCTGTGGAGGTTCCATTGACATTCATCTCAGGCTTGATTGGATCACCATTGACGACAACGTCGGGTTTGGAAGATGCTTCATTTATTAACTCTTTTGGTTTGAATTGTACGCCATTGACGGCTGTGACTACTTGGGTTGTGTCTTCCATGACGGAGACCTAGATCTTCATTGATACATCATCTGCCTGAGAGTTCTGGTCAGCATGTCTCTCTTTTCATCGTTGTTGTTGCGACCAAGTCAATGTGATATTCTTGCTCAGATACCGTTGTAGTCTTCTCAGAAGAGAATTGAGCCAACAGAGAAGAACGACAATCAAAGTTAAGTCGGTTTCTAGGCCACGGAATGTGTCATCACCGCAAGAAGAGGAGCTCCATGGAAGCTTCAAATGGGCATGTTTTGAAAGAGAACAAGACTTACGTATTACCACATTTCGTACAGCTTCTAAAGTGAAGCTATGGAAGGGGAAAGAGAAAGATGGAGAAAAGGTAGAGGGAATATTAGAGATTGTTGTTTTGAAGAAGTTGTGAGAGAGAGAGTAGAAGTGAAGAGAAGAAGTGAGGAATTTGTTTTTCGTCTAACACGGTCGAGTAGGGTAACTTGCTAAATCCCGCCCCACTCCACCACTTTCCACCCCGCCCCGCTCCGCTGCTTGCTGACCCGTAATCCTTCCCAAAAATTACTGACGAAGCCAACCGGAAGGCCGGCCACGACGCTGCTCTAAACTGAACGGGTAGCTCATCTGTACATCCTAAATTTGGGGATTCCGGACGGGAAAAAAACCATGAACCATATACAACAACCTTAGAAGTGAGAAGAGAAGAAGAAGAAGAAGAAGAGGCGAAGAAGAGACGGCGCTGCATGGCGAGCTTGGTGTATTCTACAGTGAACCCAGTCATTTCAGACGGAGACGGGACTATGCAGCATGAATCGACCTCTACATTTGTGATATGGATTGCTGGGGCGTGCGCGGCATGGTGCTCCTTTATCCTGCTCGTCCAGCTTATCGGCTTCACTCAACTGTGAGCCAGCTTCCCCCTTGAATGTCAGATTGATGTTCTAGAAAGCTTATTTTTTTATAGTTACCGCCGCTACTCCACAATCCCAACTCCAGCTGCATCCCTCGACCTCCCCGAAGATGAGATTCCTCACGTCACAATCCTTCGTCCTGTAAAAGGACTTGAGCCTCAGCTATACGAATGCTTGGCAGCTACGTTCAAGCAGACATATCCCCGAGATAAGCTGACGATATACCTGTGCGTCGCTTCACGTAGCGATCCAGCATACGCAACACTTCAGAGGCTCATCGCCGACTTCCCCGGGTTCGACGCGAAGGTCTTTGTCGAGGAAGATGACCCAAACCTCAGCGGGGATGCCGGGCAGGAGAACAACTTGGGCCCAAACCCAAAGATCAGAAACATGAGCCGCGGGTACAGGGAGGCCAAGGGCGATATTTTGTGGGTAATGGACTGCAACGTCTGGGTCGGAAAGGGTGTCACTGGGCGGATGGTAGACAAGCTTTGTGGATTTGCACCAGGGGGTCGGCGTCTTACGCCGTATAAACTTGTGCATCAACTACCGCTTGTCGTCGACAGTGTAGGCGCAAGCAAAGGCGAAGAGGCTCGCGGGCTTCTGACCGACGAAACCAACGAAGATGGCTCAGAAATCCTCCCCACGCGCAACGGCGGACTTTTCAGCTGGGGTGGGGGTCGCCTGGAAGAAATCTTCATGGCCGGCTCACATGCCAAATTCTACACAGCTATCAATACCGTGGCCGTTGCGCCTTGTATAGTAGGGAAGTCCAATATGTTCCGTCGGTCCCACCTCGACAGCCTTACCTCGGCCGCAACATCGCCCTATTCACCGGGTATCGACTTCTTTTCCAACAATATCTGCGAGGACCACCTTATAGGCGATCTTCTATGGCGCAACAATGTGCCTGGGCAAGCCAATGGCGAGAAGTGGAGGAATCACGGGCTGGTGTTTGGAGATGTTGCTATCCAGCCAATGGCGTCCACCAGCGTTGCGGACTACATCGCCAGGCGAGTACGATGGCTCAGGGTTAGGAAATGGACTGTCATCCTCGCAACTCTAGTAGAGCCGGGCGTTGAGAGTATCCTCTGTTCAGCATACGCTGCATTTGCCATGACTACCCTGCCACCGCTTCGGGAGGCCCTAGGACTGCCAAGTTCGTGGACAGCATTCTTCATCGTCTGGTTAATGTACATTACGGTCTGGATGGGCGTTGATCGGCTCACGTACAACAAGCTGCACTCTGTTGCATCGGTAGAACTGGACGAAGATACTCCAAGTTTTGCCCGGCCACCGCAAGGACCAAGAAGGCGTTTTGGTGAATGGCTTGCCGCATGGCTTGGGAGAGAGGTGCTTGCTTTACCCATCTGGGTCTTTGCTGTCCTGGGGGGGACCACGGTGAAATGGCGCAATAAGACCTTCTGGGTGGGCATGGACATGAAAGTGTATAAATATGATGGGGATGAGTCGAATGATGAGGCAGTGCCTGGGGGAGTCACAAGTAAGGCAAGGAGTGACTAAAATAGATGAGATTATTGACTACAAAGTCAAAACGATAGTAATGAGAGGTAAAATATGTTTAATGAAAAAGATGAAGTATTGTATTGCACTCCCTGGTCGATGTTTCGCTCTGTGCACGCTGGTCTGGTATTAATCACAATTATATACCAGAATACAAAAGGATACAATACGCGGCACGAGGTCGAACGGATCTTCACAACAACTAAGCTGAAATAGCCTAATACATCTCATTTCTACTATCAATATATACAACCCAAGTCTATCATCGTCGATCTATCTTTGCTCAAAGGCACCATCAGTAACGCGCTGGTTCAAGTTCACCTCTGCGGCGTTTCCCTGTGGAGTCAAAGGGTATGGCGTAGAAGGGAGGGACTCCAGGTATGTGCGGTGGTGTTCGTTGGCCTGTGAGTGATGGTTAGAACCCACTTCATTGGATTTTGAGATGAGAGTACGTACAAATGGCAGACCGCAGTATGTGCAGGTGCAGATTTCCGGCTTGTCGAGGTTGATGAAGACCCTGGGGTGACCCAGTGGTCCTCCACCGCCGTCGCATTCGACTGTCCTCTCGTGGATCCAGCGGACTGGTTGCTGGTGGATGAGCTCGATAGCTGCTGCCGGTGCAGGCTGCGGGGCGTTAGCATCTGAGTCTCACAATAAATCCCATCTAGACCCATCTCCCATTATATCACAAATTCGTAGCGCGCCACTCTCTACACCTTTTCATGCACCTCATGGGGTATTTGCTCACCTGCAACTCGACAATAGTCTGCTCAAATCTTGGCCCGGACATAGCGGCCTCCCTCGTCTTCTGGCTCCTCGACCAAGTAGTCGCCCTGTTGGGCTCTTGCATGGTCCTTAATTTCTGCGCATTTTCAACGTTCTCATGCACTAGCACATCATCCTCTTGCTGCTTCCCTTGAGGTAGTTCATTCGTCTTCGAAACGTTCGGCACGGATGCGTTCGACGATGCCCTGCTAGAGATTGACAAGGCGCGGAAAGAGCTGATTGGGGCCGACGCGCGCGCACGGCGTGCCAGGAGTAGCGCTGCACGTCTATTGGCGGTTGAGAGCATCTTGAGGTGGTGGTGAAAGGCAATTGAGCAAAGCGTTCTGGTGGATGAGGTGAAGTTGGGGACTTGAAGTTCGGAGATATCCGCTTACATAAGCACATTATCGGATCATCGCAAGGCTGGAAATTATTTTGACGAAGGGAAGAGGTCCCAGAACCCCAACTCTCGAAATAACGGATACAGAAGCAACTTCTTCATAAACTAAGTTCACAATCGTATCACATTGATTTTTTATCATTTGGAAATCACAGTTGAGCTACGATGTCGGGCTCACCAACCATGGCAGGCAAGCCGCCAAAAGCCATGTCCTCCCGTCTCTTGACGATGAAGTTTATGCAACGCGCCGCTGCTTCGTCCCCCCTCTCCTCGCCATCGACACCCGACCAACCCTCTGCCAAACGACAAAAGACCAGGCCTGATGATTCTCCCTTGGCTGGTTTCGACGTAAATGCCCTGGCCAACCAGAAGGCTATTGAGACTGCCCTTGCGAGCGAGGAGGCGAAACGTCAGATTGCGCTCGATAAACAGGCATCCGAAGCTGGCGATACACGATGGGTGTTAAATTTCGAACGAAATGGCTCGGAGACAGGGCCAGTACGGGGAAACTTGAAGATACAGCAGGCCAGTTTTTCTGCAATTGACAGAGACTCCGCGGCAACACCGAGGGTAATCTATCAGGCAGAGGAGACCTCGGATAATGCTATATTTGCAGGACGGAGGAGTTTTGGGAAGTTCAACCGGAAGTTAGAGGTACGAGGCATTTATTTATCCCATTTGGGAGATACTCCGAACCCGCTGTAAGCGCCGCTGCTAATGAACACCAGAAACTACAAGATCCAGAAGGAGACGACTCGTCGGATTCAGACTCGGATAATGATAGCGGGGAGCAAGAAGATGCCGAGGGTAGCAATAGTGACGACGACGACCCCACGAGCCAACTGATGAAGACTGCTCGAGACGAAGCGGCCAAAAAGCTGAAGGCTGAGCGGAAATCCAAACGAAAGGCAGAAAAGGCCGAACTACTCCGTCTGGCCGAGAAACGAAAGAAGAAGAACGTGAAACTGAACAACTTGACATCTATATCGGGGGGCACCAGCGGCGCATCAAAGGGGACCTGCTACAAGTGCGGGGAGACTGGGCATTTCCTGGCAGACTGCCCAAAGGGGAAGAAGAGGGGGCGGACAGACGACGACGGAGACCGCCCGAGGTCCTCAAACAAATCAAGGAAGTCTGGTTGATCAGATACCCAAAGTAGCTGCCGCCATTTTCAGCAACGGGCCGAGACATCTTCCCGCTTAAACATGGTTCGGCGGACCGGCTGCTGCCAGCAACATATATCCATGCTATATTATCACAGTGGCTGGCGATATTGAGAGCCCAATCAGTTGGCCCAATTGACGAAGGGCATGCATTGATTACCGAAAAGATTTCGATTGTCTGCCAGTTACGGTAAAATCACATGCGGTAATGTGGAGTCGTTGGGCGCTATACCTCGATACAGACACTATTGACACGGCCTGCAAGCCTCTTGTTCTGGGGGTGGCAGGAGGGAGATGAGACAGCGGAAGGGTGGCTTGGTTTGGCCGATTGCCGTGGGGTTTCAGTTTGGAAACGAAACAATTTCTACGCACACATGTAGATTGGCATTCAGGGCCGAGGGATGGGAAGGCGATACATGACAAACCCCCGACTATAAATACTAGGGTTGTCATGCAGGTTGTTCCTGGGGGGGTAAATTAGCACCTCTTTATCCGCATAATGATGCGCCTTTCTAGAAGGCCGTTTGCCTGACATCCGACCCAGCCGATGCAGTCTGGGCTGTCGTGGGTTAGGTATATCGCGCTGCCCCGGTTAATGGTAGCCTCCTTGGACGACATGCATCAATTTGCTATGTGGAATGCATATACTGCCTGGAAATCTGGTTATTGCGAGGCTGAATGAATTGTGACTATGCACACCGAAGCACATTAAAGTTGTATGGAAGTATGGGAGAACTTATTTCCATCCTGTAACAGAAGCCACTGAGCCACTCAATTGCCCAGAACATCAGTGAAAGGTCCTCTATACTCGGTAGGGCTTGCGAATGTGTACTCTGCTCTAACCGCATAGCTGGCCTTTCGTCGATCAATTTCGTATTACGTGTCCATGAGTTCTTTTTCTTGATACGAGGCTTGATATATGGCGCGGCGCTATAATAGATAATATCAGAGCTCTGATATATGCTTTGGGTGCCTTGAAAGCCACGGAGCAACCCCTGTCGCTCGTGCCTGACCAGAACTGATCGACATAAAAAAAAAAGAGGAAGAGTGAGAAGAACAAGATGAGAGACGGGCCGGAGGAAGAGTGTACTGCATGAGCCATCATTTATATATCTCACTTCGGACCGGGGGGGGGAGGGGGTGGTTGTCTGGACCTTCACCACGGCACCGTGCCGCGCGCTCCGAGATGCTAACCGCCAGATGCGAACACCAACCATAAGCAAGCTGCAGCTTCGTTGGCATGTCGTCTCACCTTCCCATATCTCATCCTAGCAAATAACAACGGCGGCATCACGGCAAGGAGTAAGACTGGCCTTCCTCTTGCGGCGGGCGGCAATATTTGATTGAATGGAACCAAGACAAGATGCAGGAACAGGCACAGGCACAGGCACAGGCATCGGCACAGACAGGCACAGGCAACCAGGGAGGGAAACTGTACATATATTACCTACATATCTCCATACATATATCTGTATACAACTCTCCATATCTGTATACCTGCATATATGCATATATATGCATGCATCCTTACCCACGGAGATATACTATGGAAATACCTGCATACTCACCATTGCCCGTATGGCGTCAAATGTATATACCTTGAACTCTTCACCGCACTACTGTACTACTGACTAACTACAGGAGTAAGCACCTATATGCGCTGGTCTATGTGCATCTCCATCCCTCCCCTCCCCTCCCCTTTCTCCATCTCCATAACCCTCTCCGTCTATCCATATCCATATCCTTCTATTTTCCCCTCTTCCTTGCCGAATATTCTCCTTTGACAACGTGCGAGACATAGGCCGAAAGGAGACAGGAGACGGAGATCAGGATAGGACACTGGAGACAGGAGGCCGGAGACAGGAGAACAAACAGGGAGGGCATTGACGCGCGAGATCTCTTACCGGGATATTCATATGAAATCATATGAAATCCGCAATCCTTTAGTGGACAGGTCTGTCATAACTTGACCCGGCACATGAGAGTCAGAAGACTGCTGCCCAGTGGAAGCTTACTGCCAACGCCAAAGCCAACGCCAACGCCAACACCAACACCAACGCCGGCACCAACACCGCCGCAATCGTGTCCCACCACTTTCCAGGCAACGGCGTCTATAAGACCCGCACGACGCGCCCTGTCAAACCCCTTCTCCCTGCAGCAAACCTCATCCTCTTCCACCTGCTCTTTGTCCTTTTTGTCGTCATTTCCTGCAAGCAGAGCAAGCTCTCATAGTCGCCATCGACATACTTTCGCTATTGCCCTGTCGTCGTGTCCCTCTGCACTCTCCATCCCATCATCTCCATCTCTCGTGTCGTTGCCGCCATCGTTGCCTCCGTTACCAAGCCGTCGTCGTCTCGCACAGACCTCGGTGCTGCTTCCAGCCTCGCCACCAGCTTCCCCAGCCTGCGCCAGCGCCAGTGTTCATAGTTCTCCGCTAACAGCCGCCCCGCCTCAACCTCACCTCGCCCACCCGGAGGTCCCCAAAACAAAATCCAGAGCTTACACGCTCTTTTCTAATAAAACATCATCTACGAACTTCCTCCCGGCCTTCACTTTATCACCGACCCTCCGACGCACAAACTCCACTGCAGCAGCAATGCCGACCCCCTCTCAGCCTCAGACGCCCACCACCCTGGACAGCCCACTTCGTGAGCACAGACAGAGGCCCGTGGAAAGGTTGACAGACAAGCTCGAAACCCCATCTCTCGACGATCGCCAGTATCGCGTCATAAAAATTGCCTCGAATCAGCTCGAGGTGCTGCTCGTTCACGATGCCGACACCGACAAGGCCAGTGCCGCCATGGATGTCAATGTAGGGAACTTCAGTGATCCCGAAGACACGCCGGGAATGGGGCATGCCGTCGAGCATTTATTATTCATGGGCACGAAAAAGGTCTGTACCCTCCCAGCTTCCCCATAAATATGTTCACAAGGTACCTGTGCTGATTGACTATAGTACCCCGTGGAAAACGCATACTCACAGTACCTCTCGGCACACTCTGGAAGCTCCAATGCCTACACTGCTGCCACATCCACGAATTATTACTTTGAAGTCGCCGCGAAGGCAGCTGAGTCCGCCGAAGAGACTGATCGGTCGCCATTATATGGAGCCCTGGATAGATTTGCGCAATTTTTTATCGAGCCACTCTTCCTCCCCTCCACCCTCGACCGAGAGCTTCGCGCTGTAGACTCCGAGAATAAGAAGAACTTGCAGAGCGACCAATGGCGGCTACACCAGCTCGACAAGTCACTTTCCAACCCAAAGCATCCATACTGCCATTTTTCCACAGGAAGCCTGGAGACTCTTAAGATCCAACCAGAAGCGAAAGGAATCGATGTCCGACAGGAGTTCATAAATTTCCATGACAAGCACTACTCCGCAAACCGGATGAAGCTGGTTATCTTGGGGAGAGAGCCATTGGATGTCCTAGAGGAATGGGCCGTAGACCTGTTCGCAGGTGTGAAGAACAAGGACCTTGAGCAGAACCGATGGGAGGACGAGCAGCCACTGGGCAAGGATGAGCTGTTGACTCAGATCTTCGCAAAGCCAGTAATGGACTCCAGACTCCTTGAGCTCACATTCCCATACTTGAACGAGGAAGACTTGTACGAGTCGCAACCCAGCCGATATATCAGCCACCTGATCGGCCACGAGGGCCCTGGAAGCATAATGTCGTACATCAAGGGCAAGGGATGGGCCAATGGCCTTAGCGCCGGTGGATACGCAGTGTGCCCAGGCTCGCTGGGTCTATTCAACTGCCAAATCAGACTCACCGAAGAGGGACTAAAGAACTACAAGGAGATTGTCAAGGTTTTCTTCCAGTACATCTCTCTGTTGAATGAGAGCCCGCCCCAGGAATGGATATTTGAGGAGCAGAAAGGCTTAGCCGAGGTTGATTTCAAGTTCAAGCAGAAGTCTCCTGCAAGCAAGTTCACTAGCAAGATTTCTGCCGTTATGCAGTTGCCATTGCCCAGAGAGTGGTTGCTCAGCGGACACAGCAGGCTGAGAAAGTTCGATCCAAAGGCGATTGAGGCTGGCCTTGCATATCTCCGACCAGACAACTTCAGGATGTCTGTGGTCAGCCAGACATTCCCGGGTGGCTGGGACAAGAAAGAGAAGTGGTACGAAACCGAATACAAGTACGAGAAGATTCCGCAGGAATTTATCGCAGAGATCAAGACTGCTGCATCCAGCACCAAAGCGAGCAGGCTGTCTCAACTCCACTTGCCACACAAGAACCAGTTTATTCCAACAAACCTGGATGTCGAGAAGAAGGAAGTCAAGGAGCCTACAAGAGCCCCGACATTAATCAGAAACGACGACATGGTCCGTGCCTGGTTCAAGAAGGATGACACTTTCTGGGTTCCAAAGGCCAACCTGTTCATCCAGTGCAAGAACCCCCTACCAAGTGCTACTGCTGAGAACACAATCAAGTCGAGGGTTTATGCCGAACTTGTCAGGGATGCCCTAGAGGAATACGCATATGATGCCGAGCTTGCCGGTCTCGATTACAGTGTCTCTAGCTACTCCGGTGGACTCGATATTCAGATATCGGGATACAATGACAAGCTGCCGGTTCTACTTGAGAAGGTTCTGTTGACGATGCGCGACCTTGAGGTCAAGCCGGATCGCTTTGCAATTGTCAAAGAAAGACTCCTCAGAGGCATGCGCAATTGGGATTACCAGCAACCTTACAACCAAGTGGGCGATTTCACGAGATGGCTCAATATCGAAAAGGGCTTCATCAGTGACCAATTGCTTACCGAATTGCCCCGTTTAGAGGCCGAGGATATCAGGCTTTACTTTCCTCAGCTTCTGCGCCAGGTTCACATCGAGACTCTTGTCCACGGTAACCTGTACAAGGAAGATGCCCTCAGGCTGACGAATATGGTGGAAACCACATTGAAGGCAAGGGCGCTTCCGCAGGCTCAGTGGCCAGTATTCCGATCGCTGGTCTTCCCTCCTGGCGCCAACTTTGTTTACCACAAGACCCTCAAGGACCCCGCCAACGTCAACCACTGCATCGAATACCTGCTTTACGTTGGCGACAAGGCTGATCGTGCCTTACGCGCCAAATGTCTGATGTTGGACCAGATAACCCACGAGCCAGCATTCGACCAGCTGCGAACAAAGGAGCAACTGGGATACGTAGTATTCAGCGGAGCTCGCACCACCTCTACGACAATCGGCTATCGCTTCATCGTCCAGAGTGAGCGCACCCCGGAATACCTCGAGGGCCGCATCGACTCTTTCCTCGCCAATTACCTGACAACACTGAAGAATATGTCTGACTCCGAATTCGAGGGCCACCAGCGTAGCTTGATCACCAAGCGTATGGAGAAGCTGAAGAATCTGGACCAAGAATCTAGCCGGCTGTGGACACATGTTGCCAGCGACTACTTCGATTTTGACCTTTGTAAGTTAACTGACATATATTCCATATCATCTCTAACACGGAGTAGCATACGAGGACGCAGCCCACGTCAAGGCCCTTACCAAGAAAGAAATGATCGAATTTTACGAGCACTACATTTCACCATCGTCGCCGTCCAGGGCCAAGCTTGCCGTGCACCTTCGTGCCCAAGCCACGAGCAAGAAGTCTTCCACTGCTGGCATTGAAAACGACGTCAAAGGACTGAAGCTCACATCCGAGGACAAGACAGCGCAGGAAGCCCCCGTGGAAGGAAACGGCACGAGGCCGTGGGCTATCGATGATGTGCGTGCATTCAAGTCCAAGCTTGGTGTTACACCTGGCCCACAGCCTGTTCGTGACCTGAGCGAATTTGAAGAGACGGACTCAAAGTTGTAAGATGGACGTAGAAAGAGGGGCAGGCAACGAAATACACTTCACGATGGATATGACGACACGGGCATGATGCATAAAGGGCATGATACCCGGCATGGTATGGAGCTTGGGAATGTGCATTTGCAAAGGCAGAGATAGATTATTGTCGGTTACTAAACCAGGTTTGGGGGTTTTGGGATGTCTTGCCGAAGGAGGCAGGCTGGTCTCGGGCGCGCAATCATTAGGGATGGGCAGCACGTATTTGTTTGTGAAGGGATTGATAGAAGTATGTAAAAGAAAGATAGAACCATTTATAGTGAATGGAAGCTTTTTTAGAAAGTTGCAGCTTGAACAGTCCAGATGTGCACTGTATAGGTATCGGAAGTAAGCTAATCATTACTGTATGCCTGGATATAAAACTACACGATACCCTCACCTCAGATCAGGTTCCCAAGTCTCGATCCCATGCAGCCGAGCAATAAAGATAAGCAACAATGAGCCCGGTGCCAATAGCCCCAATTCTTCGTGTCACCCCATCAATGCAAACCCAATGACCAGGAAGGCCTCTGCCAACCAACCCTCTCCAAAATATCCTTCACGACCCTCGGTCCGAATTCGACCTTCCATCACCAACCCGAAGTATCATTTGAATTGTTCTTCGTACTCTGCGCAGCGGTTTTGTCTCCCCACGACTCTTGTTTGGCAGGCTCACCCCACGAACCTGCCGAAAACTCAGTGCCAGTCGCATCCGGGAAAATGCGTTGCGATGTCCCGTTTTGATTTGGACGATCCTTGTACCCTGGCCACTTGGAGTTGCTCGAAGACCCGTTACTGTTGTGATTGGAGTTATCTGGGCCACTGCCCCAGTTGTCGTCACCTGAAGATGCATTGTTCTTATTCGTGCCCCAGTTATTATCCCCCGATGATGTATTGTTGTTGTTGCTCGTGCCCCAGTTATCATCTCCCGATGATGTATTGTTGTTGTTCTGATTTGAGCCCCAGTTATCATTTCCTGACGAATTATTGTTATCTGTGCCCCAGGTGTCACCTTGGCCACCGTTGTCAGGAGAATTGTTATCCGCATCGTTGTTTCCGGTCCCCCAGCCATCGTCGTTCGAGTTGTTATTCGCGTTGTTATTGGCATTGTTGTCGGCGGTATTCCACCCAGAATTACCATTCTGATCATTGTCGTTGCTGAATGAACCTGGCATGGGTTTGGAACCACCTGTTTCTAACGATGAGCCGCTGTTATTGTGGGTTTCTCCATATGGTCCTGTCTTACCTCGAGAATTGTTTCTCTGACCATTAGACCTGTTGCCACTGTTATTGTTAGAACGCTATAAAACAAGACAGGGAGGGCTGGACACCCATACCTTGAATAGTGATTATTTTCTGAATTGCCGCTGTTTTGCATCCCCTGATCGCCCCCGCCTCCTCGCTGGTTCACATTGAACGGCCATCTACCACTCATCCCTCCTATCATACCAGCCCAAGGGTTTGCCCAAGCACTTGGCGGTGGTGCGGGTGTTCCGATAGGAACATGCTGTGCCTGTAATGGAACTAACGAGCCACCAGGGTTTCCATACATTGGTCCATGGTAAATCCGGAGCATCCCAGTTCTGGCGTCAAAGAAAGCATTTGGTCGAGGATCGGACGCGTTTTCGAGGACGTCCTCACGTATGATGACCTCTGCTCTTGAGGGTAAGATGAGACGCGACATATTTTTGGTGATGAAAGAACTTAAGTTTTGTAAAGTGCGTCGTTGTTCAGGAGTTTGAGGAGGTGAGGGTGGGATTTGGGCATGATAGACTAAAGGTTTGTCAATTTGCAGTTGTAGAAATTGAAATTGTAGCTACGTGTGGGTCTCCCTTACCTGAGTAATTGTTGTTTGAGACGTCCTTCATCCCTCTGGGTGAATTTGATGTGCTTTTGGATTCGCCCCAATTGTCTACTTCCTTCTTCTCACCTTTAGGCCCGCATTTCTTGCTAGTCCCATAAACTTTTCCATTCTTCCCAACCGTATGTCTCTCATTGCAGTGAGCAGATGGCTTGCACGCAGAACAGCATATATGATCCTCCCCATCCACCTTCCTGGTATGCTTTAAAATACCCTTGGGTTGCTTGAAGCGAACTCTCTTAGACGGTGAGTTTGTCGACGTCTCGGAGCGATCATCGCAACTGGAACAGCTGCAGCATGTTTGGCAGCAACCGGAATGGTTTCTTGCACCCATAGAGTGGTGCTGGACTGTATTTGGTTGAGGTGACTCCAGTGATCTCCGTCTTCTATGGCGGGGAAGAGTTTCTCCAGCGATCCATTCAACAACGGAGGCCTGCATCGAAGAATCAATGAGGCATGACCTGGTCGGCCAAGGCCTTGAGAGCCTCTGAAATCCCAAGGAAGGAATATAAATATTATCGACTAGGTCTCAATATTAATAGCAGCGTCTTTGGACGAGCTTTAAGAGGTCACAGTGGTATATATGTTCGAATACTGTCAATGACAAGAGACGTGGAACAAGTGTGCATAAGAACTAGACGAAGTCGATGAAGAGAGTTAAATATAGAATGATACTTATGTGATATTGGACATTGATGAATCACGTCAGTGAGTGTATGGGAGTGATCTTGAGTTTTTGACCATATGTGACTGCAGTTGAAGTTATGTCAGGGTGGTGGGTGTGAGGTTCATGCGAGGCGGGAAGCGGGAAGCGGAAAGCAGACAAAGACCTGGCAAACCGCAAACGATGCACGCATCAAAGTGGCTAGAGAAAGAGAACGGCCCTCTTGGAAGATTATAAAAATATCGAAATTGTCTTGTATTTCACATATGATATGATATCCTTCGCGTACAATGTAGAGGGAGGAAACAAAATGGGCCTTTGGTCGCATGAAACCATTCGAAGAGAATATTACAGAAGATAAATCCGAAACCAGATATGTTTGTAAAAGAAGCGCCACATACGATTATAACTTTGCTTTGCTCTCCAGCTCAGCCTGTCTCCAGTCCTTGTTGACCTTCATATTCCGGTAATATGTCCACAGCCCAGCCCAACCCGCCAGCGGAGGCACCAGTAGCAGAAGCCAAGCCCACCACTTCGGGCTCCCTTTCATGATGGTTGACATGACTCTTTCAATCTCCTTCTTGAGCTCTTCTCTGCCACCGTCATTCCACACCACGACCCCCCTGCCATCGCCTCTTGCCTCGCATCTCTTCGCCTTCTCTCTGATATCGCCCTGGCTTAGCACCCTGTTCTCTGCATCCTCGGCCGTTAAGTGCGCATCCCGGTCTCGAAGCCTCCTCATCTGTATTGCCGGATCCCCCACCGCAACAACCATGACGGTACCGCAAAGCGTGTCCAGCCCGCTCTCAAACAGCAGCGGCACATCCAGGACGACCGCCCAGCAGCCTCTCAGATAACACCTCAGCAGCTGCCGGTACATTTCCATACGGACGGCAGGATGCACGATCCCGTTCAGTACAGCCCGATCCTTCTTCCGCTCGTCAGTATCCCCAAAGACTCGGCGCCCCAGCGCAGGACGGTTCAATGGCCGCCCTTTGCCATCGTCGGTTTTGGGGAGAAGAAGGTCAGGCGTGGTTGCGCCGAAATAGCCGACAATCTTGTCGTAGGCCGAGGTGCCAGGCTCAACGACTTCACGGGCAATGACGTCGGCATCAATAATAGGGATTGAGTATGGTGGTGCACGAAGGATATTGGACACCGTGGACTTGCCCGTTGCGATCGAGCCTGTTAAACCGAGAAGCAACATCTCAAGCTATAAATGAGGGTGGATTGTAGTTTGGTGTTTAAATGGGTGATAAGGTTGTAAGCCGAGCTGTGTCTTATCAGCGAAATAAGAGGCACGTGAATTCTTAAATGGATGGCTAGCTTAAGTCTTAAATCACATGATCTTGAGATGCATTGAATCACGTGATATGAATATACTCGAAGTCTATTTGGGAAAAGGGTAGTTAGGGTTATTACTAAGGCTCTGATTAAAATCTAGTTACTCTGGATCCGTACTCTTTGTACCGTTACCATATTTGCTACCGGAAGCATCTGGGACTATTCAGAGACATTAGCGGCCGATAGCCATAGTCGTGTAGGTGCCGCCTGAGTGAGAATTCTGTCGAGGAGAGATACGCATCGTAAATTTTCATTAGCAAAGCTTTGGATTTTGAAGACCATTGAGACATTGTGGAGATATTTCTCTATTAAAAGATCACTAGCTACACTGCCATCAGCGCGGCGTCGGGAGAATTGATTCGACAGGCACAAATTGATTGTCTTAGCTACTTCTAGCGCCAAGCAGACTGTACCAGCTGAGTAGCCATCCTGGAGCTGTATTGGCCCTTCCCATGTAATTCAGAGCCATCTCCATCATGATAAGACCATAGAAGGCCACACCTTCCCACCAGCATAACCTTCGTAGTGCATCCCTCCGACCATACCTGAACCTCGAGCGAAACGCCAAACATAAGAAAGTGGAAAGGCAAGGATAGCATTGATGAGAACCCAAATTGAAAAAGCCACCACTGCGTGTAACCGGTCTTGAATATCGTGAAATACTTGACGATCTGTTGTTGGTCAGTATTGGTGGTTTATTCCGAGGAGGTTTGTTCACATACGAGAAATTGTCTGCCTCTTGATCTAGCCAGATGGGAGACGCTTGGCAAAGAAGGTGCCGTCTGGGCGCTGATACCATCGAACCTGGCCAATGTCTTTGCTGTCAATTGTGTAACGGCTGCGACGAGTCCAGTTGCCATCTAATTCTTGAACCTCATACATGCGTGAGATGTCGGGATCAGCAGGGACCAGCTCCTGAGGACGCGTATCAGCCTTGTCTTTCATAGCAGCTATATGCTCAGCTTTGGTCGGACCATTCGTGACCCACTGCTGGCCGTTCCACATCGGCCCCTGCGGTGGGCAAAGAAATCTTTGTCCGCCTGGGTATTGAATGAACCCGCCGGTTTGAGTTGGTCCGAATCGACTTCCGTATTGCTGAAAAATCCAAAGTTAGCTCTTGTTCGCTTTAGAGATGGATCACGCAAGAATAAATGATGAAAGCACTTGCAATTCCGCCATGGCCGCAGCCCTGGCCCTGGTGAAGATAACCGCCAGTGGCAACTGGCCCATTGTTGATAATGATTGGCCCTCCTTGGTTGCCCAGCTGCTGGATGCCATTCCCGATGGGACATCCACATCCTCCAGAGGGAGGTCCACAATAGAGAGGTGGTGAGGATGTGACTCTGGTAGGCCAGGGAGACCATACACAAGTAGGCCCTTTGACCTTGGTCTTGACACAGCCGCACCCGCAAGTGTGGGTTGAGCTGTTGAAGCAAGACATCCTTGAAGCAGGCGGAACAAATGTGTGAACCCAGGGGCCTCGGACTGTGCTTGGGATTTGAGGTTGGAAGTTCGCTGGGTTTGACATTGAGATGAAAGGAAGAAGGTTGAACTGAGGAAAATGAAATTGTCGGGTGAATGTAGGCTGCCTCGACGAGATAGGCAGCTGTTTGTGTGAAAAGAAGTGCGATGGTGATGATGAGGTTGTGTTCAATAAAGTGGTGGTACTTGAGGACGAATGGCTCGGGTTGTTGTTTGTTTATGTTTGTTGTGATGTTTGTGTAGGAGTAAGGTTGAGATCGAGTAGGAAGACGGAAGATATGTCAAAAGGCTCACAACTGGCAGATTGTCTCGCCTATGAGATCGAGTGACAAAGTGACCGAGGGACGCCAACAGACGTCCAAACAGGCAGAAATGGTAAATTGGGGCTGGTAGTGTTTCCGGCTGGTCTCGACGAGGCAAGAGCATTCGGGGAAGTAGAAGAGTAGGAAATTATAGATCCACAATGACGAATGATAGGGAGGGTAAACAACAAGCCATTTATACAGAAAGGAAGAGCACCAGAAGTGAAGTTTGAATACTTACGACGCGTGGAGGGGCAGCGATGGCCATTGTCATCTCTACTGGGCCGATATATCTCGGTCCGATGGTTGAGAGCGGCTGGCACTGGTGAGGCTGACAGAATCGACATGAGCATTGCTGGCACACCGGGCATGCTGTGCTGTAATAGCGGCCTCGATGGCGATATCGGCGGCGCGTATGGGTGTGCTTGTGAGTGATCTGGCACTTCTCGCGGCCCTTTTCGTCGTCCTCCACCTCGTACTCGGTGAATGGCCAGCACCAGTTGAAGCACATCTTGGGCGGTGATTTTGAAAGGGTTCGATCGGGTAAGAGAAGAAAGAAATGGCGCGGAAGTGGGTTTGTGCTGGTAGGTGGAGAGTTGATGAAAGGTGAGGAACTACTGGGCGGGCAGCATCGCCGTCGGCGAGAAGCCTCGACCGACTACAAACTTTGACTTTGGACTTGAGGGCGTCAACTGCATCATACGAGCAGAACTCGAGATGAAATTACTGATATGAAATTGACGCTATAGAATTATCGTCAGGCAGTAACACTAACCCGGTAACTGACTCCAGGCTATCGTGTGGTGAGTTCCAGATCTCATCCCTGTTGGCGTGAGTTTCTGAGGGCCACTTTTCCAGAAAACATGACGAGGCGGCCAGCTTGGACATCAATATCAAGGCAAAACACAGCATCTCATGGGATAATATGGTCTTCCTCGGGATAACTTGATTATGGAAACATACATAGCCTGGCCAGGGCGGTTGCCTGCATGCATGGTTCGACTGCTGTTGTTGTCATGTTTGCTATTTTGCGTTCGTCATTCCCCGCAACATTATCATGGCGCGCGCCGCAATCAACCGATCACTTGATCGTATTTTGCGGCTTCAGCACAGCGGCGAGTTTGCTCTCGCCGTTCGTCGAATATGTTGTGTCGTGGTGCTTTATCTGTATCTCCGCTGGCGGGAGAGGTACGTTGGTGTATTCTTGGCGCTTATCATCGACGCGCATGTCACACACACCTTACTGGATTGGGAAGAGGGATCATAGCCGCGTCTTTAAGCATAAATTAGTTGTTGGTAGGCAACACGTCGTCAGCCCGTATGTCAGCGCCATTTATCTCTTTCTCTCCCATCTACTCTTTTGTTGATGTCTATGCTCATGGTTTGCAAATCAAATCCCCGTCGCTGAGCTCTCTTGTCTCCACCAAGCTTGAAGAAGCCAGTGTTTTGAACTTCTGAGACTCCAAGGCCCACTGTGCACTGAAGGGTGGTTGTCCGTGTTCTATATCCGTTCCACGGCATGTCTACAGAAGAGCCAACCACGGCGCAGCTTCAGAGCACCGTCTCCAAGCCGCCGAAAGTATTCTCTTGTGTTCTTTGTGCCCAACGCAAGGTAAAATGCGATAGAAAGGTTTGTGGGCCACCTCGTTCTTGTGGGTTCTCAATAGGTCCCGTGCATTGACTAAATGAGCAGCAACCATGCTCCAACTGCATCAAAGCTGGTATTAGTTGCACTCCTGGGGCCCCGCCGAAGCCTAGAAGCCGCCGCAGACGAGTCATCGAGACTGATGTGGCTGCACGGCTTCAGAGATATGAGGAACTCCTGCGTCGCCACGGTATTAAGCTCGACGAGCTTGACGACCCCGTCATCTCAGCCCGCCCTGGTGTAGCCAGCGCCAGTGTGGATGGTGCCAACTCAAGTCATATATCCGCTGTTGTTGGAAAGGATGGATTACCACTTTACGCGCCCAAGTATGTCATATTCTCACTGCCCACTGCCATCGATAATTGCTAGAAATTTGAGTAGGCGTAGGAGTATCCATACTAACCCTGACTCTGCCTAGTAATCTCTGGTCAACACTTAGTGATGAGATTCTTGACGCTTCCTCCGACGACGAGAGAGACCTGGCCATTCGTGTAGCGAATCAGTCTCTTGACAGCGAACCAAGCACCCCTCCCAAGATTGAACTTGAATTATTTGATCTCGATACGCCGCTTCCTGACCTGAGCTCTCTGCATCCTGAGCCACTTCAGATATTCCGACTTTGGCAGACATTTTTGGATAATGTCCACCCACTAACGAAGCTAATACACGCGCCATCAATCCAGCAAGAGATAAGCCGCGCAAGTGGTTCGCCTCAAACTTTTACCAAACCAATGCACGCCTTGATGTTCTCAATATATAGTTGTTCAATAGCCTCGATGAGAGACGAGGATTGCATGGAAATACTAGGCGAAGACAGAGCATTGGCTCACCGACGCTTTGCTGGTATTGCAAAGAAGGCCCTCACAGTCGCGGGTCTACTCACGACACGGGACACGATGGTGTTACAAGCCTTTGTGTTATTTTTGGTACGTGGCCAAGTGGTTACAATGCAGGGCGCTGACTCTCTGTAGCTTTCCATCCGTAATGTTTATGATGCACAAGATCTATGGATTCTTACTGGTGTCGCTGTCCGCCTCACTGAACGGCTCGGACTCAATCACGAACCATTATTGGATTCGCTTTCCGTCTTCAATGCCGAGTACGGACGGCGAATCGTTTGGCAGATAGCCATTTTGGATGGGCATACAGCAGGTCGAGCACGAATAGACACCTCTCGCACTCTATACCGAGGGGATACCAAGTTTCCCCTAAACGTCAATGATGCTGACCTGGATATCAATATGCGGGAACGACCCCAAGAGCATCTTGGAGTTACAGAGATGGTATTTTGCCTGATCAGATGTGAATTCGGCAGCCAGCTTCACAATCAGGCCGCCATTGAAGGGAATAATATGCTGCGTTTGCTAGGCAACCCCTCCACTCCTGTCGCCGAGAAGGAGACCTTCATCAGCAAACTGGAGAGTATTTTCGAGGAAAAGTATGTAAAGCACTGCGATCCAGCCATCCCGCTCCAGCTATTAGCGATGGTGATGGTTAAGGTCATGTTCGGCAGGCTTCGGCTTGCTGCTCGCCACCCACGAAGGTTTCGAGACCGGGGGGCAACCATGTCACAGGAGGAGAAAGACTCTTTGTTTGCTATATGTCTCATGATGATCGAGTACGATAACCAGGGTCACAGGCTCCCTGGGATGCACAAATTCATGTGGCATGTCAAGGCCAACTTCCAGCTAGATGCATTTGTCTACATTCTTAATGAATTGCGCCACAGCAGCGTCGGCGACAGGGCTGATCAAGCGTGGCGGGAGATTTTGGAATGCTTCGAACACCACAGTGACGTTCTCACTGATACCAAGAACCCGCTACATGTTGCAATTGGAAATCTTGCACTTAAGAGCTGGGGAGCCCGAGAGTCGATGCTTGCACATTTGGGGCAGACACTCCCAGACGGGGAGGTTCCACGTCCAATTTCGGTTTTGCGATCGCAACGGTCAGTTGGCGTCAGCCCAGGGAGCTATTCGAGTGTTTCTGATCAACGAGTTGCTGGTGAGCCAACACAGAATCAAGCATTCCAGGTGGCAAATCCAACGCCTTTCGACTCTATGGACAGTACGCCGATAGACTGGGAGTATTGGAATGAACTAATAAATGCGTCGGGCATAATGATCGACGAGACACAGTATCAGCAGCCTATGTACGATGCGAGGGCTATGAATGATTGGAAATAGGGCTGCATATGCAGGACTGGGATGGTTATATAGTTGATTTGTATGCGATGAACAATGTCCCCACCACAGCGGAGTATATATATTACAAAGTGTGGAATTGTCGAAAAATATACCTAATTCTCCTCTCTCCAGCCATACTTATTCCACAGCATAGAAACCCAGAACATCGACTCTATCGTTGCCAGCACCGCGAAAATGGCTAGGGCCACCATCTTGAGTCTACCAGTGATGCCTAAACTCTCAAATAGGGGTTTGCCGTCGGATCCGATAATCGGGATTTCCTTGCACGATTTCGCCACAGGTGGTTTCTTGCTATTGCTTGATACAGCTCGCCATGACGGGGTCATTGCTCGTATAGAGAGCGGCAGCATGGGAGGATGACTGTACGTAGGTGCACGTATTATGCGACGTAGCATCATCGCCCTGGCGTCTGGCCTGAGAATCATCGCGCTGTGTAAAAACCTAATCCATATCAGTATATTCAAACGGTGTGCCTGGTAATGACGCACCTGAAGAGGTCTATGGTAAGCTGGCGGGAAGAGAGTTGGGTGTGGGAGTGTTCTGGTGGACGTCGTGATATAACCATCTTGGCGACAGGGATCCAAGAATCCTTTCATAACCAATTAATGTGCGAGGCAAAGATATCGAGCTCGGATAGTTTGCGCATACTATGGCCACTTAATTTCCATAATTATGCTCGTAATTTTTGTTTGTTTTACAAACCTTAGTAATTGCTTCCTACTCCATACGCAAACCTGGTTGGTTGGCCATCGCATCCTAGTCAAGACATTCACCGATACCTTGATGGTTACCAGGGAATTACAGAACTCAGAGTTGTAATATTTTCATTTTGGAATATATGTCTTATATAATTGAACACAGAAGCCGTGAAAGAAGACCTGCTTCCCTAATATGCAGCCTCTAGTTCGTTCCCGAGCAGCCAACAAAGTTGTTTCCACTGGCGCCAGTGTGGGTGATGGCACCAGCAAGTCCGCAAGACTTGTTGATGACAACACGGTCAGCCCCAGGGCTCCCTTTATGGAATTAGTATATATATGAATCACAGAGCATGCAATGAATTCTCACCTCCAGTGTAGACACCGCTCTTGAGGATGGGGAACTCCTGCCAAGGACCGGCAACAGCGAAGTTGAAGCCCTCGTAGTTATTGTACTGGTGGGGGTAGGTGGAGCTTCCAGCAGTCGTGCCGGCCTTCACGTAGTTGCAGGCGGCAGCGGCAGCAGCGCTGACCTGGGCAGCAGTGTAGGAGGTGGAGCCGCAGGTGGTGGCAGCGCGCACCTCGAGAGCGGGGAGGGCAGCGACAGCCGAGACGAGGGCGACGGTGAGGAGGGTCTTGAGGCCGAACATGTTGATAGATTGAGGATAGAACTGAGGGATTGTTGGTGGATGACGATGAGAAGGGGATCCTACCTGCTTCATATATACTCATCCCACTGCCCATCATGCTGACCTATACGGTGCTATCCGACGAAGAAGCCGTGGTAGAAGATGCGTGACAGGTATGGACGGGGTAGTGATGCCGCCAGCACTCTAGAATGCCGCCGATGCACCTTAAATCCTATTACTATACCCTAATGCGGAAGTTGTGTCTTGCATCCATGCGCGATCGGCGGATCTCCGCCCGCGATAGGATCAAGGTACGGGCAGCAACGCTACTAAAGTTCCGCGATAACAAAGTCGTGCGAATAGGGTTGGCGGAGAGCGGCAGCTGCTCGATGTCATCCTGACACTTGGCAGCAATGATCTGCCGGACGTCAGGCGAAAGAGGAAGTTGGCAACAACCAACAACTTTGATCTGCTGGCCCACATGTGGTCGGCATATACAAGCGCATGAACATCCCCCCACGGCATGCTCCTGTTGACCATCGTTATAGGCTCAACGACGAAGCATGCTTCGGGGAAACATCCGACGACACGTCGCGACAGCCCTCGGCGTTTCTCTCTCCAAAAGTAAATATAGAGTTTATGCTGCATTCCCTCCCTGGTTCAACTTATTCACGTTTCACGCAACATACATTAGCACGGCCAAGATGACTTCTCAAGAACGCCACTCCCTAACGGCCTCCATCGCGGAAAAGACCGACCCCTCATCAGCCGCACGTGCTCTCATAGCGCCGGCGGAGGATAAATTCTCCACGGGGTCTCCAGAGTCGGACATTGAAGGCGGTCTGAGACCTGTCTGGGGAAGCATAATTGATGTGGCCGCGGATACCGACCACCAGTCTCAAGAGCCTTTGGTCGCTGTCCTCCGTGCCGTGCAGCAACAGAACTTTGCGAATGGTGCGAGTGAGGTTACAGTCTGGGGAGAGAAGGTGAAGATGTGGAGCGACCTGCCTCTCTTTGGGGCTTCCGTGAGAGATGCATGGAATAGAGGTATGATCGTTCATGGCGATGTTCTTCAGGTGCTGACATTACACAGCTCCTGGCACAGGTTCGACGAATGATTTCTGTGCCAGCCAATGGCGTAATATAAACGGTTTCCTGGCACGCCTAACTTCCCTGTCTTCGTCTACGCCTGCGTTCGACTTTTCCATGTTTGGATTGTGGACGTTACGGTCAGCATTCGAGGCAAACGAACCCTCGCCGGCTGATGTGGATGCTGGCAAGATGTGGTTCGAGTATGCAGAGGATGTATTGACGAAGCTGAGCAGCGATGAGAAGTCGTTTCAGGCCAAGGTTGGCGCTGGTGGTGGCAGCTACGCGGATAAGGAATGGACGGGATTCAATTCCCAGAGGCTTGAGGTTTGGCAGGCAGCTCTTCGATAGGATAGAGGAATTTCAAACATAATAAGCCAACGTCTGAGGCGGTCGCGTGAGAGCACATATATTTTGATAAAATTCGGGGCAGCCGTGGCAAAAAAGTGCTCGTCAGTGTTGCCCGAGTACTACTCAGAGTACTACTCAGAGATCTTCGAGTAGAGTACTGTTTTTTGGGCTCGAGTAGAGTAGTACTCGAGTAGTACTCGAGTACTACGAGTACTACTCGAGTATAAAAATGAAAACACCATTAATAGCTATATAGACTATGGAAATACAGTAACTATGCATCCTCGTCTTCCTCTGA